TCATGCGTACGTGAGAAAGAGAATCAGGCCCTCGTGTCTTTTTCTTATCTGCTTCCGCTCATCGCCACACTTTTATTTTTTATTTTTTATAACCCAGAAAGGGTAGATGGGGGACAAGGCTCACAGATCCATTCACGGATGAACTGGTCCGTCCTTGGTCGGTTGTCGGAGAAGCGATCACCACCTGTGGGGGAGGGCATGGAACTAAACGAGCCTCCCTTTCCTTTTTGAGGGCTTGCCGACTCGTGTCTGTGAGACCGAGATTGCCTCGATAACTGGTCGTGGTGCATGAGCGAGCAGAGCCTGTTACACACAGCTTGCCCAGGTATGCTGGCTCTAGTCTACGGCTAGATGTGCATTCCGTCCCTGAGGGCGGCCATCACGACGTTGATGGAGATCGGGATCGGGAATCGGGGATGGAGTCCCCTTTACTTCTTCGAGATTCCCATTCTGAGAACTATGTTTCTGCGTGGGGTCCAAGGGAAAAGAGGACAAGGGAAAAAGGAAAACCAATGAAAATGGGTAAAATAAAAAGAAAAGTGGCAAGCTGGCCAAAGAGAGAAGTAAGTCTGAAAAAAGGAAGAAGCGAGAAAAAGCATGGCGCGTTGGTCAATATCCTGCGCACAAGATGCCTCCCCTAGCGCTCCTGCTGGTCTTCCCCTCATCCAGGGCGCGCATCGCTGAAACCCTCCCGCCCGAAACGGCGTTCCTTCCAAGACTAAAAGTTTGCCCTGGATCCCGATCCCGAGAAATGAGTCTCTCGAGAGATTGAGATGATCCATAGTCTCGAGACCTACATTAGCAAGGTCGTGCTCAGGGCCCGCCGACCATGCACGATGACAGAGACGTTCCCAGTCCCCCCTGTCAAGCGATCAATTCCTCGCTCGGGAGCGGAGGATCTGCCGAGGGTACACGGATCTGTGCTGGTAGGGCAAGATATCTTGATGCTCTTATCATCTCGCTCCTCGAGTGAAAACCCGCATTCTTCTCCCGGAGAATTACGATCAGCATGTTGCTGACGACATGATAGGCACGCCGGTAGAAACCCATTCATGGTCTGCCTTTTGCTTCTCGCCATACCAGCGGGTCCCGCCAGGCCCATCACTTGCTGCCCGCCTGCATTGAAAAACCGAGACCTGCCGTGGCCTCCGACACCCGGCCCCGACATCCAACGCGTGTCAAAGGTATCACTAGTTCTCTCTCTGGTTTCCCTCCTTGGGACACTAGGAGGGTGCATTCGATGGACCCGCTGAAGTGGAGAGAAAGGCTCTACCCCGGCTTGAACCACCTCGCTACACTCCCTGCCCCGAGCTCTCCTTCCTTTTTCTTTCCTTCAATCCTCATAAGGTCCTGCGAGACCCGGCAAGAATGGGGACCACCAGCGTGGAGGGCTCCTACGCCGGGCCTTTCCACCTTGGGACGAGACACCAGCCTTGGAGCTTTGAGGTCTATGTCTCTACCAGACAGGATCCGCTGTCTCGTCTCCCACAGCCCTGGCGGCGCTAGGGGATAGAACCTATTATTGTTTGGCTTTGGTTGAGACCTACGTACATGCCAGGGGCGTCAAAGCCACTCGAACACTCGCAGATTTCTTACTGCCTCATCCTAAAGAGGAAGGGAGAAGGAGGGCTATTGACAGGAAGAAACAAAAGTGAACACGTGAAGGAAAACAGACGCTGTGTCGACATGTTCGTATCGCTGTTTGGGTGGTGTTCATTATTTGCTGAGGAACTACCTATTACTGCCTGAATTACTGCGTCTGCAAAACGAGACGAGGCTACAACATTTTTGGAAATCTTTTAGAGCCCAAGGGGAGAGACGAAGAAGCTACTGCGGTAGCACGTTTTGGCGAACCTAAGGTGCCATCTCTGAGAAGGGAGGTTGCTCTGCTCCTTGATCTTTTACTACTTGAGAGGCGCCGGGTTTTGATGCGCGCGAGGAAGCGACGCGCCTTGACGGCTGTCTTGTTGGGCAACAGTAGTTGGAGATAACAAATTTGGTCTTAGATAGTGTTTGCCACCGACTTGTCATTGCGAGCTGAAGTCTCTTTTCGCTGACGCACAATTATCTCCACCGGTGAAGCTTGTCTAACCTGACACTTTGTGGACCCAAGGATGTAGGCCCTTGGTGCCGTCTTCTCCCCCAATTTTGTCACGCCGTAGCGGCATGACCCGGGAACCGCCGTCCTTGGTGTTTCTCGCCTCTCCGTTTTGAGTTCGACGGGAGATGCGGGGGAAGGGGGAGCCTTTCTTTACCGAGAGCCGTCCCGGCCTGGTGACCATTGGGTGTGGAGGTGGGGGTGGATAAGTGGGTGTATGTGATGGACGGCGATACTGAGATCCATGGATGAGCCTGTAGGGTTGACCTTTGTGCGTATGTAGTGTCCCCGGAGATTTCTTTTGCTGTTAATCGGTTGCGTGACGTGACATCTCGGCCGGTCTGTTTTGGAAAACGGTGCCCGACTCTAGTTGCGAAGGGGAAGGCTAGCGACTGTATGAACCATGTCCCCCCCAGCGTCACATCCATTCGACGATAATCTCCCTTTGCACCCCAATACAACCTGTTCCGAGCCCCGTGCTCCGGGGCTCCGCCGGGGGACAAGAAAAATAGGAGTGATGCACCAGCAAACCTGATGCCCGATGAGCGACTCTGAGATCTATCCTGGCCCTATCATCCTAGCCACGCCTTGCGAGGCCGGGAGAGGCGTGCATGTGTGTTGCGACGTCCGTTGGATCATGGCCTCCCGGAATCTCACGTGTCGTCGCACTGAAAATCGGAGTCGCGTGGCGGCTTCCCTACGAACCCTCGGCCAAGAGATGCTAGCTCTGCTGCGCCTCTCCGGAGCAGACTGGGTTTAACTCGGGTGTCACTTTCGGTGGGCGAGGAGGAGACATTTTCAACGGATAGATGATGTGGATCGATTATGCTCCGAAGAACATAGATAACCAACCGTCGATAGCCGACGCAACACGATTGTACAAGATGGAAAGCGCCCCCATTCTACGTATCTGGGGGTTTTCTGCCTAAAAATAAACGCCAAAAACACCACATGAATATATAGGATATTGGGGGTTGAAGGGTCCGGAGGGCCTTGCCGACTGGCAGGCATTACCACGGTGGGTAGGGGATTAATGGGTGTGGAATTTTGGCTTTGCCGGCCTTTAGTTGAGGACCATGGAGACCTAAATTCGATCGTTAGCCGACGTCGCGGGCGACCGAGGTCGGAAGAAGTGAAGGAGCTTTATCTTACGGCCATGATGACGCAGCATATACTTATGTATGGACTTAGCCGCTCTCCTACCCGCGCGCACTTCCAAAAGATGCCGGCGAACCTATTCAACCACGCGAAGTTAGCCCACTGCAGCTGCAATACCACTACGAGATAGCGGTTGCCGAGATGTTCGTTGCTCGAGGATGGTCGTGGGGTCGCCAAACATACCCGTCCTTGTTACGGTCCATGATGGCTGGAAACATCGCATGCGCATAGGAGCTCGTGCAGATGAGGAGGAGGATGACGAGGAGGAGAGACTGGAAGTTGAAGAGGGCAGTCTATCGGCAATGAATATTAGTGAAAACTGCGCGAAGCTGGAGAAAAAAGGGGCCTTATGTTTGCTGCGTACCATGATGACTGCTGGCTAATGTTGAGCTTGACTGAATTTTTGTTCTCAGGGAAGAAGAATTTGAAAGGGCCCTGGGGGCGGCTGTTCCTGGACGCCGAGTGTATTCAAAAATTTGGTGATAGGATGGTTGCTCGTGATCTGCCCAAGGCTGCCGTGAATGCGATCTTGTTCTTCGAGGGAAACAGGGACGTTGATTGCTGATGCGTGGTCGAAATTGGGAGCTACGTTGCCGGAGCTATTGTGCCGAGGTTTAGGCGAAAGACGTCTTGAAGGTGGTGGCATATCAAGTATGCCTTCACATGCAATTCGAGTCGTGTGCTGATGATTTTTCTATTAACTACAGTATTTTCTGTCGATGACGAGGTTAAAAATATACGAGTGGGAGGCGTTTAAAATAAGACACCTTCCGTTACTGATCGGTGCCTCTTCTCTCTCAGGACCTTATTCCTATTAGATACATCATACCTGGCGATCTCTCGAGCTCCTTTTCAACTCCAAAGTCTTCACCAACTCACTTGATCAAGTAGCGCCAGGGCAGTTGCAAGAGAATTGTAAACCAACCGCCCATCTCTTTAATGGTATAGTCTTGGTTTGCGATAAAAAAAAAGGTCTGAGTAGAATCGAGGATAACAAATGGGTCCTGATCTGTCTCGGGAATCATGTGCAGGTAGAGTCTCCTACAGAGTTTGCACCCGGGCGCAGGGGCGGCTTGTCTACGGCTTTCAATATTTTAGAGAGCAGGGTAGCCGTGGAGGCTTTGAGTGAGGAAGACAGTTTGATATACTGCACGTTCTTGTCTCGTGAGTCGCGGAGCTTCATTCGGAGCAGGGCCGGCAGGCCTCTGGCTTGGGTGGATATTCACATGCTGGATGTCCCGGACAGTGGTTCCTTGGGTTCCATCCAGCGGCCTGTGATTTTAATTGCAGCGCTGGATCTGGACGTTTGCAGGCGGTCCGGCTGTCACGTCCGCTAGTGTCTTCTGAAACAGTGCGGAAATACAGTGTATCGACCGGCTTTTACTGGAGGTGGGAACCTGATTTCGCAATCACCTTGCAATTCACACTCAACCTCACTCAGCCTTGTTCTCGCAGCATCAAACCTACCTCCACCGCGAAGTCCTCCCTTGGCACTCCATCGCGAAGCTCTTCTTCCACCCCTTGCATGTAACTTTCAATTAATAGTTGTTGTCTTTTCCTTTGACGAAGTCGTTCCATCCTCTCTACTGTCGAGTGCTGGACACTTTCGTTTCTCACCTCTTCACCCACCACCACGCGACTAGACCTACGAGCCACCTGCCTCGCTTTCACGCCCGCTTGACCATCGACAAAAGCAGTCACAGATCTCACGTTCCCCGTGATTACCCCTCGATCACCACCCGTCATGGAGCCTCGAGCGCGCGCCGGCAAAAATGTCGGTAAGATGAATTTTACGGCCAACGACTGTACGTATCTCGCCCGCGCTGACCCCTCCGCCCCCAACCACACACGCGCGCAAACTCTTTGCCTCTACTTCTCTAGCCTTGCCCTTTCTTCTTGCCGCCTCCCCGCCCCCTTCATCCTTGCCCCCATCCCTGGTGGGCTTACAGCTAACCCCCGGTCTACTAGTAAGCCTGATCCTCTACGGCTTTGGCGACGTCCGAAACCCCTCCCAGAAACCATTCGCGTGTGCGACGAAATCCTCACCGACTTCATCCAAGGCGTCGCCTTCGAGGCCAACCGCGCCGCCCACCACGCCGGCCGCCAAAAATCAAGGCCGAAGACTTCTCCTTTGCCTTTCGCCGCAACCCTTCCTTCCTTGGCAAGATCCAAGAGGTGTTTGAGAAGAAGAACGAGATTGAGAGCGCGCGCAAGATTTTCAAAGAGACCGAGGACGACATCGTCAAGGAAGCCGCCGCTACCGAGGCCAAGGGCGGCAAGGCGGGTGGCGCAGGTGGCGGCGCGGCAGGCGACGCTGCCGCGGACGGAGAGGGTGGCGCGACAGCAGGCAGCGTGGCGGGTGGCACCACCGCCGAGACGGGAAGAGCGGCACCGGCGGAAGAGGAGGCGCTAGGGGAACAGGATGATGATGCGGAGGCGGAGGCGGATGTTTTGCGTAAAAGGTGATGGCAGAGAGGGGCAAGAGGGGCAAGGAGGCGGCGGGGGAGGGCATGATACGAGGGACTACGGCGGGCGGCGCACCTCGAGAGTCGAGATGGTGGCGGGCGGGGAACGGGTATTGGGGCGATGGGTAGCATTTGAAGTGAGGGGTGATGACTCTTGCCGCCTTCGTTGGGAATGTCGATCGCCTCGGTGAGAGGGGATCCTTTCCCTTCACTTTTCGCCACCTCTATTCCGGCCTCGCACTCGACCCCATCCTTTCTCACACGGGCCCCCTCCCGGTGTTGAGAATCTTTCTGATCCCTCAACGCGGGGAAAAAGAATGGCTCGCAGGACTATCGGGATGAACGGTGACCGAAACGGCACGGTTCACCGAACGCGTTGATCAGGCCAGGATGGGGCTCAGGAACTGATGTCGTCTTGTTTGACATTCCACCTTTCCTGATTCCTTCTTATCCCATTGACCTCTCTATAACGAGACAAACGTTCAAAAGGAAAACAATCACAGAGAATACATGTACAATGATACCCAATTAGAAAACGAAAAACAAAGCAGAAACAAAACGTCTGAACTTTGCACACATCGAATAGCTTGTTAAAGGCTCCACGAGTCGGAAATTCTTTTTGCTCTACATGTGATTTTAACAGCACCCGGCTTGGGATTTCTAAAAACCTTCTTGTAGGTTCTCAATATAAGGATCGGGGGCATAGTGAAGAGTAAGCTTGCCCCGACTGACATCAATCCATGGATGTTTTAGTCACAAGACATCAAGTCATTAGTACCTCACCGGAACAGAATAAAGTGATTAAAAATGCGTCGTTCATTGACTTTGATTTTTGATATTCACGGCACTTTCCCCCTTTTGACGCCCATCTCGCCTGACCACAAGTCAGGGTCCAAGTCGGGGAGAAGGAACATGAGGAGCAAGAGAGGACACCATTAGCCCTTCTTTCCTCAAGCCCTCCTCAGCCCTCCCAGCCAAAAAGATGCCCTTCATAATATACACGTGCATGATCCTCATCTCAACTCTACTTCTCCAGCTCCTCCCTGAGCACGCACAGGCGTGACGTGACGTAAACGGCGCGCGTTGGGCAAAAAAGAAAAACTATAGAAATAACTCGTGCGAGCGAAAAGCAATGCGTGGCCCTTTCTATATATGAACAGGTGATAAGGAAAAAATAAAGATCAGATCCCTAGGCAAGGAACAAGAAGAACAAGATGGGACGAAACAAGAAAACTGTCAGGGGCCCGGGGAAGGAGGGAAGGCCCTGATGTTTGGGGAGGAGGTGCGCAAAAGAAAAAAGGGGAGGGCTGGTTTGGTGCATTTTGCGCGCGGAAATGGGGAAAGAAAAGTAAAAAGCGCCATGCTGGAATGCCGATAGAATCGAATAGATGCAGTCCCAAAGGAGGAAGGAAAAAAAGAAGAATAAAGCTCAATCCAAAGGGGAAAGAAAGAGGGTTCAAGAATGCACAAAATGGCTGGCACCGATGGTAGAGGTGTCGAACGGAGACGGGATATCGCGCCATGACGGTGAGGGTGTTTAGGGTGTCTGGCTGTTCGTTTCCATTCGTCGCTGTAGCGTCAAATTCATAAGGTGAGGGGGAAAGGAGAGGCAAGTCTCGGTCACCAAGTTGACCCGGTCTTCTATTTCGGGCTGAGGGGCTCTTGCCGGGTCCCGCTGCCTTTCGAAGCCGAGTGAGCTCTTCCTCGAGCTTCCTCCTCCGAGATTGCTCTTCCTATAATCACGAGTTATGTTAGTCGTCAAGTCCCCTCGTCAGTTGTAAGGGAGGAATGGGCAGCAGTAGCTGCACGATTCGACTTACCCTCAGGTCTTCTTGGAACTTCTTCCTCTCTTCCCTCATAGTGGCCCTAAACTGTTCGCTGAGCATCGACGCGCCCGCACCGGGCCGCGAGGCACCGCCCTCGCCCGTGGGCACGGCCTTGAGCCTCTGAGTGTCGAGCTCCTCCTGGAGCTTGTTGATCTTCTCGCGCGAGCCGAGCACCTCGGCGTCCAACCGCTGGCGGAGCTCCTCGATCTCGGCCTCGAGCGTGGCGCGCGCGGCAATCGTGTCGTCCAGCCTGCCCTCGATCTCGAGCTTCTCGCGCTCGGCTGTAATGGTCTCGCGCGTGATATCCTCGAGCTGCTTGAGCGTTTGGTCGAGCTCCGTCTTGAGAGTGTCGATCTGCGTGTGGAGCTCGTTCACCTGGTCATTGCTCTTGATCGCGGCGACGTCGGCCGCCCTCTCGGCGCGGGAGCCGTACGCGCCGTCCAGCTCGGCTTGGGCAATGGTGAGCTCCGTCTTGAGCTCAACGACCATCATGTTGAGGCTGTCGAGCACGTCGTTCTTCTCCTTGATCTCGCGCTGCTTGCCGTCGAGCTCCTTTTGCTTGAACTCGGCCGCCATCTCGGCCGCCTTTGCGCCGCCCGCGTTTCGGCAAGTTCAACCTCAAGCGTCTCAATCTTGCCATCGATCTCGTCCATGCGCGTCTGGAGCTCGCTGCGGCTCGCCTCCGTCATGTTGAGACGGCTCTCGAGATCCTTGCTGCTCGTCTCCAGCGCTGCTAGCTTCGTCGTCTTCTCTTCAAGCTCGGCGCGCGCCGCCTGAGATTCTCCGACTCGAGGGCTTGCGCGTTGCGGTTCACCGTATCTAGGTCGCGCAGGGCCGAAACGAGCATGCCTTGCGTCTGGGAAGCGTCCCCGCGGGACTTTTCGAGAATCTGCTGCATCTCAACTAGCTCGGCCTCGAGTTCTCGGACGCGACGATCCTTGGCTTCGAGCTCTTCAGGGTTGGCGGCCTGAGTACCGCTGCTCGTGCTACGGGCTTCGCTTAGTTCCATGTTGAGGTCGCTGAGCTTCTCTTCCAAGTCAAAGACCTTCTTGTCGAGATCGAGGAGTTCTGCATCCTTTGAGGCTAGAACGGCTTCAGTAGCAGACAGCTCAACCAGCTTGGATTGGAGCTCGTCCTCTTTATTTCTGGCCTCGAGAATCCTCCTTTCGATCTCGGCATCCTTGTTCTGGAGCTCTATGTCCTTTTCACCGCTCGACTTGTTATTGAGCTCACGCTGCTGCTTGATCTGCCTCTTGAGCACGGCCTTGTGCTCTGTCAGTTTGGAGATCTGGGAAGCCAGTGACCGGATGCGTATAGACAGGCCGGTGGGGAGAACTTTTCGGTTGGATCAAAGGTCTCGTCAACGGCCATCTCGTCCTCGTCGTCCTCGAGGCCCTTTTCTTGGCGTATCTTGTTGCGATCCTCTCGCTGCCGTCGGAGCTCGGAGAATCCATCCTGAACCATGTCCCAGAGCTCCCTTAGCACACGCTGATCATCGCCGCCGCTAGGGGCCGACCGAGCACTATTGTTGGCACGATCGACGGCCTGCATCAATTCCGCCTCTACGACACGGAGAGAATATTGAAGGTAGCTGATGCGATCATCGAGCTCAAGCTCTCCTCCTCCCTGGAGCTGGGAGGGTTCGGGCGAGGTGGGGGTTGAGCACCAACGCCGAGCAGGAGATCGGTGATTTGGTTGTTGAGCGCATCGAGGCGACCCTCGGCCTGGGCCATGGCGATCGCTGTAGACGCTTCTTCATCAACGGAGCGTGAACGGGACTGGCCCTGTTCCTGCTCCTGCCTGACTGCGGAGATTGTATCGGCTAGGAAGTCGAGCTGACCATTGATGGCCGCCGTGGGACGTGCGCCTCTCATCGACCCGCCGCTCGGCGGGGCGCACGGAAATTAGAGTTCTTGGACGGGTTGAACTTGACGATGACATCGCGAAGAGACGAGTTTAGGGTTTCTAGCTTCCGCTCCAGGTCGCTAATCTCACGTTCGTTATCCGAGGTTTCCCTCCGCAGGGCGTCGACCTCGAGCCCAAATGCGTCGGACTGGGCCTTAAGTTGGTCGTTTTCCTGCTTTAAGCGGTCGGCTTCTTCGCGCAGCTTATTGGTCTGCTCTCGGATAGGAGATTTGAGGGGAATCTCTATAGGGGTTTGGAAATCGATGTCCATGCTCGACCGGCCGTTGGAGTACGTGTAAAGGCTTTCGGGGCTCCCCGGCATTCCGTTTAAGACGGGCACACTAGACTGCTGCTGTTTCTTGCTCGATCCCTTGTGGGTAAGCTGTAATATGGCGGCCGTGTGCTCCAGCAAGCGTCGCTGGGGCTCCATTATGCGGCGCTCAAGATTCCACAGTTCAGTCGCCAACTCGTCACAGCGCCTCTCCGTGGCCTGGCGTTCTAGATCCGCCTGCTCCGCACTATCGCGGTTGCTCGCCTGGCTCCCGATAGGCGTCCGCCTGCCGACGGAGGAAGTGATGGGGAATACAGTTTTGCCATGGATATCGCAGCATCCCGGTACTTGATCTGGACGGCGAGGTTGGCGCGGGTCTTCTCGATACGCTGGGCCATGGACTGGCACTGTTTCTTGAGGTCGTCAACTTCCTCCTCGGATAGGATTTCGTATCGGCGGCTGTCGAAAAGTGCTGTTTCGGTGAGTAGGTGGACTTGGATGGGGTCGTCGAGATCGACCATGGTGGAGGCCCGCGGCCGGTCAGTCTCCTTCTACGATAGCATGTGAGTCTTAGTATTCACCCTAGGTTCCGGGGGAATGGGGCAGCAGCGGCACGATAAGTAAAGCGGAGACGAACAGGATTAGCTCGCAGGGCGTCCCTGCCTACGTCATTACTCAGATCCTTCTTGTAGCCCTCGACTATCAGTCGCGCACTCGGGCCCGGAGGAGGTTGCGCGCGTCTTGGGGGAGGATCCCTTCATATCGCCCCGACCGTAGGGGTTTCTGGGAGGTGAAAAGCCATTCATGGCTGCGGAGGCAGGCGCTGCCTGCGTTCAAGGGGAAGACCGGAGGGTCTCGCTATAATAGTTTCGCTCGTCGTTCGATTCGGCTCGGAGGTCAAGACATGATGGGGAACAATAATAGCAAGGACGGATCGAAGATAGAGGAGGGAATTCGGCTCGGTGTCTAGGTCGTAGGAGGCGTGCGGGCTTTTGGAAAAGAGGGTCGCGACCGTGAAATGGGGGCTGGTGAATGGAATGGACAGTCGTCAAGACTAGAGTCGAGTGGGCTCAGCTCGCGCGAAAGCCCCCGATTCCTCTCAGTCCAATTATTTCCTGCCTATGTTTTTATTTTTTAAAGAAGCAAATCGATGTTTTATTTTTCACCAAGTTCTCTCTGGCAAACATACGGCAGTTGAACGGAATTTGGTTCAATTCGAATGAGGTGAGACACGATGGGGGCTGGGGGAGGGAGACGAAGAGAAAAAAGGAGCCGCTGATCATCGACAGGGGTTGACGGAAAGGGAAGTGCGACGAAGTTGAGGAATTTTGGTGGGGGATACTGCACCAAACTGGATTAGTGGCATCAATGATCAATTCTGGCGCCCTTCAGCGCTTGCACCAATTGATGGAGAGTGCCTTGAGTGCCTGACGCAGTGCTCAATGGTACCTGAAAGCCGACCGAAATGGACCAATAGGATTCATCATCGGCCAATCTTGACAGCGCTACAGATCAAGCAACCCTTGCACCCGCGCGCGAGACAAGGAATGCACCGGAATCAATCAAATGGATCACTTCCACATTCCATGGTCAATTGTCAACGGCACTTGATCAGTTGGTTGCTACCGCTTGAGACTGGCTCGTTGACAGCAATACTGCCCAGACTGAAAAAGGGCAAGTCTGCAGGGGCAGTTGATCCATTTCAAGGAGAGTTCGGCGACTTTGGAATATCAGTGATACCGTGTACTCTTTCTTTACAGCGGCCTTCGAATAAGACAAACACCCCTGACCCAAAGACAAGACATGGCCTGGCCAGGCATAGACAAGACTGGAGCGACGAGAGTATATAATGGATATAATGCAATAGATCTATCACAGCTGTGGATCAAAATGCACTCTTGCGGTATTGACTATCGAATATTATACGGGCTCAACAAGTCAGTACAGTACCGACGCAGAATGGGCATGAGATGAATGATTTCAGAACCAGTGCTGGTGGGGGTCGTGGCTGGTTTCGGTTTGCCGGCCCTCAAGTGCTATCTTGCCAAACCACTCTTTTAGGAAGACGCGTGATACACGTCTTGAAGGACACGGCCTCCGGCTAAGGAGGGAAACAAGGCCTCTTCTTTCCTTTATTTTTTCTCTCGAAAAGGGAAAGCGAGATCCCTCCTTCGAGAGTCGTTCTCAAAACCAGGTGGTATGGGGAATAGATCCAGTACATTTATCTGGGCTCGCGCTGAAAGCAATGCGGCATTCCGCATGCATCGGCTTGGCAAGGGCCAGCGCGGAGGCGAGGTTTCATTGATGGTACCACTGTACTCCAGACGCAAGTGATGGATCTCTCCATACCATGTCGCGATGGGACGGCAGGACGAGTGCCGCAAGAAGAAGGGCGGGTTCTCGGATCGTCAATCTCTCAAATCGCTTCCCTTACTCTCCATTCTGCCTACAAAGTTTAAATAGGGTTCACGAGGGTCATTCGGTCGATCCCGAGACCCGAGAGGGGCAGGCCGCTGGTGTTGCCGAAACTGGGTATTTTCAAATTCACCCGATGGGATGGGGGTCCTGAAGCTGGGCCTCGCCCATCTTCGTTGGAATGACGAAGGATCTCTCAGCTGGATGACAGATTGTGTGCCTCCAAAAAAGGGGTCCAAGGGTAGAACACACACTCAGCCATCGCCTTAGCTTGGCTTGGCCCCGCGCTGCGCTGATGCTGTCGTCACCGAAAGCGGACCATCCCCATCTTTCATCTTTGGTGTTACTCATGCTTGATCCCGTTTTTAAGACGCCTCGGCATCTTCAACGTTTGCATCAATGTATCAACAGATGCCTCTATAGGCTTGTTAATTATTGAAGATTGGAACACGGTTCAATGTCGCCCATGCAGCCCCATAGCACAAAGGTGCGCGCCATAGTGAAGGTCGTGGGTGCGAGAGCCAGCCCTTGGTGCAGACCATCTCCATCCATCTGCATGACATGACAGCATCCCGTTCCAGCGCAATTTCTGGGTTCCGCCCTCCTATCTGCAGCCCCTTTTTTGCTTATTTCTGGGGTATTCATCTCCTTTTCCGCTCCGCTTCGTCGGTTGGGTGGGGTTACTTGTAGTTCCCTTGTTGTATTTGTTGCATTGTCAGAGAAGTGACGACGCCTACATGTAGACACAGAGTTGAAAGCGACGACGTCGTGGAAATCTCATCTTATCTATCACGCTCGTGTCCAAAACCCCAGAGCCTAGGAAACATTTGTCAAGGCGGGGCTAAAGGTTCGGTGGCTTTGCGGATTCCCTTCACCGCTAGCCAGTAATCTCCGGGGACATACACTATGATTAAGGTGGGTGGGTTCTTTGTCCGACTTATTCCTCCGCTGATGTACCCAACGAGCTGGTGCTGGCTCGGCGAGGTTAGGGGTGCAGGCGAGGAGTCCACGTGGCCGGCGTTGCCGCCGCATCGTCGGCATTGTGGAGGTGTTACCAAATGGGCCTCGAGGGCGTAATTGGTGAAAGAAGGGGGATGCCGAATGCAGCAAGCCCCTCCTTCCTTTCGTCTCTTTGACAGCTTAGCGTTATACGACGAGCGACCTGAAATTGGAAGAAACGGGGATGCCGTGGCCTCCGTGGCTGGCTAGTGGGTGCATGATGCCGCCGACGTGGTGTAGCGCAGCGTCGCTGGCCGGTATCCCGGTATCCCGAGGGAGCGTTCTTGCGCAGGATAGCGCACGGGGAAATTGGTTAAAGTGCATGCGGGCCGGTGGGCGGCGCTTTTGGAAGGCTAGGAGATCCTCTAGAAGCTGGTCGTGCGGAGCGACAAAACGAAAAAAGGGTGATGAGGGTGTGATGGGTGGTGGGGGAGCTGGGTCTGCAATGTCGTACTTGGGACAAAGGAATGGATGCTGCAACATTTCAGGGCTGGAGATGTGGGTTTCGAGGAGGATTGCAGGGTCGACGCATCGTTAGATCACGCCTGTTCTGCGCACCCTATTGGGACGGTGAAGTCATCATTGATGGGAAGCACCATGCGCTCGTTTTATCTTTTGGGATTTGGAGCTATCGCAACCCCCTATCGTAAGAGAGAGGGGGAAAAAAACCTCGTGTGCGGGTAGGGTAGTGGCCGTGATCTAGTTGCGGTTGGGACTGGAAACACTTGAAGAAGCACGAACATCCATGGCGGGAAAAAACAAGGCCAGTAGCGTTGAACAGGACTTGCGCATGTGCCAGAAAGCGAGCAAGGTACCCCGCCGTTCCCATTGAATGCCGTGTGGAAGGTGCAAGGTGCACCGCACGTACGAAGTCTCAATTGAGAGCCCCATCGCGAAATTGCCCCTCCATTACATCCAGATAGTCCAGTCCAAGTCCTCCAAGTTCTGGTCCACCCCCTTCCTCAAAAGCGGTGCTATTCCTGTCACCGACTCCGTAGTCTGCTTATCTTTATTTATTTCTTCCTTTGTTCTTCTTTTCTTCTTCTCCCGCTTTCTCGTCCCCGTCTCTGTCTCCTCGGTCCTTGGCCTCTCCCGATTCGAGTCTTTCGTTCAACAGGTCACTAGCCGGCCAAACAGTTACACCCCGCCCCCGCCAAACTTCCCTTCTCCCATCAACCCCGTCCTAGCATTGACGACCTCTAAGTGACGATGAATAGTGAGGCCCACCCGCTTATAATTCCTCGTCACCTCGAACCGAGCGCGAATCCAACCTCTTGCGAAGGGCACTCTGCTTACCTTCTCGCTCGTTTATTCTAGAAACACCCGACCAAGTGCGGGAATCCTTGGACCGTCTCGAGGCCGGCCTCGACAAAGGTCCTGCCGTGCCTATCCCTGGTATGTCTCCGTCTGCTCGAGGATAAGACATCTTTGGCTGCTGCTCCCCATCTCCTCAAGCCAAGCATCTTCTCCAAAACGAGAATGAGTGTCATTCCCGCAAGAGCCATTCCCCGCTAACTTGAGGGTTGGCCATGTGCTCTGGACAGAGTGCGACGAGATTCTCACCTCCCTCCACATCTACACCCGCACTATTCGAAACCCCTTTTCGGACCCGCTCACCACAAAGCGCGGGCTGTCTATCGTCGGCCGCTATGCCTTTGCTAATGATAGTGACGCTATCCCCATCAACACGCAGCGTATCGCTTCGCGGTGTCTAAACAACATCGTGGTGCTCGCGCAACCCATGCGCCAAGTCTTTGTGGATGAAGGGTATCCTCAAAAGGTGGTCGCGCGCTTGAAGGTGAGTGTCAAAACTTCCTAGGTTTTGAAAAAGGCATTACACAACCTTTAATGGGAGCTAACGAAACACCTGTGTGTCCCATTAGAACGGCGACCCCGAGGACGAACTTGCCTGTGGAAACCTTCTCCTCTTTTCCTCAGTACAAACAACCTTAGATCTAAACTCTTGCTTTGACAATGAAGACCTCGCAGATCCGATCAACGCCGTACGTACATATCCACCATCTCGCGCACGGGGCGGTCGAGGAAGATGCCTTCGAGGTGAAAATGCTAATGGGCTGTGATCGGCAGAACTTGTCCCGCCATGCGAAATCAGACGCCCCTTTATCGACAGATCCCGCTCAGCCCGCAGTAGCGAGCTTGAAGCTCATGTCCACCCTAGCCGTAAGCTACGAGGCGCAAGCGCATAGGTTCATACCATCAGTCCAGCCCGTCTTCGATCTTCTCGACAAGGTCAAGATTCCCTCTCCCCCGATGCAGCTGCCCGTGTCCCTTCTTGTAGGGTGCTTAGCCTCCGTGCCATTCCACGATAAGTCCCGTAAGGGCGTCACGTTCCCTAAAGCCCACATTGATAAGCTGGTAGATGTGGTGGACGCCTCCTCAAAACATATGCCGGCAAGGCGGGCGAGATGAATCTCTTAACCCCCATGGTGGCGCTTCAACGAGTCTCGCAAGCTGTTGACCCCGAATCCGAGACGTTGAAGCAACTGAAAGAGCGCATGCTTCCTTCCGAAGAGGACCGCAAAGTAGTTCTCGGAAAGGGGACCACACTGCCCCATAGGATCCTCCACTTCGGCGTGAACTCCACGTCCCCGGAGCTCAGGGATCCCACCCTCACCTTGCTGTTTGAACTATCAAACAAGGACTCCCGCGAGTTTGTCCGCAATGTGGGCTTCGGAAACGCCGTGGGCTACCTCACATCAAAGGGTATCAACCTCTCTCAAGAAGACGTCGCCGCGAGCGGCATCGATCCTAATAACGCCGCTCCCATCAACCCCATCACCGGGCAAAGAATGGATATGGAGCCGGATGTTGACCTGCCGGAGATGACGGAAGAAGAGAAGGAGCGCGAGGCCGAGCGACTCTTTGTCCTGTTTGAAAGGTTTGTTTGCTCGTGATGGATCATAGAACCATGGCTCCACGCAACTCACTTTTATACGTGCTAACTCATCCGGTTTAGGTTGCGCGCGACCGGCGTCGTCAAAGTCGAGAACCCGGCCGCCCAGGCTGCGAGTATGGCCGCCGTGGAGGAAGTTGACTCCAGCGATGATGAGAAGAAGAAATAGACAGCCACCAACGAAAGCGTCGGAGGAAGACGGCGTTGTGACTTGACGGTCATCAGTCTAGATGATGGGTGAGGGGACATGAGGTATGATGCGCCCTGGTGCTTTAAAGATATATTTTAATACGATGGTGGCTACGGGCCTTCGTTCCCGGAGCCAGTTTGACCAGTCTCTTTATTTGGTGCGGTCATATTAGTTGTTATTCGGTGGAGAGTATAGGACTCTCTTGACGATACCCTATCTACGAATTAAGCACCTAGTAGAGAGGAAGGCGGAAAGAGGGGGTATATAGTAAGAAAGCTTTAATAATAAAGGGAGACGAAGTAGTATAAAGGGCTTTGGACTTTTGGTATCTATGCTCGTGCTTACGGACCCAATAACTCAGCACTAGCTGGCCACCAATTTTCCATCTTGATGCCTCCATATATGTGCATTTCAAAGGCGCAAAATAGGCCCATAACGGGCCCGTATCTTGACAATTTGACAACCTTTGAATTTGAGTCGAAGGCGCAAGAAAACGAGGAGGGTTCTTGGCGTTTCTTCAATTTCCGGAAACCGTTTTATAGTAGGGAGATATAAAGAATCTGTCAAGCCGCATCTGCTGGGAGAGCTTGCAGCTTCAGATAGGCGTGTGTTGTTGCACACCTAAAAGTGCATGTGATGACTAAGCAAGGACACGCCCGTCTCTGGTGCAACAGCACCAGCTCTCCGTCGCCTGCAGGGCTGTGAGGATTGGCATGAGAAGGCGCGCGGCCAAACTTTTTGGAGCTTCCCAGCAACCCGTTTTCTTTCCCTCCACCCCAGCCGCCTGTACGCAACACACATCCATTCTTCTCAATCACTCACCCGCATTTCATTTCCTGTTCGCTTGAGCAGCACCATACGTCCTTGCCTGGCCCGGTAGTCAACCCGATTTCTTCCCCGTTCCCTTGCAACGAAATTGAAGCCGCCTCAATCGAACAAAGTCTCCAGTCGCAATGGTCCAGATCAGCGAGGTCAAGGGCAATAAGCGGGATAACCGCACGGCGGCCCACACGCACATCAAGGGCCTCGGCTTGAGGTCAGATGGCCTCGCCGAGAAGCAGGCTTCCGGTTTTGTCGGCCAAACGTCAGCTCGAGAGGTGGGGATGCCACTCCTTTGTTCTTATTGCTTTCTTTTTACTCCTTCTCTAGTTTTGCTTCGCCCCCAGCATCCTCTCACATGTGGTGATGGTTCAATTGGGATGCTTTGCGATGTGGTGACTAACTAGATGTCGTTTTATAGGCCTGTGGCGTTGTAGTCGACCTCATCCGAGCACACAAGATGGCTGGCCGCGGGGTTCTCCTAGCCGGCGGACCCGGCACCGGCAAGACCGCCCTCGCCCTCGCCGTGAGCCAGGAGCTCGGAACGAAGATACCCTTTTGCCCCATTGTCGGCAGCGAGATCTACTCGAGCGAAGTGAAGAAGACGGAAGTTTTGATGGAGAACTTTAGGCGCGCCATCGGCCTCAAGGTCCGGGAGACGAAGGAAGTCTACGAGGGCGAGGTGACGGAACTTACCCCTGAAGAGGCCGAGAACCCCCTCGGCGGATACGGCAAGACTATCAGCACCCTTTTGATCGGGCTCAAGAGCGCCAAGGGACAGAAGAAGCTTAGGCTCGATCCTAGCATATACGAAGCCATCCAAAAGGAGAGGGTCACGGTCGGCGACGTCATCTACATTGAGGCAAACACAGGCGCGTGTAAGAGGGTCGGCCGGTCGGATGCTTACGCTACCGAGTTCGACATCGAGGCGGAGGAGTACGTCCCCATCCCCAAGGGTGAGGTGCATAAGAAGAAGGAGATTGTGCAGGACGTGACGCTCCACGACCTCGATGTCGCCAACGCGCGGCCCCAGGGCGGCCAGGACATCATGAGCATGATGGGCCAGCTGATGAGGCCAAAGATGACGGAGATCACGGACAAGCTCCGGACGGAGATCAACAAGGTCGTCAGCAAGTACATTGATCAGGGTGTAGCCGAGCTGGTGCCCGGTGTCCTGTTTATCGATGAGGCCCACATGCTCGACATGGAGTGCTTCACGTACCTCAACCGCGCCCTCGAGTCCCCCATCGCGCCCATCGTCATCCTCGCTTCCAACAGGGGCATGTGTACCGTGAGGGGGACGGACGACATCGTCGCTGCCCACGGCATCCCGCCCGACTTCCTTGCCCGACTCCTTGTCATCCCTACGACGCCCTACCAGCCCGAAGAGATTAAGCGCATCATCAAGATTCGTGCCACGACCGAGGGCACGTCTGTTACGGATGGTGCGGTGGAGAAGATTGCCGAGCATGGTGAGCGCGTTAGCTTGAGGTACTGCCTGCAGCTATTGACACCCTCTGGGTAAGTTTTGACTTTTGTTGGTTCTTTTCTTCTCTTCCTTTTGGCCGATTCATCATTTTTTTCTCTCTCTACATTTTCCCTTGCTACCCGCTTTATCTCTGAAAATCCTAAATGGGGGATACCATTGTCTCATTTCCGGAGACAATTATACGATCTGGTGGAGGATTTGATCTGAATGGGGAAGCAATTTTATGATCCGAGACAAGGGCCAAGGCTGACACCACCTGCAAACAGAATCCTCGCCAAGGCCAACGGTCGTTCCCAAGTCGACGTTCAGGACATTGCCGAGTGCGCGGACATGTTCCTCGACGCTCGGCGAAGTGCGTCGCTCTTGAACAGTGAGGCGGGCAAGGGTTATCTTTCGTGAAACCCGAAGCGGGAGGAGAAGAGCCGCAAAATGCGCACTGTCCATGACGACGGACATGGAACGACGACTGACTGAACTACACTTGTTCTATCTATAGATGACATCGGTCCTGCGAGCAAAAGAGCTAATGAACAAGAACGCCCTGATTATGGGAGAATCAAGACGCTCAAGCCCCTGCACTGGAAGCTGAAGAGATCAAAATTTTACATGGAGACGAGAGTTCTCTTTTTCCTTTTCTATTTTTGAACCAAAATCCTATTTCCTCCCCAAACCCCACTTCTACCTCCCGCTTCGGCTCGCTTCACGAGGAAAGCAAACGAAAGATGCGGGAACAGCCCTGGTTCAATCTCATGTTCTTCCCGTCACATCTTCCATCCGAAGAGGGGCGTGATTCATCTCGAAAGCTCCGACTGGCTAATGTCTAGCTATGGACTTGGTGTCGTTGCATTTTTGTTTCTATTTTGTCTTTGCAACCGCGGTGTTTTTTATTTTTGTTATTGGCGAAGGGGTTATATCACAGTGAGCAAATGGTGGAAAATGGATGGTTTGGGTGGTTTAAATAAAATGCTACTACATTTCCCTCGATCCCTTGTGGTTTTCCTGTTCTGCTGTTGGTGTTTCGGCATCTTCCTTGCAGATGTAAGTGAGGTGCTCTGGATGCAAGGGAGAGGAGCAACCGATGGCGGGCTGGCGCTCGTTTCAACCACCCCTGCAGGCCCGGGGAGCCAAAGAAAACGCGCGGAAGGGAGATGCAGGGTAGGTTTGATGGAGTGGGATGGCAGACGAGAATAGTCTTGTGGCTTCCCAGACCGATCCTGGGTATCTTTTGCTAGTCCCCGGTTTCTCAGGTTCTGGTTGGTTCCCGCGCCGTATAAGCACCAAGGTCTGGTGCTGCGTCGCCCGGAGGAGGGGAGAGGGGGAGGGGTGTAGATTAAGGTATGTTTCATTCCAGAGGTGGCGCGAGTTGCGCCTTCAACCCTCTCACCCCTACACGGGCATCTCTTTGTCTTGCTCTTCCTGCGCTTTCGCCCAACGAAAGTTGTCCAAGTTTGCGGGGAGGACCCAGGGAAGGCGAACGGGATGGCAGCCACGCAGTGTGGTATCTCATTCCTCGTGACCCTGCGACTTAAGATCTGCCCCGGCTCGATATCGCAAGGGGTGCCCACCCTTCTCGAGGATCTTGGGGGAGGGGAAGTGATGGATGTTACTGGGAGCCCCGAACAGCATCCTGCCAGCATGTCTGGCACATGGGCGTCCTTTTTCATGGGGAGACAGATCAAAAGAAACAGAAAGGGTCAGTATGCATACATGCTTCTCGCCTTCATGGGACATGCAACGTGGAATATGGATACTACTTTGCCCCTCTTCTCTCTCTAGGAATGGGTTGCAAACGCCGCATGACAAAGAAAACCCCTAGGCCGATGGGATGTGTCTACACCAAGGCACAGCTCTCCGCACCCCTCATGCACAGTTAATCCTGAGCAGCTCATAGGTTCCCGTGTCATCGGGAAAATAAAAAAAAGGGAAGGCAAAGACGAGAGAGTGTTGGGGGGAACGGATGAGATGCAGTTATGCTCCGGCGCATTCCCGAGACATGGCAGACTCATGGCCGGTCATCGTACGTGCGCCGTGATGGGCAAGAGAGGAGCTTTGTCATGGACGTCAAACGCTCTTGTGACCGCTAGATGTACCTCTCTCTCTCTCTCTCTCTCTCTCTCGCCCTCTTGGAGACGGGCCGCATTCCCTCGCCCTTCTGCTCCGCAGCCACCGCTCTTTTTTCCTATCCCTTTAGATGGGAAATGCCGGAGGCGTTGGCTAGCAGTGAGCGGTGGGAGCCCACCCCTCTGGAAGCCCGAAGAGCTAAGCCCGTTTCCCCTCCTCCCCGGCCCCCCGGCCCTTGTTTCCGCCCTCTTTTTACGTCCGCTGAAGCTAGCCATGTCGGTGAGGGCCGTGGAAACACTACCCTAGCAAGCGAGATATGGGTGGCGGCATGGGTGCGAAGGAAGAGGGAAAGAAGAGAGAAGGAAGAAGAAAAAGAAGAAGAAGAAAAACTACACGACGAAGAAGGTGAAGAAGGTGAAGAAGAAGGCGGGGAGAGCAGGGAGGAGGCAAGGCACACGCGGCGAGGGTCGAACGGGCCAGTAAGCTAGCTTCGCTGCATGAAGAAAACTTGCACGCCCTATTCCCAAGGGTCTTTGCGAGCGAGCGGCAAGAAAGCGAATGCGCCTCTGGGGGAGGGGGCGTTGGATGGTCCACATCAAGGTGTAGATCCAATGTATGCCTCCCGGCGCAATCGCAAAAAGTGTCTCTCCTCGCCTCTTTTCGTCGCCCTCGTCAGAGACCTTCTTCCCATGTCCCCCATTCTCGCCCTCTTCCTTTCTGCGCCCCCGTTCGTTTTCCTCTCCCGGCCCAGCCTGTCTCGTTGTCTAGACTTGAGTCTAGTCCTTTTTTTTTTCTTGTTTCTTTTCTTCTTTTTCTAGCTGAATAGTGGGCGCTACCCGTCAATGAAGCAGAGATAAAGACGCGGACACGAGGAGAACAAGACGTTCGACAAAGACAACAATTCAACAAGAAATACGGGTTCCTCTTGTCGTCGTCGTCGCCGACCCCTCACTTTTCTATTACATGAATCACAAGGCCGGCCTTGGTCCAGTCGGTTCCGCCCTCTCCATAGTGACCCGAGCGCTTTCCCATTTTTTCTTTTCTCATCTGATTCACTTAAACTTGAGCTCGCGTCGAATCCTAGCTCCAGTACCTTGAATAAGGGTGGTGAACTAGACACCAACGCTCCTGCCCTAGCCAGATTCACATACATCCAGCCAATATCAAGGGAGGATTCCCATTTAATGAGATAATAAGGCGGTATATCCCATAGAGTTCACTTGAAATCACTCCTAGTAGAAAGACCTTTAAATAAGGGCTCGTCAGAAACTTCTCCTCGATCCACACCACACCTTTCCTCCCACCCTTTGTTCACATATAGGGCTGGATCACAATATCGAGCCAAACCCTTTTCCATTTATCGGTTTACACTCTCACAGACAAGGGTCATTATCGTTGTTTCTTACTTTATTGACCATTCAATAACTCAGTATCTGGTAAGGACCTGTTAGACTCACAAGCCCATCTTACAGCCAGACTGACGCCAACCTTGCTCACCTGTTATTCCTAGATTCTCACAGTCTCTCTTCACCTAGTAGTCAAACTGTGGTGCTTCAGGTTCGTCTAACAGTCTCCCCTTTGGGTTTACCAGTCCATGCTTTTCTAACCACAACGCAGATTGTAACTGCTGGATGGATAACCGTCTAAGTAGGGAGGTGGGTGGGGAAACTCCATGCCACCTCCTGATCGTCCTGGCTACCAGGGCCGAAAGCGAGCGGCCTCGATCAACGTCGAGAGGGCCAACAACGCGGGGTTTGAGGGCACGCCTTTCTCTGCCCCTGGCTCGACCAACACGACCACGGGAAACAACGGTGATGGTCGAGATTTCATGTGCCTCTGTGCACCACCACCCAAGGTCCCTCGACCTCGAAACGGTACGCTTCCTTGAGATTCCATCGCACCCATTTTTTCCTTATTTTTCTCTCCCTCTCTTTTTCACCCCCTCATCATTTTCTTCTCCTTTTCCCCTCACTCTCAATATTTTCCCGTCATCTTGACTTTTTGATCGCCCCTTTCACCATGTTCTTATATCCCGGTTACGGGACGCTGGATCGCGTTGATCACTCCAACCCGGGGTTTCACACGCTGACGCAGCCATTCGAACCAATTCTAACGCCCGATGACTCGTCTGAAGCTTTTATTCTTTACCGCCAGCATCACCAAGCTGCGGTCACGGCCCAGCATCCGCGACTCCCCAATCCCGATGTGTCCAAGATCATTGGGGAGCAGTGGCGTAACGAAAATGAAACCGTCAAAGAGTACTGGAAGAAGTTGGCCGAAGAGGAGAAGAGACGCCACCATGAGCTATACCCTGACTATCGATACACTCCTAGACGGGGTGCTAGATCGTCGGGGGCTAGGCCTTCTTCTGTCTCGTCGGACGAGGGGGCAGGTGTGGCAAGTGCGGCGGCCGACTCATCGCAACGCCCCGCACGCCCTCGGCCCAGCTTCCGCCTTTGAGAACCCCGCGCGTATCGTACGCCCAGATGCCCATTGCTGATGAGGGCCCAGGCTATCGCCACGGGCAAATGCCACAAGGTTCGAGCCATCCTAGCCAAGCGTACAATTTTCATGGAGGCACCGGCTTGAAGAGCATTCAAGAGGAAGACAGCCCAATGTTTGCAACACCAGAGCCCAAGCGTAGGCGTTTCGAAGATGCTCGTAGCCGTCTGTCAGACACACCCGTCCCTAGCGGGGTGAGCCCCGGTCCCATGGGCATGGGTGGTGGTACGGCGGATCAGAGCCTCTCCGGGAAAAGCCCCCTCAAGATTACGCAGCCCGAGGAGTTGGCCAGCCATTGATGACAGGTAATCGTTCGGATGGGGTGGCTCTACCCCTCTCCGCAAGGACTCGCAGTTTGATCAGTCATTGCGCCTGCCCCTCTCCACACGCAGTTTGCACCCTTCCACGATGCTTACGAGACGCCTATTCTCACGGGAGACAAGAGCTACGACTCGCAGGAAGAAGGGGTCGTGGCCATGGTCATGTCTGTGCCTCACATGCGAAAGATGCACATCATCTCCCAGATCGCGCCTCCTTACCGCACCAAGGACCCCGTTAACAACAAGTCTATGACGCGAGGGTGCTTCATCGTTGTCGAAGGCCCCGTGGACGCAACGCTCAAGGCCGTGGGCGCCGCTGTGGAGCGGGCGCTCCGTGGATATGAAGAGGTATCTTTGAAAACGTTTACCGATCCAGAGCCCCTGCCTTTGATTCGAGGCCTTGATCCGGGTCACCAAGCCTCTTATGTTGAAAATGACAATCTGTCATGCCACCTTGAATCCTATACGCTCCGACTTCTGAATTGGCGCAAGCGATCAGCTCAAATTGTCGAGCACATTACAACGGCCCCACAGCCTACCGTCCAGGGACATTTCCAGCGATCGCTTTCTGACAGTAACATTGCTGCAGACATCTCAACCGCCATTGAAGGGCGCGGCGGCGCGGATACCCTGACAACAAGCTGCAGGAAACAGCCCTGGTCCGACGAAGCGGACCAGGACTGTCCAAGATCCCCGTGGCACTTGCACCCAAGGGATTCAGCGTGACCTGCTCTGACAGATTCGCGTGCTCCATCCCCATCGAAGACGCGTACGCGCCCACCGAGCACTGGCAGTGGATGGCAACGCAGTGGCGAGGAATGGTCGGCCCAGACCTATTTGTCTACGTCAAGCCCACGGCTGACCCTGGCATCAACCTCCGCAACACGGTGGAGCTTAAGTCGCCCAATGTGATGCTCGTGCGCGTTCCCATGGAAGGCACGCTGGACGAGAAGACGGAGAGACGCCTCGCGTTTGAGATTGTCGAATGGGTACGAGGCGGCCACAGCCAGCGACTCTAGGATGGGTCATTTTCGGTGGCTTTCGCCGCGCCCGGAAAAGGAAGGGACTAAGGGATTCATTTGGCGCATGCAGCGAGATGGAGGTGACTGGTACGGTATGGAAGGCAAAAGGTCGGGCGCACATAAGGTGTTTTCACTTTGATAAGAGTAGTGCAAGGAGGCCCCTTTCGTTTGATTTTTCGTTTTCTTTTCTTCTCATTCCCCCCTGCCCCCCTTCCCCCTCTTCACCGCTGCCTTCTCACAGGTGGTTTTCTTTCTATTCTTGTGTTACTATTTACTTTTTTTTTCCCACTCTGCACAACATAGGGTTTGTCTTTTTTATGGCGCGGATTTTCTTCGTCGCTATAGACTGCCTGAGTTTTGAGTGTTTCGAAGACGGGGGAGGGTTTGTTTATTTGTTCCGGTGACCTTTGGTTGTCTGTCTTGCGCATGAAGAACTACAAGCACTTCGAACAAGAATAGTTTTGAAAGACGATGTAATAAGGCACCGAGTTAGTCAATTAAAATTTGCTTAACTGCACATAATATTTTCCCAAGGAACGTGAATTCGTAGTCATGTCAAGGCAATGATCAAGAGGAAGGCCGTACGACGGAAGTCGAGGGTCGTCGTCTTGTTAGTTGCATAATCCGTAAATCGCGTTTAACCGTTTCGCGTTCCACTGTCCGCCGCCTCCCGCGATTGGGTGGGGCCACTTGTCTTGTACCTGTTTACGTTGACAGCTGTGCAACCAGTGCAACCAGTGCAGCGAGTGCGGTGCGTGCAGGACGTGTAGTGCGGCCAGGGGCAAGTCAACAACCTCAAACCGGACCTCACCTCTTTTCCTCAGCGGGCAGCTTCCCCGACAGCTCATCACGACCACGACAGCACGACGACTAACGATTCGTGCACGACATTCGACACCGAGAAGCACGACCAACTCGTCCGGCCATTCGACGATACGACTCACACTATAGAAACGACGACATCCACCACCCACGTTTCCCGTCCCCTTCCCCACCGATCCCTAAACCTGCCTGGCCAGCTTCCCCCGCCCCCGTCTCGTCATTTGGAAATTAGGGACCCGAGCAGAAATGACAGCAGCAACCAGGCGGTGAACACACCACGAACGATTAGCAAGATGTCGGACATATCCGTAGGCCACATCGTCCAGCTCCCGAATGGACGCAAAGCCGAGGTCAAGTTCATCGGCGAGACGGCCTTTGCCGTGGGCGTCTGGGTTGGTCTCGAGCTCGAAGACGACAGTGGCAAGAACGATGGCAGTGTCCAGGGCACGCGGTACTTCAACTGCGACATGGGCCGCGGCATGTTCATGAAGCCTACCAACCTCAAAGTCATTGGCCAGGTCCCCCAAAGCCGCTCCCAAACCAGCTGCCGCGAGGCGGGTCTCCTCGCGGCCCAGCAGTATACAGGCAGGCCCCGTGTCTACCAATGATCCCGCGTTGAAGAGGAGGATAAGCTTAAATGCCCCAAGCCCCAGTCCCGTCCCCAGGGCTAGGCCGTCTAGCATCGGTATAGCGAGGGTGAGTTTTGTTTTTTTCTCTGCTTGGTGGCTTGTTGACAGCACGACACCTTGCTTGGGGGTGCACTGATCCTGGCTAACGAAATTGTTTGGCGATGTTTGTCTAGTCACCTACGAAGTCGCCGACTAAGGGCATAGTGTCCTCTAGTGCCTCAAGCTCCCGAACAAACACCCCTTCCAATGCACGAGTACCCAGCATTGGCGTCAAACCCAAGCCCGCCGGGGGCGTCCGGACGTCTATGGGGCCGCCTGCTCTCCCTAAGGCAGGAGCAAAGCCGGCCACCTCGTCGACGACGGCAAACCGTCAGAGTATCGGAGGCGCATCCCGGCTCGCGAACCGCATGTCCTTGACCTCTTCGAAGCCCCCGAGCCGAGCGGGTAGTATTCGGCGGCCGTCTGCCGATTCTCAGGCCACGGGCGCTGATAGCCGCAGGTCTAGCAAGGAAGAGGCCGCCATGGGCTCCGACAGAAGCGAGACCGAGATTCTCCAGCCGAAGCCAACGAGCCCTGTGCTTACCAAATCCAATACGGTGGATAGGCTGACCGCGGCCGCGGCGCAAGGGTCTGCGCCTGCTTCTCGGGGCGCGCGACCTGCCGGGACCGACGCCGCCAACCGTAAGATTGCGGACCTCGAAACTAAGATCAAGATCCTGGAGAGAAAGGCAATGGAGAACCGAGACAAGCTGGCCAACATCCCCAAACTTCAGCAGGACCTCGAACGATACCAGGCCATTATCCAGAAGCTCCAGAGCAAGGCGCAGGAGAATAACGAATCAAGGAAGATGGTCAAGGAGATGGAGCAGACGATAGCTGCACTTCAAGACGTGCAAGCCGATCACGAACAAGACCTAGAAAGCATGCTGCTCGACCGCGAGATGGCCGAGGAGCAGCTTGAACATGCCAGGATGGACCTCGAGGTGGCAAACGAGAGGTTGGAAGTCCTTCAGCTCGAGTTTGATATACTAAAAGCGGAGCGAGAGGAAGCCATCCAAGGCTTGTCCCCTGAGGAGCGGGCCAGCGAAAGTTGGATAGCAAAGGAGCGGGAGAACGAGAGGTTGCGTGAGGCATTGGTGCGCTTCCGAGACATTACGCGTGAAAAGGAGGCCGAACTATTGGACCAGAATGCGGCCTTGGAGGAGGATCTTAAGGACTTTTCCGTCACCAAGGACCAGCTTGGCGAGTGCAGGGAGAAGCTCGGCAAGTCCGAAGACATCATCGAGGACCTCCGCGGGCAGCTCGAGAATGCGCTTGGCGCAGAGGACTTAATCGAGGACCTCACGCATCGCAACATGTCTCTTGGTGAAGAGGTCAACGAGCTCAAGGCCGTTATCGACGAGCTAGAAACGTTGAAGGAGCTCAACGACGAACTCGAGGCCAACCATGTCCAAAACGAAAGGAAATGCAGCAGGAGCTCGACTTTAAGGACTCCGTCATCGCGGAGCAGGTTCGGCGTGTTTCTCAACAGGACCAGGGCCTGGAGGACATGGAGTACACTCTCTCAAGGTTCCGGCAGCTCGTCACCACTCTCCAGGCCGACTTGGAAGACATGCGCGCCTCGCACGCCGTCACCGAGACCGAGTCTGAGAAGCTCAATGATCGCTCTCGCGCCATGATGGACCTCAATATGAAGCTGCAGCTGTCTGCCTCCAAGGCCCAGGCCAAGGCTATCGACCTTGAGCTTCGCCGCCTCGAGGCGCAGGAGGCTGAGCAACATCTCGAGATTGTCAAGCTGTTCCTCCCCGACTCCTACAAGGAGGACCAGAACTCGGTCCTGGCCTACCTCCGGTTCCAGCGAGTTGCCTTCAAGGCCAACATGCTGCAAGGGTTCATCGGCGAGCGAATCGATGGCCAGGCCCATCCTGGCCACGAGGACGACGTCTTCTACGGCCGCGACGCCATTGACAAGCTCACCTGGGTTTCAGCCATGTGCGAGCGCTTCGCCAGCACCATTCGCCGCTGCACGCCCGAAGGGTTTGTCAAGTTTGAGTCCGCCCTGCACGAGCTGGACCCCGTCGAGCGGGCTCTCAACACGTGGATTGACGGCCTGAGGAAGGATGACCTCAAGGAGAAGAAGTGCGCGGATGAGCTTCAGCGGACCATTGCTGTCCTCGCCCATCTTGCCGAAGTTCACCTCGGCGAGGACCTCGCGTCCTTTGCCGACGAGACGTACATGCAGGCGCTCAACATGCAGAGCTATCTCGAGTCCGCCACCGTCTCCTTCACCACGCTCAAGGCCATGGTGCAGAGGGTCCTCGCTTCTGCCGAGAATGACGAGGGTGACCTTAGCCAGCACTTTGTCAAGCGCGCCGAGCTCGCCATTGGCCAGACGCGAAGCGCCAAGCTCGTCGCTGCTCGGGCCGTCCGCGCCTTGGAAGACCTCAAGACTAGGTCGCTGTCGCTGCAGCCCGAGTCGAGGGACGCCTTTGAGCAGGTGGAAAGCGCGGCGCAGGATCTCGCCAACCTAGCCTGCCAGCTCGGCGTCGACCTCCACGCGGTCCTCACCGAAGAGGGCCGCAGCGAGCCATATACTTTTGCTGAGGTGCAGAACACCATCTCCAAGACCACCACGGCGGTGACGTCTTCGAGCGAATCCGATCTCTTCTCCACCTACCTTACTGGCCTCCGCGTGTCCACTACCCAACTCAACGACCTTGCCGCTCTCTGCGCCGACCTCGACCAGGTCCAGGAGTTCGACGTCAACTCGGCTCCCTGGATTGCCAAGTCCAACGAGCTGGCTGCGCAAAGACGCGCCCCGTCGACGCCGAGGAGGAGATGCGTCGCCTCCGCGAGGAGTACAACGAGGCTCGTCGGGCTGTCGCCCAGCGCGACGATACGCTAAGCACCGCGCTCCTCAAGATTGAGACCCTCGAGTCCCGTATGAAGGATGCCCAGGCCAAGGTCAACCGCATCGGCGAGCTGGAGGGTGAGATTGAGAGCTCCAAGAAGACCAACGCGGGTCTCGTAGAGGACATTGAGAAGCAGGACCGTGAACTGCGCGTGCTCGAAGCCGAGCGCGACAAGTGGAAGAAGGTGGCGGGCGACAACCGCGCGTTTGTCGAAGGCGTGGGCGAGGCCAACGTCAAGGTCGGCCAGGAGCGGGCCGTGGCCACGGCCCGGCAGATGGACGGTCTCCGCGGGGAGGTGTCCAGCCTACAGGAAGCGGTGCGCTACCTCCGCCAGGACAACAAGCGCGCCCGGACCACGGAGCAGCACTCGCACGCCTGGCTCGCCGAGCCCCTGCGGAGACCCACCACTGTGGAGCAGCGTCGTCGTGCTGCCGTGGCGGCCGAGGGCCGGGACGTGCTCGGGGAGCTCCTGCGCATGGCCACCTCGGCCAAGGTGTACGATCTCTCGGCGCTGCCCGAGGACAAGCTCGCGTGGAGGCGGGCCAAGTCGACACCCCAGTACCACGCTGCGAAGCAGGCCGAGGACTACGCCGCGTGGAAGAGCTGGCGCACCGAGGTGGTCAAGAAGTCCAAGGCCGTGCTCGGCGCCGGCGGCGCCGGCGGCCGAGGCCACGAGAGCAAGGGGCGGCCCTCGCCAGGTTGCAGATTCGGCTGCCGGGCGCGGATGGCAAGGTCATACCGGGCACGGGTAGGGACGTGCAGATTGTGGGGTCTGCGGAGTGGGAGCGGCTGCAGGCTGCTGGGCGGGTGGTTGTGTAGATGAAAAGAGAGATGGATCCGTGAATGGATAGGGGAGGGGAGCCTTGATTGAGGCACGATGTAGAGATAAGATACCACTTCGTTTCGGCCGAGACAAGAATTTACAAGTTTTTTATTTTATTTTTGGTCAACCTTTGGGCTTTCTCTGAGTCCTAGTAAAATGCTATGGAGGAGTTTCTTTGCCCCGATGAATGCCCCGAAAACACACAGAAAAATCAGATGTCTGCCCTCATGCTGCGACCTCCTTGCCGAGGAGCTTCTAGCGCTTTAGGCCCAGGGAGTTGGCCGTTCGTGTTGGGGGCACGTTCCGCGGCTAACGCACTTTCCCCAGCTCTCTGTTGCGGGTTTGCAATACATGAGCATTTCTTCGGGGTCCTGCCGGCGCGGGCTCTCCTGCGGCAAGAACTCAACGTAAGAGCGATGGGTGTCTCTTACAGCCGTTTTCATCGTTTCCACCCCCCCATCCTTCTTTCTCCTCTCTTTCAAGATTTGGTTTTTATCCATTATCCGTCAACTTTGAGTGTGTGTGTGTGTGTGTGTGTGTGTGTGTGTGTGTGTGTAGTGGGTGTTGTTTCGCTACGGGAAGGAGGCGCTCGGCTTCATCCCCGCATCAAGCCTTGCCCTTGCCCTTCTTATCCTTCTTCTTCTTCTTCCCAGCGTCGTCCGCCGCAGAGGGACCCGGCCCACCGGCGGCATTCATCAGCGCGGCCATGGGATCCCCACCGCCCTGCATCTCCTTCATCATATCCTTGAACAAGTTCTCGCTCACACCACCACCCGTCATGGCGGGGCTGACAAAGGGCAGCAGCTCGTTCATCTTCCAGCCCTTGGGGATAGCGGGGCGGGGCCACGCCTCGCCCGGCTGGGGCACAGGCACGCCGGGGATCTGGTAGCGCAGGGACTGGGAGTCGTCGGTGGTGGGGTTACGCTGCAGCCACTGGGCCACGAGCCGGTACAGGTGGTGCTTGTTATTCACGGCGGGGGCGCCGGGGGCCGCTGCGCGTCCCGCAACTTCACGCGTACGCGGCCCGGGTTCGCCCAGTCCCGCGGGTGCGACTTGCCCGGCTCGAACAGCACCTGCAACCCTAGCTGCGAGCACGCGTGCGCAATGTCCCGCGCGATCGGGTTCGCCACCGCCAGCGACCCCGCGACCCGCCGGCCCTCGTGCCGCGAGTGCTGCGCTGAAAAGTAGATGGGGTACAGGCACTGGAAGCCGGCGTACTTTTGGCGTCCGTTGCCGCGGCGTACTGCGTTGGTTGGCCGGGGCGGTACTCGGGCGCGGGGCCCCGGGAGGAGGCGGCGGCGGCGGCGGCGGCTGCTGAAGAGGAACCTGTGAAGGCGGGCTTGGAGGGGTTTACGCGGAGGATGTCGGTCTCGTCAAAGTCGGAAATGTTGCCCTCGGAGGGGTCCGACAGGTCGCTGTCCGACACCTCTTCCACCCTGGGATGCGACATGGCGAGAAAAAAGGGGGACTGCTCTTCGTAAAACGGCTGGCGGAAGTCTTTCGTCTAGGGACAAAAGAGAACAAGAAAAAGGCGGGCTTTCAGCAGTCGGGATGAGGGGGGCGGGGGCCGTGTCAGTCGCAAGGTCTATATAGCGTCGAGAGCGGGTTGAAGGCAAAAAGGAGGATCAGGTTGAAGGGACGCGGGACGTCTAGAGTGGGATATCTCTCCGCTAGCTCGTCGTTGGCTATGTGACAGGGCTCTTTCTCGACGGGCCTTTTGAAGCTCCAGTGCGTTGCCCAAGTTCAAGTTTCTTGGTGGGGTGCCCCCACGTGACTACCCCTCCTTCCCAACCTACTATGTACTTGCTACCATCTCCCTTTGACTTGTACACAACGACAGACTCCGTCTTTTACGAGGAAGCATGTGTGTTCTAGGCTGACAATGTCGGAATTATTTTCTCTGCTTCTTTTTTTTTAAGAGAAAGAGAGAGGAGAGGGAAAAATACAATGAAGTCCTCGGCCTAGGCACGGATTCATACACTAGTGTATCCTGGAGTAACTATGCCAAATGGCAGTCTACCTTCAATAGAGAGTTGCAAGAGACGGGGTGCGCCTCGTTGAGAAGTCATGGTCTTGATGAGTTCATAGACGTGGTTTAGAGATTCGTGATTTCTGTAGACTAAAAGAAAAGAAGAAGGAGAAAAGGAGTTCAAGATAAGGAGCAAGTTGGTGCCCCTTCAACTGTGATGATAGTCTTGCAATGCGCCCTACCAGACAAGAGCACTTTAGAGGCAAGATGCCCTGTAAACAACAAGACGCCAGTCACCAACCCCCAGCCCAATCCTTCTGCCATAAACCAACCTATAAGAAGAAGAAATGAAGGAAAAAGAGCACGTTAGGCGTAAGGAGGTGGAGGAAGGTGAAAAAGAGACAAAGGGAAAAAATAAAATAAAGAGAAAGGGTCGTTGGTCTAACCTAGCAGTAGGTTGACCAACGCGCCCACGCTTCTTGAATTGAGCTTGGGCAAGACGGGCAAGCTCATTCTTACGGGTGGGCGAAATAAATAGAGTGTAAAAAGTGCTGCAGCATCATCAAACCTCGCTCCGAATTAGCCTGCTATCGTCATGCATTGTCGTCCGCCGCTCCTCTTCTGCGGACTTGCAAAGTCCCGTTAGGTTGAAGAGGAGATAACCCACAGGACATGACGTTGAAAGATCCATGCTCTGTTCGGGAACACCTGCCTTTGTCGGGGATGCTGGTCCCGCGTTCCTGGCGGCGCTGCGGTTACCGAACCAGCGGGTGAAGAAGCAAAGATTCGTCTCCGAGGGTGGAGGTGACGAAGCCGAGCTATCTTCCGACATGGCTGGCGGGCTCTGTGGCGTCGGGCTGGTGCAGATACTGGCGATGCTCAAAGGATCCGCCGCTCGCATCGTGGACATGACTGTGTCCTTCATACGTTTGAAACACGACTCGATGGCAGTCATAGCTGGTGTCGCAAGAGGGTTGACGCTCTGCATCGCCCTGTACCGTTTCATGGTCCAGTCAAATTGCGGCTTGGCTTCTTCATAAAGCCAGCTGTTTTCCCGCGGGTACAGCGTATACACCATGGAGATGAGGATTAGCGCATCAAAGCTGCCGAAGAACAGGAGAAAGCTAAAAGCACCATGGCAAGAAGAAAAGGTTAGTCACTGCCGCGTTCCCCTTGAGAAGGCAGCCCCGCGCATGTGTGCGGGTGCCGGGTCACATTGAACACAACTTACTTCTTCCAAGAATCCGTGCCTGTACCCTGATAACTCATCTGCTGGCAGCTGAGGAGCTTGATCGCGGCTCGCAGCGCCTCCGTCCTGCTGGTGGATTGGCTGAGTATGTACGACCGGTGCAAAACCATGACGTTGAATTGGATAAATTGCTCGAGACAGAACCTCGAGGCTGTCAACCACGGACAGTCGGGGTGGCTATCCCAGCGCCAATCGGTCGACTCGAGCCTGAAATAGGGCGGTATTTGTTGCACCGTCTCCAGCATCTTCCTTCCCACAGCCTCGGCCATGGCCGCATCGGCCACTTTCGCGTCCGCATTCTCGGAAAATTCCGCATCGCGCAGCGGTGCCGCCAACCTAAAGAGCCAGAGACTGCGCGCCAGCGGCGTGGGTGGGTCGAATCCATCCGTTCGTAATACTACAGCGCAAGTCGATTTATCCTTTGGAGGGATAGCGTCGACCGGCAGGCTCGGGCGCCTGTCCCGGGATTGATAAAAGGAGGTTTCCCGAGAATCAACGAGAAATGCGTGTCCCTAATGAAGAGGAAGAAAGGGGTCAGAACAAGGGTCATCCAGAGTCCAAGCGAGCGGTTAGACAACCTACCACATCTGCATCATCATGTAGAGACACCTGCGCTGCTGGATGAGCCACTCCGTACGCAGGATATCTTGGAGCTTAGCGCTGGGGGTTTGGGGTCCAGGAGGTCATCGTGCATGCCGATTTTGCGGGCGTGGGTGATGGTCTCGCCGAGCGCGTTCCACTAGAAAAATGAGTTAGCTTTCTGCGGTTGCCTCATTGGTTCCAAGACAGCATAGCCAAGACCAGGCCAGGCTCGGAGCTAGAAAAGGATAGCTACAACGTACAGATCCAAGAATGTCGGCAAGATAGGCCGATAGCATCGCGCGAATCATACCGGCCTGTACGGTCGTGATTGTAACATGAGTGCTCCCAACCAAGGACAATAGGGCAGTCCCCGATTCACTATAATCCACAGCTAGATCCCGCAGCGACATTGTGCCGACATATTTCAACGATTCAAAAGGGCCTCGTGGTTCGTCAGGCACGACCAGAAGAACGGTAGCCAAGATTTGGAAAAGCAATGCGGGGAACACTCTCATATCCGGCGAGAGGTCCAGAGGGCCGGTTTTTGAAAGACTTCAAAGGGAATCTGGCTCCAGGAATTTACCATGCGCAGGAATTCGTCTTCCTCGATGACATGGTAATGCCAGTTGACCTCCTTGAAGTAAACGGATACAAGTTGATCGACGTAAGACTTGGCGGGGAGATGTCGGATGAGGCTCTTATACTTCTCTCTCAGCTCCCTGCTACACCTAGGATCTACCTGCAGGTTGAGCGCTGGCAGTTTGGGATCCAACTCATCCCTAGACTCAACCGACTTCGACAGCCGCCGCGCAGCCGCCGGAAGGCGATTGGGACCACCATCAGAGGAGGGAATAGACGTCACCGGCGATATAGACCGGGTGGATGTTCTAGCAGGTTGGGTGTAAGCGAATTGGCTAAACCCCCATGTGCGACGCAGAACGGATGGACGGGTAACTAGGGAAGTTCGTAATACGCACCTGAGATTCGGGACAGCTGATTCATAGCGACAGGCAGTCTCTTTATTGCGGAACTTGCAGTTGGCGCAAGGGAGTTCCCTATCGCACTTCAAGGTGGGCGCGAAGTAGTTAGCATTGAATAAGCGGGGCGGGTCTTCCGACGAAGGGCATATTGGGAGTTATCCTTCGTTCATTTGGCTGCTGTTCTCCTCGCGTTCCCTCCTGTCGGAAAAGCGATACAAGCCCGCCAAGCGCATTCGAGACTTGGATCTCGACATAAGACGAGAAGCAAAAGCGCTGCCTTCGGAAGGGGCTGGGAGAGCTTACCTTTTGCTTGCGCCGATGACACTCGACACAAGAGATGACGGCACGTCTTCTCTTTTGGGCGGCGGGCGCGACAGACCGGGCTCGGTCAGGGTTATAGACCCAACGCCACCAGTCATACCGTTTAATGGGGACTCTGTGACCATGGCTGGCCTTGAAGAAAGTAGGATAACGAAGTTGCGATTGTCAACCCCGGCCTGTTATGGCTCAAGAATCAAGCTACCCATTTCTAATATGCAAGTACGTGGGAAAAGAATTCTTGCATAGACGCCAAACGCCTCTCCAAAAGGAATAGACAAGGCGAAGTTGCTAGCATGCGTTCAGATGCGCCAACGACGAAGGGTGCCTAAAGGTAGTTAAGATTTAGTTGATGGAGGCACCGAAGGAGCCGTCGAACCCACGGAGGTTCTAGTGCATTTGTAATAAGATGCGGATATAAGGATATATATGAGGGCCAAGGCCGAAGGCCTGAGGTAAATTCGATGACGGTTTGCCACGCGAAAGGGGCAGAGTCTGGGAAGGAAAATGAGGGAGAGGGCTTGGGAGAGGCGAGGGGATTGCAGGTAAAAGATGCTTGCAAAGAATTCAGCCTGAGACGAGAGGCGGCGCAGGGTAGGGCGGCGCGAGCGAGGGCGATGTCTAGGAAGCAGGCTCCAAAAGATTACTTGACTTCGGGAGTGGGCGTGACATTGGTTCCCGCGCAGGGTCGGAGATAGACAAAACAAATCGAGAAGACAACGCGCACGCAGGGCAGTAAGGCTGGTGGGCCCTATGTCTCTTGGAAAATGGAGAAGGAAACGAAGGAGAGATGCGCGCGCGCAGGTGCAACGAAGCCCGGGAAATCTCCAGGCAGTGTTTGAGGGGGACAGAGAAGCAGCGAGCGCAAGCTGTGCTGCAACTAGCAACACGAGCGAGCAAAGTGCACAGGGGGATTTGTTCGGGGCAAGTAAATTAAACTTGGGAGGGGCGGAACCCAAGACAGGACGTTTTAAGATTTGAAAAAGAAGATAGTCCTCCCTAGAGTGATAATAGGAAAGGAGGAAGGAAAAGAAAGAAAACGAACAAGGCGAAAAGGGAGTGGAGCGCAGAGAAACCGAACTAGAACTTACCGGAATGCCCTCCTAGGTGTGTGTGTGTGTTCGAGGGTAGAAGATGGAAATGGGGCAGAAGATCCAGTTCGAGATCGCGAAATGGAAAAGAGCGAGAGCCAGGGTAAAAGGTTGTGGATCGGACTTTGGGGAAAGGGGCCTTCTTCGGGCGACGATATTCGGGATTTGGAGAAGGGAGACCGGGATGGACGGAATTTGAGTCGAAAAAGAGATGGAGGGCTTTCCCGCCCAGTTTGAAGGAAGTATTAGTGGGTGCGAGCTTATTTCCGACGTTGCGTGCTAATAACAGACGAGCGGTACGATACAGTAATAATACTTCGTACAATGTCCTGCAGTGCTGCAGTGCTGCGTCCCTCCTTCCCGACATCCCCTCTGGTACATGCCATCGGCCAGGCAAGGGCTACCGACCAGGACCCCCAAGTGCCCACGCGCCTCGATCGAGATTGGCTGGCTGCAATTGGGGTCCTGACTCGCCCAATCCCGCATCCCCTGGGATTGGTAATCGAGATGGGGCTTGAATTGTCAATGAGTATCTCGTTCCCCGTGGCAGGCCCAGACCACCATTTGAGGCACGATCGGGCCCTCTCTTCTCGCCTTTCTCCTCGGGAGCCTGACGATGTGGATGGTCGGCACAGGAGAGTCAGTTGACGCCTGCATCCTCTTGGTCGGATGCTTTAATAATGTGGCCATTATCAATCCAGCGGATATTGAGATCAATTGGTATCTCCGGCAATCCGACCCCTTCGAGCATTCGAGAGGGTACGGCGCAAAAACCAGCCAGTCCTGATATCCTCTTTTCCTCTTTCCTTCCAATCCCCTTCAATCCCGAACCCAAGTCCCAGTAAGACGGCTCGCAGAGTCAGCTGTCCTGCAAGCGGTGGGGAATCCGTCGGGCAGGATGCCCAGCGCCTTCGGGGTTATCGAAGTCGCCGTGCTGTGTTCCAATCTCGGTTCACAAGGCCCCATCCCCGTATCGCCACGTTTGTCATCATCGGTCAGGCCAAGCACAAGGGACGGAAAGTAATAATACTCGGAAGAAAAGAAAAGAAAAGAATAGGAAAAAGGAAAAAGAAAAAGAAAAGAAAACGAGACTATTGATCACTTCCCGAACTGGATTGAGGACTTCCTGGAACACTGGAACGTTTCCCATTCTTCGAACGGCAGAATCCCGACCTGCCAGGCATTGGGCGCGGGGAAGGAGCGGGCATGCACACGACTGGGGCCAAAGGTGCTCCACAGGGAAACCTGAGTAAGACCTTTGTTACCCCATCACTTCGCTCTCCTCTTCGCGAGTCGTGCATGCCCCCTTGAGCACAGCCCCCAAAAGAAACACCCTAAAATTTTGAAGCCATCCATCACAGAACCGAACAAAGACGGCTCTATATCCATTCAAGGTCCAAGCCCAATCCACACTTCGCTGCTGTGTTAGCCCAGAGCCGCTATTGTTTTGTCTGATAAAGTTGCCCCTCCCTTCGGATCACGCGGCGCACAAGACGCCTCGCTTGCGGCCCATCCCTTCCATGCTGGTCCGAAAACTCACATCTACTGCATTTGATTGCTCGCAAGGCAGCCTCTCGCCCTGCCCGTACCAGCTCCTTCGCTTCCCAGGCGCCTTAACTCCGCGAGGAATGACAGCGGCCAAGGCTAGCTGGTTGGACAAGGGAGCTGGATGCTAATATTGCGCTCGTTGGCTTTTGTTCCGATAGATTCCAAGGTTGCACTAATACCCTTGCGTCCCTAAGGTTTGGGCCATTTCTCTCCCGCGAGCTGCTGAATTGCCTAATTCTTATTCAAACAAGGGAGAGGGGGAAGCCAACGGTAGTGCCCATCGAGCAGTCCGTGAGGCTCTAAGCTCCTAAACTTAGAAATCCATGAGTACCTGTCCTCGCCGTTCTCATGTGCCAAACGTCCAGCCATCCTCAAAGATGGATCAAACCAGGTGCATCCAACACTGTTTCGTTTCTTACAAGTAGGTGTTCGCTTAGAGCAGTCAAGGCCTGTGGGGTGGGTGATTACATCCACCCATCCATTAATGGATGTATCCCGAGAAGGCTAGCCACTCTAATATCCAGCCCCCGCACGCCTTCCTCGCCGGGACTGCCACTTGCGATGATCACTTAAAGGAGCCAACGCTCCGGGCCCGCCTTCTATTGCTTCTTGTCGGCCCTTCCCTGCCTTGCCTTGATTTTGAAAGACAAAGATCTCGAACTTTAATGATCTATCTATGTGTAAGTTAACAGGTATGGAGGGAGCTGATACCAAGGCCAAAAGACAGCTGCATACCCAGGCGCTCGGTATGGGTCACACCAACCCCAAAATCCTCTAGGGGGTATGGATCCCGCATTGCTGGATCTGTCCAGCTCCTCGGGCGTTATAACATGCGCTTCTTCGGGTCTTCCGCACAGCCTATGGCTCCTTTGAACCGTTTCTTTATTCTCGTTTCTGAAGGTTTTTTTCTTTCGTCTTTTTTTCTCCTCCTTTGCCTCATCTCGGTGATTTTGTCTGTACATGAAAAAAGGAAACAAAAGATAGAGGGGTGGGGGTTGTCGTTTGCTTTACCGCTTCTAGACCTATTTCCACGAACATGAAGTTACTACAAGTAGCAATCCTTGAGCCTGTCTGTCCCATCCGATGAAAGTGAAAGATGCGCCACCTAACACATCGATTCGCCAACGCACTGAAAACTGGAACCCACAACGTTGACCTGCAGAGAGTCTAGGCCCTCAAGGGTCCCAGTGGGCAAGGTGGCGGCTCCATCACATTGACCTGCTGGATGAAGTTCAGGTAGTATCAATGGGCGCGCAGCAGGGCGACTTGGTAAGAACGGACCTGACAGTCTTTCCATCATTCCGGGGCGGCCAAACAAGCTGCCGACTTCAAGGCGGTTAGCCGTCAATCTCGCGAAGAGTTGATGGAGATTAAAAACCAAACCTGGACCTGGAGTTTTGACTGAAGTGGAGCCGGCGCTAACCTATAAGGCCCTTATTCCGACCCAAAATCTTTTGGGTAGAGGAGATCAATTAATATTATGTCTCGTGCGGAATGCCTCGCGCTCTTCTTTACTGCTCGGGCGCGCTCTCTTTGGGACGGGTCTGTGAGGTCTCTTCGTTTTTTTGCCTAGAAAACTTCGCGATACGACACCCACGGACCGGCTTGTGTCACCCCAACTATCGCCACAGCTGCTGCGCGAGGAAAGAGAGAAGAAAAAAGACCCTGGTCCAAATACACCACCTCCAGAGAGATGGGAGATTTCTTCCCTCTTTTCCTTGCCGTTAATCTTTATTTCCTGTCCGTCCCCCTACCAGTACACCACACTTTTCTTCTTCTATTCTATCCCTTTCTTCCTAGACAGTGTCGCTATTAATCTTCCCTCTCCCTTTGGAAGAGCCGGCGCCCTCGGGACCAAACGAAACGAGCGGGAAATTTTAATATTACGCAAGGGAATGGGAGTCGTGCTCTTCCCATCCTGGTGGGTCGCCCAGAACCAAGAGCCAAAAGGGGAGGCGGCCGGAGCCTTGGCAACTATCATTGATGAAAATGGCCCCAGTAGGAGCGCCACCACGGAGCCCCGGGCTCTTGTTTTTCGGACTTACAGGGCTGGCGTAAGGTCCGAAGCCGCAAAAATGATTCTACATATCGTCATTGAGGGGGCGCGGAGTGGGTACCCTCCCATTGATCGATGGGTCCTCTAATACAACCAAAGGGATAAAAGGGGGAAAGGGAGAGTAAAAAGACACTTTCTTGACTGGCCTGTGTACCGTCCTCCGGTCGGGTCCGTTGAGCAACGGCTCTTCTCTGCTTTTATTAAGCGAACAAGAACAAGCTCGGAGGATCAGGGGACATTGATGGATATCCGACTTGGCTGCTCGGTAGATCCGACCCCTGCATGTACATTCGTTCTCGTCATCAGCGTCGTGTTCAATCAAATCAACGGAAAGATGGTACGGAATCTTAGCACTAAACCCCCGCTCTCTCGTTCCCATCACATATAATCTTGCGTATGTGTGTGCGTGTGTTGGTTCCAGCTTTTCCTTTTGCCTACCCTCCTTTTGGGTCCCCGACAAGTCACAGTTAACCAGACGAGAGAGAGTAGTCTAATAATAATACTTCAATACATCTACCAATCTTCGTCTCGCCCCCGCAAGTTTTGCCAGTTCAGGCTTTGCCTGTGCAAAAGGTACACAGGGTTGAAGCTACTCCTGTCGATGCACCACCACGGCGCACACATCAGACGAGTTTGGCCACCGCGGAAGCATCTGTGGCTGCGCGTCGTCGCGCTAACGCCGACGCAAAGACCTCAGAGCCAGGCCTTTCCCCCTTTGAAAAGTGACATTCCCGTAGTAGCGGCGACCTGTCCTGTCCCCCAAACCCAAGCATCACCAATAGTTTGTGCCAGGTCGCCGAGCAATGGAGACGCTTCTTCGCTGAGGACTTTGGGATTCCTTCCCAAGAAAATCTAGCAACCGTTAGCAAACCCGACCCCCTCTCACTGCAAGGGATATAGCCTGAGCCACGTCGCATAATCCTGCGTGGGGAATGGCCGATGAGCCCAACCCCTCCCTCACGAACCTCCCAACCCTGATAAGCATGAAACTTGGTGATTTTTTTGTGGCGCAAAAATTCTCCATGGTGCCTAGCTAAAAGAAGAAGAAAAAGACAAAGGACTAACACGCCAGATCTAATCGCGATGGGACGGTGTCGCGGCAAAGTAGAGACTCAGGGCGCCGTGGTGAATCCAAGGCGTAGGAAGCCGCCGGGAGGACCACCCCAAACGTTGATGGCTGGCCAAAGGTCGCGGGAGCATGTAGAATGAACAACGAAATCACAAAAAGTAAAGGAACGATTCATGGGTTGTACAAAAAAAAGTTGAATATCAAGATGAAAAAGAGCCCGATGTATATATTCAGCAATAACGCCTTCCAAAGAGCGAATAGAGCAAGCCAAGACACCCGCCGAAGACAGATCTAATTTAACCCACCCTCGACTCATAGGCCTGCCAGGCCGTTCTCCTATACCTCTCCGCCTCGGCCGGAGGGTCGTCCGCCTTGAGGATGCCTCGGCCGACGATGACAATATCAACGCCGCTTCCCACGATCAACTTGTCCGGCGTGTTATATTGCTGGCCCTTTCCGTCTCCGGCCACGCCGTTTCCTTCCTGACCCTCGGGAGGCAGTTGGCAGCCGGGGGTCATACAAATGAACTGATCCTCGGCCTCACGGTTGAGGTTCTCCTGGCTGATGAACCCCATGACAAAGTCCTTATGTTCCCTAGCAGCTTCGACGCAAGCCTTGGTGTACTCGGGTGAGATGAGGGTATCGACTGTTGACATCTGTGCCAGGATCAGCAGCCCACGCTCGATGGGCGCCTCTTCGATTCCTTTGCAAGCTTCCGATTCGTCTCCCTCGGCAATATTCTTGGAAAGACGCGGGAGCCGGCCGGCTCGTAGTGCTGTTGGGTGACGGTTGTGACGGACACAATGCTGCCCTTCCTACCGTCCGTCTTGCTCTCGCTGTTCGAGTCCGTAGTTGTTGTTTGTGCGGGTTGAGTCGGGGGCGCACCCTCTTCTTCCTCTTCGTCGAAGCTCTCCGAGCGCGGAGTGCCAATGGTTACCGATGTCTTGACCTCGTATCCATAGCGCCCGCGCCATTTCAAGCTGCCTCGGCGAGAGCCGCCACCGAGGCTTTGCCAGGAAGCATATTGACATTGATGATGTGTGCCCAATCGATAATGCGCGCAGCGCCCGAAGTATATTGCATCTGAACTGTGTTTCCGATATCGCCAAACTTGCGGTCCTCAAAAATCAAAACCCATGTTTCCGCGCAAGCGACGCGAGCTTAGCTCCAGTTCCGGTTTGCGGGTTGAAGTCCCAACCACCCACGACATCGTAGTGGGTTTTGAGGACAACGATGGACGGGCCAACCTTGTCGGCAAGAGTCAACAATTCCCGCGCCGTGTTGACATCGGCGCTGAGGCAGAGATTAGACTTCTTGAGCTCCATTAACCGTAAGAGGTACGCCGTCAGGGGGTGGCTGGCCGCCTCTGCGCGGGCCGCATACGGAGTCTTGAGCACTGGATGTTGAGTCATTGCGAGTGTTGCTATGAGCGGAACGTGACCCTGTGGTGATACGAGTTCGGCAGGCGAGGACGTTTGTATTGTCCGCAATCTCGACACAAGAGGCAAAGGGAGTCTTGGATGCTAAGCTGACCCCGAGGCTTTATAGAAACAGCGTGGTATGCCTCTTTGAGGGGATATAACAGACTGTTTCTCTGCGCTTTTTAGGGTTCAGGCACCTACTGTCCTTTTTTCTTCTTTCTCTCCCCTCAGATCTCTCCTCTTGTATGCTGTCTAGGTCCCGCGTTTTTCTTGCCCCTCAAATGTGGTTGGTTGGAAGAATTCAAGAGGTGCCGATATGCAATGCAGCGGCGTGCCAACGAGGGTAGTGCGGCGGTATTGGTCAGGCAGGGAAGATTCCGAACCACAGGCACTCTTTCGATGTCGAGCTCGTCGGGGCCGGTTCGTTCAACGCAGGGGTCAGGATGAGAAGGGCCGGAGACGATAAGACAGGCGGGGTCGGATGCAGGCCAAGTTAGAAGTCGGCGCTCGCCAGCAAGCAACAGTTGCGCGCCGAGTTGTCACTAGATTTGTGGGAGATTGGGGGTAAATGCGTGTTTGTGGAGAGGAAAGAAGAAAAAAAGTGAGGAGCAAAGTGAGCAGTGGAGGGTGTCGGATACTAGAGTAGAGACCAATGAGGGTTCAAGGAAAGGGTCGGGCAAGAGATGTGGGGGTAAAAAAAAGAAGTATTGAGACGATTGGAGAATGTGGACTCGGGCAGAGGTCCGAGGTTGGTGGCAAGACGATATATATAGTGCAAGGGGAAATGAGTGAGAATGCAGTTCCCAATTCCCAGGGAAGAGGGGCAATTGCTCTGATGAGGAGCTCAGACCTGTCGAGTTTGACCGGGAGAGAGCGAGGTGATCAAGAACGGGAAGGGTGTATCAATAGCTATGATGCGCAGGTCGTAAGTGTACCCTTGCCCCCAGGACATGTCAACTCAAAGTAGGCTGGTGGGTGCGTCTTGCTAAATGGGCCCCATCCGGGAGTGAGCGAGACGTTTCGCAAAAGCGTTAGTCGATGGGATTAATGACAAAAGATTTTTGTGGATATGCAAAAGCTAGGAGGGGAAGGGGAGGGAGGGGGCCGGTTCCGTCCTCATTGAAGCACGGGGTACATTGGCCACCCATCTATCAATCCCATTTAGTTCGGCTGACAGCCCGTTCGGGCGAGGTGAGGTATCAAATGAAGATATCCATAGATCCGGCCATCCATGACTTTCTGGGAGATGGGATGCGGTGCTGGAGTGTAGTAGACTTTGGAGAGGCGGCGGGGTTCAAGGGACAAGGGACAAGGGAAGGTGGGATGGATCGGTGGTGAACCAGGGTTGCAAAGTGGGAGGCAACGGGTTCCCGCAACTGTCCCAAAAAGAGCACAGCACGCGCACTGGCAATGAGTCGTGCAAGCGCACAGAGCCAGCGTAGGCTGCTGTATGCAGTGGAGTGTGGTGTAGTGTGGTGTAGTGTGGTGTAGCGTGGTCAAGGTGTAGTGTGCTGCGGTGCGGTGCGGTGCGGGTGTGTAGTGTACCGTACCGTACTTGCGTACCAAGCACGGCTCCGCTTGAAAGTGGGGACGCCCTCTCCTCCCCCAGCCCTTCCCTTCCTCGAGCCTGACTATGACCAAAAGGTAAGACCAAACCCCAGTTCCAGACAAAGGTCCAGTCCCGACTTCTGCACGGGATGGGGATTTGCAGGACGCGAGGATCAATCTATTGAACCAGCCGGCTCCCTGGATGGGTAAACCTTGCCCGTGAACCCAAGCACGTCGGCTCGCCTAGGTGGAAATGAGGGGTGTATGGGCTTGCGTGATGGGATCTCGGGGATGCAAGCCCCCTCCTGGAGAGGCTTACTGTCAGATAGCAGTCGGATTCTATCAGATGTTGCTTTTCCTCGGACTGGGCCCAGAAGAACAGGTCGTCTCCTTGTTTGAGGTTGAGACACTGTGATGGAAGGGAAACCCCCGAGAAGAGGCCTCGGGTACGAAGCCTTGCCCTTCTTCGCCTCGAAATTTAAGGTTCAGGACAAAAGAAGTCGTTATTTGGACACCGAGGCTCGAAGTCTTCGGCGGCGGATATGATTCGGGCTTTTGACGAGGGAGGCCACTCAACTGGATCCATCTGGATCAATCCATTGATCAATCCATTGATCAATCAACACCGGCCGCCTAGCTTTCTCATTGCATCGCACGCATTAAGCTTCGGGGACTACGTAAGCTTCGTCATTCACCAGACCCTTCAAGGGGTTTCCCCGTCGTCAAAGGCGGGTGGCCTCTTCAGGGCCATCCTCCGCAATTATCCCTTGTACCTTGCAGCCATCGAGCCGAGATCCTCGAACTAGCAAGGGACGTAGTTCTTTGTGCCATCCATTACGAAGAGGCAGCCCCATCACCGTCTCGTCTTTCGCCACCTCGGCCGGGGTCGAGGCGTCTGATGATGTGCCCATTCCATGATGGCCAGACGCGCGATGTGAAGTCGGTTGAGTGTGTTTGTGTGCGTCGCACAAACATCTTTTCTATCCACAGATGGCATCCGTGCTTGCCTAGTCCCATGGTTGGGGCTGTCTCGTCGTCCCTCTCCGACATCATGTCAGGCCAGGGTTGAATTCCAATTACAAGAGCAGTCCGTTAGCCTTCCGTGCAGGCTCTTCTTCCGACCTCGTCGTGCTTTTATTTCTTACCACACTCTCGGTTTCATCACACCTTTGATATGACGTATCAACAGAATCCCCCATCACACGTTACGGATCCGCTCATCTCGAAAGGAAAAAAAAAAAAAAAGAGAAGAACAAAAGGAGTGGAGATGGGCTTGGGCTGCTATTGACGCCTCACCTCTAACCTATGCACTCGTACACGTCTCAAGCTATTGCCTGCAGTGATCTCACGGATATAAACGGCGCTCTAGGTGGCGGCCAGTTCCGGCGGCGCTGCTCAAGCATCTCCTGTCTAGTGGGATTTACACGCTTGAGAGCTCCAACCCGGTCCACGACCAGAGGAGCTGGCCCCACCCTACCGCCGCCAAGAATGCCGATACTTCAAGTTTTCAACCTCGCTTGGTGTCTGCCAGCGGAACACCACCATCACATCAAGGCCCCAAGTGGAGTAAAAACCTCCGCCCCTGCGGACTAGGCCAACCCTGATTTATCTTTCATGATGCCATTTTGAGTTGGAGGTGGAGCTCGACACCCGCGCGAGGACCGACCTGGCCCTTAACCTGGTCTCAACCCAGCTAAGTTGGCGACAGCATTAACTCGTTTGTCTCAAGTCTAGACCGTGGGAATCTAGTAATCACAGCGCTATCTCATCCGGATCGCCTCCGTGTCTTCCGTCCCTTACTAATTTGGCCATCAATACGGAAAGGACGTTGGGTGCAAGAGAACGATGAGCGTTGCGAGCCGTCCAGAATTTGCCACCACACGAGGTGGCCTTGCGCGTGTCAGAAGTCGTCTTCCCATCCACCGGTCCGTCTGTGGACATCAACTCGCCCATGGGTTTCTTGTCCACGATGCTTGCTATCCTCGACTGATTTTGCTGGGGGCTCCTTTGTATCGCTCCTCTCCCCTTTACAGCGAGAGCCCTTTCGCATGAAGGCAGGCGATCAAATCGACCTGTAGATCATCGACGAAGACCCGCTCATCGAGGAAACTACCCCTTGCTGAAGAGCGATCGGACAGAAGCGCTGTCTGAGGATCTGGAATGACATGAAAATCTATCGTGTCCAACGAGATTCCGAGAAAGACACCGCAGAATTACGGCGTTCTCGAACATCCGCGGAAGCGGGGTTTCCCTCAAAGTTGAGGGGAGATCAGGTGATTTTTGACATTACGTGCCGATAGCCCTAGGCCTCTGCGTCGACGCTCCTTGCATGATACAGCAGCTGTACTAATCGGGTCCGATGGTGTCTCGAGTAGTGACCGCATTTCGGCCAACGCGACGATGCCCTCCATTCGCTTTCCTTCCAACCCGTAGCGGAAGTGCGTGTGCTTTGGCTGGAGTTTCACAGCTCCGGCTCAGCCTACGTTACATGCCCGCGAGAACTTGGAGGGCTTGGCGTCTGATTGAATCTTCAAAAGCCTTGGTCCAGACGTATAATAGCTACTTTGCTCAAGAGAAATCCAGTAGACCTCGCCTGGTCTGCCACAATGGGCGAGATCAAAACTTGAAACTCCTACCCGCAAAACAGGGGTTTGGAAAAACCGGGACGTAGGGCGCACCAGTGCCATGAACTAATCGCAGTTCACAGACCCAATGCACTGCACCGGGGTTTAGGTTGCTATTAATACACGGGACGTGCCTTAAATTAATCAAGCCAGGATCAAGACGTGGAGACCCGAGCCATCCGCTGTCGGCTGGAATGTCAATATTATTCGTCTCCTCTCGATCTCTCTGCGCCATGTGCCACGATTGATGCCCGTCACCTTTTCCAGCCTTTGTCAAATGTAGTATCTCGGATTCCTTTCTCTTTCCTCCTTTCTACTTTTGATTCATTCTTTACTTGTTCTCCATAGGACTTCTCGAGGTCACGAATGGTTGTCTAGGTGGTCGATAGATCCGCCTTGCAGCAAGGGCTACATCTGGCCGTGGCTGGCCCGTTTTCAATTGAGCGCTGGTCTCGGAAGGTGTCGAGTGCATTCGCCGACATCTATAGCATGCCAGTCATCCATTGCCCCGCAGAAATTACCTTGACGAGTAGTAAGCCCAAAGAGGGTCTCAAGAGGAAGGGGGAAAAAGGAAAGAAGGAAGTAGAAAAAGGAGATCCTTAGGAGTGGGCTTCTCCAAGATGTCGCGCCCCGAGCCTTCTCTTTGGTGGAAACGGTTCAAGTATTGATTCACCTGGACCTCGTGCAACGGGCCCGAACGAGGTGAATGTTGCGCAGTCGAGCGAACCTGGAAATTTCGGTAGGGTGTCGAGGACGCCTGCAACTCAAGGAGGCACAGGGAGGGTTGGCTTATCGCTCTTCCTCGTCAAAGTAATGTCGGGATTCTAGAAGAACAGTCGAGGGTTGCACGTGTCCTCCTTGCCGCCGAGGGAAGATAAGGCTCCATTGTCTCCCACCGCACCACCGTTTGTCCATCGAGGGCATGTCTGGGGAAAAAGACATCTGATGCGAACACTACAGGTGATGACGCGTTGAGTGGCTGCAGCTCGGTGTTCTCCACCAAATGGAGCTCGGCTTGGCCACAGCACCGCCAGCGCTGACAGCAACAGCCACGCCGGGCACCATGTCAGCTAGCTCCAACGTTTCCGAGACCTATTCTTTTAATAAAAAAAAGCGAATTCAGATCAAGCACAATATATCACGATACTGAAATACAATCTCGGGTGTGATTTGAGGATCAAGGCGCGCCAACAGATAATTTTAGATGTCGAGGCCCAGAGAAACATGTGGTGGGCCCTCCGCTGCTCGCGTAATCCTGCCTGGCTTCTTGTCTGTCCATCCCCTGCACTTGGCACTGGAGCCGGTGTGGTCGTCATCGCTAGAGGTAACTTGTACTTTGGCGTAAGCGCCAAGAGCACCCGTGCTTCGAGGTTGATTCTACTTGCTGATAAGAGGCCAATCACCAATCATGACAACTTCCTTCCAAAACCTTCCTGGCCAGTCTTTGCTGCCCATCTTGCAAGTCGCCTCTCTTCCCTGCCCACCAGCTTGGAAACTCTCTCCTATCCCGCTTTTCCACTTCTATCTCTTTTTTCATCTTGTCCTCTTCTCCACGCTCCTTTCCGCCCCTCGAGGTCTTGCTCACGACACCAGCGTTTTCGTCGCTGACTCGCTTTTGCCCTTTAATCAACTACTTGTCTTCTCCCCAAACTCGCGAAAATCACCTGTCGTGGTAGCCAAGGTGTTCTCCTAGCTCTTGCTCGCCCTTTCGATCACCAGCTGCCTATCTTCACCTCACGCAGTTGACCTCCGTCGAACGAGCCACCCTAATAATCGGGCATCTTTCCACCTCACTTGGGTTTCCCTGTCCGAAGCGGTTTACGCAAGGAAAGAGAATAAACCCCCAAAGCACCCGTAGCTAGTCCCCACTGCGCAGGCCAGCTTTTTTCCTCCCTAAATTTCGAGCCACCCCTTTCCGACCCCGGATCGACGCCATCGTCCCCCAAGTTTTTCATCCATCAATCCGCCCCCAATGTCTACGCGTCAAACCCGGAGACAGGCCGCCCAGGCCGCTCAGTCTGGATCTCCCGCGCCCGCTGTCGAAATTCAAGATCCCATCGCTATCAAGGCCAATGGTGCAGCGATGAACGGCAATGGCTCCGCTCACGCCGGTCCGGCTCTCTCGGAACACGCGGAAAAGGAGAACATCTTCCTTTTCTGGCCTAATATCATTGGTATGTGCAGCCCCGACCTTTGCGGTTCTATTAGAACCGCGTTCGCGCCGTCGAGACAGGGATGCTTGCTCGTGATCATGACAATTCGATTTCGCTAACAGTTCCTGGCGCGCTGTGGTTAGGCTACTTCCGAATTGTCCTTGCCGTCGCATCTCTCTACTACATGCCCTTGCACCCGCGCACGTGCTGCCTCCTATACTCGATATCCTGCCTCCTTGATGCCCTCGACGGGTACGCCGCGCGGTGGTTCGAACAATCGACCCGCTTCGGTGCTATCCTTGACATGGTAACTGATCGATGCACGACTGCCTGCCTCTTGGTCTTCCTGTCGTCCGCTTTCCCCGATGGGCTATCCTCTTCCAGGGCCTCATCTCTCTCGACCTCGCCAGTCATTATATGCACATGTACGCGAGCCTAGTTGTTGGTGGCTCCAATAGCAGCCACAAGAACATCGACAAGTCGCAGAGCAAGATTCTCAACTTGTACTACACGAACAGGGTACGTTTGCTCTAATCACTACGCCGTGGTGGCGTCGACTAGCCCCCAGGGCAAACTTCTCCAGCTAACCTGGATGCTAACTCGCCTGTGACAGACCGTTTTGTTCATCTTCTGCACCTTCAACGAGCTCTTCTTCATTGCCCTTTACCTCCTCTCGTTCTCCTCGCCTCTTCTCTCGCCTTCTCTCCTCAGGTCTGTCGGGGACGACAAGGTTGCCGCCGACATCCACGCCGGAGCCCAGGTCAACTCGTCCCTTCTCAACCAGATCTTCCCCGATCCCTACAGCGCTGCCGCGCTAGAGTTTGCCCGTGCCAACAAGATGGATTCCACGATTCCATGGATCCTCGCGGGCATCAGCTTCCCCATCATGGCGGGCAAGCAGATTATCAACGTGGTGCAGCTCGTGAAGGCGAGTAAGTGGCTGGCCGAGGTCGATGTCGAACACAGGCGGGCCCAGGGCTTGCCAAGGAAGCCCAAGACCGCGTAAATCCGGCCACGACAAACATTGGCATGCGATGGCATCTTTTAGACCCTTTCTAGAATTGCACCCGAAGTAGTTTGCACACTCGGGTCTGGCATAGATTGCTATCTCCACCACCGACGAAGAGGCGTGGGGGCGTTGGTGCGACTAAAACACTGAGGCCATTCCCGACGCTTTTAGGCCCCCTAGCCGATATATCCCACGAACGCCCGAATGTGCCTGGTTTCGCGAACTCATCACCATACCGCTACGCTTTCTGAATACTGTTCCCCTCTTCTCCAATTTCCTTTGCCCCTTAATTCACTAGGCACCGTTTAATATCGCCATGGCATGGGGAGTGGCGCATCTTGCCGTGCACCTCGGCTTGTGTCCGAACTTTCAGGACTTCCCTTTCGCTTGGTTTCCTTCGCTACGATTCGAATCTCCTGGATACAAATTCAAACCGATCAGTACCCAACACCACATTTGGCCGTGATGGTCTTCCAGCTCTGCCCTGATAATACGACCACCATTCTTTCGCTTTCCTTTGCCTCTTTTCCAAACCTTGGATGTTTCGCTTTTTCTTATGCTCGCTCTTTATATTATCATTCTTAGTACCTCCCTCCAGCCCTGCTGCCTGTATACTGTATCCACACCCTTCGCTGTCGCATCTTTCCCTCTTTTTATTTTCTGTCGTATCAAACTAGACTTTTTTTCCTTTTCTTCCTTCTTCTTTTTCCTCCCTTGTTCCTTTTTTCTTTTTTATGTTATGAGGCTCTAAAGAACCGAAAATTCTTCCTGGAAAATTACCGGCGAAGAGGCTCACTGGAGGCACGGGTACTTGGTTCCTGACGGAGGATACCATTACGCGTGGTGTGCTTGCTCACGCACGCAAGGAACCCACGAGCGCACTTGCACACATTTTACAGGCGCATATACAAAGACCCGATACGAGGCGGAAACGGCAATGGCCGGAGGATGAGACGGGGAAGTCGTCTCAAGCTGGACCAGAAAGGATCGGGCTTCCGATGGGCCTTTTCGCTGTACATATGAATAATACTACTACTAAGATAACTGGGTATCGGTTTATGATAAAACACCAATACTTTGCAAATGCACGCGCACACCGCATGAACGCTCGCGAGGTTATTTAAACATCTATCCCGAGGTTGCCGCAGAATCTAGCAATGTTCTCAGCCGCGGAGAATTGCCCAGTCGCAATAGACGGCAAGTGGATACCTACCGAGCATGCCGGCGCCGCACTTGCTTTCTGAGCAAGGGACCTCCGGGACCGAGAGTCGAACCGAGCCCGAGAAAAAGGATAGCGCGTCCGAAGGGTTGTTCCGCGTCTCGGAACCTAGAGAGTCCAGGTCTACCACGAAAGGAGAGAGAGGAAGAAGGGACTCCTTCTATCGAATCCCGTTGGATAGCGCAATCTTTGCCTATGCCTTTTACAAGTACACAAACTCTGCTCAGCGAGCATCACCTACATGCAAGGGATACGCAGCAGTCAATGATAGCAAGGGGAGTTTCTGTTAGACAGTGTCATGTTGAGGATGGAGCGTTTGATGTTGGGATTCGGGGCTACAGGTAACTTTTACAGCGTCTAGGGCTTTGGTATTCATGCATGCTTGATGGCTGAGGAATGGTCATGGGTTCACGATGCGCGCGTCCTCAAAGCCCAGCGTGATGCAAGCCGCAGGCCAATTTGTTGAGCGCGTTTGGTGGGGGCCGGCAGCCAACTTAGGTTAGATGGCACTGTATGGCTTCGCATTACCACAGTGATTGTTGACAGTGCCAATCCCATTGACTGATGCGATTTCCCTCCGTCGCTCAATCTGATCGTCTCTCGACTGCTCCGTCTTGATGTACGAAGTATCGTATCAATTGATATGCACAAAGCGCAGGTCAGCCCCGTGACACCGCCAGGACTGCGCGCTGAGGTTCGTGAACACCTCCAACCATACTTCGCATGTTCCCCGAGTTTCCAGCCAATTGATAAGCTTGTTTCACCGTCAGCCCTGGTGACTTGAGCTGTGCCTTAATCCCAGGAACCGTCGTCCACTGTCCGCCCTTACCGAGACTTCTCCGACCCACCCTCCCTCTGGCAGGTTGAGGGAGCACAGAAGATCAATTGATGCGGATAGGCCGAAACTACCCCCCTTTTTGGTCGCCCCCTCCTCTCAGCAAACGGCTGTGCGGCGGATGCTGGATTCGGGAACGGGTTGGGCCTGCATCAATCTCCCTCTCCCTTTTTGCTGTTTTGGAGGCCCAGCGCTCAGCAATCAAGGCAGTGCAAATTACAGACTTACGTGGCCAACTCACTCAATCCCTTCCGAGGAGAAAAAAAGAAAGCCTTGGAGATGATGATCTTGTTGGCATTTCAAGACAGTAGAAAAATTGAAACTAGAAAAAGGAGAAAAAAGAGAAAAGAGAAAAAAGAGAAAAAGACAAGAGGAAACCAAGTAAATGACTGTGATTCGACCCCCTCGTGTTTACCACGTTTTGCCTGCCTGCAGTCTGTTAGGCTGGTAAAACAGGGAGGGACGGAGAGAAAAGAAAAAAGAAAAGGAAAAAGAAAAAGAAAATTCCACCATCCCAGCTCCCCAAACGTCATTGTTTCTCAATGTTTTCCTAGTGTCGCATTTTGACCCTCACCAAGACCTCCCGCCTGCTCCTCTTTCCTAGCCTGGTAATTGCTGGGGAGGCTAACAAGAAATTTCTTAACTGAACGACTCCATTCCGTTCCTAACCTTCTCCTCTTTGCGGAAGGAGAGAGGGATACCGACTTTTCCCCTTCTTTTTCTTTCGTCTTTTACCATTTTCTAGTTCTATTTTTAATTTTCTTCTCAGCGTGTCGGAAGCCTCGCATCGCCTCTTTGGCCCCCTTTATCTCCCCGTTGAAACCCCAATTACCATGTTGCGATAAGCCGCCGGCATCCGATGGAGATCTCGACGGAGAGGGAAAGCGCGATTCACGTCCTTTCCACCGTCCGGGTATTCCTCAACCAGATTTCTCACCTCGTCTTCCAGGTTGTCTTTACCAGTTAACGAGAAAATCTGAGCCAACAAACGAAAACAGACACTCAAAAAAAACCGACCCTTGTCTTTCCTCTCCTTCACATCCCTTCCACAAAGCCGAAGATACGGGTCGGCGTTGCTCCCAACACTTGGCCCCACTGAACATCAATGACACCCTCCCTTGGCGGACGCTTTCGCGTCAAGCCCAGCTCCGGAGCCGAACCCTCGCAGTCTCTCGCCAACCCCGACGCTCCTTCTCCCCGAGTCCCTCCCCGTAGCGCGAGAGGCGCTCGAGGAATCCTCACACAACCACGACCATGGCTTCGACGTCGAAACGGACCCCTACCCTCTTCTTCCTCCGAACCGCCCGGTACTTCGCGATGCCGCGCGCCACCTACCCTCCACGCACCAGAGCATGTGCACGGCTACGAGCCAGTCCCACAAGATGACGATGCAGCCAGCTAGCGCGCCCAGCACCTTCATCAGGCCGCGGCGCAAGTTCCACAACTACTTCATCACCCATCTTCCTTCCTCCTCCATGCATCCAGACCGGCGAAGCATGGCAGGGTCCGGGCATCTACCCCGCGATGCGTCAACACCCTATACCCCGAAACCGGGTCATTCTCCCCTCTATCCCGGGGCCCGGCATGGCGAACCGCGATATGACAGTTGTGCGGATCCCCTGCGCAGTGCCAAGCATCACTTTGGCCGGGCCACCGCGAGGGGACGCGCCCTTACAACGAAGACTCGGACCAAGCCGGCACGATAGACATGCCGGCCTTTGCGAAGCGCGCCCCTATTAGCTTGGTCCGCAACTCGCAGAGACAGGCCGAGGTCACCCCGCCGACAGTTCCTTTGGCGACCCGCAGATATTCTACTTTGCCGTCTTTGACGGGCATGGCGGAGGCGAGTGCTCCGAGTTTTTGAGAGACGAGCTTCACGGGTACATAGAAGAAGCGTCCTCGGAGCTTGGTTTACGAAGCAGCCTGGGGAAGAAGCATAGGCCGGGCATGCCATCTGCTAATGGCGAAAAGAGGGATGCTCCCAAGCCCTCCTCGAGCTCCGAACAAGTCAAGATGGCGACCGCCGAAGAGGTCAAGAAGGAGATGCAGGGCAACGTCCCCACGGTGGACGCCAACGACGTCATCACCGAGCCCGAACACAAGGCCGCCGTCCACGGCGCAGACCCAGTCCCCGCCAGAGTCCGCGACTTCAAATCCGCCATCCACCACCTCGTGGATCTAATCAAGGAGTACCGCGATACCGTAGGCGGTTACTTCCGCCGCTTCCAACCCGAGCACTTTAACCTCAACGACGATATCCCAGAAATCACAGTAGAATCCGTCCTCGAGTACGCCTTTCTCCGCGCCGACCTCGACTTCATCTCCGCGCAGGCGCGCAAACCGGACCCCACGATCTGACGGCCGGCGACCGGCCCTTCAACAACGACGAGATCCTCGGTGCCCCGCACGCGACGCCCTCCGGCCAGCGCATTGGGGGCAGCATGCGGTTCAAGGGCGGCTCGACGGCCTCGGTAGCCCTCCTCTCCACGCCCACGCCCACGCCCTTTTGGCACCCGAGCGCGCACGCCACGCTCATGGTCGCGCACGTGGGCGACACCCGCGCCATCCTCTGCGACACGAGCACGGGCCTAGCCACGCCCGTCACCTCGGACCACCACCCCACCGCCCCCGCCGAGGCCCGCCGCCTGCGCCGCTACGCCCCCGCCGCCTCCTCGTCACGGGCGACTCGTTTGGCGAGCAACGCATCCAGGGCCTCGCCAACAGCCGCGCCTTTGGCGACATCGAGAGCAAGCGCATCGGCGTCTCCGCCGAGCCCGAGATGACGCGCCTCGACATGACGCCCGCCCAGTTCTCCTTCCTCGTCCTCTGCTCGGACGGCGTCTCAGGCACCCTCAGCGACCAGGAGATTGTCGACATCGTCAAGGAGGCCAAGACCCCCGACCAGGGCGCCAGGGACGTCGTCAACCTCGCGACTGAGATCTCGACAAACGGCGACAACGCCACCTGCCTCGTCGTCCGCCTCGGTGGTTGGGAGCGCAGGTCCGAGGGCGGGCTGGGTAGCTTGGGAACCAAGGAGGTGAGGGATATGAGGAGGGCTGAGGCCCTTGACCCGAGGCGCGGAAAGAGATGAGGGAAGAAAGAGAGACAGAGAGAGAGAGAGAGAGAGAGAGAGAGACAAAGAGAGGGAGAGGGAGAAGGCTTCGTTTCGCTTTCACCGATCTTTTTCCCTACTCTCTCATCTTTTTCTATGGTTCTGTTATTCCCCTATCCATTGACATTTAAAAGGGACTCATTTCGTTCCTTTTTTCGTTTTGGTTTTTCTACACCCTCTTCCCCACCCCTCGAAATCAAGGGAAAGGCAAAGTCATCCACAGCATACAAACGACGGAAAGGGAAGAAGAAAAAAACAACCCCATTACACCATTTGCATCGAGGCGTTTACGGAGGGAGCCCGGGACGGGCGAGACGTACACATACGGCATCAGCATCATCAACGCATCATTTTTTGTTTTCTTTTTCTTTGTGTCTTCTTCTCTCTTGAGGAGCGGGGCATGTGTGTGGGGTGTGCGTGTTTCCGTTGGTCTTGTTATTTTGGCAGAGGGAAGCATCCCCTCGTTTATTTTGCCAAAGCTTCGCATAATAATGTAACTGAAAGCTTTCTATCTATTCATATACCTTTGTTACTGCATAAATGCGCGACGGCGGCGCCACCCGGGCGTCGGAGATGGAAATCAGTCGAGGAACTTTCTATAGCACTTTGACTGCTAGGTCCTCTTTTCATCCTTTCGTTCCCGCGCTTGTCCGAGCCTTCTTCTTTTCCTTTTTCTTTCACTATCCATATTGTTCTCCTTGAACGACAAATGGTTTGCATTGTCCATATACCCCCTTCTTCTACACTTTTCCTCTTCTCAACCAACGGTGTCTTATCTTCTGTTAAAGAGAAAACCTACCAGGTCAAGTGTGGATACATCTACAATAGATCATGAGATCGCAAGATCACATAGGGAGGTCAAACACCAGAGCCCAGAGCACATCTTGGTATATATATATTTAAAACTAGCTAATGAGAGATGTCCACCCTCCCCAGTATTTTCTTACCCCTCCTTTTCTAAACCATACTTTCCATGGCCGGCACCAACATCGTGAGATTTGCCATCTAAGCAACGCTTCCCGCCCAGTTTTTAGAAGTACCATTCGTCTATCGATAACCTGCACCAGGGTACCCTCCGCCTCCGCCTCCGCCTCCACCCCCGCCTTGGTAATGGGGCTGCTGTTGGGGATACGGAGGCTGATGATGACCGTAGCCCTGTCCACCGGGCGGAAGGCCCTGCCCATACCCATGAGGAGGGCCGTGCCCACCAGGACCAGGCTGAGGAGGCCCGTGATGGTAACCTTGAGGCGGCGGGGACCCTGATGGTATCCGGCGCCGGGTGGGGGCCTTGTTGGTACCCTCCATACTGAGGTTGCTGTGGATAACCCTGAGACGGCGCTTGTTGATAACCGTGGTGGGGCGCACTAGACTGTTGGTGATATCCGGAGCCGGGTCTTCCTTGCTGCTGGTAACCGGAGCCGGGTCTATCATGTTGTTGGCCGTACCCCGACGCAGGCTTGTCATACTGCTGGCCGTATCCAGATCCAGGTCGGTCGTGTTGCTGGCCGTACCCCGACGCAGGCTTGTCATATTTCTGACCGTATCCAGATCCAGGTCGGTCGTGTTGCTTGTAGCCAGATCCAGGGCGGTCATTCTGGCCGTAACTGGAGCCTGACCCTCCATGATACGACTGCTGCGCCGAGGATGAACCCGGCCGGCCCGAGGGCCCTGGCGAAGGCCGGGGCTTTGCCCCGAATAAAACGAAGCTGCGAGACCCTCTCCCGCGTAGCCATAGCTAGCCTTAGGGGCGGGGAATCCGGGTGATAGCACAGCGCCTCCTTCGGGTTCCACGTCATCGCGGAAATCCCTGGTTCGCACCTGGCTCCATAGACCGCCGGCAACCTTGCCGTGTCCACCATCCGCGCAGGAGTGTCCACCGCTTCGGCTCCCCGTCTTCTGCTGCCCATGCAGGAGGTTGTTCTTACCAGCCTTGACACTCTCCGAGCTCAGGAGACGCGGGATTTCGTGGCGCTTAGGATGTTCGTTGAACCATTTTCGTACCGTGGCGTACATGTCACGTTGGATGTCAATCCGTTCGTCGCGGAGAGCGGGATGGTGGAATACCTGAAGAATATCATTGACAATTTCATTCACTGGCACGTTTGGGTTTTCCCACGCGAACATGATCCGGCTGCCAACGCATAAGTTAGTCTCCGAAGCTACTGCCAAGAAAGGCGACAATGGGAAAGGAGGCTATTCTGGGTTCAGAACGTACGGGACGGCATATTGCAAGATGGTTACGGCAACCATTCCACCGCAAGAGTTGAGAATGTTGGTAAAGTGATCCTTGGAAAGCATAGAGTGTGTCGGATCGCTGCAGCGGGGTTGTTCCAAGGCTCGAGCTGAGACTTGGCGCTCGCGCTGATGACATTCTCGGAGCCATCCTTGAGAATCTTGGAGCCCTGTTGGATGATTGGGCGGATAAAGGGGGCAAGGAGGCCAAGAATGAACGCTGTGAGCGTTTCCGAGATGTGGTCCAAGACCTTCTCTAAGCCTGGAATCTTGGAGATGCCAGCGTTGATGGCCTTGACAATCTTGTCGCGGAACTCCAGGATAGGATAGATCTTTTGGGAAATCTTGACAGGATCGATGTTGGGGTTCATTCCGGGGACCTGATTTGGGTTGTCGCGGCTGCGTTCCATGGATTCGTAACGCTTGTTCTCGCGCTCTTGGTCATCAGACGCCGCCTTCAACTCCCTGGCCTGGGCAGCGAACCCACCGCCAACGCCCGGGAGGTTGCCGACCAGGGATATAAAGTCGCCGCCCCCAGACAAGCCACCGAAGCCCCGCGACCCTGACCCGGACCCTGAACCTCCGCCCTCGGCATTCTTAAGGGCGACATCGACTTCATCAACCTCTGACTGCGTGAAGGAGTCAGACGCGGCACTGTATAGCTTATGTTAGTAAACGCTAATTGAAATAATTTGGTAGGGAGCCTACCCGATGACTGAATGCAAAAGTCCACACCCCAAAAGTACCCGTAACTAGGGGTAGATCTTTTTCCTCGAATGTTGATTTGCGTATCACGACCGCAATGTGGGAAGACTTCACGGTGGCCCATGTCAATCAAGACGAGCTCACTGTAGTTGGTATGAGCGCCCCAATCCTCGAGGCAGTGAAGTGCCTGGCCAAGGCATCGGAGGGCTTCACAGAGATCTTCTTCTTTCCAGAGCGCGAGCCACACGTATAGAGGCGGCCGTAGTGGATGCATCGCCCAATGCTAAACCGAAGATATCCAGCGCTCGTCGGCCAATCACCAGTCTCGTTCGCGATGTAGTTCTTCATTCCGGTCTTCATATCAATCTCGGTTTCGATCGGGCGCACGGGTCCACGTAGCCTAGAGTCAAACTTTCTGGCGTCAAACCCCTCGGCGTAACCTAGAGGGTTGTCAATGTGCTCTTCGGCGCGATAGACACCGAGCCGGTCGGCGGTGACCTCAAACTCCTCGGTGGCATAGCCGAAGGCCATAAAGGAAAGGACCCAAACCTATCAGAGGCTGTTAGAGAAGTCACCACTTACCACAGCGCATGGCTATGATGGGCCCAGCCGTCCACTTACCAAGACGCGAATGGTATCAGCATTGACAGGACCCTTCAAGCTCCCAACGTCGATTGCTTGCGAGTAGTCTCGAAGCCAGTTGCCAAAGTACACTCGTTTGATGGCCATACTTGACCACTTCTTTCCCTTTATAAAGGCCAGTGTCGCAAGCATATCCTCGATATCTGAAAAGGCACCCGTAAGCTTTGAACCTAGCCGCAAGAATGTGCCTTTCTGGTGTTGGAGAAGCGAAACTAACCTCCATGGCGCCAATTATGTCCTTCGACCTGTATGGAAGAAAAGGAGAATACGAAGCCTCGTTAGCTACGAATCTGTAAGGCGAGTCTGAGGGAGTTGAGGGCAGGCGTACTTGAGCGATGGAAGGGATGTTTCCCGCGCCAAAGGCGGCTACCGGCGATGGTAAGACAATTAGGATGACGCAGAGGGCGAGAAGCCAAGCGCCTCCGTGATTAAGAGAAAAAGACCCATGATCGCCGTTGTGGGTAGCGTCGCGCGTTTGACAAGAAGCTCTTACACTAGAAACGGCTGGGGAGACAAAGATAAAACTCGGATTGCGCTCGACGCCGGAGTAAAGGTCACAAGAGATTAGCTAATAGCGGGATGGAGGAAGGGGCAATCGGGAGAGGAGGGGTGAGTGAGTTAGGTTAGAAGCCGCCAGCGGGGAAGAGGGTCTTGGATTTTGGCTCGGCTTAACGTCCTCTCAAAACTAGGAAGTGGAAATGGAAAAAAAGGGAAAAATAAGAAGATGGTAGGTTGCGATGGAAACAACAAGGTTATCTTGAGAAATGTTCACATTGACCAGAGATGCAAGATAAATGATGACGTGAGACGAGGGGCACAACCAGAGGATGCGACAGCCGTCAGGGAAGGAAGCTACGGAGTGCAAGACACAGCACAGATAACGACGAGAAGGCGGGGGAAGGAGCCCTCAATCTTTCCTTCTTTCAGTTTCTCTTTATTAAATATAAGCTAGAGCGACCGAGGAATGTGCACAATGCTCAACTATTCGCGACGGAGGGGAGGGAGGGAGGGAGGGAGAGACACGTAATGACGACACGGGGCCAGCGCGGGGTTGGTGTTGAGCTGGGCGACGAAATCATTGCCCCTCCTTTCGCCAAGGTGAGCACTGGGGTCCAACTCTCCCGAAGTGCCGACGGAAGGAAGACTGCAGTGATGTCGAATTAAGCTCCCTCGCATACGACACACACTTCAACTGAAGATATTGGAAGAGAGATTGAAAGGGTTCTCGGGCCTTAAACTAGTCAACTAAACCCCCTTTTTTTTTCTCGGGGTTGTAATAATAAAACATGAGCTCAAGGGGCGAGGCTAGGAATATGATTCCAGGCACACATAATAACAGCATAGCTGTTCACGATAACCAGAACGACCCTTTTCTCCGCCCAAAGCCAAGCGAACCTCACATGTACGGTCTCTTTGTGTGTAAGTAAAGGCCATTCTCGGCGCGGCAATGGCTTGCCGGTGCTCTCTTGAGATTGGGCGAGCTGGGCCAGCAGCGTCTTGGGGACTGCATTGGTGCTCGGCTCGCCGATAGGGATAAAGCAAAGGGGAGAGGGATGAATTGTCCAATCCGATTTTTCCCTTCTTTTTCCTTTCTTTTTTAACCAGGCCGTATTCAGTCGTTGAAGAGAGGAAAAGAGAGTTGCGGCGATCATTATGTTATAATCCTGGGTCTGGAAGCGCCATTCTGCAAGTGCTTATAATATGTGAAGGGGAGAGGCCAGGGAGCCAGGGTTTTCTTCCTTTTTCCCTTTTTTTTTTTTTTTTTCTTTTTTTTTTTTTTTTTTCCTCCTGTCTAGGAAAGGGAAAGTGAATGGACATTGGGAGCCCGCATTGATACTTTTGACTGGATTATTCTGGGTCTGTAGTTACTAGCAGGCCAGAATTCGGTTGCCTAATGCCAATTTCCGGCGCCGGCGAGCGTTCGGAGGCAATCTTGAATGAATGCAGGTAGGCAGGTCTTGGGTGTTTTGTCCCCTTCTTGGCTAAGAAGCCAGGGTATTCAAGTCATAACTCTGTAGTGTCACTCTTGTCACTCCATCTCCTATGGACCAATTGACACATGTCTAACCTTCTGCCCACCAAAATATTCTCGAGGTAGATTCCCAGCTCGTCTGAGGTCTTGGATGCCTGGGGTCTTACTCTTCCCATGTCCAAACGTGGCGGGGCGGAAAATGAAAATGAAGAACCTAGGAGCCAGAGGCGTACACTCCGCCTCGGCTGGAACTTTGGAGAGAAAACCATCCATCCCAGCAAAGTACATTGGGTTGCCGGCAGGACAACCCAGCAGCGAGGCCATTCGCAGGTGGATGAAGGCACGACGCAACAGAAAGAACACCGGCTTGCCGTCGTTTCCCGGGTCCTCTTATTCCGGGCGAGACCTTAACACGCCATAAATCACGTGCACCGTCTGAGGATAGCACCACAACAGCAAGTCTAGCAGCACGATGGTCCACTGAGGGGATGAGATGCATCAATCCTATTTGCTCCCAACGAGATCGATTGATGGTTCCTGGCCGACCGGGGTTTTGGCAAGGTACTTCACTGCGTCGCCCATCCCCCTAACAAGGTTGTGTACCTTTCGTAGTGCGAAAGGGGATGGATCACCATTGATGGGCCTACCCGCATCAAATCCATTGCCAGCTCGGAGGCCAAGCAATTTAATTGATCCATCCAAGCAACCAGCGCGCAGGCCTTCCAAGATGAAGTCGCCGCGTGTTCCACCCGCCCTGCTAGAGTGGTCTGTTTAGTGCTTGCTTGCTCTTTTTTTTTTTTTTCTCTTCTTCTTGTTGCCTCTTCATCGAGCAGATCTTTAATAGTACCTTTCTTAGCCACTTGTCAACGACCCCCTTTCCTCCCCACCGTCATCATCTCTCTCTCACTTTTTTTTTTTTTTCCCCTTCCCGCTCCCGAGTCCCCGACCATGCTGTGGTTCCTAGCTGCTGAAGTCTGATCTTGCGGCCACCCCCATCATTGCCAGTGCCTCGCCCGACTTTATCCCTGCCGCCCGAGGCTTCCGACTTAGTCCACTTGGATTTCACACTTTGCCAACTATAATTAGTGTCCCGACACCTCCCTCGTCCCGAACCTAAATCCGCCGTCGATCGACCCTTCTTTGTCATTGCGCGACCGCGTTTTGTTCCTTCCTCTACACTACCTCCTGGCCCCCACCGTTGACGACGCTCCCGACTCCCGTCGACACCGCCCAGTATGCCTTCCAGAACTCTCCCTACCTTCACCCGCGCCGAGGTTGAGGAGCATAGCACTGCGAAATCCTGCTATGTGACGATCGGCACCAAGGTCTACGATATCACTGATTTCGCCGAAGACCACCCCGGTGGCGCCGACCTCATCTACGACTACGGCGGCAAAGATATTGAAGACATCCTCAAGGATGAGGTTTCCACACCCATTCCGAAACGGCCTACGACATCCTCGACGATTGCCTAGTCGGCTTCCTCGTGTCTGCAAAGGCCATCAATGGAGGCGCCAACGGCTCTGCGATTAAGCCGGCCAACGGCTCCGCCCAGGAGACTACGGCTGTCGATGAAAATGGCGTTCCTGTGCATCCTCGTACCGGCATGTCCTGCGAAGAGGATCTTTCGAAGGAGACGGACTTCTCGAGCGACTACAAGAGGCACAAGTTCCTGGATCTTAGTCGTCCGCTCTTCCCCCAAGTGTGGTTTGGCGGTTTTACCAAAGAGTTCTACCTGGATCAAGTCCACCGGCCGCGCCATTACAAAGGCGGCGAATCTGCGCCTCTATTTGGCAACTTCCTCGAGCCGCTGAGCAAGACGCCTTGGTTTGTTGTACCCATGGTCTGGCTTCCTTGGGTGGGCTATGGTAGCTATCTCGCTTACCAGGGCTACTCCAACCACGCGGTTTTCGCTGCCTACTGGGTCTTTGGTTTCTTCCTTTGGTCCTTGATCGAGTACATTTTACACCGATTCCTATTCCATCTTGACCAGTATGGCCCTTCTCTAGAACCCCGCCTCCACCCTCTTACAGCTGTCTTTGATTACTGACAATAGTTTCCAGGTACCTTCCTGATAACCGGGTCTTCATCACCCTCCACTTCTTGCTTCACGGCATTCACCATTACCTTCCCATGGACAAGTACCGTCTCGTCATGCCACCCACGCTCTTCATCGTTCTCGCTACGCCCTTCTGGTACCTCGCCCATTTCCTCTTTTTCTACTCGTGGCACGTGGCGACCACGGTCTACTGTGGCGGTATCTTTGGTTATGTCTGCTACGACTTGACCCACTACTTCTTACACCACCAGAACTTGCCTCTGTGGTACAAGGGACTCAAGAAATACCACCTTGAGCATCATTTCCTCGACTATGAGCTCGGCTTCGGCGTCACCAGCAAATTTTGGGATACCATTTTCGGCACTGAGCTGACGTCTGGCGGCAAGAAGGCCTAAAGGATGATTTTTGCGTGGGCGATATCATCTCTTTACCGTCTCTGCTTAACTATCTCTTTGCCTTGGATACGCAAGACACGGGTTCTTGAGGCCCGCACGACAGCTGCCCGCCCCAAGTCCTGACCCTGTGCGGGCAGTCTTATCCCCGAACCAGTTCGTCTGGTCAACTTTTTAATGAATAATAGCCTTCTTGCTTTGGGGGCTACTTCCAAGCTCGCCGGTGGGTATATGAGGTGGTATGAAATGTACTTGAAAAAGATCTGGTAATGACCCGGGAGGATAACGAATGGCTTTTTGTCCACTTGGCCTTGGTATATATATACGTTTGGGTTTTTCTCTGCATCTGGGTCGGTCGAGGGTTATGACATTTCCCCCATCTACTCATGGCCGTGGCACCTGTGTCCGGACATGACCTTTCAATGTAGTATTCGGGGCCTCTTCGTCCCTGTGCTGCGGTAGTTCCTCGAACTTCCATTTAATTTTTTAATATGATACCATTTACTTCGTCGTTTTTAAGGCACAACTTGACATCAATCATTGACAGAACCACGGCTGGCGGTGCTTCAGGAGATGGCCTATGCCGCGCAAGCCCGAAACCGTAGATGCAAGAGTTCAGCAACAGAAAAATAAAAATAGCAGAAACGCGGGATTTCAACCGATGACTTCGGCTGGCCACATTGATGTAGTGGAGCCTCGTGAGGATTGGGCTTCACTTTCGTGTCGCGAGACAAGCTGATAATCGTCACTGCTCGCGAGTGTCCCCTTTCCTTGTGCGCACGCGATGAAACTCGGCCCCACTTCTTTCCGCCAGCATTGATCCCTGGAGTGAGGTTGGGTCCACTAATTTCGTTTTACTTTAGTTGGTCATGTGATATATCAAGCGCTGAATTTTCCCAGTTGCAGCCCGTAATTGCGTCCCTGAATGGCTCAAACTCAATACGTTCAAGCCTGCCCCTCACGAGCGTGGTGAATTCGAACCAAAGACAGAACGCCCCCAGACTCCACTGCCTCCTGCAATTGATTTGAGGTTTTTGTCCCAAGGCCAAATTTTTCCCTCCCCCAGCCCAGAAAGCTGACGTTGATTAGTCCACTCTTCATGTCCGCTCGTGCTTATCAACCTCCACTTTTCTTACCTTGCAACCCATTTCCCAGAATTAGGACATCGAACCCTTTTTCCATCACCATCAAGACATTTACATCTGCAGCAAGGCAGGAAAATATTACTGCCTAGAACTAGCTTCACGCCCTTGAACTCACAATAGGCATATTCTAGTCACCATGGCTGCATTAGACGTTGAAGCGCTTCTTGACGCCACCGCGAAGAACACGGACGAGAGGAAGCCCAGGCACACAGACGACGACGAGCGCCCCAAGTCGTCCCGATCCAATAGGTCGGACCGTCGAGACCGCGACCGCGACCGGGATGGCTCCCGCGAGAGGGATAGGGAGTACTATGATCGGAAGCGGCGAGAGCGTAGGGAGCGTAGTCCAGCCCGTAGCCGTCGGGACTCGCCTGCCGGAAGTAGTCACAAGGACGAAACCCCTCGTAGTGATGCGGGCAGCCACAAGAGCCGGCGGAGGAGCCGGAGCCGCGACGATGACCGTCGCCACCAATCGCGCCGCCACCGGGGAGGAGACGGCGACTACTACCGCCGCTCCGGCGGTAGGTCGCGCTCTCGATCGCGCTCGCCCGGTGGACGGCACTCGAGGAGGGGAGTACCGAGATCGTCGTGACCGATCGGACCGCTACGGCGGCGAGCAACGTCAACGAGGCGGCAGGGATGATGATCGTCGCGAGACCCGAAAGCGTGAGGCCACACCTCAACCCACTGAAGATGAGCGAGATCGTCGCACTGTTTTTGTTCAGCAGCTTGCAGCCCGTCTGCGTACCCGCGAATTGAAGGAGTTTTTCGAAAAGATTGGCGCCGTCAACGAGGCCCAGATTGTCAAGGATCGCATTAGTCAACGATCCAAAGGGTTAGTCTTGTTCCGCCCCCCTTCCCTTCTTCTACTTTATGAAACCAGGGCGAGATGCTAACATCATGTCTTCAGTGTGGGCTATGTTGAATTCAAGGAGGAGGAGTCAGTAGCCCTAGCCCTCCAACTCACCGGTCAGAAGCTCCTAGGTATTCCCATCATTGTTCAACTCACCGAAGCCGAAAAGAACCGCCAGGTGCGCAACACAGATGGCTCCAATGGTCAGCCCAACTCGATCCCCTTCCACCGGCTCTACGTTGGCAACATACACTTCAACGTCACCGAGCAGGATCTGCAGGCTGTGTTTGAGCCATTTGGCCATCTTGAATTCGTGCAGCTTCAAAAGGACGAACACGGACGCAGCCGAGGCTACGGTTTTGTGCAGTAAGCTAGACCCTTTCCCCCCTTACGCCGCTGATCCATCGTAATTCAGGCCAATACTGACGCATTTCAATAGATTCCGCGATGCAACCCAAGCGAGGGAGGCCTTGGAGAAGATGAACGGCTTTGACCTAGCTGGTCGTGCTATTCGTGTTGGTCTAGGAAACGATAAGTTTACCCCTGAGAGCACTGCCAATCTTCTGCAGAGGTTTTCTGGCCAGAATTCGTCTTTTCAAGGTTCCGCATTCTCCGGCGCTGGTGGCCGCAACCAGCAAAACTCCACCTTTGACAGGGCTGGGGGTAGAGACAACGACAAGGCAGGTGGCGCTAGCGCTCTTGACGACACTGACGTTGCTGGTGTCAACTTTAACAACTATAGTCGCGATGCTTTGATGAGAAAACTTGCTAGGACGGACGAGACGTCGGAGGTGGCAGAAGAGCGTCAGATCCTCAAGCCCAAGACCGAGGTTAAGGCCCTACCCGTCAATGTTAACATGGCTAGCCGTTGTGTAGTGCTGCATAATATGTTTGACCCCAATGAGTAAGTGAACACACCCCCTCCCCTCCTACCACGCCTCTCCACTACGCAAGTCTTAGAGATCGGGTTGCTGACATTCGAGTACAGAGAGGAAGGAGATTCCTGGGTCAAAGAGTTGGAGGAGGATGTGCGAGGTGAGGCTGAGCAGAGATACGGCCACGTCGTACATATCTCGGTCGATCCTAACTCAAATGGCGATATCTACCTCAAATTCGACAAGGTTCAAGGTGGCGAGAACGCCATCAAGGGTCTCAACGGCAGATATTTTGGCGGCAGGATGATCGACGCGTCGCCTGTTGTAGATGCCGTCTACAGCAGTTTGTTCTCACGCACCCGAGCCATCTGACGCTAATCTTCTTCGCCTCCCACATTTGCGCTTTTAGGACTCTTTTACGGTCAGTACCTGCTCCTTCCCCTTCCGTGGACCTCAGTCGTATACGGCTCTTCGCACACACACACAAACAGGAACTAATTCTAGAATAGGCATCATCTCTCATTAACAATGTCCAGGGCCACGCCTCGATAGCAGCCACCCCCACGATGGGCGTTTTCAAGAGACTTTTTAACAGTTGTGCAGACATCCCCGATGCCTCCCTTCGAACTGTCGACGATGCCGAACAATGCTTCGTCTAGGCTATACCATCTCCTACAGACCCAGCAACTAAGCGTCCAAGATGCGTCTTGGGCACTCGTCCTCACCTCACGGGCTTTTTCATCCTGCCTCAGTTTTGGGTGGAGCTAGTCCGCCTTGGTATACCCTCTACTCACGACACGCTCAGGTCTTATCTCAAAAGCAACGCGGCACACACACCAGTTGCTAGCTGATATTCTCCCTTAGGACCTTTTTCTTACCTAGGGCCCTTTTATCTCACGTACCGCTTCCTCTTATGGACAGAACCGTTGATGTTTTTTCGCCCCCCCTCCGAAGTTGATGCAACGCTTTGTGCATCATTTCTAAAGCCTGACGTTTTTTTCCAGTCTAGATTATTGTTTCCCTCATTTTATCTGGCCGTGCCATTTCTCTTAAGAAAAACAGCTTCAGACAGTTAACTCGTTCATAGCTAAAGAAAAAAAATACTATTGAACCTGCCTAGGCCTTCCATCGCTCTCCATTCTACCGTTCCGGCCGCGATATCGATTTGTGTGATTGATTAATATGGGGATCGCAGCTTAACAGTAAGCCCTGTCGATGGGCAAAGGGACTTTGGAAATGTAAACCATGGCCGTGTACTCGCTGGGTAGGGAGAAGGCACGAGTCTACTCTATTCGTCTCAGCAGGCCGTTCGCGATCCCGACGTCGAGTCCCCTCGATTATGGCTTCATAGGGAAAAGGAAGGAGCTAAACAACAGGAGGCTTCTCTCTCATTCCTAGCAAAGTAGAAGCAGAACAGAAGGCTTCTTGTCTTTCACTATCTCTAGCTACACCTTTCGCACCTTCCCAGTGGGAAAACAACAACAACAACATCCTATTGATTCTACCTCTCTAGATTCTATTCAAAATTTTTCGTGGTCGTGATTCATGTAACCCCCTAGACCCTTCCATCACTGCTAGCTCCAGTACTGAAGTTTTTGTCACCGCTCCAGTACCTTCTCTCGCTCTCCTTACGCGCCTATTCCCCTATTTATATGGTTCTTCCACTCTCCCACCATCGTCCCCTTTTCTCACACTTCTCAAGGCGTCAAGTTTGAGGTTCTCATCATCTAGACTTCATTGCTTCCCGTGCTGATCAAGCCTCTATCTCGTATCCCAATCGTTCATCCATTGTTCTAGTCTTTCGAGAATTCTCTCTATTGCAGAGCATTTACTAAGTGTCAGGTAAAGTACACTCTTGATCCTGTCCTCTCCTAGCTTGAACCCGTGGCTTGCTGGCCTTCTCTTTTTTTCTTGGTCTTCTTCTTACTCTAAATCCTGCTTCCTATACTGATCTGTCTTTAATCAAGTAGCTTGGCTTTAAAGGGCCCTGTTCCTTTGATATCAGGTTGACTGTTATCCAACACAATTCAACGATATGTTACATATTGACTTCACCACCCCCTTGAGGGGGAGGCTCGTCAGATGAAGCTTCAGGAGATGATTCACCAGCACGTAAGTGAGAGCCCTCTCCCCGAGTATATGGAGATGCTTTCTCTCAAGTCTAGTGAGATGTTGCCAGCGGCAGGCACCTCTCCACCAATCTAGACTGTTGGACATGAAGAGGGAGAGAGCCTGCCTCCTTTCCTTTTCTGAATCCCACTTTTTTCCCCCATCATTTCTGGTCAGAATCAAGCCCTATTAACGACGTTCTTTTTCCAAATAATAGAAAATCTTCCTAGAGTGCCGTGAAGCTCAAGGCATGATTGTCGATGCCCAGCACTCCATCCGCCGCGCTCCGGGGATGTGTAGCACACTGGCCGATGACATCAACAGCCTCCTCGTCAAGGCAGGCCAAAAGTTTAATCTGGCCGTCAAGTCCATCGTCGAGGACTGGTCGGAGCTCGCTCTTGAGAACGATGAAATGAAGAAGAGTTTGTCGAACTGGTCCAAGGACAACGAGGCTCGCGATGAGGAGCTTCGAATCACTCATCGGCAAAACTTTGACCTTAAATGTCGCCTCCACTCGTACAAGGAGCGCTCGGATGCTCTCATCCATGAAGCCCAGAAGCTTGTATCCATGTTTGACAAACTTGATGTTTTTGGGAAGGACGAAGACACCTTTTCTGAGCGAATGAACATTGTTCAGGTAAATAAAATCCCCTTCTTTCTTTTTTTCTCCTCCTTTCCATTTTTTCGATATTTCCGTAGAGGATAGGAAGTAGAGGGTAGAGTTCTTACTTCAGCTCCTTGCTCACTTCACGGGCTTTTCTTTTTCTTTGCTAACACGTCTGGTCCCCTCGAATAGACGCTTGTAGAGCAGATCCGCAATAAGGAGTCACTGTTCGCTCTTCTCGATACAGCTGATGCCGACTCGCTCTGCGACGAGTCGCCCAACGGAAGCAAGTGCACGCTTCTCGACGAGGCTCGCGAGGCATGGGAGGCCCGAGGAAAAAGAAGTCCCCCAGGGCGCCGGCATTCTGAAGAACGGTAAAGGGTCTGCTTCGAACAAATACGAGGACGCGGAGCCTGAGGGTCATCGTCGCCGCGATGAGCCTTTCCGCGAGTCGTACTCTGCGCCTGAGGGCATCGCGGGCAGATACCGTCCTGCCATGGCGGATCCGCGCAAGTCGCAGTCTCAATACGATGTGCGCAATAACAAGAGCGCCTTTTCTCCGGTCGAGGAGTACGAAGCCCGAGGGGGCAAAAGCTACGGCAACCCGACCAAAGTCTCTTGCGGGTCCCCGAGAAGAGGACGGTCCGCATCGAGGACCCCAAGGATGCCGAAAACGACCCGTCTGCCGGACGGGGCGGCGGCAATAGCGGAAAGACACCTCCTTGGGCCCCCGCCGAGAAGCAGCGCACCACGAGCGCACCCAAGGTAACCGAGCGGCCTCGCACAATGCCGCACCGGCCAGCCAGTACGGTTCACGTACTAGTTCTCCATCGGTCGCCTCGAGCGTCTTCCGCCCGGAAGCCGCTGCATTTGAGCCGGGCAGGGCGACGCCCGAGATGAACCAGCAGTGGCAGCAGGGACAGAGCCCTCGAAACTTCTACCATGGTCCGTACGGTAACCATCAATTCACGGGTCCCGCCGTTCGCGAGCCGGGTTTCCACTTCTACCCGGAGCACTTCAGCCCCTATGCCAACATGGCAGGTAATTACGGTTACAACGCACCCCCACCCCGCCGCCCCGGTAATCCCCATCATGGCGGGCCTTACCATGGCGGGAACCAAAGACACAATCGCCCCCAGACCCCCGGAGCGAGGCGCCATAACCAGCACCACAACGCTGGGTACGGCGCCCCGCACAAAGGCTCCCGCCGCAAAAACAACAACAACAATAATAACAACAAAAATGGCAAGACGCCACCTCTGGATCCTGCTCCGCTTCAGGTGGTCAGGGACCTGTACAAGGGGCTCATTCAGATGTGCCGCGGGTGGGTGAACTCGCACGCCGCCAATCCCGATACCAACGTAGTCCACATGCTCAGGGCCACGCCCGTTTGGACGCCGCTCCTCTCGGCGTACCCGGGGCTCAACGACGCGCAGGCGGCAGCGTACGTCGAAGTCCACATCAAGGACCCAGTGTACCGCCTCTTCTTGATCACGCGCGTGATGCTCGAGTATTTCATCAAGCGTGCGTGGAAATGGGAGAGCTGGCGACGCTTCGACGCCGAGACGGACGCGCGGCTCGGCAAGCTCCAGGAGGAGCTGAATCGCGCGGGGCCCCAGCTGGGGTTCCAGCGCCAGCAGCTGTTCGAGGCGTTTGGCGACCTCGTCGAGGGCGTGGCCGGGCACGAGGGCTACGCCGAGTACCGCGACAGAGGGTGCGACCGGATCGGGCGGGAGCTCAGCATCGTGCTGGAGCCGCTGCTCAACGCGGGGACGTTGGTCGGGCGCGCGTTCGAGGAGCTCCGGCTCGTGGCGGAGCGAGGGTGGGAGGTGGGCCGGGAGATGGCCCTCGCGCGGGCCCAGTTCACCTACCGCTACCCCAACACGGGCGACCGGTTCACGACCAACTCCATGAGCAACTTGTACCCGAACCGCTACGCCGAGGAGCTGCAGGCGGAGCACTGGCGCGTGGCGCTCGTGGCCTCGCCGGCTATTACGTGCGTCAAGGATACGGGTGGTTCGATTGCCGCCCACGATCTCTTCCTCGCGGACGTGCTCTGCATGCAGTGAGCGGCAAAGGGTGGCGGTGTTTGGCTTTTGGTGCTCGCCTAATTTTTTTCTTGTGGGCGAAAAGGGGCACTGGAGAAGAACACATGCACCGACTTGAGAGACGCAGCGGATTTGGCTGGTCTTTATGCTATGCTTGACTTTGATTTTCTTTTTTCTTCGTTTCTTTTTCTATCAACTACACTAACGCGACAAGGAAGGGCACTCGCCCAGAGGGTCTCTCTGATATCAACTCCCTACGACACAAGTCGTTGCCCAGAGACTCCACGGCATCGATCGGTGCTTGCACCCGGTATCCCATTCTAGGTTGCCCTTTATCACTGCGCTTCCTTCAGTGTTCTTCGCAAGTGTATCAGAGTTTTTTCCCTTTTTTCGTTTTCTCCTTTTTTCCAGTCATTTTGTTTTTATCGGCTCGTTGTTTCGCAAAATACATCAAGCCATCGAAGTGGTGTCTCTCTCAACGGTAAGAGAGAATAGTAACGAACAAGCGGCCGTTGGGAGCTTAGCAAGTTGTTGTTGCAGGACCGCACGTGTCGGTCTCTCATCTCTTTGGCTCCGACATCTCTTCTCTATCCCTCCAACCACCCGGCGCGTGGGAGCGAGCGTGAAGCAAGGAGTTAGTAGCGGACGATAACATGGGCAGGGTCGCTGGCCCGAGATCAGGACCACGAAACGCCGCGGAGACGGACTTGTCCGGTTTCGCGCAGGAGGAAGATGACGCTTCATCCAAACAGGGAACGCAGGAAGGCGTGAGTGTAAGTGCGATACTATGCATGAAGCGGCTTGATTGTTCTTTTTTTTTTTTTGCTTTCCTTTCGTTGTCTTTTATTTGCTTCGGTTATCAGAGGAAGATTGCTAACGCTTTTATGGGTATAGAACAGAGAACTACCAGCACGATATTGTATCCTTGCCCCCAAACAATCTCGAATCGTCGAGCTTTATATCCACCAACCATCCAAGAAAATGCGGCTCACGCCTAGAGCCGCCAAACATAAACAACTTGAGCCTTACATTACTTCAAGTGATCGAACGCGCTATTGCGCCCACTTCCACCATTACTTGGCCTCGTTCTATGACGAGCGAAACCTAACAAGAAAAAAAGAGGAGACAAGCGGTCACAATGGATTGTCGAGGTGTCTCAAGCCCACACACCCTGACTCTATTCGGGTGCCTAACACAAGAACCCTAATGTCACTTCCGAAGAAATTTTAAGAAAACAAAGTTGTGGCTTTCTCAGTATCCGCAAATTGGTCTGGCGTTTGGAATTTTTCATTTTTTTCTTTCTTCTTTTCGGTCGCGGTGCATCACGGCTCCAAAGTCTCGATCACTTGTGTGCTATTGTGGCCAAACTGGGATTGGGCAAGTGTGGGTAATGGCTTTTTTTTTCTTTTTTCTTTTTTCCTTTCTTTGTCTTTTTTCTTTTTCTTTTTCCTTTCTTTCGGCTACATGTATCGAAGATAGGCTCTTTTTCTACATTACACTAAAACAAATTGCAAACCATTAAATTCTCTCCACAATGGCCAGCCTGGTGCGATATGCGAAATGCGTACGCGTAGAGGGTGCGACGTTGTGCCCGTGATCAATCAAGCTGCACATCATGCTCCCACTAAGCCCGCTCAAAACGTCAACTCCAACTCGTTTTGAAATAATCGGTGCAGTGGGCTAAAGGCCATTACTAGGCTGGAACCACCTAGTAGCCCCGGTCGACTTATGGGCGCTGGAAAGTGCGGATGCACCATGACCCGATATTGAATAGAGCTGGGGATTGCACAATCGATCCATGCCTCCATGTTAATAGGGTGAATCCCACCAGTTAGAATAGATCCATCTAGTATCTATGGAATATCCGTGAGCCGGGGGCCGCGAAAAGCAAATAGTCACATGAAAATGCTGCGACTCCGGGCTTCCCTCACCGGATGTTTGACGCCTGTTGACGCCATGTGGGCTTCACTTCAATAGAGGCTTCCTAGACATTGGCCTAGAGGTTGATGGTCTACATATGTAGGGTCCGGGTAGGGTCCGGGTGCTTGGAGCTGGGAGGGGAGCTTGGAGCTTGGATGTGGGCACCAACACAGGCGATGATATCATGATCGCATCGTTAGGAAACACAGCCATTGAAGCTATTGTATACGCACCACCCAGCACTCTTCACTCACACGCGTGGCAAACGCGAACCTTGATATTAAGAAACAGTGCCTTGCTTCGTTTTTTTCTTCTTTTTTTTCCACCGGAAATTCATTCTCCATCTCTACATTTGCACGCCGTACGAGTCTTGTCCTGTCTGCTTTAGACGCAAGAGTGTATGTCTGAATAACACCAGGTTTCACCGAAGAATATCAAGGACCCCCAACCCAGCCCTTTTCCCTTCCATTATTTATTCCATTTCCTACCACATATTTGTTCAGCGGGCGCATGTAGTTTATTTCGGCCATGTCAAGCAAATTCCACTTCTCCATCGACCGCCACACGGGCGTACCCAAAGATGAGGACCATTTCAGCAAGGGAGAGCCCTCCGAGAATGGTTCGTCACCAGGCTACCAGATTCCCTTCCCCCGAGTGTAAGACTAACACGAATACCTCCATTCCCCCTCCGCACAGAAACCCGTTCCCAAGCCCACCGAGAGTTCCGCAGCGAAAAAGGCCACCTCCCGCACGCCGGGCTCAACCCCAGCCGCTCCTCGACGGGCGTGATCTGGGTCACGGACCGAGCAGGCGAGCACGGGTTCCTCGAGAACCCCCAGGAGTGGGCGAACCTGGGCCAGGGAGCCCCCGACGTGGAGGACGACATCGCGGGCTGCTTCCAGCGCCCGACGTCGGTGGACGTGGCCGTGTCGTCGAGGGAATACGCGCCCGTGGCTGGTATCCGGCCGCTGCGGGAGGCGGTGGCCCGGCTCTACAACGAGGAGCATCGAAAGGGGAAAGAGAGCCAGTACACGTGGGAGAATGTGGCCATCGTGCCGGGGGGCGGGCGGGGTTGATTCGCATCGCGGCGGTTCTGGGGTCGGCGTACATGTCGTTTTTCCTGCCGGATTACACGGCGTACAATGAGATGTTGTCGCTGTTCAGAAATGTGAGTGCTAAAGGGGCCCCTTCTTCGCCCACTCCTTGTTTCCGTCCCCCACACTTTCTCTAATTGCAACTCGTCACCCTCGCTAGTTTGTATCCATCCCCGTCCCTCTCTCCGCAGACACAGACTACCAGCTCGACCCGGAGACCATTTCGCAAGAGATTGCGCGCGGCGCCTCCATCATCCTCACTTCGAATCCGCGCAACCCGACGGGCAGGGTGGTCAAGAACCCGGAACTCGCCGAGATCCAGACCCTGTGTCGCGGCCGGGCCACGCTGGTGGCGGATGAGTTTTACTCGGGGTACAACTACACGAGCGACTGCGACGGGTCCACGATCTCGGCGGCGAGCAATGTCGATGATGTGGACAAGGACGACGTCATCATCCTTGATGGCTTGACCAAGAGATTTCGACTGCCTGGATGGAGGCTCGCGTGGGTGCTGGGTCCTAAAGGTTAGTTTATTGCCTGCTCGCCAACATACCCCGCCGCTTTCATCCCAATGGATTTATACCTTTCGCTCTATAGAAGAGTCGCTAACGTAGATTGTTATTGTGGTGTCCAGAATATGTTAAAGCGTACGTTGTTTGAAATAAAATCATCCCTCCTACCATGTTGCCAATCGTGTGGGCACTAACGAGGGAAGATAAAAATAAAAACTAACATATTTTATATAGGATCGGTTCAAGCGGAAGCTATCTCGGTATCGTAAAACCCACACTTTCCACCTAGTGTCCCTTGCCTAATCCTCCCCTCCTTTACGTAATTTTGGTTGGCAAGATTAGAGTTAACAGGCTATGGCGCGGGTGGTATAGACGGGGAGCTGCGCACTGCTTGCAAGATGCGGCGATACCGATGCTCGAGCCTGGGCTTGTCCGACGTGAGATGGCGTGTTTACAGAAGCACTTCAAGGTATGGAAAGAAACAAAACAGGTCCCCTTTCACGGCTTCCACCTGTTCTCTGCGGCATACCTCTAACTCGTGGCGACCTTTTCTTTTCGTTTTTATAGGAAAAACGAGATTATGTTGTGAGCAGGCTCACCGAAGCTGGGTTTAAATTCAAATACGTACCCGACTCAGCCTTCTACATGTACGTACATTGACGTACTTAAGATTGATAACCCCCTCATACAGACACACCCACGCCCGGCGCACTTTCCTTTCCCTTTCCATTTCCTGGACCCATTTCCCTTCCCCGGGCCCTTCACCTCCTCCCCGTCCGTCCCTGCAGGCCCCACCGGTTCATACACCCTCCCGCCATGCTGAATGACGGGCATGGACGACTACACCACCTGGCATAGCCAACCACAGCTAGCTAACGACTTCCCTCTATGAAAAGATGGCTTAACCTTGAAAACCTGCCCGAGCCCATCCGCGACGGCCTCAGCTTCTTCGAGGCCTGCCTCGAGGAAAAGGTCATTGTGGTGCCGGGCATCTTCTTCGACCTGAACCCCTCGCACCGGCGCGACCTCTTTGACAGCCCGTGCCACCACTTTGTGCGGCTTTCTTATGGGCCCAAGATGGAGCAGCTGCGCAAGGGATGCGATGGCATAGAAAGGGTGGTCGGAAGTACTCCCAATCCGCGCAGAACGGAGATGGGGAGGGAAGTGGGAGGTGAGGGTTGAGCGTACAGGGGGTTTAGGAGGCTTGTATAGACGAGTGTGAGGTCCGCCTTGTAATTGATGTATACGGAGGCAGATTGATGAAGGGAACTGCATGAGTGGGAGTCTCAAGGGATCGTTGATGTTGTCAGAATAATAGGGCGACTTATTGTGCGCCGTGTTGATGCGATCGAAATATTCTTCGACCCCCTTGATAATCAAATTGTGGAGGCGATACGTTCCCAAGGCTGATCAGTGAGCCTCTTCCCTAGTAATTGCATCCCCTTGGGTAAATTCGCGAAATTCGCGAAAGGGCGAGACGCCGGGGGCCGGGGCCAAAGCCAGCGTGTGGATGGAGTCATGATCGGTCCCACCCGGCCCCGTGGCCCCGGCAGTTGCCTCCCTGACCAATTTCCCCGCAGCCTGGCCCCACCACAGCCGTCCGCTCAGCCTCAACTGGCTTGGCCCGGCTGTGAACTGTAATTATCAACCTCGTGGGCCTTTTGAAAAACTACGGGGTGCGAAGGAGGGAGCAGGCTGACAGAAGGCCCTGCCCCGTGCTCTGCTCAATTTCTCACTAGGTATCTTTTTTGCCAATGGATCTATCAGCTCCGTGGAAGTGTGCACAAAAGATTGCGCCGCGTGGAGGCCGAGTTTGCCCATTTCGAGCCGCAAGGCCGAACCACCGGACCCCCAAATAACAGAGTGTGAGCCTGATGCACCGGATTTGGGCAGCTGCCAGCCGTGGGCTAAGGGATTATTCTTGCTCGGCGTGCTTCGCCTGAAGTATGTTTATCAAAAGTACATTACAATCAGGCTATGGCGCTTCACCTACGCAAAAGTGCGGTCGTGCATGTGCAAAGGCGGAATGGGAGAGGTCATCTCGCATTTCCCCAAGGTAAGGTTGACACGAAAAACTATAGGATAGCATAGTTTCCGATCCATACCAGCAGCCCGCCCTCAACAGCAACATCGCGCAAAGGGACATGTCGGTGTGAAGTCTTTTGCCTCTGTTCGTGATCCACCGTTTGGGGCGCGGATAAGTGGCTGATGAATGTAAAAACCTTAATCCCGTTGGTTTTTGCCCAACCACATCTGGTGTGGCGGTGGTGGCGGTACGAAGTAGTTCTCGGTTGTTACGCCCATGGATGTAAGGATTAGCAGTACGGCTGGAGGGAGGTGCAAGGCATCCACTATCGGGGCGAGAAAGTTAGTTACATCTAGGAGGCACTCACTGCCCCCAAAGAATTGGCTTCAGTTGGTTCTGAGCTCCGAATACCGAGGCAACCTTTGGTCAATATTTACTTCAATTTTTACATATCCATAGTAGATGCCTTTTTGTGCGACGCTGTATGATACCTGTCGCATGATTATCTTTGTACAACCAAGGTGTACAGCTAATACATGTGTATTGCACAGTTGTGTACGGGCATCTGTGCCATTAGATACATTTATGAATTGTAGTTGGAATAATATGCGGCGATCGAACTCCGCTGCAGCCGGGTTTGCCTTTTTGCAACAATTGGCCTCCAAAGGAGCTGTTTGTAATACCACATCATCTGCCCTTGCCACAGGGCGGCACCTGCACTGCTTTTGAATCGTTTGTGGAGGACCGAGAAGAAGAAAAACAAAAGAAAACGGTAAAAAAGCGAAGAAGAAAAAGGAAAAAGAAAAAAAGTCTTGCGAAAAAGAAAACCTTTGCGCTCAACAATGGCCAAGCTGTCTGCGGCTCAAACCCGCGCACAACGCGCAACGCACTGCGCATTGGGCTTAGAAAATGTATCAGAGTAGTCTGAGTCCATGCACCCTCTGGTTATCAAACGCAACCAGCCCGCAACCAGCCCGAAACCAGGTTCACGCCCGCCCAAGTGTGCAGGCCGAACAAGCACACACAAGAATGCACGCCGTGGAGCAAACGGGGACCCGAAGAAGACCGGAGCGGGAACAGGAAACAGGAAACAGGAATGAACATTGAAGAGGCTGGAATTCCAAGTGGGGATTGCGCTGTAAGCACCACATGCACCTACTGTAGCGCTTGAGATGCGCATTTTAGCACCAACCTAGCGCTCAATCCAAGCTCATCATCCGGGCACAGAAACAAAGAAAAAAGTCACAGATAGGAATTATGATGAAGTCAGTTTGCCCCTTACATGAAGTTTGAAAACCTTCTAGAACAACTTGACGACAAGGTATTATTTCATAGTGATTTTACTTGTCGTTAGCACATCCCTGTGTGGCTGAGCAATATATTGATGTACCTTTGGTGAGGTACAAACGCCACATGACTTTATGTTCTCAGCCTGGAGAGGTACAACCATCCACAGTGGTAAAATAACAAGTGTATTAACTCTTGTCTCGGATTGCTCTCGTCGTATAATTGAACCTGAAGGCGAATTTGAATTCCGCCTTTGATATATAAAAGAAGATAAAGGAAAGAGCATATCTCGAAACTTCCTGAATTAAGCAAGCAGACAACATTGAACATTGCAAACAGGCAAGAGCATCCAAACCTTGAGCTAGACAGCAAACAACTCAAGTCTCTAAACCCCTTTTCATCTGCACACTCTCTCCAAAATGGCGACCCTATTCGCTACCAGTGCTGGCATCCTCATTCATCCCCCTACCTCATCCACCACATCAAGCAGAAGTTCCAGCTCCAGCTCCAGCCGCAGCATGCCCAAGTCATTTTTTGGCAACCTTAAGGAAAAGATCCGGAAACGGTCCCCATCCCCCCACACACGGCCACACTCACCACCACACCCACAACCACAACCACAACCAGAACCACGGCCCCGGCCCCGGCCCCGGCCCCGGCCATCGCCACAGCCCCCGCCGTCCGGAGCCAGTTTACTGCTCAATCTACACCTCCTGCCTATACCCCAGCCAGCCGGTCCCGGGCTCCCGTTGGCCGTCCCATCTGTAAGTATGAATCCGGGGAGAGCGAGGATGACAAGAGGGAGGAGGAAGAGGAGGAAGCAGAAGCTATTACGAGTTTGGCACTAACAACAAACTGCAGCCATCAACGAGGCCCCTCCCGCCTACAACGACGTAATCGGCGCCGGGCGCGGTCTCCAAGCCGGCTCCAGCGCCCTGCGCGCCACTTCCCGGCGCGCTCGGTCGCGAGTAGCACCATCACCACGCCCGAGGACCCGTACGCGTTTCTGGGCAGCTTCGATACCGTTTTCGTCATTGACGATTCCGGCTCCATGCGCGGCCGCTCGTGGCGCGAGGTCCGCGAGGCCCTCCGCTCCATCACCCCCATCTGCGCGGACCACGACAGCGACGGCATCGACATTTACTTTTGAACCACAAATCCCGCGCCGGCGCCGACACCGCGGCCGGCAAAGGCCCCGGCGGGTACCGCGGCTTCAAAAACACGTCGGCCGTCGAGGCCCTCTTTGAATCCATCCAACCCTTTGGCGGCACGCCCACGGGCACTCGGCTGCAGTCGATCCTCAAGCCCTACCTCCAGCTGCTCGAGGCCAACAAGGACGACTTGGAGTCGTGCAAGCCCGTCAACGTCATCGTCATCACGGACGGCGTGCCCTCGGATGACGTCGAGGGCGTGCTTCTCAACGCCGCGAGGAAGCTCGACAGGATCGACGCGCCGTCGTACCAGATTGGCGTGCAATTCTTCCAGGTCGGCAACGAGCCCGGCGCGCGGGACGCCCTCAAGGAGCTGGACGACGGCCTCAGCCAGATGGTGGACGGTGGGGTTCGCGACATTGTCGATACCGTCACTTGGGACGGCTACGATGGCCGGTCGCCACAGGCCCTAACGGGAGAGAGTATACTCAAGGTCGTGCTGGGTGCCGTTGTTCGGCGCTTAGATAGGCGTTGAATGAACCGGGCCTCGGGTCTCGGATAACTCGGCGAGCACGACTTTTCTACTTTCCTTTCTTTTTCCATGTTCTTATCTCTTTATCTTCGTCTTGGGAATTTCCTCCTTTCGCTTCGTGTACATTGATTCCCGAGGATACCCTCTTTTCTTCTTCTTCTTCTTCTTCTTACTTTTCTTCTTTGTACGCAATAGACGAGGGCCGATCACAAACAGGGCCACGGAGTTTGTTAGAATACATCATATAGATGAAATTGCAATTCTTCATATCAAAAGCAAGTACTCGGATGGGTCTAGACTGATGATGGATCTCGTCTCATCTCGGTGGCACTTCTCTTCTTACTTTTCACTGCAGAAGGTATGCATGGTTTAAGTTGCCCATTACAATAGGCGTGCCGTTTGAAATTCAGCCAATACCGAAAATTACAAAGCGGACCGGTCGTGGCACGTGATGGAAGTGATGACACGGAGGGGAGCAAACTATTTGGAACTGGGAAACTCTCAAATCAGTATTACTTGTTTCCTAAACGGGTAAAAGAAGGGGATTGGGGCGGCCGAAGAAAAAGGGAAAAAAGAGGTTCTAGGCGAAAAGGCTCGTCAGAAAAGTCAAACTTGCGAAGCTGCGACTAGTGCCAATCAAGTTTTTGGGTCACCCGCAAAGCGAGTCGTACCATAAATTGAACGGGTACACGACTCCCACTAGAATAATTTGATCCTCTCATCCAGATCCCCCAATTGGACACGATCAAGTTACATGTGCGAGCAAGCTGAAGCTAGTTTCAAAGTACCAGGGAACAGAGCTGATGGCTGATCTCTCCCGCAGAGGGGCCCGTACCCCATACCACTTGCTCCGTCCAGTGTCAGTTTTCTTTTGGGGGTCAGGTGGCACCTTTCTTTGGCCCATCCTGGTGCGACATTGCCCAGGTACTGCTCATGAGGATCCCCGGAAGATCGGTGCCGTATTCAATTCTTTTGGCATGGTAACGGAGGGAAATGGGACTGGAACGCAGTAGTCCAGGTCGTAGACTGGCTGACTGGCTTGGCCGAGCTTGGCTTGGCTGGCTGGGGGAAAAGAAATGTCTCAGCTTTCTACCCGGTGCTTTTTCCTGGCACCAAGTTTGCCTGGACAAATGACATTTCGTAAAACCATCACTCGCGGTGATGAGGCAGCTGCACTGCACTGTAAAGTGCAATCTCTACCTCGGTAATCAGCCAAGTAATACTCAGTCCTCTCTACATATGAGGTAGGTAGTACTCAAGATTGAACCCTCACGTGACTGATCGTTGGACGGGCAGCCGGCCTCAGTCTCAGTGAAGAAACTGGAGGGCGATTCATCAACCTCCTCAAGTGATTGATTCAGAAGGGTTGTCTCAGCTTCTCTCTGCTTACTAACCTACCAAGAAACTAAGCTGTACAGTTTAAAAATGTTGATTCACTGTTTAAGGCACTGTAAGAGCATGGAAGAAATTAACCGGGAATAGTCCGATGGGGGTGAGTCCTTGCGAGTCCTTGTGCTCAGAAACTTTCTGCCTGGAAAAAAGGGCGCCAATGTGCAAAGGGGAGGTGGAATGGGGACTTCACAGTTGGCTGGGCGAATGGGATGTAGAAGGGGCCCGAGCTCAGAGACGGGGTTGATGGCGGTCGTCGCCGGGTGGTCCGGTGGTTCTGGGTCAATTGGAGCGGCAGAGGAACGCAAGCCATGAAAAGTCCGAGAATGGGCGAAAAAAAAGTGAAGGGGAGTGGGCGGGTGAGACGGGGATGGAGGCATCGATTACCTAAGCCGTTTTTTTTTTTTTTCCTCTTCTCTTCTTTTCGGTCCACCATCTCGCCAGCCTCGAGGCTTGAGGCCCTGGTTGGTCGGATCTCTGGGGAAAGTCGCAAGCTCCGTTCAAGAAGCGACGACCCCCGGCAAGTGGACCTGTCGCCCCAGCCAACAAGGTACCGAGTACGACCGCCCCACAGGAGGTGTACGCGACTCTTAACATTATTAAGCTGTGTTACATGACATGCGCCTTAGGTACCTATAAGTACCCTCAGAATGGTGGTAAAAGTGAGGTTAAAATGTAGCCACTTGTAGACAAGTCTTAGAGTTACAGGTACTGTTAATGGAAGATAGGGTTCTACGTACCGTCATCGTCGTCGTCCCGTTCAAGTCCCGATCTTGCGCTAGATACAGGGCAGGCTGTTCGGCTTCCTGCAAGTCAATCCATTGACCATTGATTCTCGCTCTCTTCTCTTGCTCCTGTCGTGCTGCTCACCCACACATGCTCACACACTCACACACTCACACACACACACCTGCCTCTCTTTGTGTCTCTTCCGCTCCCCTTCCCCTTCCCTTCTCTTTCTTAATAACCCTCCACTTCCCCATCCACACTTTTTTCTTTCTTCCCCTTCCTGCCCTCCTGGTCACATTCCATCTTCCTAATCATCAACTTACATCCTCATCCATCACACCTACCTCTGACCTGTTACACCTAGACATACCTCCACCTCCACCTCGTCTAGTCGAACACGAGCAGCCACGTCGCGTGCCTTCTTCGTTGTTCGGGGGCCCTTCTTAACTCTTGTTGATAGCTCCTTCCTTCCCTTCAGCTTCGCTGCTCTATCATCCCGCCCTCGCCTTTCACCCGGCGCTCTCGAAACCAATATCGCGGACCGTCCTATCACCAGAGACGCGGAACCCCATCACGCCAACCTTTCCAGCTCATCCCTAGACGAGCAGGTTGCGTAGTGTAGTGATTTCGTTACTAACCCTGTGTCCCCAGACTCGCTACCTTGCTTTTCTTGCTTTCAAGCATCTTTCCTCCACTTCACTGTTTCCCTCCATCCTCAGCTCTCGCTCCTTGCCCTTTCTTCTCTAAGTAGCAATGGGTTACTTCGGAAGCTCCTTCGCCGACGGCCCCGTTCTCGCCCTCGCCCCACAGACCGCACACCAAGCCTTTACGCTCGGAAAATCTACCTTTCAGACGAGGCCCAACCACGCCGCCTTCGCGCGTCGATTCGCAAACGCCAACATGACCCCTTCGAGGCCCTCTGGCGCTGGCCGAAAGAGGTCTCGCGAGGAGGCCGAGCCCAATCTCTCGGAGGACCTCCCTGAGCCCACACCCGCGCCCTCCTCCAACACTAGCTGGCTGTCTGGAAATGACATGCTTATGATGGAGACGGCCCAGCCTACTGCCGCCGCAATCCTACACAACGCCGAAGTGAAGACGGCCCTGCAAATGCAACAAGAGCAACAAGCTTCTGGTCGAAGCTACAAGACCCAGCGCCGCGAGATTACCTCTGCCGCAGCGACACCCGTTGATGAGTTCAGCAGCCCAAGCCCCAGCCTGGCGACTCCCATCACGGAGATGGACAACCATCCCGTCGTCGATGACTTCACCCTCCATCTCGGCATCGGTTGGAGGCGCATCGGCAATGATGAGCACATTCAGGCTGCTGCTCGTGGCTGGGCCAGGTTCATCGAGAACCACTATCCCATTTCCAACGTCGTCATTCAGCTTGAGAGCAAGGGCCTGCAGTCGTACCTCATTGAGGCCTCTGAGGGCTACTTCCTCTTTGACGAGAACCTTCGACAGGGTCGCCTCGTTAGCAGGACTGGAGAGGGTGCGCTCCAAAACCTCAAGAGCAACCCTCCCGTGTTCGACGGTCCTGAGACCATGATGGCCGCGAGCCAGCCTTCCCTCCCCATCCACACCCAACAGGCCAACTACATGCGTGCCCTTCCTTTCGGCAACGCTGACCTTGAGATGGAAGTCTGCTAAATTTACGTGGCTCACCTCGTCACCATCAGGCCGGTTTTCGTCTACATCTACTGGCTTGTTCACATCAACAATTTCATCGGTTCTCTCGCGCTCTTCCCATGATGGGTCTGCCCTTGGGCCTTTCAGTCTTGATCTTTCTCGCATTGACGGGTCGGGTTTTTCTTCTCCTTTTCATGATTTCACGGCGGCGCAAATCTGGAATGCTTTTTAATTCCTCGGAAAGGCGTTACATCATTATTTTTCCACAACGGCTTTGTGTGTATTTTTTCTCTTGGGGTCAAAGGGTACCGGCGGAATGGCCAGCGACAAAGGACATCTGGAAGGGGCCCATCTTGCTACCTTGGGTTTAGAGGTGGGCACGGTGAGAGAGCTCTGTCCGATGGAGCGGAAACAGGAGCACCACGGAAAGCGGCATCTTCACAAGAGCCGACTTGTAACAATAGTAGGCGCTTTTGAGTGCCGAGAAAGAAATAGAAAGAATGCAATGCAAACAGTTCAAAAAAGTTAGCATCAACTCAACTAACAGATCTCTCCTCATTTTTGTGACTCTTGTGTATGACCAGTCTGAAGAATGCGAATGCCTCGAGCAGAGGTGGGTAAGTTGATTTAGGTGCCTGAGGTATCAGGCTATCATTCACTCCAGCCAAATAAGCGGCAAGCAATATAATAGTGCAAAGAGACACAGTGTTGTCGAGGTGGAAGGGGGCAGAGCAGAGGCGAGGTGCATCTTGTGCAGTTGAGGCTTGTGCTGACAAACTGGGGGCATTGGGGGCTCCCGCCTATCCTCTCCCTCCTCGCCCTCATTCCTCAGTCTCGCTTTATAAAGTGGTATTTTCTTAATGTTTTACACTTTCATCATCATTTTTTATTTTATTTTTATTTCTTTGTCAAGTGATTTATGCGGATGGGAAGCGTGTCGCAGGAGTCTCGAGGTGGCTTGATGGATGGCACCGGCGACAAAAGGGGGCTACTTCTTATCGGCCTGGCTATTTGCTAGTATTACCCGGGCTTGCAATTCTTACTAAGACAACGGAATGGCCATCTCTGGATGGCTCAGTGAGAATAGGACCATCGTCGGCTGCAGTGGTGTGTTCAAGCGAGCGAAGCATGATGGAGAAAAGGAGGGAGGTCGCCTTTGGATAATTTGATTGGACGAAGCTCCGGCGATGGAACAAAACGTTGTGCTCGGGCGAGTTATGAAGAGGTGGGGGCATTGGAAGGAGGTGGGCTGGATTAAATGGCATATGGTTGGCTGGAGCGCCAGTTGTGAAGAAGAGACTTGACAGAGACATGATTTGCACGCTCAATACCATGCTTACCCAAGGTATACGATATGTACAAGTAAAAGCTAAGCTGGACTGAAGCGTTTCTGATACGGGAGCTGCACGTCGACCTTTCCAGCCCAGTGCTCTCCCCCAAATCGTCCTGAACGGGCCTATGCGAGGGATGGATGAACCGTCAGCGGAGATGCGGCGGTTGAATGGCCCATGGCACAGGCTTGTTTCGAGTTTTGTGTTCTTGGTCGCGCCCTGACTCTTTGCCCGTCCGTCTGTTCTGGAGGTTTTCGTTTTCGGGTGACCCGGCTTTTGGACGGAGCGAGGGAAGGTGGGGGCGCTGTTTGGGAGGGGCCAAGTCGTGTGAAGAGTGCTGTCCTCCTCGGGCTCTTGGTCTAACAATGTTCGTCTGATAGCGGGCAACAGTGGATTTACTCCGACGGTCGGAATTTCTCTCCTCCAATTTTTCTCTTTTTTTCCAAGCTCACGGGGACGTATTAGGGGAACAGACGAAAGGGGGTGCAGAGAACAGAGCACTCTACGCAAGACCGAATGGCGATGGTGAGTGGCAAATGTCGAGCTCGGAGGGGATAGGATACGCGCTGCAGGGGTCACCCCTCTTTTTTGTTCCTCGCTTCTCCTCTCTCGCTATCCCGATCTAATATTATCTTTGCCCCCTCCTCTTCTAGGCTTGGATCCTTGATGTTAGGGGCTCTTTTTGCCGGCGGTGTTTGCTGCGAGATACCATTTCCAACCACTGGGGTCGAAGAGAGAGCCAGCTGCCAACTGGCTGAAAATGCACCTACGCCTTCAGGGCGAACTGGTTGGTGGTTGTCTAGCGTCCAGCTGGCTTTTTGGAGGCTGGGATGGCCCCTCTTGCTGTTGAACAAGCTGAGATGCCGGCTTGTCCATGGGCTCCCTCTGAGGCGCTGGCTACAAGAGAGTGTACATACTATACAACCTAGTTTTCAACCGCCAAGCGATTTCGTGGTGCGAACGTGCAAGGTTGGAAGATGGCTTTCATTGGAAAATTGCTATGAGGGAGGAAGAGAAGGGCAGTTGGATGCTGGCTGCTTCCAGCAACCACAAACCCGGGACGACACCACTCCAAGCCATGGCGACACCACCCGTCCAAGTCATGCTCCCCGTGTGCCCAGAGACCTTCATACCCTTTTGGAGCCTTGTCCGCCTCTCATCCTCTCCAGAAGTGCTCGGCCTGGCAACATCCCGTGCATGTGTTCACGTCTCCCTCCCCAGATGGGTAGGATTGACTTGCGCGCAACAGCCCCGATGCTCCTGGTGGATTGGATGGCAGTCGTCCTTGGAGGGGGAGCAGAGCACATGTTAGTGCGAAAAAGGGCAAAGGAGACTTCTGAGCCCTGCACCGAGCGTGTGCCTTGCCAGAATTTCATTTGACCTCGTCTATTCGCCTCAATTCATTCGCCTTCCGGCTTCGAGTTTTCCAGCTCGATCCAATGGAGGCCGCAAGAAGGGGGTTTTTTTCTCCGTCTTTCTTTTTTCTTCTTTTTCCCCTTCCCTGCTCATTCTCCCTCCTTTACCGGAACCAAGTAATACTGCAGTACTTTTTTCCTCTTTTGCCTGGCATTGTCGCACGCTTTTGGGGTTTCCGCCACACCGCTGGGTATCGTGACTCCATCTGCTCCCGGCTGCTCCCTTGCTTCACGCCCCCGTTTTTTCTGATTGTGTCTTCTAATCTCGACTTGGTGCTTGATGTCCAAAACCCTCTTCTCGCGAGTATTGACTCATTGTACTGGCCTCGGCATAGTTTTCCATTGTTGCTAGGATCAAATTTATCCTGGTGCACGCGTGTTTTTTCCGGGGGACTTTACAACCTCTCTTGAAGCTAGCCACTGTGACTTGTGCTTTTGCCTCACCTCCTTGTAGTGCAACATCCTCGCGGTCCTCGTATTGGACTATCCATCTTTCTCTTTCTCTTTCTCTTCTTCTTTTTCTCTCTTCCCCTCATTCTCCTTTTTGATTGCTTGATTAATACCTGGAAAGAATATTTCTCTCCTTTGAAGGCCCGGATTACTTTGAGAGTATTACCGCAGCGTCGAGAACAGTGACCTCTCCGCCAGGATTCCTTCCTTCTACTTCGTCCGTCCTTCCCAAAGGGGGAAGCTCATCCTTGGAGTTCGCTCTGCTTGACTCATCCCACTCGAACCAAGCCAACGCCAAAACGCCAAAGTTGGCAAGCACCCACGCGCCTGGACCACTTATCGCCAGCGCAAGACCTTGTTCTCGAAACTTGGATTTCTTGGGAATCTGCACGAGCCGAGTCCTAGACGGGTCGCGTCCTCGGCCCCTCCTCCCAGCCCTCTCTGACCCCTCAGCCAACCTACTAAATCAACCAACGCTTGACGTTCGTCATTGATGTACGGAGACAACATCCCACTCCCTCTAAGCCCGTGGTGACAAGCGCTGGAAGCAAGACTCCTAAAAGAGAAAGGGAGAGAGAAAGGAAAAAAGAAAGAAACCCGCCCCCGACTTTCCACTCATTCTCAGACGCAGAGAAAACAAAACAAGAAACCTAGAGATCGCGAGGGAGGAGACACCCGAATCCAAATATTGATGTTGACAGTTACACACGTCGCATAGCATCGGAGTCCACCCACACCACAACCACCAAAGGGGAGAACACGCTCTCAGCAACATTGAATCCATCCACTTGTGTGTCTCTATCTGCTCGCTGAGCGACGCGGACCGCAACCAAAGCTTCGATAATTTGGCCCTAATCAACCTTTTCTTTCTTCTTTTTATTTTTTATATTTGCAAGCTTGTGCTCGAAGCCTGGCTCCCCACGTCTTGGTCTCCTTAGGCCTGCTAGTTTACGGCCCCTCTGCAGCACCGCTGTTCGATCCTTTCGACCCAACTAGCTCAACTCGCTAGCACCCACGCACCACGCACCCAGACACCCACGCACACCAAGAGCCGTAGCAGCACCTCTCACCCACGCAGCCACACATTCACGCCTACAGACACACATCACATACCCTATATAGCACGCGACAATAAACCCTTTTTGCGCGGCGCCCACGCGCAGACCGTCTCCATGGTGTCGAAACCGGAATACTCGACATCTCTCACCCTGCGGGGTCCCTCCTCCGTCGTCTCTCGCCACCCGCACTCCTTTTCCCACTCCCGCTCCCGCTCCAAGCGATATAACCGATCCCACGCCGGCGGCACATCATACATATCCCAAAACGAATTTCCCGTCTTTACCAACAGCGGCGATGTCGAAATCATCATCAAGGCCGGCGGCCACGAGAACAGATACCTCTTGCACAGGCACACGCTGACCCGATCTTCTGGATTTTTCGAGGCGAGCACGAGCGCTGAATGGAGCCGTGGCGGTGCGGGTGCTCCCGCCAATTCGACGCAGGACCTCAGCAGGGTGGGCGAAGAGAGCGACGGCGGCGTCAACGTGTCGAATTCCGCGGCCGACTCGGCCCAGAGGAGGAGGCGGTGGAGGTATGAGCTCGATCCTGGCTGCGATGAAGGGGACGTGCCTATGCTGGTGCAGAAGGAGGCAGAATCCCAACTTGACTCGTCTGGCGGCGGTCCCAACGGCGCCGTATCGGTTTTTGGCGGACCCGTAAACGGCAACGGCATGACGGCAGGGTCGAAAGGAAAGCCCGGCCACGGCCCTTCGGCGTCGGCGAGCTCAGGCCGCAGGGGATTTCTCCAGTCCATGGCCAATCTCAGTCTTATACCAGGAACGCCCGCCGTCGAACCGCTCTCCCAAATGGACCAGGACCTCCTCCGGGACTATGATAACCTTTTCCGCATCTTCTACAACTATTCGCCCCTTCTCGACGGGGTCAGCATTGCAGACGCCTACATCCAGTGCAAGTCGCTTCTCACGCTCGCAGACCAATACGACGCTCTCCTTGTCGTCGGACCCCGCGTCGACCACCACCTCCTCCAGTTCCAGTCCCGTCTGTGGAAGCAGATTGCCAAATACCCTATTTCCTACCTCCGCCTCGGCTACCTCGCCCGTAGCAAGATCATCTTCCAAGAAGCCCTCATCCACGTCGTCGGCCAATGGCCCGTCGGCGAGCGGGCTCTCCGCGCCGCGCTTCCAGATACCGTCATCGACATCATCGAAGACAAGGTGGACGAGCTCGAGGAAAACGTCACCCGCGTAGAGAGCCGCCTGTTCAGGCTCAACCTGTGTACGCCGCGTGGCGAGCGCGTGACCCCCGCCACTTGCTTCATCGACTGGCTTGCCGTCTCCTTCTTCCGCCAGTGGCTCGCCGACAACACGAGCTGCCCGCCCTCCCCCACGCCCCCGCGGCCCATCACGGAGACGGACATGGCCGGAATGGCAACTCGAGCGACGGCAGCAGCCGCTCCGCCCACTCGGGTGCCGTCGTGCAGGTCTCGGCCGCGCAGCCCTCCCTGCCCCCGTTGCCGCTTTCCTCGCTAGGTCGCACCTTTCGTATCCTCGGCTCCGGCAGCTCCTCGGCCTACCTCTCGCATGACGAATGCAAACGCTTCCTCAAGCTCTCGCCGGAGCTGTACAGCCGCGACAACCTGCGGCGCTTCGAGAAGAGGATCGAGGAGCTCAAGGCCATGGCTCGGGAGATTGTGCATCCACTCATGGGGAGTGGGCTGGAGCTCGAGTTTGGCGGGCGCGTCGCCGAGGGTCTGGGCTATCTTACCTGTACGACCGTGAGGGAGAGGGATCTGCCCTGGTTGGCGGAATGAGACGAGTAACCGAAAACGAATGTTTCGTCTCCTCTCCCCCACCCCATTTTTCTCTCAAGCTCGATTTCCCCCTCCCGCCGTGGATGTGGGGAATATCTTTTTTTCCTTTTCTATAACCTCCCATATATTTCCTTTTTTTTTTTAACTCTGTGGGAACATCTGCTTCAATGTCTTAGATTGGGACGCGGGGCTGGGTTCTACAAGGATCTAATCTTTTCTATGGAGAGACAGCACAAGGCACAACTATACCGCTCTTTTTGAGCATGCCATCTTTTATGCCGGGCGCGGGAAGGCTTTTGTTGGATTCTTTCTGTACTATGCTGGACATTGGGAAAACGACTCTTTTTTTCTTGATTTCCTATACTCTACTTTCTTTTCTTTCTATCTACTGAAATGACTTGATGATTTGCAAGGAGGCTCTGGGGGTTGTTGTTGGTTGGGACAGAGTCGACATCAGCAACGTGGATACGGCCGTTTTCTTTCTTTTCTTTTTCTCATTCTATGACCATTGGTAAGATGCGCGAATACCCTCTCTAGTCTCTCACTCTCACTCTCAATCTAACTCTCTGACTCTATATCTATCTTTCCTGTTACTTGTCTTGGAGCTGGATAATTCTCTTTGTTTAGCATTTACATCTTGGATTTACACAACATCTTGTCTCGTAGGATTCTTTGATCATTTAGATATGCAAACATTACTATCGTACAAAAAGATGGTTTCTCTATACCTCGCTAGTCTTACAAGTCCTGCCACTTAGTCATCTCCAGTCAGGTCGATGATGGAGATGGCGCTCTGGCGCTTCCTCTGCGCCGCTGCTCCTCCCCGCCAATAAGTTCTAGCAACGGTTCCCGGTGAGCAGAACCCGTCTTCTTCCCTAGGCGGTCAGACGCCGATTTGGATACCGGGAAGAGAATCTTTTGCTGCGCGGCGCCGCCGGCCTTGGACACCTTGGCGCTAGACCCCTTCCTCCTCGTGGGCGAGCCCTCCGCCGTCACGCCGCTTCGGGAGAGGACCGAGGTCGGGCTCGACAAAAGAGGTCGAGGGTGGTCTGCCCCAGGCGCGCGTCCGGGCCGCCGTATTTCCCGTTGCGGGATCCCGTGGATTTCAGCCACGGAGGCGTGTCAAGCGGCTCAGAAGGGAGGCGTAGCCGCGGTGGGGTGTCCACGTTGGGGGACGCGGCTTGGGACGGGGACGGGGCGCCGCGAGCGGGGTGGGTGGTGTCGGCGCGGTTGCCTCCTGTAGAGGGGGTGCGGAGCCCTTGTGTCGCCGCCGACGCGGTGGACCCGGTAAATTGTCCTGGGGGTTTGGGGGCGCGCGGGGCTCGAAGAGATGAGGATGGGTTCTTGGGCGGAGGCATGGGCGGGAGGAGAAGAGAGGAGGAAAGTGTCGAGGGCGGGGGCGGGGGCGGGGGCGGGGTTTTGCTCGCTTTCGTCCTGGGGCCAGAGGTTTGTGAGCTCGAGAGGGTCCATGGATTTATGGGTCGGTTCGCGTTTGTGTGGGAGGGATAAGAGTAGGTGGATGAGGTGGAAGAAGAGGAGGAGGAGGAGGAGGACAAGGAGGGTAGATTGCGCGTTCGCGTAGCGGTTGCGGCGGCGGCGGTAGAGGTAGTGGTAGTGGCAGTAGTGGTAGTAGAAGGCTTACTTTTCGGGCCGGGTAGTGTAGGTTCGGCGGTTTGAGGTTTCCGCTGGACGGTCGTATTCTTGGTGACTTTGGGTCGTCCACGAGGCCGGACGGGCTTTGGTAGTTCTGAACCTTGCGTGGGGGTTCAGGGACGGAAGAAGAGGCGGGCGCGGGCTTGGAAGAACCGAGGTCGGCGTTTACCGCCTTGGTCACCTTGAGCCAGTTGTCGAGCGTCTTTTGGGAGACTCTTTGCCTGCCTTGGCAGCTCTGGAGGGGCCACTTTGGCGGGCGCCTTCTTTTTCGCCATCTTCTTTCGCTCCGCGGCCTCGAAATCCTCCACGGTGAGGGGGCTCCCGAGCTTGAGTATCGATTCGGATATCCAGACGGCATCAAGCTTCGTCGGGTCAAACGTCTTTTTCGGGGCCGCCGCCGCCGCCACCGCCGCCGCCTCGCCCTCGGCAAACTCGTCGTCGCTGTTAAGCGCCAGCCCGTCCCGCGCATAGGCCACCGCGTCCTCGGGCTCGGCCTCCAAGTCTAGGCCCACGACGTCGGCGGGGACAAAGTGGGCGCGCAGCTCCTGCATCCCATCCGTGCTGACGTGCGTCCGGCGGCCCGAGATCTTGGCTACGAGGGCCGCCTCCTCCTGCTCGGCGACCGCGAGGGGCGGGGCGTGGGTCGCGATGGCGCGGGACCTGTGCATGAGCTTTTGGACGAGGAGGCCCGGCGCCAAGACGCGGACGAGCTTCTCGGCGCCGATGCGGTTCGTCCAGTCAAAGATTTCGTCGGTGAAGCCTCGGAGGGGCACGACGTCGACCGGCTTGCTCCATGTCGCGCTGGTCTTAAGCCTCTCGACGGTGGCGGCCTCGGAAACGACGGGGTGGGTGTAGTACCGCAGGACTTCGAGGTTGGGGAAGTCGTCTGGTATCGCGAGCGCCTTGTGCTTGGTCCTGAAGAAGCCGCTCTCGTTGGTGCGCAGCTCCTTGATGAGGCTGTCCCTCCACCGTCGGAGGCCGGCCTCGTCGGACCTCTTGAGCCGGCACAGGGACTTGCCGAACCCAGCTCGGGCAGCCTCGCAGGCTACTTTGGGCCCGCATCCGGGGATGCCCTCGGGCAGGTAGTCGCCGCCGCTCATGAGGGCCACGAGCACCATGCCCTCCCTGTCGAGGCCCGACTTGATAAAGTGCTCGTCGTCGACGCTATACATGGTGATGTGGGTGGGCGTGTTGCTTTTCGCCTTGCTGCCCTTGACGTTGGAGACCTCGGCGGACCAGTTCCGGAGGGTTTTCGAGCACCCAAACATGATGGTGTCGACGTCCTCGCTCAAGACGGCGTCCACGATGCCGTGCTGCTGCAAAGGGCGCACTCGGCCTCGGCCTCGCCGGGCGCGTCGTGCGTCTGGAAGCCGAAGAGCTTGACGAGGCGTCGGGCGAGGGCGGTGGAGGTTCGGTCGCCCTGCGTGGAGCGCTTGTTCCGCTTGAAGACGGGCTTTCGGGGGCCGTCGAAGACGAAGATGGGCTCTATGGAATGGCCTAGCAAGCGTGCTAGGCGGTAGAATAATGTGCGTATGGCGGGGTTCGTGCCACCTTGTATCGAGTAAGTTTGACCTGCGATTTGTGGAGGGAGGCCGGGGATCGAAAAACTTACCCTGGGCGGCTTGGACCTGGAATTGCCAGATGGAGATGTCGACGGCTATGCGAAGGGGCCTGCCGGACTTCTCAAGGGTTTCTGATGCAAGTTTTGCAAGAGACACCCGTTGGCCGGGGCCAAGTTCGGCGTATATCCTACGAGGGTGTGAGCGTTACTGAGAACAAAGACTCATGTAATATCTGTATCAATTTTCTTTCTGATTTTTCAATCACCCTATGGGGGAAAAGGACTTACCCCTTGATACCCATAGTTTCCAATCACGGCCGTGGGCCTCTGAGCGGATCTTGCTCCGTATATTCCACGGGCGTGTGCAAGTCCGTTCACATCAACAAGACTTTGAAATCGTCGAAACAACATGCGCAAGCGCATAACCGCACCGCATGACTCGATTCGCACTTTTGTTCTATTTGAACCAAATATTCAATGGCTGCATTTGTGACAGCCAAAATTACCAGACTTAAAAGACGAGGGCAATTGATCGAGTGTGATGGTCCGGTTTAACTCTTGGTGAGGACCGGTCAAGAGGCGATGAAATGCCTGAGCTTGTGTTGTTAGCGTTGGCCAGGCGATGCTCGCATACTTGCATCAAGATGTGCGGCCCCACATAAAATTCATCAATCCGTGAAGAGCTTCCGTCCTTCACAAACGACATACAAAAAGTGTTAATGACATTGGAGGGGCATAGCTCGCCATTTCGGGTTCCAGAGCAACGCTGGATCTATTGATCGATGTTGTCATTCTCACTGCGCTTCACGCCGGGTTATTGTGAGGTCCCTTGCAGAAAGTGGCAGGCTAAGGATGCAGCTATGAGCGAAGAAGGAAGAAATGACGAAAAGCCATGGTACAGCGCGATGCTTGGAGAATTCCATCCGCACTCGCCAATGGAGCTCGAGATGGTACATGTATGCCCCAGGGCTGCTTCATTGACTGTCCTTAACGTGCAACTATCTTCTCCATCCGGTCAGCGCTAATGCGGGGCATTCGATCAATGAGGACTTGGATGTTGCCTCATCTTCCCCTTGCACCTTTAAAAGTGATTGTATCCTTGTATTACATTCAGCGTGTCGGACACAACCTCTTCATACCTGCTCGTAACAATAGGTCTTTCAAAAGGACCACAGCAAGCACCGGAGATGGATGTGAATGGGGCTCCGGCGAAGAGATACGCCAAACACTTCATCCCCTCGAGTCCAACCCTGACGTGTTTAACCAGCTTATTGGTCTCCTCGGCGCACCCGAGTCTTTATTCTTCGAGGATGTCTTCTCCCTTGATGAAGCCGAGCTCCTTCCCCGCCCTGCTGTGGCGCTGGTATTGATATTTCCTGCAGGACAGGATTACGAGGCTCGACTTGCCGCCGAAGAGGCTAGCCGGTCGAGCCACGCTTTATCTGGCGGTCATTCTGCCCAGGAGGTCACTTGGTTTCGCCAGACTATTCACAATGCGTGCGGTCTCTACGCCATCTTGCACGCTCTGAGTAACGGGGTGGCGCGTTCATTGATCGGTACCATAAACATCCTCCTCTTACTACCTCCTACTGGGATCAAGCCACGGGGCTAATCAGAAAAATATCCACGTAGAACCCGAATCCATTCTTTCTAGGATCCTCGAAGAATGCCGAGGGCTTGATGCCCGGTCCCACGCACTCGTTTTGGAACAGTCCCAAGAGCTCGAGGACGCGTATAACCGCGTAGCGGCCGAGGGTGATACCGTGGCCCCGGAAAACGCCGAGGATGAAGTAGACTTTCATTATGTATGCTTCGTAAGATCAAGTGAGAATGGTCGCTTGTACGAGCTGGACGGTGACCGTCAAGGTCCAATTGATAGAGGGGCCGTGTTAGGACCAGGCGAGGACGTGCTCGGCGAGGGCGGACTCAACGTCATCCGGGAGTACATTGAGAAAGGACAGGGGAATATAGGATTCAGCCTCATGGCGTTAGTAAATCGGCAGATGCCGTAGGACTATAATATGTCTAGAGAGATAAAAGTAAAATGAGAAGTGACACCGCCAATTCTCAATCGAAACAGCTGTGACCTGGATCATGGTCGGTGCAATCCCATATTATTAGGCCAGTGGGCGGGAGCTGCACAGTGTGACCCCTCCTTCATTGGTACCCTCTGAGCTCCCCAAAAATGATCGAGGCGTCACTCACTCACCCCTGCAAGCCAGCCCACTACCTCCACCATTGATGGATCAATTGCTCGACACTCAAATACTGTGTTTAACCACGAGCAAACAGACGACTCGAAAAGGGAACCAAGCCGCGCCTAACAGCACAATGCCATACCGACAAATGAACACCCGATAGCGCACTCTCGACTTGCTCAATCTCGCGCGGGCAAAAAAACTTGCACTGGCAGCATCGCGCCCAACTATGTCGGCCCCTCACCGCTCCGTGGCCAACATCCGCGGAGGCCAGGGCCCTGGCGGCAGCGGCAGCGGCATCACGCCTTCGAGCCCGCACACGCCGGCGCGCGCCGCGCCTTCGGCCTTTGGCTCACCCTCCACGCTGCGCGCCGAAGAAGACCTCCTCGTGATCGAGATCGGGTCTCGTTTCGTGAGGGTGGGGTTCGCGGGCGACACGACGCCCCGCGTGCAGCTTCAGCTACCCCCGAGCAGCAACGGCGGGTGGGGGACTATAGGGCGTGGGTGGAGGGTGCCGAGGACGATTGGACGAAGCGAGAGAGGGGTCGCGCTGGGGCGAGGACTACGAGCTGTGGAGGTACGATGTGCGGACTGTGGACGTGGGGCTTGTGGAGGATAAGCTACACAGGTTGCTTCGCGATGCGTTTTCAAAGTTGGTCTTCCTCTGTTCCCTCCTGAGTTCAGGGTCATGCTACGCTGGCTGTTCCTTCTAACCACTATCCGTAGACACCTATTAATTGACTCGAAACCGAGACGGACGGCCCTCGTTCTGCCCGCGTCCCTTCCCCTTCCTCTCCTTTCTACAACCCTCGACCTAATGTTCAACACTTTCCAATCGCCGACCATATCCCTCCTCTCGAGCGCTACAATGACTGCCATTGCAGCGGGCGTGCGCTCCGCCCTCGTAGTGGACCTTGGATGGGCGGAGACGGTTGTGACGACCATATACGAATACCGCGAGGTGAGCTGCACACGAAGCGTGCGGGGAGGAAAACACTTGGTGTCTTCGCTACACAGGATCATAAGGGATGCCCTACGGGAACAAGGGACGACCGTCGCAGAGACGGATGAAGACGAGGTGGAGGAGCGTCACATACTCAGTTTTGGCGAGTGCGAGGATATATGTACAAGGGTGGTCTGGTGCAAGCCCTCCAATGGGACCGCCCAGGCGCGACGAGGCCAAAGGGATGGGAACGGGGCGGGCGAGGAAGACGGAGAAGGGCTAGCTACGGTCCAGGAGCAAGACGAGCTCGAGCACGAGGTGCCTTCCGCCGCGCGGGAGGCCAAAACGATCACCATCCCTCTACAAACTACGAGGCCGCCGACGAGACTGAAAGTGCGGTTCTCGCGGCTCGCGGACGCCTGTGAAAGTACCTACTTTGAAGAAAGGCCGGGCGCGCCGTACACATTCGACGACGAGGAACTCCCGGTTCACTGGCTCGTGTACCAACACCTGCTCCACCTACCCTTAGACGTCCGGGCGATTTGCATGTCGCGCATCATCTTTACAGGAGGCTGCTCCAAGATTCTCGGCCTCAAGGGGCGAGCATTCGACGAGGTCGCGGAGCTAGCGCGAACGAGAGATTGGGATCCCGTCACGGGCCGGGGCGCGGACGCCGTCAGGAAGAACCCCAAGATGCGGCGCCATCACGGGTCGAGACAGCACGCGACGAGCGGCGGCGCACCTGGCAGCGGGGGCGGCGGCAGCCGGGACTGAGCGGCTCGCCGGCGCAGGACGAGGACGAGGACGGGGTGTGGCACGACGCGGCCAACGCGGGGCCCGAGACCAACGCGATCGACGAGAAGCTGGACAGGCGCAAGACGACGCGCGTGGTCCAGGGCGAGCTTAGGGCGCTCGAGTCCCTGGGTCCCTGGGCGGGGGCAGCCTGGCGTGTCAGCTCAAGGTGCCGGCGGTGGCGGGCGTGGAGAGGGAGGCGTGGCAGCTTCACGGAGCGGGCGGGGCGTCGAGACCGGCGGATGTGGATGTCAAGACGCAGCAGAGGCAGAGCCTAGGGGCTGGGGGTCTGATGCGTGGCGCGGCGGGGGCCAGGATCGGACGTGGACTCTGGGGGTATGGGGAGCGCTGTAGAGAGAGGAGAGGGTGGAGCAGAGGAAGAAGGAAGGGATTCCGGGAAGAAAATAAATAAGCATTGGTTGAAAATGGGAGAGAAGAAATAAAGTGCTTGATACCCTTTTGGCTCGACAGTTAGATTGTGTCACCAGGGCTGCATGGTCATTCAAAGACACGCCCTCGCCAACGTATCCTAGATGGGGCGATTGAAGAGGGAGACTCGGGTGACATTGGACAAATTCCTCTTGTCTAGATGTTTCTATTCCCCTTCCGTCCTAGGGGCACGAGGTCGTGAGGGATGGGGGTTGGGTGTCGTTGGAGTCCTCCCGGCACGGATGATTTTGAATTATTACGCCAGTGGCTGAGAGGTGTCTAGACGCGCGTATTCACACTGTAGACTTACCACGAAAATAGACGACAAATGGAACAGTGCGTTTTGCAAAGACACTGTTTCGCTTCGCAAGCTCGTTGAACCTGCTGAGGTTGGCTCGGAGGGGCGGTGCAGACGTCGGAGTGGGAACATGGAACAAGGGAAAGGCCAGAACTCGCGAACAAGGGGTGATGGGAAGAACGGGAGCCAGGGAAAAGATCGGGCTTGTTCGAGGAAGAGGGGAGGGGAAGGGGGTTTGGTTCTCATCCGACCCCCTCGTCCTCTAGCTCGAGGGTTGGGTTCAGCTCGCGCTCGGGAAGGTTACCTGGGAATGCGTGTTTAATCTCCAAGGGGCCCAGGGCGAAGAGAGTTGGGATGAGAGACAAGGGGACTTGGGGGGACGTTTATTAGATGGGTTCGTGGCTCTAGGTTGGAAGGGGGTTTCGATTTTCTTGGAAGAACTTCATAAGAAGCGTGCCGTCGTCGTTGCACACACAGTCTACTCGTCATCTTTGTTTCTCTTCTCCCCCTCGTTCTTCTTACAGTCGTCCATCTCTTCTCGTTGTGGTGTGCTGAGTCGACGGAATCGCCTCCCCTTCGCATATCTTTTCCGTGTCGAGAGAGCCTTCTCGTAAAACCCTAGTAGAGGCGATCGAAAAGAAACATTAGTCTGTTTTCGAGAGACTCCATTTTCTTTTGATACCCCGATTCGCAAGGCGTTAAAAGAAGCGGTGGTTTTGTATTATCCTCCCACACACAAGCAGGAAAGAAGAATCGCCACAAATTTGCATTCACCCCAGTCAGTCGAGCAAGGTAAGAAAGCATCTTCCCTCCCATACCGTTATCCTCATCATGTCCCATGTGCAATTCGCCAGCATTGGTGAAGAGGGTGCCAGTTCGATCCCGCTCCATCGCATGCAAACAAAAAGTCGTCAAGCAGGGACATGGCCCCCACCCACACTTGACACTGACCATTCGCGATTTCCCCCTCCTTCCAACGCCACGATAATCAAGAGGACCCCACCATCATTGCTATCACAGTCACCTCAGCTCGCTAATAAATTCTTGTAGCGAGGGGTCAGTGACCAACCGGTTCTAGTTCCTTCGCCTCCCACCTGTGCTGCTTCTCCCCACCCCCCTTCTGGTCCTTTGGGGGTTTTCGGCCGGCCATTCATTGATCCCGCTGGGCCAATTCGAACTTACACCTCCTCCAGCCTCCTATAGTCCCCCGAGGGCGGGAATATCTTCTCGCAAATTCTCTCGTCGACACATTTTCCCCCTCCAACCGTGCAAACCGCGGGCGTCTCGCGATCCCTTTCCCCCACCACCCACTCACCCCTCTTGGTGACCCCGCCGTTCTATACTCCAGCTACAAAACCCCTCCAGCCCGCGCGCCACAACAAAACAAACAATCCCCAGAGCGTCCCGACTCAACGGCTGAGGGGACGGCGAAAATAATTGGAAAACAGCTCCAACCGTACCACCACCGATCCTTGCCTCCCAAAATGGCGGGGCCAGTATCCCCAACAATGACGGCGGCCCGACCTACGCGCCGCCGCCTCTCCCTGCTGGCTGGATAGCTCAGTGGGATGGTGCGAGCAGGAAATACTACTTTGTCCAGCTCTCGACCGGCGACTCGCAGTGGGAGACTCCCACCGAGGCCGCTCCCACCGGTGTCACCCCGGGCCCCAACGTCGACCACCCTTATGGCACCCCGCCCCTCGCCGAGATCATCACTCACCCGGACGGTAGCCAGACGAGGAAGCACCCTGACGGAACCATGGAGCCCGTCTTGCCCACTGACGGATCGAGGGGCATGGGTGACGGAACTGGTGATCGTGGCTTCGGTGTAAGTTCCTTTTTGTCTTCTCTTCTTTTTGTTTTTTGCCCCTCACTCCATACCCCTGCCTCGCATTGCCCTGCTATTACCATGCACCGCGCTTCCTGCTCTTTGTATCCTCCTTGGTCCGTGGCTTTTCGGATTCAGTAGTAATTAATTTTCTTGCTTTCATTAGTCCATGGCCTTTAACCTCCTCGCCGGAGGCAACAAGAAGCAGAGCCAACAATCGAGTAGCCCCCTCGGCCTCGCCGGTCAGCTCATCGGCAGCGTAGCCGGAGGCGGTGGTCACGGCGGCAGCAGCAGCGGTGGCAAGAATTCAGGTGCCGGCAAGCTCGTCGGCGCCCTCGCCTCCAACCTCTTCTCGTCGGGCGGGAGCGGAAGCAAGCCGCCGCAAAACTACCACGGGGATACCTCTTCCAGCTCTCACTCCAACAACGCTCACGGTGCCGCTGCCGGTGGCCTCATGGGTGGTGTCGCATCTTTCTTGGGCGGCGGGAAACACAATCAGTCGGTACGTACATCTCAACTTGGAAGGGGATACAAAAGTCATAGCTTGGGTGGGGCCATTTGCTACTGATGCTAACCCGACTGGCTGTGGATAGGGCCAAAACTTTGGATACTCGGGCGCGGGCACCGGCGGCACCTATTCTGGCCAAGAGCCGCCTTCCTCGTACCAGGCGCCGACGGGCGGATCCGCTGCTCCCCTTCGAGCTCGCATTCGCAGTCTCAGTCGTATAAGCCTCCCAAGACCCAGCAGTCTCATGATTACTATCCTCCTCCTCCCAGCCAGGATCATAATAAGCCCGGCCATGGATCCGGGCAAGGACAAGGACAGGGTCATGGCCAAGGCCAAGGCCAAGGGTATGGCGGTTCGAACCACGGCCAGAGTCACGGACAGAGTCATGGCCAGAGCCAGGGCCCGAGCCACGGTTCGGGATACGGATCTTCCGGGCCCAACTCTGGACACGGCCCTGGACAGTCTAGCTACGGACAACAACAGCATCAGCAGCAACAAGGCTCCAACAACTATGGCTCTGCTCCCGGCCAGCCCAGCTACGGCGGTCCCCAGGGCCAAGGGCAAGGAGGGTACGGTGGTTCTCAGGGCCATGGCCAAGGTGGTTATGGCGGCCCTCCAAGCCAAGGTCAAGGTGGCTACGGCGGTCCTCAAGGCCAAAGCCAGGGCGGCTATGGTGGGCCTCAGGGCCAGAGCCAAGGTGGTTATGGCGGCCCCCGTCCCAGCCTTCCTATGGAGCGCCGCCCAGCCAGCCCTCGTACGGAGCTCCTCCTAGCCAGTCTTCGTACGGGTCCTCTAATCAGCCTTCTTATGGCCAACCTCCCACTCACTACGGCGGCAGCGGCGCCGGAAGTCATACCGGCCAGTCTTACCAGCCGCCGTCTCAGTATGGCAGTGGTAACTCGAATAGCCAGCAGTTTGGCAACAACCCGCAGTTCTAAACAGGAGCGGGATCAGGTTGGCGTCAAACGTTGCTACTGATAAACTTGACCCAGAGTGTGGTTTGGCGGAGGGAGGTTTTTTTTTGTTAAAGTGTTATGGAAAAGGGAAGGGATACAGGTCTCACGATGCGCATCTTGTTGGGAACACCACCAAGCGTTTTTTTTATTGTTTTCCATTTTGGGTTTTCTCCTTATCTTAGGACCAACCTGTTGGAGCTATTCTTCCTTTTTTGTCTTTTTTTGGTTTCCTGAAACTCCCAGTTTATAATGCTCGATATGTCTCTTAAGCCAGTCAGTTTACTTTCTCCCATCTTGAAGGAGCATTTTCTTTTCACCCTTCTCTGCTTCTTTCCCTCGGGTTGAGAATTCTCGGTCCCCTGCTCCCCTGCTTCGTCTGCACTCTGGCGGGCCACTTTGGATATACTTGACCTGAGCTAGGTTTTCGCAACTTGGCCTTGCGGCGAGGTAGGTATTGATTTACAGAGGCTCGACTTTTCCATCCCAGCTCACGAAAAGAATACTGGGGGCCGAGCCCGGTGATGCTATTGATATATGATATACACAGACGTACTCGCTCCTGCTATCCTGCTAACAGGGAGGTGTACCTTGGCTCGCTACCGACAAGGAAGCTTGTCCACCAAAACCCAAAAGACGATAATACTCGTACATGCATTGTTTAACGTATCCATGACAAAAGAGAGGCAAAAAAGGAAAAAAGAAATATGTGAATGAATGAACGATGCGAAAAGAGAGGTTTCAACCGAGAATGCAAAGCCGGAGTATGGTGAATTTCCAAGCATCCTGCCGTCTTTTTCCCACTTGGCGCGTTCACTGTCTCTTCTTCGCGCCGGCGGCTGCGCCATCTTCGCCCCGAGCGACCTGCTGGAGGCCACCCGACACGCGGCGCGCGACGAACCAGGCCACGGGAACGAGAGCGGCGATGTAGCCGATGGTGGGGATGAGGGAGCGCGGCAGGACGTTGTAGAGGAAGGGGTCGAGGATGACGTCGATGTGGACGGGCTCGGGGTTCTTCATGAGGGCGGCGTCATCGGTGAAGTAGTCGGCGGCGGCCACGACGCGGAGGAGGAGCCGGGAGGGTGGGGTGCGTAGAGCGTCGACGTCCGGGCCGGAGCCCGAGTCGGTGTCGGAGGCGCGGGAGGCGGCGTAGTGGGAGAGGGCGACGACGAGCTCGGCGTCCTCGAGGATGGAGGCGACGGTGTGGGTGCTTAGGGTGAAAGCGGTGGGTTGCTACGTTGGTCTTTGGGTTAGCTGGAGGCAATTTGTAGGCGAGTGTGGTGGGAAGAAATGGGAGAAGCGGGAGGGGGAACATCGACGTACGGTTGCGGCCCAGCACACGCGAACCTCGTACCGCTGATCCGGGACGAGTTCGTCGAGCAGGAACCAGGATTCGGAGCCCGGAGAAGATTCGGAGGCAAAGGGCGTGGGGAGGTGGGTGCGGACGGAAAAGTTGGCGGGGATAGGACGGGGATGGAGGTGAGGTACCACGGCCCCAGGGCCGGGTGCTGTGCCGCATCGGGAGACGGCTGGGGCGCGAGGAAGATTGTCTTTTCCGTGTTGCCGAGGATGACGGCGGGAAAATAGAGGAGGGAGGAGAGGAGGGCGAGGGGGAGAGTGCGGGAAGACGCATTTTGGGCGGAGGAGATTAGAGGAAACTGGGGAAGAAGGGAAGAATTCGAGAAAAAGAAGAGAGAGTAGGTTTGCTTCTCGTTCGGGGGAGTCTGCTGCGCGAAAGGGGGATAGGACCCGGATATCTTTGGTTGTGTCGCTACTGTATTATTTGTCTCCTCTCTTTTTTGTGTAGGAGCTCAGCGGTACCGAAGACCCTTTGATCACCACCTCGTACAAAAACACAGAGAAAGAAAGGAGTGAGGGGGGCGAGAGGTTGTGGTTGAGTAGAAGTTTTTGGGGAGCTGTGATCGCGAAAAGGGATAGAAGCTCGCGAACGAGGGGCGCAGCGCATACCCACAAGCTTCTTTGCTTCCCTCGAGAACCCCCAGCCCGGTCCGCCCGGCACAACCGTTGGACAGGCACGCCCTCAAGCCAAAAAAAGACTGTGAGGGTGAGACTCTAGTTTAAGGGGAACTTGGCGCCGGCGTCAGCGAGTGCGAATGTTCATGCCTACGCACTGTGATCGTATCCCTTGTTCCTGGCCTAATTGGTGCAGTCACAGAGCAGGAGGGGAAAATGGGGAGGGGCGATTGCTGCGCTCGGTCGTGTGAGACCCTGAGCCCTCTCCTTTTTGATGCGAAGCTAATCGTCTTGGAAGAATCTTTTTTTTTTTGGTCACGAATCAATGACGATGTGTTGATCTGCCTTTGGAAGGAAGTGTAGATGAAACTGTACACTATGTTGGAACGCAAGAACTGTGGACAAGGTGCCGAGGTTATTAGTTCAATATTGAGATTAAACCTCGTGTTGAAGGAACCTGTGAAAGTCCATCTCTCGAGGCGCGAATACGTTGGCTAGCTTCTCCTCGGAATTCTTCTGATGGAGTTGGGCGCGCCGTTAGGCACTGGGCGCGGGAAAGGGGCAGGACAAAAGGCCAATGTTTGGACGGGGAGTACATTTGGTCAAATACGCACGCCTAGAGATTCATCGGAGCCATTGAATCAAGGGCTTAATTTGTTTGGCAGCACATGCTGAGGAGGTGAGCACCAAATTATGTTCAAGGAGGGGAGGAAAAAGGCGGGGCGAGTGGAGGACGGGGATGAAGCTCGAACATTGAACCTGACCTATCGATGGTGGGGCAATCAACTGCAAAAGAGCTATTCTATACCAGAGCCTGTTTTTTCTCTTTAGCTCCTGCTCGACGACGACACGAAGACGGATCCGACGCCTTTCTTTCTTGCGCTCAATCACGACTTGGAAAAGACTTTCTTTTTTCTCTCGTCCGATTTCAGCTCCGGCGGCTCGGTTGCCATTGACGTCGATCCTATCTCCCAACTCCCTCGAACCCGACGAGAACTCGGCGGGGCCTCGATATAACGCCCGCCCTTGAAAGCTCACATCACAACGGCGGCTACGCATATAAAGAAGGGGTGAAGGCGAAAGGCAGAGACGAAAAGAGCTGCACGAGGGTCCATAACAGTCCTATTCGCCCATCATGACCCGGTTTCGGCCCTGCATCGACCTCCACGCGGGGCAGGTCAAGCAGATCGTGGGCGGCACTCTCGACAGCGACTCCGCGGCCCTCAAGACCAACTTCGTCTCCCACCTGCCCCCGGCGCACTTTGCGAAGCTATACAGAGACAACGCCCTCGCTGGCGCTCACGTCATCATGTTGGGACCGGGCAATACGGAAGCCGCGAAGGAAGCTCTCGCTGCGTGGCCTGGTGGCCTTCAGGTCGGAGGGGCATTACGGACGCGAACGCCCAGGAGTGGATCGACGCGGGGCGGAAAAGGTGCGCTTTTCTTCTTCTTCTTTAGTACCATCCCCTTCTCCACCTCCTCCGAAAACAACGTGTCTGGTTTGAACTAGGGGAGTAACGTTGAGCTGACGGATCTCGGTGGGGGCTGTCTAGGTCATCATCACATCGTACCTGTTCCCCGACGGAAAGTTCAGCCAGGAGCGGCTAGATGCTGTGTTACGGAATTTGGACAATGATAAGAGCAAGCTCGTCATCGACCTCAGCTGCCGGAAGACGGGGAGCAGAGCTGGCATGTGGCTATGAACAAGTGGCAGAAGATTACGGATATGGAGGTCAACCAAGGTATGCTGTCCCCGAGTCCTTCCGGCGAATTCTTTCTCCTTTGGCGTAATGGCGGTTACGGCTGACGGCAGACACCTCTCCCTCCTCCATTGTAGAGTCTATACGGCAGCTCGAGCCCTACTGTTCCGAGTTTCTCATCCACGCCGCCGACAACGAAGGATTGCAAAAGGGCGTCGATGAGGAACTCGTTAAGAAACTAGCAGAATGGTGCACGATTCCCGTCACGTACGCCGGCGGCGCGCGGCACCTTGAGGACTTGAGCCACGTGAGGACGATTAGCGGCGGAAAGGTGGACTTGACCATTGGCAGTGCCCTGGATTGCTTCGGCGGCGAGGGTGTCAAGCTTGACGATTGCGTGGCCTGGAATAAGCGCCAGTAGAAGGGCGAGGCGGGGCCCCGAGACATGATCGATGACTCGGGATTGCGCCGTGGCAGACGTTTATCGATGAGGATGGAAACTCTGGGGCTGGTGAGGTGAGAGGTTGGGAAACGGGGCGCGACATGTCGAACTGAGACAGGTTTTCCCGCCCGCTGCCACTTACATAGAGTGTCTCAAAGGCAGGTCGTGGTGCCTTGCAGAAGGTCTCGCGACGAGGTCGAGCAGCACGCTGAGACGCTGCTGTCTGTTCATGTCTTAAAGGAAGAGGGGCAGGGGAACAAAGAAGAAGAGGAAAAAAAAAGAAGGAGGAGGGGCAGCGCCACGTTTCTTCTGGAGCGAGCAAACATTTCGCCTTTTTGTTTGTTACTCCCATCTTACTCTTCTCTCCCGTTGGGGGATTACTCTGCACGACATATGTGATGTTATGTGTGTGCCCACAAAGCGGAAGAGCACCTTGCCCGAACATGTCCGATTAGGACTGACGGTGAGAAACGAAAAAAAGAAAAGCATAGGTTGACAGCTTTTATCTCCTAGTGTAGAGTCAATCCCTTGCTACACCATCATCGACCTCTCTATAGCCCTAGTCTGATCGTGGAACTGGAAATACGTTTCGCGATAATAAATGCCCAACTGTAGACTTTCATGATGCTTGGGTGCTTGATATGTCATGGAGGAGAAAAGCAAGCCTCTACACTAGAATTCAGCAATTCAAGAAAGGATAACTTTGAATTGCTAGAAGAATGTTGTCGGTGAGCAGAGTCTGCGACGCAATTCAAAGTTGATTGGGAAAGGCATGGGCTTTGACGATTCCATGACGATCGGTTTCGAGACGCTCGAACCAGCTCTCAACGGATCGGTGCGGTGCGGGAGACTGGGGAAAATGGTCGGGGCTCAAGGATCAATTGATCCTGGTCTGTTCTTTCCCTTACACCCACCACCCACCGAGTGCCTTCCTCGCTCACCTGTGCCATGCCTGTCTGTCTCCCTGTTTGCTGGGAGAGTACACACTATTATTGTACCATGAGAAAAAGACCCTGGATCCGTTGAATCGGCGATCCCTGCCACTCGGGTCAATTTCGACGATATGCCTCGAAAATCTTTCAAGCATTGCCTTTTATTCCCAACGTGGATAAAGTACAGGTGGTTCTTGGGCTTGCTCCAATAGTGTGTTTGTCATGTTTGTTGTAGCTAAGGCCTATTTCTTCTATTTATAAGCTTGATTTTGTATTTTTATTCTTTCACAATTTCTTATACACACATCTTGACATGATCAAGAACCCCCGAGAGAGGCGAGTCAGGTCGTTACCTCGCAACGATCAACGCGAGAGAAAGGTGCGGGTACGGCTTGGCCAGTGGCAGCCGAAGCTGATGCGGTTGGCATAAATAACACGGCTGCCTAAGAGACTGTGTATGCGTATCGATACAATTGGTGTTTTTTCTTTCTTTTTCTTCTGCTGGCATGGCCAGACCGAAATTGTGTGGAGCAAGAGGGAGGGAGGAAAATCAGTTGACTTTTGACATGTCCAAGGGGAACCGCATTGATTGGCCCCGATTTGGTCCGCTGGAATATCCCAGCGGACAGTGAACTACTCGAAGGTGTACAGGTACGTGAATCAACAACTTTGGAAGTAACCTATGCTGTACTTCTGCTCTCATCTCGAACAAAGAACTTTTCGGTGCAGGTTGCTCCTCAGGGGTCGAGCACCCGCTCCTGGTGCTTGGTGCTGGGACCTGGCACCATTCGATTGGAGTGTGACCCCCTCCCCACCGTTCAAGTTTGATGAGGGTGCCGGCATTTGAGTGGCGGTCGCCGCCATGGTGGGAATTATCAGCAAGGCGCTTACTGCTTCGAGACACTCCCAATTTGCGGTATGGCCCATAACTAATTACCTTGGTGGTGCTTTGGCTGAGAACTGGACCGGCCAGCCAATGCTTTCTCTCGTACCGGCGGAAGGAATCATGGCAAGTACGTACTTGGTGCCTCGTTCATGGTGTGCGTGCTCTGCTCTGGGTGGTCAAGGAACAAGACGAGAGAGAGAGAGAGAGAGCGGGGGACAGAAGGGAAGGTACAAAGTTTGGACGTGACGTTTGCCGGAGAGCTGTCATGAGGGGACAATCAGACAAAGAGGGACCCCTGAACAAATTCGTGCGAGATAACGAGATCGGTATTCCATAGTGTGAAACTGGAAGACCTCCAGTTGTCCAAACTCCTGCCAGACGACTGGCTGCTGTCACTTGTCTTATACCCCGGCTTCACCCACCGAGCCCAACCGTACATATACACCAATTCCATAGATAGACCCATCTGGATGCGTTGACGGGTTGAAGGGAGGGGAGGGAAAAGATTGGAGCTTGAGAGAGGCAGTCGACGAATCTCGGACAAGAGAAGACCTGGGGATGGTGGGTGTTGTCAACTCTTCATTTTCCCCTTTCCCGAAGCTACAAGTCACCGTCATATAGTGCAAAAGTGCTCCTCCGCAGATCGATAGCGTGGAGGCTCACGATGGCCAGTGAGGCGCTGGAACATGGGGCCCTCAACCTCGCCCGACCAAACGCCCCTACCACCACGATGAGAACGAGATCGAGCTAGAAATTGGGCCAAGAGACACCTGGGGACCGCAGTTGATGGAAAGGTCTGCCAACGCTGGCGAGAACCGATAGAATGAACAGCGCAGAGCAACTGATAATGATATCCTCGGAACAAAGTTCCAGCTCCCTCACTTGAGATTGCCAATTGCCAACTCAATGGGCAGGGGGAGGGGAGGCCCTTGCCCACGTTGGCCGGAAGTACAGGTACCTTTGTGCCGGTCCCCACTGCAGCAATGTGGCCAGCCAATGCTTCAGCGTGATTGGTACTGATTACCAAACCATCAAAGGGCAAGTTCGGGTCGGTCCCACGCCCTAACTGCCCAGGACCCCATAATTTCCACGGGGGCCGCCTGTGTACATTATTTTTCCCCTGGTGTGGCCGCACCACGTTGAGAGGGCACCCACTATTCTTCCTCCCGACTATTGCGGGCGACCCCTATCAATGTCAACAAGAGAAAAAAATCCCCTCCAACTCCCATCAATACTTCCCTCACTCCACCTTTCACGACCCTTTTCCTCGAACCAATTCCACCTCCCAACATCCCGCTTCCTCTCTGACTTTGTCAAATCGTCAGCTTCTCCTCTCGGTTCGGCTATCTTGAGACTCCAAAATGCGTGAGATCATCTCCATCAACGGTATGTCGACTCCCGCTTGCCCTCTCCCTCCTCTTCGACCCCTCCTTTTCGACGCGTTGCTCACCGCATCGTGTTTTGTTGATGCCCCTTCTCCACCGATGGTCCTCCCGTGCTAACCCAGTTTCCCTCCACAGTCGGTCAGGCTGGTTGCCAGATCGCCAACTCCTGCTGGGAGGTAAGCCTCATCTCCCTTGACTGAAGTGAAGCTCTCTGCTCAACACCTTTGATGGCTTCCTCGCCACCTAAACCCCTCGCCCGCACCCCCTACCCCCCTTTTTTTCTCGCTCCCGCCTCGGGCCCTCCTGCCCAAGGGGACATACAATCTCCATCCGTCAACCCTCACAACCAACCCCTCGAAAGACCGCGCGGGTCTCGAAATAGCATAGGAAGTATTGTAGACTAATGATAATGGAACCTCATAGCTCTACTGCCTCGAGCACGGTATTCAGGTATGTTGCCCTCTCTGCCCTTTGATTTTCTTCGGCAATTTTCATGGAGCTAATCTCATTTCCGTGGTCTAGCCCGATGGCTACCTGACTGAAGAGCGCAAGGCCGCTGATCCCGACCACGGCTTCAGCACGTTCTTCTCCGAGACTGGTAGGTGAATTCGATAAAACTGATGGAGTCCCCTTTTTCCGAGTCCTGTGTAAGCGAGAGCACGTTGTGATCTAACGAGCTGCTGGTTTAGGTCAGGGCAAGTACGTTCCCGCACCATCTACTGCGATCTCGAACCCAATGTCGTCGACGAGGTCCGCACCGGCGCCTACAGGAGCCTTTTCCACCCTGAGCAGATGATCACCGGCAAGGAGGATGCGTCCAACAACTACGCCCGTGGCCACTACACGGTGGGCAAGGAGCTCATCGACCCCGTTTTGGACAAGGTGCGACGCGTTGCCGATAACTGCGTTGGTCTCCAGGGATTCCTCGTCTTCCACTCCTTCGGTGGTGGTACCGGTTCCGGTTTTGGTGCCCTCCTCATGGAGCGCCTCTCCCTCGACTACGGAAAGAAGAGCAAGCTCGAGTTCTGCGTCTACCCCGCTCCCCAGACTGCCACCTCGGTCGTCGAGCCTTACAACTCTATTCTCACCACGCACACCACCCTCGAGCACTCTGACTGCTCGTTCATGGTTGACAACGAGGCCATCTACGATATCTGCCGCCGCAACCTCGGCTTGGAGCGTCCCGACTACGAGAACCTCAACAGGCTGATTGCCCAGGGTACGTAAAAACAACATCATCCCTGTCTGTCACTGGCATAGATAGTAGCCTCCTCTATCCCATGGCCAAGCTGGGGGTTTACCCGGGCTGGCAAGTCTTATGTTTTCCCCGCTGACCGCTCTGCTTCGTTTTCTTTTAGTCGTCTCTTCCATCACTGCCTCTCTCCGATTCGACGGCTCTCTTAACGTCGACTTGAACGAGTTCCAGACCAACCTCGTCCCCTACCCCCGTATCCACTTCCCTCTCGTTGCCTATGCTCCCGTCATCTCGGCCGCCAAGGCCGCCCACGAGGCCAACTCTGTTCAGGAGATGACCATGTCCTGCTTCGAGCCCAGCAACCAGATGGTCAAGTGCGATCCCCGCAGCGGAAAGTACATGGCTACCTGCCTTCTGTACCGTGGCGATGTCGTCCCCAAGGACGCCCACGCCGCCGTCGCTACCCTCAAGACCAAGCGCACCATTCAGTTCGTCGACTGGTGCCCCACTGGCTTCAAGCTCGGTATCTGCTACCAGCCCCCGAGCAGGTCCCCAACGGCGACCTCGCCAAGGTCAACCGCGCTGTGTACGTCATCCCCCAAACAAAACGGGGAGAAAGAAAGAAAAAGAAGAAGAAGAAGCAAATAAACTCTGGCCTTGGGCTAACAATTTGATTCTAGCTGCATGTTGTCCAACACTACCGCCATCGCCGAGGCCTGGTCCGCTCTTTCCTCCAAGTTCGATCTCATGTACTCGAAGCGTGCTTTCGTTCACTGGTACGTTGGTGAGGGTATGGAGGAGGGTGAGTTCTCTGAGGCTCGTGAGGACTTGGCTGCTCTTGAGCGCGATTATGAGGAGGTTGCCGCCGACTCCCTCGAGGGTGAGGAGCTCGAGGCCGAGTACTAGGCAGGTTAGAGACTCAGCTTTGAAGTTTCTTTCTCGGTCCCTAATAACTTTATAATGGTCAATATGTAACGATGCCTCTCTTCATCTTCGCCGCCCGATCACCCACGCCCCCTTGCACAAACCCCTCCTTTCCCCCTCCCTCAATCAACACCAAACCCCGCCGCGAACGTCGAGAATATCCTCAAAAATGAAGTCGGATAGGAGTTAAGAAGTTCTATTAAATCATACCCATTTCCCCTTTTTGACTCTCTTTGGTCTCTATGTCTGCCTGCCATGCCTGCTGAGCCTTAGAACGGGAAAGGTAGATGGGTTGTATGTTCAGTTCCAGTTCCGCTTTTTATTACTCTCTTTAATCTTTTTTCATGACCGTAAACCCTTGAAAGTCTAACCTTCTGCATGAAACGTGTTCCTCGCGTGGGAAGAGCGTCTAGTATGATGCATGTCCTAGGCGCCTGCCGCCAATTATACAGTTTGCATGTACTAGGCAACCTCATCCCAACTGACATGTTGCAGCTTATGATCAGATGTATCACGAAGCCTACGTCGGTATACGCCTTTGTAAATGAGCATTCCACCCTTGCCGAAAGCGGAAACGGACGGGGTTTGACCGCGAAGATTAATCCTGGGAAGCAGCGATGCCGCGCCTAGCTCTCGCTCACGCTGGCGATGCGCACGACATGCTGGACTAGTGTGAGATTGGGGAAATGATGTATGACGTCTTTTAAGTGATCTATCCTCGGGGCATTGATCAACGCCAGAAAAAGGAACAAAGGGAAACTAAGATTTTCCTCCATGCTTTTTTTTGAGTTACGACGAGTTCTTCAAGCAGTCTTGAAGACAAGAAGCCTGCGGTGGTCAGCTGCAAAATTAGGATGGGCAGTCGTGGGCGGCCCGAAAAAGGGGGAGCGAGCAACTGTGTTGAACGTGGGTGGTGAATGAAGCTTGGACCAGCATGGCAGCTTGGATCGGTGACGAACATGGATCAATATGAGCTCACTGCTTTTTGCAACACAGGTCAACTATGAGCAGAGGTATTCTTAGTATGGGTGGAATGAAAAAAGGGCGCTCCAGAATGTGGAAAGCTGGGGTACTTCCAAATTTAGCGCTCTGTTTTCGGAAGTTTTGGGTTGGGGACATGTCCCGTTGTCCTGCTGGAGGCGTTCGCAGCACCGTTCAAATGCGTGCACTCACCAGAGGTTTGATTGGTTTATTGGGGGTTGCCAATGCAATGTTCCAGATACCCCAATCCTTAGCAACCGCCCGTATCAATTTAATGTACCCTGCACCGTAGCCCGTATTTCCTAGGCACCTCTTATCCGGTGCGTGTTGCCCATCCTCCATTTTGAGGAGGTCCCTCTTTCGACCCGCTCTAGGAACCCAACCTCTCACAATAACCCCCAACCGCAACCCTTCGAAGCACTTCTCCCCGAGGCCACTTTCAATTTAATATACGAGGCTACGATTTGTCTCTGCGCCTTCTCGAATATCCGGGTGCCCGGGATTTTGCGACAAGAATCACTTTTGATTTCCCTCTTGGGCCGTTTGGTTTTGGAGGATAACCCATCTCTTCTTTTCTTTTGTGTTTCTTTTGGTGATGACCTCTTCACCCTGGTGACGAAAGAGCTACGAATCGTACCCGCTTGAAGCGATTTCACGAACCCGCTCCCACTCGACCTCGTCCTTCCCCCTCCCACCCCTTTTGGGACTACCAGCATCGAGCGCGGTACGACATACCGTCAACGAAACCAGAACGAACATTCCTTTTCTCTCTCTCCCCCGGGACACCATCAAGACGGCAGGATGTCGGGGAGTCTTCGACGACCGATCCCACACTGAACCTGAGCTTGACGCAGGAGGAGAAGCGTCTGTACGGCCAACTGTTCCGACAAGCCGACTTTGACAATGTTGGTGTTGTGACGGGCGAGATCGCCGTCACTTTCTTTGAGAAGACGAGGCTGGACAGGAATGTTCTTGGAAAGGTAGGAAGAAGACACAATTCCTTTCTCCCCGCCCGTGTGGGCATTAGGCAGAGAGCTTGCGGGTTTCCCTCTACAGCTTCACGGCAAAAGATGCGGATGGCTCACCTTTGTCTACCTGCGTTGCGCCCTGTGTTTCTTATGCACAAGCATCTAGCGTCTGATTGCTAATGACGTGGAACCCTCGCTTTTCCCATTTTCTAGATTTGGCAAATTTCGGATGCCGAGAACAGAGGATTCCTGACCCCGCCGGGTTTTCCGTCGCCCTTCGCCTTCTCGGCCACGCCCAAGCCGGTCGCGACCCCACACCAGAGCTTGCCCGCCAGAGCGGCCCTCTTCCCCAATTTGATGGCGTCTCGCTACCAAACCCGACGCCTCCGGCTGCCCCCGCGGGCATCCAACCCCAAGGTACCGGTGTGGGCCCCGTCAGGATCCCTCCCCTGACGCCCGACAAGGCCGCGCAGTATGCGGGTGTGTTTGAGAGGCAGCCTCTCCTTGCCGGAAACCTGCTCCCGGGCGACCAGGCGAAGCAGATTTTCGAAAAGTCCGGCCTGCCCAACGAGGCCCTCGGCGCCGTGTGGCAGCTTGTCGATACTGAACAACGCGGAGCCCTCATCGTCTCCGAGTTTGTGATCGCTATGCATCTCCTCAACTCTATGAAGGTCGGTAGCCTCAAGGGCCTACCGAACAGCCTACCCCGGCCTCGTGGAGGCAGCCAGCCGCCGTGGCCCCGCCCCCGACAATCCCCGATCGCGACCGGCCCACTATCCGCCATCCCCAGGCAGCTCAGCGGTTCCGCCCAGATGCGCACAGGGAGCCCCCTCGGCCGCCCTCCTCTTGCACCTCAGGGAACCGGCATGGGATGGGCCATCACCCCCGGAAAAGGCCAAGTTCGACACCGTGTACGAAGACCTTGACAAGACGAAGCGGGGCTTCATTACAGGCGAGGAGGCCGTGCCGTTCTTCAGCCAGTCCAACTTGAACCCGACGACGCTCGCCCAGATCTGGGACCTTGCCGATATCAACTCGCAGGGCGTCCTGACCAGGGATGAGTTTGCCGTGGCAATGTACCTCATCCGCCAGCAGCGAGCGAGCCGCGATGGTAGCGCTGTCCTCCCCACAACCTTGCCCCCAATCTCATCCCCCTAGCATGCGTAATCAGGTGAGGCCGCCGACGGCTGGTTCTCCCTTTGATGCACCAATCCCTCAGCAACCGCCGGCGCCTGTGGCGCAAAAGTCGGCCTTGGATGACCTCTTTGAGCTCGACAACCCCCGCTCCCCTACTATGATGGCCCCTCTGCCCACCGGCGGCTCTACGGCGAGCGATCCTTTCAGCACTGGACACGTCAGTGCGACCCCGGGTTCTCCGGTAAGGGCATCGCCGACCGCAAGCCAGTTCAGGCCGTTTGTGCCCTCGTCGTCCTTTGGCAGGGGCCTTACGCAGCAACCTCAGCACACCGGGGTTCCAAAGCCAGTGCTTCCGCCGCGGATGACCTCCTCGGCGACGCCGATCCTGAGATCAGCTCCAAGCTTACCAATGAGACGACAGAGCTTGCCAACATCTCGAACCAGATTGGCACCCTCACGAAGCAGATGACGAACCTTCAGACCCAGAGGACCACGACCCAACGCGATTTGACCCAAACGAGCCAGCAGAAGAAGACTTTTGAGCAGCGGCTTACGCAACTTCGCACCCTGTACGAGAAGGAGGCGACTGACGTGCGGTCCCTGGAGCAACAGCTCACCACAGCCAAGTCTGATAGCAGGAAGCTCCAGGCCGAATGCATGTCCCTTGAGGGTACCTATCACGACCTATCCTCGCAGAAGCAACAGGTGGTGGCCGCTCTGCAGGCGGACCAGCAAGAAAATGCGAGCTTGAAGGAGAAGATTCGCTCCCTCAACGCCGAGATCGCGCAGCTCAAGCCCCAGATCGAGAAGTTGAAATCAGAGGCTCGTCAACAAAAGGGCCTTGTCGCCATCAACAAGAAGCAGCTGTCGACCAACGAAGCCGAGCGCGACCGTCTCAAGTCGGAAGCTGATGACCTCTCTAAGGGGGCGAGGAACTCTCGAGGCAGATGACGGGCAGCTCTTTGCAGTCCGGCCCTGCCGGGATCTCTAGCCCCACGCCATCGACCGGTAGCGGCAACAACCCCTTCTTCAAAGGACTGCCAGCACCGACATCCTCGGCGCGTTCGCCTCTCCGCCCATGAAGGCGTCAGACAAATCGTTTGACGACATCTTTGGATCGCCGTTCGCGCAGTCAACCTCGGCCACTCCTCCCCGCAGTCCACCACACCGGCAACTCAACGGCGAGCGGCGCTTCTTTCGGAACCCCTCCCGTAGCCAGCCCGAGCATCAGCCGCTCCGCTACCCTAGGTCTCGAGCCTCCCCACCACCTGAGTCGCGCCAACTAAGCTCGAGCTTCCTTCCGCTGAAGAACGTGGATGATTCCCTGTCGTCGTCTAGGCAGGTATCGCCACCCATGTCTCGCTCTGGAGAGGACAAGGGGCGGGCGACCTCAGCCGTTCCGGTGCCCAACGTTGGCGCCTTCTCGCCCCTCGAGCCTTCTAATACCGGTGGTAGCGGCATCGCCCCTCCCACCGGGGACATCAAGCCCACCGCCACAGGCGACTCGGCTAGCGGGCTTGCCATCTCATCGGGTTCACCTATCCCCGTTTCTTCTCCCTCCGGTACTGCTGAAGCTGAAGAGAAGCCTGCCGAACGCTCGGTACGGGACTCGGACCCATTTGCGTCTTTAGATAAGGCCAAGGCCAAGGCCGAGTTCGACAACGCCTTTGCCAGCTTCACCAAGATCCACAAGACCCAAGACAAGACCAGTGAGGATGATAAAAACGCCTTTTCAAGTTTCACTGCCGAGTTCCCGCCCATTTCGGAACTAGAACGTGACGACTCGGACTCGGATAGCGAGGCGGGGTTTGATGATGACTTTGCGCCGTCATCTCCCAAGGTGAAGGACAGCCAGGTGACTGTCAAGGATACTCCGGCGTCTCCCACCGCTGCGACGCTCAAGCCGGAGTCTCCTGTAGCCACCACGTCGGTGTTTGGGGATGATGCGGCCAATAAGACGCCCGCGCCCGTTAATAGGTAGAAATTGTCCTTCCCGGTCCCTTGGTGTTTCTTTCCTTTCTCCTTCCCTCATTTCCTTTTCTTTTTTTCTTTTTTTTTTGGTTCGCCTTTTTGCCCTTTTCCCTCTTTGGAAAGGGTCGGTTTGGGCTCAACAACCTCCCCTTCATGCTGTCAAGTTTTCTTTTGTTACGCTGCGTCTACAAATGGTAGTAGTAACACATGATGCGCATTGTTTGATTTTGAATATGCACACTATTTAAACAAAAGAAAGAAAAAAGAACCCCCAAACCCAAGCAACGGAAACAGATGTCGTATTAAACCTCACTTTCTAACGTTGTTTTGTAATAGCAGCAGTGCCGCGGATAATTTTTTCGACTCGCATCTAGATACCACTCCGACCGCGGTGACGACTGCTCCTCCACTCCAAGGATCTACTAGCTCAGGTGCCGCCAAGACGCCGTTCGATTCGGACTCGGACGACGACTTCTCGGGCCTAGAGGATGCTAAGGAGGGCTCGGCGGACGACGACTTTGCCAACATCTCGAGGTCGGGCCTCGACGAGTTCAACTCGGTCTTTGACGGTAGTCCACCGGCGAGCCAGGCGAAGACGGAATCCACCGCTTTTGGTGGTGGAGAGAGCAGCTTCGACTTTGGCACGCTCTCAACCGGTTCCCTTACTGGGGGCAACAACATCACCCCCACTGCCGCCACTGCGGGAACTGTGGCGGTGCCGCCCACCACGACGACCGCGGGTAGCATCTCGGCGTCGGACGCTCAGGACTGGGATGCGATGTTTTCGAACCTCGACTCTGCTGCCAGCGACTCGCCCAAGACGGCGGAGGCGCCCAAGGACGCCGATGCCGCTACCAGGCCGGAGATCAACAGATCCGAGACTGGGGATGACCCGTTGCTGACGAACCTGATGAGCATGGGGTACTCGAGGACGGACGCGCTCTCAGCCCTGGAGAAGTACGATTATGACATCGAGAGGGTGAGTTTTAGCCATGGACTTTTCAACCCCTTTACCCCTAGGTCGGCCGGTTTCTGATATGTCTTTCTCTCCTCTCTTTTCCTTTTTTCCCTTATATCTAGGCTGCCAATTTCCTCGCTAGCTCGTCATAAGTTGGTCTGAACAAATCCTGTCGGGCACGCGTGCGCGTCCCGTCGACGATACCGATAATAATTCTCAAGTTGCCTGTTCTTCCTTTTTTTTTCATTTCCTCGGGATCTGGAGCGGGCAAGCAAGCCGAGAGGTCAAAGGCTCGAAGTGTTGTTTGCGAGTAGCAGTAGCCCTGTTCCTCAAGGAAGGCTGGGGTGGATATGTTGTTGTATAATGTCTTTTGTATTCTACTGTAGTTGGTAGGACAATGGTGTGAGCAAAGGGGAGGCCTGCAAAGGGGATGCCTTTGTTTCTTTTTCTTCTTCCACTTTCATCTTTTTACTTCGCCTTTCCTTCGGGAAGGGGAATCATGCTCTTTTCGTGACGTGACTTGATCTCGTTTATGCCCTGCCGTCTTGATCAACGCATATGGTACGGTACAAGAACAACGACATAGCTTTGGAGCAGAGATTTTAGGAGAAGAAGACGGATAGAAGCAAGGGAGGAGGCACAAGTCCACCTCGTGCGAGTTTCAAGAACAGGGTCAGGCGATGGAGATGTACCAATTTGTCAAGAGAGATTTGGTCTCATTATATATATTTTTGCGGAGGGGCTTATCAGAGAGATTTAAAAACATGCAGCATACCGTCGTCAATGTAGTGTGTTGCTCCCATATTCGCCGTAAGCTCAAGAGACTTGAAGAAACAAGAGGGAATAGAAGGCACCCGAGCCCATCAGTGAGCTTTGAAAACAAATCCTAGCAGAGAAATATCCCGAAACCCTCGAACAATGACAAGGAACAAGAAGAAGAAAAAAATAAAGACTGGAAAAGAAAGAAAACACCGCTTCATGATCTAAAACAAGAAGGAAACCCAAAAAAACCCTCGTGATCTACACATGCCTTTCCCTTTTGCCTTAATTGGCGTCCCCTACTTGACCTTGCCCATAATGGTCTCGGCCCCCGAACGACATCGATCCTAGCGGCGCGAGCCTTGACGCTGTTCAGCATGCTGCGCTCAAAGTCGTCGCGGGAGCGCAGGACGGCCTCGACCCAGCCAATCTGCAGGTCCCAGTAGGCGGTCTTGAAGGACTCGAAGGCGTTGGGGACCTCGTCCTTGGGGCAGGTGAGGAGGCCGAGGAAGGGCTCGGTGACGCGCCAGGTCTGCTTGATGGAGTCGGCGACGTCGGGGTTGGGGAGGCCGTCAAAGTACTCGAAAGCGGTCTGGACGTCGTTGAAGATTTTGTCCTGGAAGGGTCGGCGCGGCGGAACTTGACGCCCTTGTTGCGGACGGAGGAGAGGTAGGCGACGAGGAGCTCGTCGGCAAAGATTTCGATAAAGATGTCGACGAGGGAGTGGTGAAGGACCTGGCGGTAGTCGCCGACGTACTCGTCAAAGGTGACGACCATTTGCTTCATGGCGGTGGTGGTGTACCACTTGGCGGTGAAGAACTCGGGGAGGACGGGGGCGAAGTCGACGGTGAGGATGAGCTGGGCGAACTTGGTGATGCACCAGGTGGAGAAGTCGACGTAGCCGTCGCGCAGGGCGGCGATTTCGCCGTCGGCGCGCTCGAGGTACTGCGGGGTGACGATGGGCTCGAGCTTCTGCACGAAGCTGGAGAGGTAGCCAAACTTGTTGTCCTCTTCGTTGTCGTCGATGCAGGCGATTTGGTCGTTGGCGGTGGCGACGAGCCAGTCCTGCAGGGGCTGGAAGCCCTCGAGGTTCTCCTGGCTGGCGCCCTCGAAGCGGGCGGCCTCGTCCTCGAGCATCTTTTGCCACGTCTGCTGGCGGGCGCGGAGGCGCTGGAGCATGGCGTCGATGACGCCCTCGACGACGTCGGCGCGCTGGGAGTTGGCGGCGACGTCGATCTGCTCGCGCATCATGCGCCACAGGTCGACGAGGTTGCGGGTGCGGAAGTAGCCGTACTCGTCCTGGTCGAGGTTGGACCCTTCGACGTTGCGCTCGGCAAAGTCCTTTTGCTCCGACTTGAAGATGCGCTCGATCCACTCGTCGAGGTACTTGATGATGAGCTGGCGGAAGTCGCGCACGAGCTCGGCCTCGCGGTCGTCGATGACGTGGGGCTTGAGCTCGTCGAGCTTGAAGCCGAGCTTGGTCATCTTCTTGTAGTATTTCTCGGGCCAGCCGACGATTTCGAGCGTGGTGGCGGAGCTCGTGTCCGGGTCGTCAATGGTGGCGACGAGGGTATCGCGCATGAGCTTGTGGTAGACGTTGCCGTACATTTTGAGAATCTTCCACTTTTTGGGCATGAGGGGCGACATGCCAATCTTGACGGCGTTGAGGTCGTTGAAGTACCACTTCATCGTCTTTTCCAGCTTGGTGGGGTCGTCGAGGAACTGCTGCTTGGCCTCGGCGAACTGCTGCTCGGCGCTGAGGCGGATGGCCTCGAGAAACTTTTCCTTGTAGCCGCGCACCTGCTTGGCGCCGTCGGTGATGCCCTGGAAGCGGGCGGCCATCTCCTTGTGGTCCTTGAGGGCCTGCTGCAGCGCCAGGACCTTTGGTCGCTCTTCTCCTCGGCCTCCATGACGACGGCGAAGCGGACGACGAGCCCGTTGTTGCCGTTGACGACGAGGTTGATGAGGTTGAGCGCCAGCAGGCCGACGTGCTCGTCGAACCAGTCAATCATGTCGTCCAGCCGCTCAAAGTAGTCTTCCAGCGTGGACTGCAGGCTCGGGTCGTCGGCCTTTGTATCTGCTCCATGGCGTCGTCGCGAATGTTGCGCAGCTGGGTGAGCTCGTAGTGGGTGGGCAGCAGGTTGGGCATGTTTTCCCGGTCGGCGTCGTCCTCCCGCAGCATCTTTTCGACGGCGCCCAGCCTCTCGTTGAAGGTCTCGAGGTTCTTGCGCATCGTTTCCACCGCGCCAAAGTTGCGGTGGGCCTGGGAGACGAAGTTGATGGTGCCAATGTCCTTGATGATGTTTTGGGACTCGGAGCACAGCTTGTCAATCTTGGTCATCTCGTCCTTGATCTGCTGGACGGTCTTGAGCCCGTCCGTCAGCCCCGACATGCCGCTCTGGGTGGTCTCGAGCTGCTCGCGCAGGCCGCCGCGCAGGCGGTCGTCCACCGTGGTCTTTTTCCGGGCGAACTCTTGCTTGAGGGCGCCAATCTTGTCGAGGTCTTCGGGGTGGCGGAGGAGCTCCGCGAGGGTCGGTACGGAGTCCATTGTGAGTGTGTGGGGAGGGAGAGAGGGAGCGAGGGAGCGAGGGTTATCGGGGCGGGGCGGAAACGCTTCGTCGTTGCTTTCGGGGGATTGCTAGGGGGTGTCTTTTTTTCTATCTCTCTAGCTGAATTGCGCTCCCGGGCGGAGGCATCGTCAAGACCCCTTGACTTGCGGGGAAGGTACCTTTAAAGGCCGTCAATCGTACAGGGAAATCGGCAATGGAAGACTGAAGCTTTGCTAGGGTGTGGCGTTTAGGGCGATGGCTGCGATTACCTGCGACCCGGATCATAGAGGCTGGCAAGGGGCCGTTTGGGGTGAGGTGTGGTCCACGGTCGAGCTTGCTCGGAACACGTGACAAGAAATCCGGGGTCGGGAGCGGAACCTTGCATTGATCAAGCTCGAGTGCTTATACACAGCTGGAGCACTGTATTACAAGGTACCGTACCTGGCAGTAGTGGGGAACAACACCAACACTAGCCTAAGCTCTCTACACTGATTAGATCGTTTCGGTTCACAAGGACCTCATCATGAACTTCAATTGTCAAGTGCATTGAATTATTTCTCATTATCCTATCTTCATAACCAAGCTACTTATGGATATATTTTGGAAGGTATTTGTTCTGACATCAGGGTTGTTAAGCAAGCTCAAAATGTAGAGTTGGGCTTCCAGACAGAACGCCAAAGTGAAGATTCACGCGTTGCTTTCTGGGTTAGACGACGTTGCTGTTGGCTCCCGTACTTCGCTGCCTAATGTTCCTTATCATTCGCAAAGTTTCATGCCTTCCGTTCCTGGTTCCCATATTGTTTTTTTCGACGCCTGGGACAACTGTTGCCATACAAAGCTGCTCCGGGAGTTGTCCCTTTATAGTACAGGCCGCAAGGAGATAAACGCCTCCGACACAACAAAGACTTTTATATAGTGCCCAAACGTTGAAAGCAGTCTATATCAGCCTTACTCACACTGGCGGGCTAATAGTCGGTGATCGCCTGGATACGATGAGGGTAATCACAAGATCACTCTTCGCGGGAACCTAGTCCTGAAATTAGGTCAACGGGAGAACAGCCGCTGCGAGAACGGGGAAGAGCCTACCGTCTGGAAGAGCAAGGAGCAGCAGTTGCCGAAGGATGAAGGTGGCGCCGTTCCTCCTACGCCACCATTATTCCGGCCTATCATGGCAAAAGCAGCGCCAATCGCCGAGCGAGCGGACCGAGGGATATCCCCTCAGTAATGCCTCCGCGTCCTTCTCTTTCTAGCCCCGTAGTAGCTAGGCTCAACGACCATACCGCGACGCTTCGACGCGGTTTTTGGCGGAGGGTTTCTCCTGTATAATCTCCTGTATAATCTCCTGTTTTCCTCCGGGAGGCTTCGGCACATGTCCCGCTTGTTGCTGCCCCGCCCGTCGTCCGTGGTCCAGCCGTTATCGCCGTTATCGATGTTGCCCTCTTTGCGGGCCCCGCTGCGATAAGGCTAGCAGTGCCCAGCTATTGATCGCGGCTCAACAAGTCCTACCGGTACGATGAGCTATGTACGGTTGAAAGCCTTGACTCAGACACGGGCCTCGGGACAAGGAAACAGGCGAATTGTACGAGTGCCATCCGAGAAGGTGGCTATCGTGGCCATCCCTAATATCTATATAGTTGGTATAAAGAGCAGATAGGTGAGAGATAAAGGAATAGTTGTCAAGGTGTATATGAAGGGAGGGAAGATAGGTGGGTATATTAGGTAGTAAGATCAAGAGAGGAGAGAAGATTCTTGTCCATTTATATTTTGTAGTCTGGGGATTCTCTTCTGCCTCTTCTGGCTGCTTTGCGATAGCAAGGAGCAGCCAATGACTCAGAGATCAATAGATGCCAGATAACTTGTAACAGCAGACCTGGTGATGAAACAGTGAACTAAAGAGACATGCTCCAGTGTCAGTCAAGGAAAGAGTATGCTCTTGGCCTTTGCGGACCCCGAATGGCAGAAACATACAAGCCATCAAGACAAGCGGAGCATTTTGCTATCGGATGGATCGATTGCCCTCTTGAGACGACCGCAGCACGCACGATGTGTCGTTGAATCGGGATGTTTTGAGATGTTCCTGTATCCAGTTCTAATATTCTACAAACATTAGACCCCCTGTTATAGCCGTCGCCGCAGTCACCTATGATGTCTAGTTGTTTATCTTTGTTTGAAATTGTGTTGTAGAATAACATAAGTTTGCTTCTTAGTTTGTAGGCGTTCCCAATCTCATTTTCATCCGTCTCGAGATATTTGATTGCTTCACGGGGTAGCTTCTCTATTCATTCTGACTCCCCTCCCGTGATCCCATGAAATATAGAACCCCCATCGTTCTGTTTACTCTCTGTTTCCATTGGAACGCAAGTGATGTCCTTGCTATGAGTCTCGTTCTCCTCCTTTTCTCTTTTCCTCTTTTTGCTCATAGCTATGAATAAGCCGGTGGCCTAAGCTCGTGAAGACATCATTTCTCAGTTCCTTTTCTCAGTAGAAGGTAGAGGATCTCTAGTCTTCCCACTTTAAATGAAGTATAGGGTGATGGAAACTGTAAAAAGGGGATAGGTCATCGAAATATTGGGTCCGGCCAACCTTGATAGAAAGAGATCTCTACAGGCAAGCTGCCAAATGCGACTCCCTGGCCGCGCACACTCTCCGGTCGTATTCAAGGCGACCGTTGCATGAATATAATGCAGCTATGACAGAATGTCTACTTAGGCGAGGCCCCCTTGGCTAGTCTCTTGGTAGCGCCGTCTCGCCATCCATCCCTCGGGTCCCCAGTGTAGGAAACGGCACACCTCAAGTATCTTAATGTAATTTTTTGGAAATAGCACGGGCAGCTATACCAGCAAGTAGAAAAAGAAAAAGGAAGAGGGGTAGATCCTTCACAGGGAGAAAGGGGGATAAGGAACATTGAAAGCACGGCATTGCATAGCCGCGTAATATGCAGGACATGTAGTCCAGAGCGTCAAGCCGCCGAATGACGACCTCGCGTAAACCCCGACTTCGATCCCGGAATTTTATAACTAGTTTGGAAAGGGGTGTGCTTGACTTATTCACTCTCCAACAGGAGTAGGAACAGAAAAATTCTTCCTTTTTTGGTGGATTGCTCACCTTTGTCCCATAGTCTTTCTGCTTCCCCTCTCCGACTCACATATCCCCGATGCGGGCCACAACAAGCGCCCCTAAAAATATTGAAGTCTGCAAGGGGGCGTGACGTAGCTAGGCGCCAAGCCCAGCGACCGCGCTTCTGCAAGCGTCGGATGCGGGTGACCATGCGGCCATAAAGAGCGCTCAGAAGAAAGCTGAAGAGGAGGGGAGAAAAACCCAGGGACCCTAAGAAACCCCTGGTGCTAAACGCGCGCAGAGCCCAGGGCGAACAATCTTCGTTTCCTGAAAGTGAGCGCAAGGTCCGCCATCACGTCGATAGACCACACCCTTGCATACACTGGGAGGAAACCCCGGCCGCAGGATAAAACCCCACGGCTACGCGGAGTCAGCTCCAAAAGCGCGGGTTTGTGATCACACGAACCCATGCTTGCTTGGCGGGGAACAAGGCCGCAGAGTCCTATGTGACGGCCTGGTATTGATATGTCACCCGTTGAAGGCGTGTGCCTGGTGCAGTAAGGAGGCATCCGCGGGCGAACAGTGTTGAGCCAAATATGCACCCTGTCGATGATTTCTGCAAGCACTTCCGCTGTGGTGTCGTAGCGCCGGGCCGGGTCCTGTGTCAGCCACCAGACCAGAAGCCGGCTTAAGTAAACGCGAGGCCAGGGCCAGGCCAATGTTGAGAGCTGAAGAAACAGGCGGCCTCTGCCGCATGGACCTGGCCCCGCACTCAGATCTTGCACAAAGCTAGTCTCCGCCGGCGCTAAACGACACCGTAAACCCACAGAACCCAAACCAAGGCAAAGTTATTCAAAGTAAACCCCCATTGGGGAAAAAGAAAAGGCCAGAGCACAGAGCAAGAGGGGGACAAAGGGAAAGGGAAAAAAGGACTCGACCTTGAGAGGAAGGGTCCACGAATTCCTTGCGAGTGCACGTCCCATCTCCCAAAGTCAGCTCAGACGAGAACCTACCGGGCTGTGCGAGGCCTCGTCAATGCATCGGATCCACGACACGGACACGGCCGCGGCAACGAGCTTGGAGGGAGCCTGAACATACGTAGAGAAAAACCAAGCGCTTGGCTTCCAGCCCACAACGGTGGCGAGTCGCGAAGAATGGGCATGCGTTCGTCAATGCGTTCTTTGTCGATGGGGTGGATTCCGACTTTATGCGCTAGTCGTGGGGAGGTTTTGGTGGAGCCGCGAGTACGCCTCGACAGCGAAAGAAGAATGGAAAAAGAGGAGAAGCTGAAGATACGAGTGGAAAGGTTTTGATGCGAGTATTTTTTTTTTTTGGGGGTAAACACTTCAAGGCTGCGAAGCCTGAACCCTCGTCAGCAAGAGCCCGAGGTTATGCGCTGGCTGGCCTCTAAAGAGATCTCCATTGAGTTATTGTGGAGAGGGCCACTGTTTCGAAACAACCAGAGCCTGAGATGGAGCGGCGAAGAAGTGACTCGAAGAGTTCAAAAGGATTACATGGATGCACCAATTATTAGGTGAAACACATGGGATCCATCACTGCGGGCTTCCATCGCCTCATTCTGCCTTTCATCCCTCGTCTAACCCAGCTTCGGCGTGGCTCAACGACGAACACGCGTCTCCCGTCAAGGTATAAGTCGTCCACTCACAGAAATAAGCCCCACCCTCGTCACCTTGCAGTCGCGCATCAATGCAGAGAGAAAATCCATGCCTCGCCATGGAACAACACCTATCCAGATCCTCAAGGCTGTCCACCTCTCTCTTTCAAGGATGAGCGTGGCGAGCAAACGAAACGTTTGGCCAGGGTCCACGCACTCCCTCTCTCCCCGTCCGAGCCGGCGTGCCGTACCTCGTAGATAGCAACGTAGACTTCGACGATAGAAGGGTTGAGGGGTAGGTAGTATCTGAGAAGCGACACCTGCGCGCTTTTGCATCACCTTGGTCGATGAACTGATCAAGGGTCTCTTCCAAGTGGTTCACATGGAATGGGGAACACGAAAGGAGGGTGAGGGGTGTTCCCTGGACTTCAACTCCACCCCCTTCTACCCTGCCATTCCTTTTCGCCTTGCTGGGGACGTAACTCGTGCAAATCCTAAAGCGGTCGAGGGCACCCAAAGATCGGACCAGGAGCTGACTTTCCGGGTACCATTCATAGATGGGCAAATGGACCTCCGCTCGTTCCAGGGGAGGTGGCAAACTTACCCTAAAAGCCCAACAAAGACAGGGGAGGCAGGGAAGAGAGGGGAAGACCAGAAAAGGCAGAAAGAAGAAAAGTTCCTCTGTGTGCCTGCGCGATGGCAAGTGCGTAATCTGTCTCGGGATGCCCAGGGTGACCTAGCTAGTCCAGTAAATACCTTCCCGATTTGCGAGAGGGACGATTTCGGGCCATGTCGAGTACAAGTACGAACAGACCGGGAAAGATTAAACAAGGCCATGAGCAAAGGTGGAATGCCATCCGCATATTCTTTCCTCGTCCAGGATCTCCTCTCGCCTGTCTTACACGATCCAGGCGGTCTTGGCCCTCTTGTGAGTGATTGGCCAACCAGCGCAGCGTCGATCACATGGAAGAACCGAAAGTGGGAAGCGAAGTACGGAACAGAGCAGCGAGATGCTTTTTTCCCACTTCCCTTTTCTCCCTGATGTTAATTGGTTTTTTTCTTCTTCTCAGTTCTCTCTCTCTCTCTCAAACCACCATTCTCCCATGTCCATGTTTCGTTTCGCCGAGTGCGCTCCTTACGTCCACTCATTCGCTAGCATTCGTCCTGTTTCCCCCCTTTGGAGCCTTGATGATGTGCACAGGGGTTGGGGGAAGAGTGGAGGGATGGTGGGAAACAATAAACCTTAACCTCTTGTTCTTGTTATTCCCCTGCATCAGACTCCGTGGCGTCTGTGAGCGGGACGAGTGGTGATTGGGCGAAGAGCTGTGGATGGGCGCCGGAAGCTAAACGCCCCCAACCACTGAACTTGCGCCCCCTCCGCTATTTTAGCATGGCATCGTCCACCTTTGTTTCCCAATCGGGCTTGGTGAGGTAGGGAATTGGGTGGGTGAATTACAGCCACTCAGTCGCGCCGACACGCCATAAACTGCGGCGGCGCGGGGGAGGGTGGGATGCATAATTGATCGCTTCACCTTTCTGGACGAGCTGGCGAAGGACGTCGGGCAGGATGATGACTACTCCTCTCTCCTTGTCTATACGCTGCAGAGCCCGGTTTTCGTAGACGGGGTTTGATGGGCGACGAGTTTCATATGGCGCGACTAGAATTGCTCTCAACACGTCACTAGGGCTCTAGGCGTGCGACTCACCGACGGGCTTCGTATTTCCCACTGGACACTTGAACTTCACCTCGCCAAGGAGGAGGGGAAAAAGTATCCCCGTCATAGGCGAGCGCACGGCTTTGCTGCTGCCGGGTGCCATGCCTTGCGTTCATGCTACTCTCCATCTAGGTCTGATCCATACCCAGTATCAATGTTCCACGGCCAGTCGATGGGTTCTGTCCTCTGCTTGCGTAACCGACGAGTCCCCAGTAGGATTGCACATCACGAGCCTTACGGCTTGATGTGACATCAATCACCTCGAATCCCATGATGAATGGGTTCAGTCTACAACGTTGGTGTCAGGAGACAAAGAGGCCCAAGTCAAGACAAATGATGTTAGCAACAGAGGACGAGAAGAGAAACAGTGTGAGAAAAAAAGGTCGAAAGACTGGTGACAAGGGGAGATGTACAGGAGATGGATGAGCAGATGATCCAGATCGACGAGCCCTGTTTAGCATTGATTAACGCCCCAAAGCGAACCTGGTTCAACCTCGTAAGTACGAGCTTGTTTCTTTTCTTTTTCCATGTGTCTGTTTTTAACCAGGTCCGCTGCTGGGAATTGATTCACTCGACGCCATGGCAAGCTGAGGCTCGTTCCTGAGATGCGGGCGTCATCAGTGATGGCTTGCCCCTTCCCCAAATCACTTTCACAGCGTACGAGCTCATCGCCAGGGAATTTCAAGGCGTGGATGGGGCGATGAGTCAGGGTATCGCTGTCTGGCGAGGTTCTTGTCTCTCAAGGACGATTTCAGCAGTTGTCGTTGACTGATATCATTCAACGGTTTCTGTTGGATACGCGCGGAATTGCAGGGTGCGTCGGCCAAGCGCCATTATCGCCCCTCCATCAAGCTAGCTTGGAAAGACCCTGCGAAGCCCAGTGCCTCTTCTCCGATGGTCCACCGGCCGACAGCTACAAGTAGCTTTTGGCTGGCCAACTAGGCTTTTGGTGACTTCAAGAAATGTTGTTCTAGGCTCGAATCTTTTTCTCTCTCTCCAAAACGAAAACGGGGAGGGGAGGAGGGGCCACGCTCGTCACCTTCAGTGTTCATGTTCTCAATAATACGGCTCTTATGGCAGCACTGAGACTCCTCTCGCCTAGCTGGGATGTGGAACGCGCCAAAGGACCAAGCCACCGCATACAAAATCCCCTGAAATCCCGAAAAAGGGGCCCCACCCGTGCCCGATTGACTGAACTGATCGAACATTGAACCCCTTGTCCCTTGTACCCGCCCCTCCCCTCTCCCCCTTCTCCACACACACACGCACGCCCCTTCGCCAGTAACGCTTGTCCATTGATAGGCGCAGCGCCCTCCGTCGATCATGTCGTCTTGTCTGCCGCCGTCTCCTGTCGAGTCGTTCTGCGACTTTCACCCTAGACCTGCGTCCAATGGCACCCGCTGCCTGTCCTTTCTTTCCCCTTCTTTTTTGGGGGTGCCTTTTTCTCTTCTGGTTTTCAACGGTCCTTCTTTTGGCTCCACACAAACACCCTCCAAGTTGACGAGGCTTCTCCTCACCATTAAACTCAAGTGCTCTGATAAAAGAACAGAAAGCCACATGTACAGGTGACAAAGGGCAACTCTGCGTGGATGCCCAGAAACCACCATTTACTTGTGTGCAACAATGAGTACCTACTTACTTACCTTGGACTGCCTACACCCCTCCAACCAGGCCTTTTGGTCTTTGGAAATCGACGATGGATTCCGAGGACTGGGTCTCTCTCACCCTTCCCTTGTTCCTGTATCCTGGTGATTCTCCAAGTGCTCCGCTTCGGTGGGGTGTGTGTAAAGGACCTAGATCGAATGTGAATATCAAGAAAAAGAGTGTGCATACGATACGCGGAGGACCGGTGACACCGCCGGCATTTTCCTGCCAGACCGCACCCCTTCCCACCCGTCCCTCCCTCCTCCCCCGGCGTAGGGTGAAAGAGACAAGCACAGATGACAGGGAGACGTGCGATGGGATAAAAGGGTCTCTCGTCCCACCCTCGAACTCGCACTTCTTGTTTCCATTGTACACCAGGTTCGAGGTTCAGGTTGCTTCGTCTTGTCTTTTTATTGTTTCCTTTCTCTTCTCTTCTTTTCGCGAGACTGAGTCTTTTTGTTTCTCTTCGCCTCCTTGCTTTCATTCAAAAACCCAAGGGTAACAACCGACGACCTCCTTCGGAAGCTCCCTTTTTTTCTTCTCCATCTTGCCTTCGGGGACGATCAACACAACGCATCTGTCCTTCCCACCTGTGGAAACTCCATCTTGCCGGCCAAGTAGTTCGAACAACCATTTGCAAGACTTGCATTTCTCTCCCTCTTTCACCTACGCCAGACGTCTTTTTGTCGGGCATACGATTTGCGCGATCGACCTGTTCCTTTACTAGGGTTTTTTGTTTCGTTTTAAATCACTGCCTTGAAGGCTGGTCGCAAGACACAACCGCCCCTTGTTCTACCACTAGCACCTTCCGCGACTTACACCCAGTCCGGTCCTTCTTTGTCCACCGCCGCCATCAGCACCGTCGTCAACACCAACCACAGCCTCGAGCCCGCTCCTTCCCTCGACTTCAAAAACACTCGGCTCTTTCCTCGATTTGCGCATCTGGGCAATTTTTTTCCTTCTCTCCACTGGACCAAAAACCTAGACACGCGACCCTAGAAGACCCTCCATCAGCTCACAAAAAGTTCACCTACAAAAACCCACCTCACCATCTTCTCTTCCTTCTTCTCTCACCCTAACCACCACCACAACACTCACTTTTTCGAGACAGAAATCAAGATCCCAAAACAAGACATCGAAAATGAAGGTTACTCTGCTTTACGGCCTCCTTGCCGCCGCCGTCCCGGCCCTGGCTCACATGGCTATGCTCGATCCCCCTCCTCTCCGCTCCATCAAGAACCCCAACAACGGCGGTGATGTCGACAACGATCTCAGCTCCCCGTCGGCAGCGGCAACTTCCTTGCCGCGGTTCTCTCAACTTGCTTGGCACTGACAAGGCCGCTCCCGTTGCCACCTACAAGGCCGGCGAGTCCTACTCCGTCACCATCTCCAACGGCGCCGACCACGGTGGCGGCTCGTGCCAGTTTTCTCTGTCCTACGACAAGGGTCAGACCTGGACCGTCATCCAGAGCATCGTTGGCGGCTGCCCCGTTTCTGGTGGTGGTTCCTTTCCCTTTACCATTCCCTCGGATGCCCCTTCGGGCAACGAGGTCGTCTTTCCTGGTCCTGGTTGAACAAGATTGGCAACAGGGAATTCTACCAGAACTGTGCCGTCGTCACCATTGAGGGTGGTTCCGGAGCGACCCGCCGCCAAGAATCCGTCGCCTTTTCGAGCCGTCCTGCCATGTTTGTCGCCAACGTCTTTGGGGATGGCTGCAAAACTGTCGATAGCACCGACGCTACTTTCCCCAACCCTGGCCCAGACGTGATCACCAACAACCCCGCCGCTGTTGCCCCTGTTGGATGCGCTGCCGCCAGCAATCCCGCTCCTGGTTCCGGTAGCGGCTCTGGAAGTGGCGAAGGCGAGGGCGAGACTGAGCCCACTCCCGAACCCCAGCCCGAGCCTCAGCCTGAGCCTGAGCCTGAGCCTGAGCCCGAGCCCGAAGTGACTGTTGCTCCCACTGTCACCGGAGCTCCCTCGGCGTCTGCTACCATGTAAGTTGTCCCAGACCCAACCCATCCCCTTGATGTGATTCCATGCTTACCATCCCACAGTCCTGGCGGTGTCTTTGTTACCGTTCCCACCGCCGCGCTTCCCGAACCTACCGAAGATGTTCCCGCTCCCTCGGTCACCGTGGCCCCGAGTACCTTCCTCACTGGCACCAGGCCTGCCACCACTGCTCCCGCTGCGGTTCCCACCAACAGTCCTGATACCAGCACCGGCGTTCAAACCGGCTCTTGCTCGGAAGAGGGCGCCTGGAACTGCATTTCTGGTACCAAGTTCCAACGCTGTGCATCCGGCCAGTGGTCTGCTGTCATTTCCATGGCCGCCGGCACCACGTGCCAGCCTGGCATCAGTGAGAACCTGGTCATGGCGAAGCGAGGCCTTCGTTTCCGACGCGATTAAGAGGCACCTTGCTGTTTCCAAGGCCAGTTCGTGGAGACTAGCGACTGAAGGGCTATCGAAGTTTACGTCGTGAAGATTGTGTCATATGGTAGAATACAGAAGTGAGAATAGGCGTGAGGGATACCAAGGGACAAGGAATAGGGAGCCTTTCCCTCCGCAACAGTAAAAACCGAGACATCGACACACCATTCTCCTCCCCTCCCCTTTCGGATTGTCATTGCTTTTCCAAGATTCCCGCCAGAAAAAAAGAGATTGGAATCTTCTTCATCTGGGCTTTTGTTTTTTCTTCTTCTTTTCTCTTCTCTTCTTATCCATATTCGTCTCATCAACCCAAGTTGGACTCGAGTTGGAATTTTCTTTTCCTTTTCCTCCTTTGTTTCACATATTTGGGGCGTTTTAGGGACATAGGCTGGGACCTTCTAGTGTTATTGTTTTTTTTCTTACTTTGTCCCTTTCGGTAGAAATAAAACAACCGTTGAAAAATAGCATTCTCGATGGGGCATATACTCATTGTTCCGAGTAAGGTGGGCGATGAGGAGACTCGCACTGCAGTCTTGCGTGTGTCGTTCAATAATATGTAGTCGTATCATATCACCTTTTCATGCCCATCACTCCAGGACGGGTAAAGGACGCTCTCCCAGGAATTGCCTGGCCTCCTAAAACAACACCCCGAGTTTCGAATCGCTTCGCCACAGGAAGAACGGCAAAGGGAAAACAATGTGCCTATAGAAGAGACCCATCCAAAAAAAAAAGAGAGGGACGAAAAAAATACTTCAAGAGTCATTGACCAAGTACGAAAATGGCACGACATTATGGAATCTGAGACCAAGCACGTAGTTTGAGTTATGAGCGATATTGTATTCCGATAGAAGACGGCGGCTGACGACGAGAAGCTTCCCCCTCCCCGCGTCTCAAGCGCTGCTCAACCCAAGGCTTTTGGGGATTGCCTAGTTTCCCCTTCTTTTTCCCTCTTTCGCCTCGAGACCTCAAGCTAGCTTTCCTCCGTCCGTCCTTGGATCCCTGCACGAACCCCTAGAACCCTATCCGCCTGGTACCGGCCTCACTCCCCCGCTGCGACTGGCCAAAGTCATTCGGAACGGAGCAGATGTGCGGCTGTCCTGGCCTTCCTTGCTTCCTCCCCTCTCGAGATTGCTTTGCCCTTTGCCAACCCCAATCTCGACCTTGACAAAGCGATATTCCCCCGCCTCCACCTATGATCCCTCGTCTCAATTTAAAAAAAAAAAAAAAACCCCTCTAGGCTTAACAATGTGAGGGTACAAGGTTGAAGAATACAGGCTATAGAATTGCTGCCCCCGGATAGCCCACAAAAGATGCCGCCAAAGGCAAAGGGTGCTGGAGAGTTGAGAGCCCTTTGCCCTTTGTGCTGGGGTGACATGTTTGTATTCCTCATGTAACTTTCCACCTGCTCCACACATCCAGCTGCCAGTTAAGATGCTTTTGTTTAGATACATACAAAGAGTATCCTTGTGTGTCGTTACACCTGAGCCCACTTTCACATCTTATAGTGGGAGCAAGAGCCAAAGAACCAAAAGGTGAGTGAAAGTAATGTTTCACCTTTGGTTCTGACAATGGTGCTGCTAGTAGGCAAAGAGGAGGAGATAGATATGGAACAAAGAAAGTGGAAAAAGAAAAGGAGATGGATGATCCCCTTTGTGCCTACCAATACTCTGCCACTGGTAAAGGTAAAACATGCCGTTACTCTGCCTTCGTCTATTGTAGACCTCGAGCATTAGATGCTTTCGAATTTTGAATATGAGGTTATTATGCGGGGCCACCTCGAGGCCCAAGCCGCTGAGACAATAGGTTGAAGTAGACCACGATGATCCAAAGGAAAGAAAAAAAGAAAAGGAACATCGTGATTTGTGCCGTATGGTTGATAAGAGTGGCGATTTACTTAGGTGGGTAAGTGGCTATTGAAGACACCATTGAACGACCTTGATAACCGGCGCTAGAGCGCGACACCGAAGCGTCGCGGTTATGAGTTATATCGGGAGACCGCCCAACTCATTTCGCTTCCTCAGGGCCGTCGGGCGCCCTTGCCTGGGGTCCGGAAGGAGCAGTGTGGTTGTTTTGGTTCATCTGATGCTGCTGGCCGTGGGCATTGTAGTTCTTGTTTCCGTAGTTGTTGCTACCGGCCCTGTGCTGCGGACCACCAAAGTGATGCATGTGCTGGGGACTGCTTCCGTAGTGGTGAGCGGCAGGGCTTCCGTAACCTCGCGCATTGTTCACTATACGATGCAAGGCATCAGACGTTAGCAAAGTTTCCTTCCCGCCGGCCGTTCAGTCATAGCACTTACTGGGGCTAGGCTGCTGCGGCGTATACACGGGCTGCTGGTAAGCCATACTGGGGCTCATACCGTAGGGTTGACCCTGAGCGGATCCTTGATGAGACATGGGCGGCGCTGCAGGCCGGCCAGGGCTCGGGTATCCGTTGGAACCGGTGATCGGTTGGGGAGGGACGGCGACGGCCCCGGGAGGGATGAACTGGCCCTGAGAGGTGTGGAACATTTGCATCTGCGGAGGAGCCATCATCATGCCTTGGGGTCCCGCAACGAATTGGTGCTGAACCATCATCGGAGAGCCCATATGGCCGGGTTGTTGCGGCATGTACTGGGGATTGTTCGAAAAGCTCCGGTACTGGCCCATGTGAGGCGCGGTGGGAGCATATGGCTGCATGACGGGCTGCCCGTATGGTACCTGGGCCGGTGAATTCACAGCCGGAGCATAGACGGGGGCTTGGGCCATCCTCGGCGACGCAAATGATTGCGCAGAGTTCGAGTGCATCATCCGATGATCATCCGTACTCGCGTAGCCAACATGAGGCGTGTGTTGAGGGGGAACATGCATCTGCATAGGCGGCATATGGGGCGAGGGCGGGCAGGCATATTGTGCGCTCCGTGCTGGAGATGGAACGGTAGTTGATGCTGATGGGCCATGGGCATGATGTGGGAGGGGTTGGGCGTGGAGACGGCACCGGGAGGCCCAGCGAACGGGTTCCGCTCAAAGTATTGCTTATACGTGAGGAGCATGGTCGAATCCGACTTCTCTTTTTCGTCCAACAGCTGCCTCCAGGTCGGGGGCGTGTCGTACGTGGGACGAAGACCAGCATTGTCATCCCCGTTCCGCGCTAGAGCCTTTGTGGTCTTGACATGGGCAAGGATATCACACTTCTTACAATCGACAGCCTTGGTCTTGCGTCGAATGAGTTGTCGAACCGGCGACGCTGATGCGGCGTCTGGGAGATTACTCGTGACGTTGGACCTGGGGCTAGAGGCTGTGCTCGGGTTGGCCGGGCTGAAGCTAGGGGCAAAGGCGTTGGGCCTAAATTCTTGCGTGTTGGGGTTGAGCTTGTTCGCATGGCCTGGCGTTCCACTGAGGCGCCGGTTGAAAGAGCCATCGTTGCCACCCGTCGGCGCTGTGGGAGGGACACGACCGTCAATCTGAACAGACACTTGGGGCGTCTGGTGCATCTTGATACGCTGGGCGAGGTTGCCGGTGGTCCGTGGCTGCGGTGGATGTTGGCCTCCGCGATCGTTACGGAACTGCTGGCCGTTGAAGTTGGAGGCTCCATACGCTTGACGCCCACCGCCGTGGCGGTTCTGTTGGGAGTTGGGATGAGAAGACGTGTGAGAAGGGGTCGGGCGGGGTGCGGGCTTCTGCTCTGCGGGAGCTGGGGTGGAGGGCTCGGTGCTCTGCTTGGGAGGCGTCTCCTTGGTCGTGACTTCCTTGGGCTTCACATCCTTGGAACGGAGGACTTCTTCGGCATTCTGCAGAGCCTTCGCCTGGATTTCCTTTTGTCTCGCAGGATCCTTGGCAATAATACTAATCAAGTCACTGGGGACAGGCGTGGACAGTTTGAACGTGCTTGCAAAGTTCTTCAACTCTGTCAGCTTGACCTCTTTATCAGCCTTGGCCTTGCCGATGCGAACCCGCTCAGCTTGGTTCCTCTGGCCTCTCGCGAAGCTCTTAAAAGAGTTGAGCACGTCACGCTCCACGGTTGCGGTCGCACTAGGCGTGGCTTCACCAGTTTTGGGTGTCGTTCCCCTCGTACTTGTTGCGGAAGGAACAGCAGGAGAGCGAGAGGGGTCGCGGTGTTATCAGCGGGTTTTGATTCGGTGGAGGAGGGCTCAGTCGTCTTCACATCCTTGCTCTTCGCTTCAGATGTCTTCTCTCCCTTGGTCTGGTCTGGCCGGGGGTGGGAGCCTTTTCAGGAGCGTTGGGTGCCTTGGATTCTTCCGCAGGCTTGGGGGTGGGGACAGGTGACGTTGTTGCGCCCTGCTGGCCGGCCTTCTTGGGCTGGGAAACCCTGAGCTGGGAAGAGATAATGGCCGGGTCGACGGGCGCGCCAATGACAGTGGCCTTGGAGGTCGGCGCCCGTTTGGCCGGTGGCATGTACTTGTTTTCACGACCCGATGGTGGGGCCGGGTCTTGACGCTTGACGCCAGAGTATCTGAAAAGAAGAGACGGCAAACATTAGTGGCTAGTCGTGTCTTGACTCGGAGGTCGAGGCGTGGGTGAATGACTTACTTATCCTCCTCGTCACCGTTGAGATCACCACCGCCCGCAAAGTCCATAATGCGCTCCTCAGCCACGTGCGACGTTACCGCGGTACTCCTCTCGATTTCTCGAGCTTTCCTTTCCGCGGCGGCGGCGCGCTCTATACTGTGGATGACTCTTGTCGATAGCGGTGGTATACATGTTCTCATCGTAGTCCGTCTGGAGGCCAAAAAGCTTCTCGTTGGCAGCGAACTGGTCCCAGGCTCCAGAGGAGCTGTTCCCTTCAAGGCTATCACCGAACGTATCGGCGTTATCGGGAACCCAGGCCTTCAGGGTTCGTTCGTTGCCATAGCGGCTGTTCGAGATGGCGGTGTCGGTACGAAATCCGGATCGATTCCCTAAGATAACGGTTAGCAGGGGCGGTAGAGGATGGAATGCAACAAGAGCAGGAGGAAAGGGGGACAAACCATTTTGCACACGACCTGACCCGCCAGATCTGTCATCCTTCTTCGGTACAGGCATGGTTTGCGAAATCAATGGAAAACCCGGTATAGCCTCGTTCTTAATCGTTGGTCGGTATTCTACTTCAACTGGGTCATGCCTTCGTAACGGTCGTTGGGGTTCTAGTCGCACAATAAATTTGCGCTAGAGAAATTTCGCTGGTAAGGAATTATGATCAGCTTGCTGGGCTATATGTGAAGAAGCAAAGTTAGCGTGAGATCCTAAGTCTGTGACATTATGCGTGTAGTGTCTTCCGAGTAATATAAAGGACGCGGGAAAGAAACGAGAGCTATGTTGAGGCAGCTCCTAGAGGGCAGGGAACCATCTATGACCAGTGATACCAGCACCGCAAGCAAGTCGCAGAGGTGGGGGATATGAAGGGGCCAATTGTGCATACCAAGTCACTTTTGAAGAGCAAGTAATCCGTGGAACTGCCTGCAGAGGGATTCGAGACCTCTCGCGAGGGCCGCTTCGGGGGAGGGTTGATGAGCTGGGCAAAGGGGCAGGGAAAGGCTAGCAACAAAACAGCTGCTTGCATCAGTCAGCGAAATGCACTAGCAGGTGCGAGATCAACGAGGAGATGGCGATTGAAAAAATAGGAAGCTCCTGTGAAGGACGATGGGGATAGGGGTTGGAGATGGCAAGGCCAAGGGGGTCGGAAGAACGAGCAATGGGCGGTTAGTCCAGACGAGGTTGCAGCCGACAAGCCTCATTCAGAGCACAACCACACAATAGAGGCCAGAAAGCCAAGAAAGCTGCAATGATGGAAGGAGCTGGTGGAAGCGACTTGTTGAATGGGAGATGGGATCAAACATTGACGGAGGCGGAGGAGATATGGAGCTAGAGTTTCCAGGTGACTTACCCGATGGAAGGGAAAGAGCGAGTGAGGTCGAAGGATGGATGGCGGTTTAGGGGGATTGGATGGAGGGCCCGATCTGCGTAGGACGAAGGGAGTGTCGGCGGGAGAAGGAGATTGGAAAGACGGGAGAGTCTTTGCAAGCTGCCCCGATCCTCGAGGTGTTCAAGACCTGCCGCAAAATGGGCAACTTGAGATCGTTGGGCGAATTTCGCTGGATGGTTAATTGGGGGATGGGAAAAAAAGGATAATACCACCAAAGGGTAGAAAACACAGTTGAACACACAGCCCAGGTAGTGGGAGCGCTCAAAGGCGGATGATGGATGGAGGTTGAGGTTTTGACAAGGGGTGGGAGGATGCGATGTACCTGCCCACTTAATCAGAGCCTGGAAATACATAACACGTACGGGAACTCTTTTTTATCCTTTTCGCACTTGTTTTCATTCCGCTCGCTCTAGTGCTCAAATGTTCTCTCTGGAACCCCGGGGAAGGACACAGAGCGAAGACACGAAAATGACACTGTGCAGTGGTAGCTACTTTAGAATCATACGGTGCTGTCACTACGCAAAACGGAAATTGGAACCTTGACCCTCAAGATACCGTACAGTGTCTATATGTAGAGCACTGTACATAGAAATCCGTCAGCATGATCTGATTCCTATTTTAGCAAATGCCTGGCGCAAACTCCGCGTTTAGCTGGTGCGAATTTGGGATGAGACTTGGGGTGGATCACCATCTCTCCAGTGATCTCAGGTATCCCTGTAGCATTTCCCAAGTCATTGACCAATGCCCGTCGCTGTTGTCATGGCTGCAACGGAGAGGTGGATCGACGACGCAAAAAATGAGGGACAGGGAATAGTAGAATTATGAGCTTGAGGACAAAAGTTGAAGAACTAGCAGCAGAAAAAGGAGGTAGACCCGCAATGCCAGATGGCAAAGAGACGAAACATGGGCGTCTCGAGTCACCCAGCTTGGTGAAGAGAAACGTGAGATTGACACCGCTTAGACCCGAGTCCTGGAACTGACGAGAAATGCACAAATCCGTAAAGAGCATTGAGCCTGGTCAATTCTCGACAACATGTGGGCTGTACCTCCTCCCCGACAACATTGCACCAGGGCTATGGGCTCATTCAAGAAATCGGTTAATGGTTGACGGGGAGTGTTGCGAGTTTTAGGTTACGTGATGGGGAAGCTTCGGGGACGACTTGGACCTGATGTTTGACTTCGTGCTCACTTGGGTTTGAGCATGTTTGCAAGCAATCAAGGTATCTATATGCTGCGATCCAATGTTTGCCTGGCCAAAGTTTTAATCCCTCTACCAGCTATTGTGTAGGTTGATCAATTGATGGCTTGATTTTCTTTTCTCGTTGTCCTGTGTGTCCCCTTTGTCTCTCGGGGCCCTGAGGAAAAGAAAGTGCAAAGGGCGTTGTTGGGCTCAGGGACAGGGATACGCTGTGCGGATTCGTCCGAGTTCTTCTCTGTGCTTCGATCATGTTTCCCCTTGAGCTTCTGATGTGAAACTTCGGGGAGCCAAATTGAGCTATTAGCGCCCCACAGGTTATTCTCCCACTATTACATCCAATGATCAATGGGCCGAAGATGGACGTAGCCAGGCTCAACGCCAAGCGCTTGAGGTCTGTCGCCCTTCAAGCCTCCTCGGCCGGCTCCCCGAAACTCTGGCATCAAAGGTCCAGCATAGCCCTCAACACGGAAGTGTGCACGCCCTTCTTGACCTCGTGCTTTTGCTTAGCCTCGGGGCATTACTTTTCAACCATTTTTTTCGTTCCCGCTCTAATACCTCGTGTTCAGGTGAGGATAGTGAAAGGATATGTGTGTCACCGAAAACTTGGAAAAGTCTCGGTGCCGACTACATGTAGTCAGTGTTTTGTCATGAAAGCTAGAAAAAAATAGGCTTGGTATTGAGCCGAGCTTTAGGACGCAGCGGTATGACTTAGAGAAGCGAGGGTCACCCATCTGGCATCAATGTCTACATGTAGAGCCTATGTTAACCCCAAGCCCCCTCATCGAGGCGAAGTACGTCTGCCCACCAAGCATAAGCCGGGTAATCGCCTCAAAAGGGTCCACGTATGAATATCGATATTTCGCAAGGGTGCCTGTAGCAAGACTCTAGTTCCATAACGGAGAACCGGGAAACGGTCTTCTCGCGGCAAGATACAATGAATATCAGTCGTTAACATATCCCCTTTCTCAGCCCAACGTGGTGCCGAGTCGAGAGATCACCTTTGGGCCTGAAAACCCAAACGAACCAGGTTCTTGTCTGGCTCGCCTCTTTCGCGCCCAAGAGCTAGGCTTCCCTTTCTGGCTTGATGAGGCTGGAAAGGAGTCACTAGGTATCAGGGGTGCATAGTGCGCTCGATGGAAAGCTCGGGGTTTGAAGCCTGGAGGCTTTGGGCATCACATGGTAAGTGAGAGGTAAGACGTTGCCGTTGTGAGAGACGATGTCTATAAAGCGGAGGGGACGATGGGTTAGAGAAAAAAGCAACTAGACACTCTATTATTTTTATTCGAAGATTTGAGCCCAAACCCCCGAGTTATCTTTGTTTTGAATACGGGCCCTTCTCCTCGTCGAGCGAGGAGGATTCTAGGCTTCTGCGGCTTTGTATACAGGCAAGGAAATATGAGTGCTTATATTCACAAAGTGGACTGTCCGGCTCCCCTAAGCTCTAAATGACTGTTTAATACTACATTGACAAGGCAACCCGATCTCACTCTATACTTTTATACCTTGAGACCCAAGTCTTGCGCGTAAGGAAGGGCGTGAAGGTCGCCGACCGTCGCGACGCTGGCCTTGCCCTCGAGGAGGGTCTTGGCAACCTATAGTCCTTGTTAGATTACGGAAACCCCAAAATAGGAGAAAGAGGGAGGGAACTCGTACCTGCTGAAGCTTGGCGGGGGTGACGGAGGAGTAGCTCTTGACAAGGTCGGCAGCCTGGACGGCCTGGGTGCCGTGGACAAGAGCGGAGCCAACAGAGATGATGGACTCCTTGGAGGATTGGGTCTTCTCAAGGGCATCGAACCTGGCGTTGGCAATGGCCTTGGTGATCTCGTCCTTGCCGACGGAGCCAGCGGCAACGCTCTGGAGAGCCTTGACGGCCTCCTGGGCAGCCTGCGCGACGGACGCGGTGGAGCCGGAGAGGGAGATGGTCAAGAGACCCGCATCGGAGTAAGCGAAGCTCTGGGAAGAGGCGGTGGCACCGGTGGAGGCGGAAATCTTGGAGAGGAGGGAGAAGCCGGGAGACCACTTGATGGAGGACTGGCCGCCGAGGAGAGAAGCAAGCACGGACGCCTCAGGGCCGGACGCAGGGAAGGCGATGGTGATGGCGTTGCCAACCTTGCTGTCGATGCGCTGCTCACCACCATAATAAGTAGTGGCATTGGCCTTGGGGCTCTGGCTGGAGGAGGGAACCTCGTTGAAGAACTTGGAAGCCCACTGGGCGACGGCACCCTGGGAGGCGCCGTCGGCGGCGAGGGCAATGTTGGGCTTAGCGTAGACCTGCTCGGCGAAGGCGGCAACCGAGTACTCATCAAGATAGCGGTTGGTGGGAGTGGACGCCTGGGGATACACGGGGCACCGAGGCCGTTGTGGAAGGCAACGGCGTGAGCGGCGTCCAGAGAGATGGCGGCAGGGTTGGAAGCGATCTTGAGCTGCTTGAGGTGGATCGCGAGTCCGACCTCCTCGTGGAACTCATGAGCTAAGGGAGAGTTTCAGTTAGCACTCATACGGCAAGAGGGCGCGCATAGAAGGCATGATGGGTCCGTCATACTGGTATAGCGGGTCTGGGTGAGGACTTCAGCGAGGAGCTCGGCGAAGTAGGGGAGATCTTCTCGGAGGAAAGCGGTCTCGAGAACGAGAGCCTCTCGGGTGTGGTAGGCGTTCAGCTGGCCGCCGAGGAGTTCGGATTCTCTCGTGATCCTGAGGGCGGAGCGCTTGGTGGTGTTCTGCGACGAGGACGGAAAATTTTAGCTCAATTGCACGAATCAACAAGGGGGGATGGAGAGGGAGACGAATTGGGTTGGGGCGAACCGACCTTGAAGGCAAATCCCTCCAGACCGGCGGTGAGGCCGGGAACGGATTGATATCTGGTACCGGCCTTGATGACGACGGCGAGTTTGGCCAATTGGCCGTGGGCATCCCTTGAGGCGACCTTGATACCGGCGGCATCGTACGTCTCGAACGACGAAGAGCCGGAGGCGGCAGCGGCGAATCCTCGAGCCTGGAAAGGGCGCGCGGAGCGCGTGGCCCCAAGGGCCAATCGGGCAACGGACGATCTCGAGATCATTGTCTAAACGGTCGGATGGATGTCGCGGTGGACAACGATCGGGGCAGCCTGTGCTTTGCGTGATCGATCTGGACGAACTTGCTGTGTGGTCAACACAGCTAAAAAGAAGATCTTTGGTGTCTCCGTCTTATTTTCGGCAAGCTCCAATTGGTCAGGTGATTTTCCCGAGGAACTGAAATCACTCAACCTCCTTGTGTCTGATTTTCCGACCGAGCCAGAACTTCCTGCCAGCTGGAACCTGCCTTCTGCCAGCTGTTTAGTCACCCCCACTCTGTCCAAATTTTTCCTCTCTTTCTCCCGAGCTGGCTCTTGCAGCAAGGTGCTCTGGTGCCGTCCATACAGGTCATAGTTCCTGCGCTTGCGCAGCTGACCAGCGACTCCACTATGGAGGGGGATTTGGTGCAGGCTGGGGAAAAAAAAAGAAGACTCATCAGAACAGTCGAGGATCAAATGTTACGAGAATATCATTTCCGCGCATTCTACCCACCTCTTTTTCTTGCCATTCGGTCGTCTAATCGCACCAGCATTCAATGAAGCCCCGGTAGCGTCCGATTGATTGCGGAAGCTCTCGCGAGAGATAGTGAGAGGATCTCTTGGAGCAGCAGATTCCATCATCCCCTCCTGTTCATCTTGCATTCATACTCTGATCCTTTCAGCCACCCCTCCATCCGGCGACGGCTCCACCATCTGCTTGTTCGATTCGGCCACCCCCTGCGTTACCGCTTGTTTTTCAGCCATGATTGTGGTAAGAAAATCCTCGTTCATCATTGAGGAACCGTGTGTCCAAACAGCTTCTAATATGAACGCAATTTGTGTGCAGTCTAAACATGCAGCAGAGCTCTGCGCCCTGCTTGTCAATGACACCTTTGGCGAACTTCCCTCGGTATGTCCCTCCAATTTATACTGCTCTCCGACCCTTCGAAGCGGCCACGAAGCGAGCATGTGGCCAGTCTGGTGCTCTCCTTGAAATCGTCAAGCTAACTTGCGGATTCCAATTCAGCGTGTTATCGAAGCCCTCCTCCAAAGGGGACCCAGTCGCATGCCCCAACTCTTCGAACGAACCGGCCTACACCCTCCTCAAGTGCGCCATGGCCTTGCTGTACTGATTCAGCATAACCTCGCATATTATAACGTCAATAAAGACACGAAAGTCACAACGTACGAAGCAAATGTCCATTCCTGCTACAACATCCTACGCATAGGCCGAATCGTAGACCTTGTGGGGCAACAGTATGGGGAGGCGGAGCAAGAGGTCGTCCGAAATCTATTTTCCCTAGGTTATGTGCAGATTGCCGATCTTGCCCAAGCCTTTGGCGGTCATGGAGGCGGCGCGGCAGCCCCTGCCACCAATGGGAACGGCGAAGCTCATACTGAAGTCGGGATGAACGGCAACAGCAACGGCAACGGCGTGGTGTCCAATAAACCAGGGTCTACGATACAATCCGTCTTTCACCTTCACGAAGTTATCGGCCGCCTGATACAGTTCGAAATCCTTGAAGTTGTCGACGCTGAATCATTCGCCAATCCCGAAACCGTATATGCCGAGATTGAACAAGAATACACCAAGAAGGCGACAACTGCCAAATCTCTCAAGGCTAAGGAAGACCTTGGGCGAGAGAAGGCCGGCATGCTGCGCGCTGCTAGAGATCGTGGCAAAGTTCTAAAGCGTAAACTCGACGCTGAAGATGGTTTCCCAAGCTCCAAGAAGAGAAAACTGGTTAATGGAGAGGCCAATGGGACCCCGGCGCCTTCAAGCACGAAGAGGCGGGTTTTGGATGTAAGCTTTTCACAACTCGTTTATATCTCCGTCTCTAGCGCCAACTAACCCTTCTACGCCACTAGTCTTCTACCGTTCTGCGGATAAACTACGAAAAGTGTCTCGTTGATTTGAGAAATGACAGGCTTGGCCGGTTCGCCGCTGATGTTATTGGCCATACGACTTCCGAAGTGTATAGGGCACTCTTGAGACTTTCCACCACAAAACTATCGCGCTGTAAAGAGGATTCAAAGATTGACGGTGCCTACAGTGACATGTTTGATGACGGAGCCAAGGATGTCACCATCACCACCCTAGAAATACTCGAGAGCCTCGATCCTTCGATCAATCTAGCGACCGACATTGGACGGGTCGGCAAGAGCAGTGTTGACCCTCATATCGGTGACCACCTACTGCAAATGGCCGTCATCTCTTCTACCGAAGATGCTGAGCTCGGCCTTCAGGGTGGGCCGGTCAAACCCTCTCGGAACGGACACATCACCGATGACGAGCTGTATTCAGATGACGAACCCGCCCCGATAAAGGCTAGCAACGGGCAAAATGGTTCCAGCAACGGCCACGTCAAATTTGAAAATGTGCCGAGTACCGGCGAGCAGAGGGTTGAGCTTCTCCGCCGCCACTTGTTTCTCTGCGAGAGCAAGCATCGGTTTGCAAGGTACTGCGGTACGCTAGGTGAAGGCCAGTGGGCTATCGACTTCGACGTGGTCATGGAAGCCCTCCGCCAAGTGGAGCTGGATTCCATCATCGAGCAGATGACAGGTCGGCGGGGTCTACGGTTAACCCGAATTCTAAGGCAGTTCGGTCGGTTGGACGAAAAGGTCGTGGCTGACAAGGCCCTCATGAAGAAACCCACATTGCAGGGCAAGATGGCGGAGCTTCAAAAGTCGGGCTTCGTCGACGTCCAGGAAGTGCCTCGCGATAATAATCGCGTCGCTAACCGCACCATGTTTTTCTGGTACTATGATGCCGATCGAACGTGCAGGCAGCTGCCGGATAGGCTATACAAGATGATGCTCCGGTGCTTGCAGGTTCTCGAAGTAGAAAGGCACAAGGTCAAGGATATCCTCGAGTTCGTGCACCGGACGGATGTCAAGGGGAAAGAAGAGGAGGTCATGACCCCCGAATACTACAACAAATACAGCAAACACCTGGAGCTGGAGAGGAAACTTCTTGGACATACGATGAAACTAGACGATATCGTCGCCGTATTGAGGGATTACTAAGGGGGATCGCACTCGGTGCATTTTGTTGCCATCGCCCGCTTTGGCGAGTTTGGGCATTTTGTACAACCAACCTGAGAGGGACAAAAAAGTGAGGAGTGATGGAGAGCACATGGTGCTATGTTGAAAAAGATGGTGTTCTGTCCCCGTTATACCCATATATACATAGCGATAGGTGTTACGATAGATGGATCATACAAGCGTTCAAATTCATCCTTCTTTACGATTCTCGGTGCAGGTTGATATGCAGTGGGGTGCCTCGGCTTGGGGCCGATGGCCGGGCTCCCAACGAACGTCACCCTGTAGTGGTTGAGAGACATCATGCAGGGTGGATGCCGGAATTGCCGGTGGAGTTATGCTCCTTCCACCACCTTGTAATAATCTATGGGGATGGGTGATCATAGACGACATGGAAAAGGGCGTGAATAGAGGAAATGAGGGAGTTCGCATCTGCAAAGTAAGCTGCCAGCCGGTTCACCTCAAGCTAATGATCCACCGGTTGGTTAGCTAGTTGTCGGTTCGCCGGATACCTTGTGGACTTGGGCGACGAACGGTGACTGCTTCTAAGTTTATAAGTCGGCGGGGTAACCTTGGTTTATAGATAGTGTTACGCTACGTGTATAGTATGAACATTAAGGCTGGAAAGTTTATGTCTTTTTGAAGTTATTAGTCTACATGTCTCCTTGCCTTTACATTGACTTGTTGGTGCGCATGCCAGCTGCTCGGTTAACCTTATTACTTGCTGGTAGGTTATTGTTAAAACTTCAAATGTAGATATTGCCTTTGGCAGCCTGTTGATTTGTCTCTCGTCTGGACAACCAACAACACCATTCACAGATGCGAGCTGCGAAATGAAGGAAGTCAATTACTTTTAAAAAGCTCCCTCTCCCTGAAGTTGAGGCTCGCCTGCCGGTATTTCCCCAGCAAGACATCCATCCATGGATCCATGAATCGATGCCCTCCGCCTGGCGGCACTTACACCATGTCCCATCGCCACCATCAAGCCTCGCTTGAGGGTCTTTGATTTCTCCCCGCGCTGGCTCTCTCCGAGACCCAGAGGCACTATGCACATCGGCGGTTCTATCAGATTATCGGGCATTTTGACACCGATGACCAAACTGCTCAAACTCGTGAGAGCAAATCCTACAACCGGCCCGCGCTTGTTCGACTCACCTACGAATATGCCCTTTCGCAAGAATCCCGAGATATATTTCTACGGGCTTTCTTCCGATCAGTACAATTACAAATTGATGATGAAGAGGACATAGTCGTTAAACACATCGCGCAACGGATCCAGCCCGATGTGTTTGGCTTTGCAGAGTGCTTGATGGATAATATCTTCTTGCCTCGTGCGTTATTCCATTTAATGAAAGCCTAGTTGACGGTATTAACGACCATGAAATACTTTAGTTAAAGCCGCCACCGGCAAGACCCCGCAGCCATCGCCCACCTATGACTCGGCGGTTCTCATGGTACAAGGACAAAACCGGGAATATATCACAACGCCTGCCCGACTAGCGGCCTTGCGAGGTACTTCTCTTGTCCGTGACCATCACAGATGTGTAGTGTCCCGTTTCTTTGATATCGAAGAATTCGAAAGGCGCATCCATCGTGAAGGCGAGGCGGGAGCCCGAGATGATGATGGTAATCCTTTGTCGGGTCCGTTTGGACATCTCGAAGTGGCTCACATTATACCGCATTCTCTTATGCGACCCCAGGAAGGCTCCGAAGTAGGTTTGGCAGATACTAACAAGCCAAACCTTGATGAAATGCTAAAAATTGATCTGAATATGCTCGATACTGGCGTCGCTCGCCTAATCGAAGGCGTCGGAATTGATCGTCCGCTCAACACACTATCTCTCAGTCTTGATTACCACCGCTGGTTCGGAGCATTTAAAATGTTCTTCACTCCCGTCCCCGACGAAGAACCGCACACTTATAAGATTGAGACGTTTCTGCGTGCATCCTTCCCTTCTAGTCCTCTTCCAGTGACCCGTACACTCCTTCTCAGTCCTGGCCATAACATTGACCCGCCTTCAAGTAGGCTTCTTGCCGTCCATCGCGCTGTTGCACATATTCTTCACCTCTCGGGCGCGGGTGCATACATTGATCGATTTCTAAGGGAGATGGACGAAGGTTTCGTACAAGCAGACGGCTCGACACAACTTGATAGGTATATGAGGCTCCGCCTAGGGGGATAAGAGAGTCGATGTGCCTTGAGACTTATGCAAACAATTGCTTCATTATCGCAGCCTGAGTCTGGCAATTAACTCTACGGAGACGGCCAGGCCAATATTCTCACGCAATGGTTCCGTGAGAAGCCTATTGACGTGTCACCTATCGAACACGTCAAACAGCAGACGTCTACAATTTCTTAGCGCACTGCAGCGTATCCTCCTTGAGTGCTTCCGTCAGTTGCACTGATCATCCAGCTCTTTGAAGACTTACAGCCCTGAGAGGTGGCCTATAAAGTCACGTGCCGAGGTCCAAACTACTCCAGTGCAGTATTGTTGATGATCATAGATGTAGAAGTTGAGGGCCTTTGCTGGTGTTCTCAACAGCCACCTAGGTCTTGGGCCAGTTCCGGATCAATCTAGAAACTTGTACTCTAGGCGATAGAATCCAGGAGAGTTCCCCTCTTCTTCCCCCATCTTACAGTGAGCGCTCTCCGTACAAGTATTAATACAAGGAATGAAGAAATGAATCCAACTTGAACTGTTGAAGCCGTCAGGGCCCTCACCTTTTTCTGCGGTGTATGAGCGGATGAAGCTCGGGTCCGTTCTCGGAGGTACACTGGAGAAACACCCCTGGCGCCAGGGGGTGGCGATAGGACGAAATTTGTTATCGCACCAGACAGGAACCAAAAAATTTCCCAGACCCTTCCAGTGGCATTATCGCGTGTGCCAGGACATCCTAGTCCCCTAGTCCGATTTTCTCTTCCTCTCCCTCCCCGCCTTCTCCCGACTCTCTTTTTTTTTTTTCCCTTCCCAAGCGTTGAGACGACTGTTCATATCCTTGCGTATACCGAAAATTGACAGGAGCCCTTTTTCCGTGCCTCCTGATCTTGTGAGCTTTTTGCATTGAGTAGCATCTTTTTCTTTCTATTTCTTTGCGAGAGCCTATAGCGAATCGCTTGCCATCAAGCTTCGAGCAAAAGCCCCAATACACTTAGACCTGCGGAAACTTTGACAAGTTTGCGCCCATCATGTCTCCGTCCATGTCGTCCTCGCGGGAGAAGGAGTCGAACACTGCTCGTCTCCTCGGATCCGGTATGCCCCTATTTCTATTTTATTTTAAACAGCTTGACTTGTACGGCGCGAGGAGAGTGACGTTGCTAATATAATGTTGGGACACGCCGTAGGCTCCGCCGGTATTGCTGAGCTCATGCTCTTCCACCCTGTATGACCTCGATCCCCTTCCGACCGTGCTGCCGTATCCTGCTCTCCGCCTGAGCGAGAAAGCGGAGCGATCCTCGACACGAACTAACCCGGAAACCTCATAGGTCGACACCATCGCCAAGCGATTGATGAGCAACCAGTCTCGCGTTAGCGTGCTGCGCAGCTGAACGCCGTCATCTTCAAGGACAAGGCCACCGCGGGCGTCGGCACCAAGTTCTTCTCTCTCTTCCCCGGCCTCGGCTACGCGGCGGGTTACAAGGTTGGTTCCCTTTTTCACTTCTCGGCAGACCGTGAGAACCAATAGGAGAGGAGTCATTTCTAAACCGCCACTTTTTTTCTTCCTAGGTCCTCCAAAGGATATACAAGTACGGCGGTCAGCCCGTCGCCCGAGACTTCCTCGGTGCCCACTACGGAAAGGATTTCGAGCAGGCGTTTGGCAAGAAGACTGGCAAGGCCATTATGCACTCCACGGCGGGAAGGTAAGCCTGTTCTTCTAATTTTTCCTTTGTCTTTTCTCTCACCCTTTGTGTGTCGCCTGCCATTAGCGCATCTCTAACTCATTTCGCGCATACAGCTTGATTGGTATCGGTGAAATCGTTCTCCTCCCTCTCGATGTTCTCAAGATCAAGCGCCAGACAAACCCCGAGGCCTTCAGGGGACGTGGTGTCCTCCGGATTATCAAGGACGAGGGCTTCGGCCTTTACCGTGGCTGGGGCTGGACTGCTGCCCGTAACGCGCCCGGATCTTTCGCTGTATGTTTGAACCCTTGATCTTTTCACTTGCTGGCGTGAGCTAACAACGGGATTTCTTCGCAGCTCTTCGGTGGCTCTGCCTTCACCAAGGAATACCTCTTCTCCCTCCAGGATTACAACTCGGCCACGTGGTTCCAGAACTTCGTTGCCTCGATCGCCGGTGCCTCTGCCTCCCTCGTCGTCTCCGCCCCTCTCGATGTCATTAAGACCCGTATCCAGAACAGGAACTTTGAAAACCCCGAAAGCGGCTTCAGGATTCTTTCCAACATGGCTAAGCACGAAGGTTTCGGTAGCTTCTTCAAGGGTCTGGTACCCAAGGTATGTGTTTCACCTCTACTGGATGCTGCTACCCTTTCTCAACGGGGTTGGCTGCCCACGGACTTGCAGATACTAATAATCGAATCTCTCTAGCTTCTCATGACTGGTCCTAAGCTCGTATTTTCTTTCTGGTTGGCGCAAACACTTATTCCCGCCTTCGATAAGGCCCTCGCGAAATAGATGAAGCCTACCTTTTACGTTGCACAAAAGGTGGATGGTGGGTGGTTGGATTTCACCTTGGGAGTTATTCTAGGTTTTGCTCTGGCCTGGCGCGCTGATGCTTGATGGGATAGATGATGGGATAAAGACTTAGACGCGGCTCACACACACACACACTCTCTCTCTCTCTCCTCTCTCCCTCTCTCCCTCTGTTCCATACCTGGGACGCCTCTTTTCCTCTGATAGATGGTCAGAGGGTCGGTCAGCCGCGGTGTTATGGGGCGGCGGTGTGGCTGACGGAGGCATCATGGGCCTATTTGCTTCTTTTTATTCTTGTTCTTGTATAGACCAATGGCTTTCTTTGTCTTTATTTTAATAATATCTCGGCTCTCTGGAGACTGTGTCATGTGCCCCCTCCTTGTCTAAAATTCTCGTGCATCCAGGCGTGTCTGTCCACGAAACATTATTGGAGGATGACGTTTTGTTTTCCACCTCCCTTGCCTGTCCTCACAAAATCGTCTTCTTCCCCTGTGGGCTTTGCCGGAGTCGCGCCCGTTCAAGTTGCTTCTTTAAAAGTACTAGCATGAGCATCACTGGGACCAACTCCTGGACATGCATGTAATTGATGTACTATTCAACGATCATTGTGTGCTTAAATTGGTGAGATGTATTAACGGGGAAGTGTCCTTGTGCTTAAGAAGTAATGGATGACAACTGAGTCCAATTACTCGAAGAGGGAGCATTAATTAACGCGAGATCGTCGGTGTGGAGCCATCAAGCTCCGGGCCGGGCGGTGTGTTCTCGTAGGACATTGATGCTAGGCCCGAAAAATTACGAAACCTCTTTGTCAGTCAAGACCTGCCAACGATGAGATCCAGGCCCGTCAATGACGGTTTAGGCTATATTGATAATACACTGGAAGACAGGGCGACAGGTCGGGCAGGCACGGTCCACTAGCGTTCCTAGGGAAAATCTACTTGTACGCTACAAGTACAAGCGCTGGGCGCTGGTGGCGGCCGAGAATCGTCACTGTTGTCACGGCAACCGCGACCAGGCGTGGCAGCCCGGAAACAAACACAACAATTGATTAGCCAATCTATCGAGCCGCAAAGAGGGCCAGGGCCACCCAGGGCTCCTTCCCGGGATCCCAGGGAACCCAACATTGCCGCCCTAAAACAACAATAACGAAGCTCCCCTCGTGTTATAACATCTTTGCTGCTCTATTATATTCCCCCCTTCCTGGGAAGAAGCCTGGATCTCTGCAACGCTCCAACACGCAACACCTGTGGTGATCGTGAGATCTTTCTTTTTCCAATTTCCCTTTGCAGGGCCATTGGCACAGTTTCGTATTGATTTGGTGTTTTTTATTTTTCCGCCGTCCTCCTCTTTACATTGCTCGACTCGCCCCAATACTTGCCAGCAAGTTGCGCGCTCCGAGATATCTGAATCAAACATTACTCATTTGGGTTCGAGAAGCTAAAAAGCTACTACTCCACACCCATCGTACTCACACACTCCATCAAGGAGAAGGCATATAGCACATACATTCACACATACACACACACACACACACACACACACACACACACACACACACACATACAGTCACGCACATCCACAATGCCGCCCATCGAGAGAGACGTCTCGATGGAGCCGAGAGGCGTTCTGCGCCATAAACACTCAGAGTCTTCTGATTACGGGAAAGCTCTGATTATACCAATGTGAGTTGCCTTTCAGCCTTCGTGACTGGGACATAGTCAACGTCCCCTGCGACTGCTCTTCTTGATCTAACAGATGGGCTTCAATTTGTAGGTGGGACAGCTCCGATCCCGAGAGGGCTCCTCCTCCCCTACCTCTCAACCCTCAGTCCCCTAGCATCGGCTGCTCTAGGCCGGGTACGTCGACTGCTATCCAGACGGCACATGCTGCCCTGACAGAGAAGGCTCGTGAGAGCATGGCGCCCAGCCCACATCCCTCCAAACGACTAAGCGAGATATCTCCCGAGCGTCCCCTTCCCCGTCCAAACCCTCATCGACGAATGCAATCTCTCCAACCTAGCGCGGTACGGGACCGAGGATTCTATATTGAGGGTATTCCTTCTTCCTCCCCGGGCCTGGATCACCGGATAAGTCTACTCGGCCCTCGACTCCAGTGCGACACAGAGACTCCTTCTCGCAGTCCCCGGACAAGATGAGCGAGAGACTTACGCCAGGCCCTGGGCCTAGCCTGACGCCCATCGTGAGGCCGACGGCCATCCGACGTCACCAGCACAGTATCCTTGGCGAGAACACACCACCCCAATCAGCCACGATGTTGGCTCTCCAAAATATGCAGACGCCCTCCACGACGACGCAGAGCCCTACGCAACAGCACACTCCTACACAACCTAAGGAGGTCGAAACTCCCCTGTCTAACGTCACAAACAACTCGACAGCGGTAGCCAAAACCAATCCTATCATTGACCCGGCAGCTCTTTCCAGCCAGATGCTGACCTTGACCAATATTGCCACGTCTCTTCAGAAAGAGATGTCTGCTCTCAGTCGCAGGAGCAGGGATAACGCGACTGATCTCATGAGCCTGAAGCAGGCGACCAATTCTCGGGACGAAGACATTCGGAAAACCCTAAGGGATTTGATTGGGAATTTCAATGATCCCACCAAGCCCTCCATCAAGGACCCATTCTACTCAGGTCTGCTAATCGACAGCAAGCCCCATCAAACCTCGTCCGCTGGATCATCCGCCCGTTCTATGGGACGGCCAGTCTCTCTGCCTCGCATTCCCTCCCCTAACAGCTTTGCGTCATCCCTCGACCGAGAATCCAACGGCACGCCTGGGTTTTCCGCCGCGGATGCACCGGCCACGATTGCACTTCTTGAAAAGATCATTCGAGATATGGGAACGCGCGAGGGCCAGGATCAACTCATCACGCGTCTGACCGAGGTTTCTGAGAAGCTGGCTGGCATGGCTTCAGCGACCAAGGTTGAGGAGCTCATGCATCATCTGAAGCAGTCCGAACAGACTGTAGCTCGAGGTCCAAATCAGCGCACCTTCAGTTTTGACGATACCAATGATTCGGCTATTGGCATGAATTTTGGCAGCACCCTTTCTCAGACTCGAGATGCTCCCGTTAGGTCTTCAGGGGTGACGTTGTGAACGAGGATATCCTGAAAATCATTAGAAGCGTTAAGGACAGCGTTGCGCAAGGCGGTGGCCTCACTGCCGAGGTCAAGGCGCTCGTCCGGGAACTACGCGGCGAAGTCCTGGGAATGGGTCGTGAGCTAAGACGCCGCCTTGATGAGGTCGTCGTCAAGGAAGAGTCTAGTGCAGAACCTCAGCAGCAAAAGGAGGAAATGTCACGAATCATTAACGAGGGCCTTGATGAACTCAAGGATCATATGGACGAACTTCTCAGGGAGCACCGTCGACAGTCCGGTTCCTCAACGACCTCCCACAGCACCGCTGTCGACTACCAGGAGATTTACAATGCCATGAGAGCTGCTCTCAAGGACTCGCAAACCGGAAAGCCTCAGGAACAAGGCCCAACACGGGACGATATCATTGACGCCGTCCGCGAGGCCTGGGAGAGCTACAAGCCCGAGATTGAAGTCCAGCAATTTGGGCTTGAGCGAGATGAGATCCTTGCATGCCTCAAGGAGGGCCTCCAGAGCCACGTCCCCCGCGACGACCAGCCTGCCGGTGCCACGCGGGAGGAAGTTTTCCGCGCTGTCGTAGAAGGTCTCAAGCATTTTGTTCCGCCTCAGATGGAAACTCCGGCAAGCCTGTCTCGCGACGAGATTCTTGATGCTGTTAGGGAATGTCTTGAGGAATTTGAGTTCCCCATTGCCCCCTCCGCCATTGGGAATGACATCTCGCGCGAGGACATGGTGCAAGCTGTCAAGGAGGGCCTGAACAACTTTGAGTTTCCTAATAACTCGCAGGCTCTGACCCTTGCGCAGCCCAGCAGCGACTTTGTCATGAGCAAACTTGGCGAAATCATCGAGCTTATGAGGCGCGAGTTTCGCGCCGTTTCCGAGGAAGCAAAGGAGAACGTCGCGGCCAATGGACGCGATACCGAGCAGGTGCTGGACGCCACCAAGGATGGGTTCGAAAAGCTCCGCATGGATATGGAGACCTTTGTTGGCCGCGTAAGTGGCCTCGCGGGCAAGTCGGACGCGACAGAGGTTCTTCTCAAGAGGTTAGAGGCTCTACGGGACGAGGTCTCGCATATCTTGTCCTCTCAGATTGAGGGACTGCGGGATGCGGTCAACATGACGCTTGTCCCCTTTACCTCTGCACAGAGAGACACTCATTCCAAGGAGGCCCTCAACTCCATCAAGGATGGTGTCGATAGGATCCGCTCCGAACTTAAGCGACCCCTGCCTGGTACTGGAGAGGTTCTTGATGCCATCCACGAAGGTGTTTCCGAGCTTCACATTCGCCTTGAGAAGCTCTCCAACAAGCCTCCTGACCTGACCGCCAACGACGAGATCTTGAATGCCCTCAAGAATGGTCTCGCCATGGTCCGGTCCGACATTGACAGTATCCGTGACGCCAACGACCGTGCTTTGACCGAGTTCAATGCCAATGCTCTGGTCCCAGCTGATGACACCCTCAAACACGATGACATCAAAAATCTCGAGGTCCTGATTACCCAGCTGCGCATCAAGGTTGAGGCAATGGACGAAGCGCCATCTGTAGAGCCTGCATCCCGGGATGACGTTGCTCGCATGGAGCAGACAGTGGCTGCCATCAAGGAAGCCGTTGACAGCCTACAGGTTGCCAAGGAAGAAGCGAGCAAGGGCCCCGACGATGCACCCGAAACAACGCTCAAGGAGGATGTCCAGGCTATTGAGACCATTCTTAGGAATACCAAGGCCAAGTTGGATGACCTCATCGACGGTGAAACTTCTGTACGAAAGGAGCACATTGACTCCCTCGAAACCCTTATTCTGGAAACTCGGGAGACCCTTAGCTCTGTCTCCACGCAAATGGAAAATACCTCCCGCAAGGAGGACGTCACTATGCTTGAGTCACTCATTAGCCACGTTTCCGCGGCCTACGACGAGATGAAGGAGCGCGCCGATAAGGAACTCGAGAACCCTGAGAAGGTTACGCGCACCGATATTGAGGCGGTCGAGGCCGTCTGCATGGACGTCAAGAACATGGTGACTGAGATGTCCAACTGCGGCCTGTCATCCTTGCCTTCCAAGGAAGAGCTATCCATCATGGTGAACGACATCAAGGACCGCGTTGATGCCCTTAGTGAAGCTCACACCAAGTCCATGGAGGAGAACCACGCCGAGGTGGGCGAGGTCAGTGAGCGCGTCAACGAGATCAAGACCTTCCTCACCGAATTCCAAGACATGACCAAGTCTCGATTAGCGGATGGCGTCGTAGGCGTAGAAACGGTTGGCAAGCTGCTCGAGAAGATGGGCGAGACTATTAACAACAACGCGACCGTCGGCGATGACCTCCGCGAGATGTTTGAGGTGATGAAGATCGAATTCGAGGAATCTCGCGCTGGTGTGGTTGGCGTCAAGCTCGATGCCGACGAAAAGTTTGAGGCGACCACGGTAGCATTGAGCTCCAAGATTGATGAGCGTGTGGACGAGCTCGTAGCCAAGTACGAAGAGTTCCAGGCTACCATGGAGGAGCGTGCCAAGGCAGGCGAGACTAGGGACGAAGAGACGGAGGCTGCAGTCATGGGGACTAAAGCCGTCGCCGAAGAACTAAAGCTCCTCATTGATACTCTCGGGTCGACTGTTACCGAGTCACTTGAGAAGATGGAAGAGGCGTCCAAAACCGTCTTTAGCCGCGTCGAGGACCTTGTTACTCGCGCCGACGACAACCATAGCGATGAAAAGGCACAGCATGAGCAGACCCGTGACCAAGTTCAGCAGGCCATCGCTGCTGTTGAAGAGCTCCAGGGACCAGTCCAAGAGCTCCAACCCAAGCTTCTCGAGGCCATGAGCGACGTCCTCGCTCTCGTTGGCCAGCACTACGATTACGCCAAGACCGCGACAAGCACCATCCAGGACAAGATTGACGAAGCCAAGCCCGAACCTCTTATGCTTCCCGACATCCCCAAGTACGACGACGCAGACGTCCAGGAGAAGCTAGACAGGCTTATCGAGGGCAAATATGATGACTCTTCCCTCCGAGAGAAGCTCGATCAGCTCATGGAAAAGGAGTATGATGATGGTGCCCTCCATGAAAAGCTTGACAAGATCATGGACAAGGAGCACGACGACAGTGGTGTTCATGATAAGCTCGATAAACTCATGGACAAGGAGTACGACGACAGCGGCGTCCATGAAAAACTGGACAAGCTGATGGCCAAGGAGTATGACGATAGTGGCATGCACGAGAAGCTCGATAAAATCATGGACAAGGAATACGACGATAGTGGCGTGCATGACAAGCTTGATAAACTCATGGACAAGGAGTACGATGACAGCAATGTCACCGAAAAGCTCGACAGGCTTATTGCGGAGCGATACGATGATATCCTCGTGCAAGAAAAGCTTGACCGAATCGTGGACCACACGCAGGCGGCAACCGAAGCGTATGCTCAGCTCGATACTCTAGACAAGATCCACGGCGAGGTTATCCGGACAGCTGCAGGCATCTCACAATTCTTGGCCTCTCAAACGCAGCGCATTGCAGATGAGCATGAGGACCGCGAGAAGACCTACCAGGAGACCACCATTGCCCTGGAGCGCAAGCTCACCGAAAAGGAGCAAGTGGAGGCAACCTTGGCCGAGCTCCGCGCCGAGGAACAGCGCCTGAAGCAAAGCGTGCTCGGCCTTAGGGCAGAGCAGGAAGGCCTCACCAAGCAAAGACGAGGCTCACTGCGGATGTGTCCTCGCTCGAGACCGCACTCCGGCTGCGCAAGGATGAGCTCAATGAGATGGACGAGCGCGCCGAGGGCCTTGAACGCAGAATCCTTGAGGGTGTCATGAACCATTCCCGGGTGTTACTCATGTCTAAGCAAAGCAAGGCGAACGATGCCATGAGCCGCAAGCGTGTCCGAACCAAGGGCGACGGACCCGCTGGCACAGGCAAGTCGAGCTCAGACGTTGTCAAGTCCAACGTCCCAATTGCCCTTACACCCAAGAGGAATCTCAACTCCAGCATGGGTGGAGGCGCATCGAGGCGCATCGTTTCCCTGAGTCAGATCACAAACAACGTCCCCACTGGCGGCTTTAAGCGCAGTCATAGCGTGAAGGCGCCCTCGGGCGTCGGGCGCGGTGGCATGAGGAAGAACAGCTGGGGGCGCTCTCAACAAGAAATACGGAGATCTCGACAAGGAGAATGTCGTCGAGCCTGTCAGGGAGGGCGAAGAGGAGGATGACGAGATTGCCCCCACGGGGGCGAGCTTGTCGTAACTAGGCGAAATATCCCTCTCCCCGCTGAGTCCGGCCTCTCAATGGGCAGCACTCTGGACGGTACCGACGAGGGGTTGGATGATGAGGGTGACGAGAGTGTAGATGGCCATGGTGATGATGACGACGATGGCGAGGTGAGCGATGCGGGCACTCTACGGAGGAGCAGTCGCGGGACGACGATCACGTCGAGCACCAGGCAGTCTGGAGAGTACTCGGATGAGGACTCGTATGATAGTGATTACGACTCCCGTAGCGAGTGGACAGAGAGTGCTGTGGGCTCAACAATCTCGGACGGGACCGTTGCAGGGAACGAGGTTGTGCTCATGCAGTCATGAAGGAGGACACCGGGGTAGACAGTTATCTGGAGACGAAGTAGGCGGGCTTGTGCTGGTCTCTTTTTCTCCCCCTTTGTACTTGACTTTTTCCTTGTTTTCTCCTTCTGTACTTGGGAACTGGCTGGCTGAGAGCCTCGAGCGTGGAGTTCAAGCTGGGAGGGGTTCAATTGTCACGATTACGATGCGTGCACGACGGGACGTTGCCGTTTTGTTAGTCTTTGTTTATTTTTCTCCGTCATTCCACTTTCATCTTTCTTTCTTCTCATGCTTCATTGCTACTTTTGCGATTAGTTTGTTGAGACACATTTATAAAGTAAAGCAGGCACTATTTTATTTCAAAAGATTGATGTATCATCTCCTTAAGCTTTGAAGATGCAACCCTATTCTCCGTTCGTTTTGCGTAATGTGGCAGCTGACATGCAGAGGACGAGGAGTGTGTGTGAGTGACGTGATTTGCGGAGATTGGCGTCTTTCAAGACGATGACTGATTGATTTTTGTACATGGGGGTTGGGATATTGTTACAGAGGGGATCTATATATGTGCACAGGTGGATTACGGGTTCCGCTTCTTCTCCTTGGAAAAGAGCAGAAGAAAATCACGATCTTCTCTTCTCACTCCACCATCTTCTCAATCCTCTCCTTGCCATCCATCCAGGGCCTCAAGCACTCGGGGATAACCACAGTCCTCGTCTTCTCGTCCCAGCCGTTCTCCAAGAGGGCGGCGAGCACCCTGGGAACAGCGAGAGCAGTGCCGTTGACGGTCCAGGGAAGCCGCCGACTTTGCGGCGGGGCCGGAGGCGAGGCGGGTGCCGAGGCGCCTGGTCTGGTAGTCGGTGCAGATGCTGGCCGAGGTGATCTCGCCCCAGCCGGCGTCGCGGGAGACGCGGGGGGAAGTAGGCCTCGATGTCGCACTTGCGGGCGGCGGAGGCGCCGAGGTCGGTGGAAGGCATCTCGAGGAGGCGGCAGTGGAGGCCGAGGGAGCCGATGATCTCGGTCTGGATGTCGAGCATCTCGTCAAAGACGTCGTCGGCGACCTCTTGGTCGGGGGCGTCAGGCGAAGAGCTCGACTTTGGTGAACTCGTGGACGCGGTAGAGGCCCTTGGTGTCGAGGCCGCGGGCGCCGGCCTCGGCGCGGTAGCAGCGGGAGGCGGCGACGCGGCGGAGGGGAGGGTCTCGTGGCGTAGGGTGGTGTCGGCCTTCATGCCGGCGAGGGCGATTTCCGAGGTGCCGGCGAGCACGAGCTCGGGCTTGGCGCGGCGGCGGGCGGCGGTGGCGTCGGAGGGGGTACTGCTGCTGCTGCTGCTGGGGTCCGAGTCGTCGGGGCGGGCGACGGAGTAGATTTGCTGCTCGCCGTTTTGGTCGCGGGGCTGGAAGCCGCAGGCGGCGGCGACGTGGCCGTAGACCATGGTCGGGGCGAGACCTGGCGCCAGCCGTGGCGGGAGGCGACGGCGAGGGCGTACTGGGTGAGGGCGTGCTCGAGCTCGGCGGCGCCGTCGACGAGGTAGTACCAGCCCCAGCCGGAGGAGGAGGCGGCGGCGGCGAAGTCGAGGATGCCGAGCTCGGTGCCAATGTCGACGTGGGAAGGGCCGCCGGGCTGGCCGAAGCCCGGGGGCGGGTCGTTGATGTAGCTGAGCAGGCGGGGCACGTCGCCGCGGGGGTCGAGTCGCTGGTGAGGTTGGGCACGGCCTCGGCGAGGGCCTGCATCTCGTCGACGAGGCCGGCTTCGGCTTCCTCGACGCCTTGGAGCTCGACTTTGAGCTCGCGGGCGCGGCGTAAGACGACGTCGCGGTCTACGATGGCTACCCTGTCGGTGGACGAGGGCCCGGCCGAGGCCGAAGAGGAGGAGGGGCGGCGGCGGCCTTGTTGAGCCCCGCGAGGGCGCGCTTGGCGGCGTTGGCTTCCTCGCGGAGGACCGCGAGTCGGCTTGGAGTTTCTGCCACTGCTCGAAGAGGGCGCGGATCTGGTGCGGGTAGGTGCTCTGGCGGGCGTAGTTGCGCTCGATGCAGTTTTGCGCGTAGAGTTCGGGGTCCTCGCGCATGTGCCGTATGTCGATGATGGGTTTGGGCGCGGAGGGAGGTCGCCGCGTCGCGGGGAGTCTATGCCCGGCACGGCGGGGCGCGGAGGCGGTGCGCTGCTACTGTGTGCGGTGCTGGGCGTGCTAGAGGTAGTTCCGCTGCTGCTGCTGTTCTCGCTGTGGGTGCGGCGGGTGCTGGAGAGGAAACGGACGAGGCTAGGGGCCGGGGAGGAGGAGGTGGTGGTGGTGGTGAAGACGGTACAAGGGGAGAAGCGGCATCGCGGGCGGAGGGTGAGGATGCCGCTTTCGCGGACACGGCGCGGGAGCTCATTGTGAGTGAGCCTCACCCGCGGGGAAAAAAAAAGGTTTTTGGTGAAGCTTGCGGGATTGGCTCAATGAAGAGGAAACGGGGGCGAGTCCCAGCGGAATTGGGTGGGCTGATGCGTTGTTCTAGGTTACTCAAGGTTGGGACAGGTTTGCCAGTGCAAGTGCTATGAGAAAATGAGTTGCGCGGTATCAATTGGTGTATGTGGTCCGATGTGAAATTTATCGACAATGAGCTTCGAGCTTCAAGCTTTCAAGAAAAGCTCACCTGTTGCGTTGCTCGTTCACGCCTTTGCGATCCTCGTGCAACTGTGGATGTGATTAGTCATCATCCAGCTAAGCAATACTTGCGGATCTACACTATTGCAGGGACGAGCTTGAGAAGAGTAGATCATGCGTTCTTAATGAAGCAAAGAGTCAAGAGGCTGCGTAGAGAAAAGTAACGAACATGACTACTGGCCATTATAACGTATTTTAGGGTATCTTTGCAATCTAAACGTAGCAATCTATGTGAACAAGGAATCTAGAGATTCACCTCAACCTTCCCCCAAATCGAGCTCATCTTCTTCGCCCGCTTCCCCTTCATTCCCTACTCCCTCCCCTTCTCCCTCCGATAGGCTCATTTCCTCAAGCACTTCTTCTTCCTCTTCCTCTTCTTGATCTTCACCGCTGCTGCTGCTGCTGCTGCTGCTCGTCCCACCATCACTCTCGCTCTCGCTACCACTCTCGCTTTCCTCCTCGCTCTCCACCCGTTCCTTCCCCTTGCCCTCCACCTCCCCATCCTCCAGCCTCCTCCTCTTCCCCCATCGCCCACCCCCGCCCTCTCCTTCCCTCTCCCTCCGTTTCGGCTTCCGCTTCGACCCGACCACGAACCCCGCGGGGATCCCCGCCCGCTTCTCAATCACGTAGAGGGTCGGGTACTCGAGCACCACCGTCCCGGCTAGCACGTCGTGCAGCTTCTCGCTCGGGTCAAACGGCACCAGGGTCGTCGGCGCGCTCGACGTCGTGGCTGGCCGCGTGAGGTAGAAGCTCAGCCGCTCCTTGAGGGCGTCCACCGCGTCGCTGGACACGGACGCGCCGCCGCCACTGCCACCACCGCCGCCGCCGCCGCCGCCAGCGGGTCGATCGGGGTGCGTCTTGGAGAACCAGGCCGCGGTGCGGAAATTCTGCGTGCAAAGCGTCGCGGCGGGCAGCCACGCGCCCGAAGTCTCGTCCTGCCTCGAAAACGTTCGATGCAGAGGGTGCTAGCCGCCGTCGCCGGCACGGGCACGGGCACACTCTGGCTACCGTCGTGGTTCGGCAGCCCTGCGTCCGCGGCACCAGAGACGCCAAAGAACTTTGTCGTCTTGTTCTTGAGAAAGGCGTCGGATACCTTCCAGTCGTCCGCGATCCTCATCGTCACTCTCTCCTTCTCCACGCCAGCCTCCCCACCCACCAAGAACAATTCCACGTACCACTCGATCCTCTTGGACCGCTTAAAGTACCTCGTCTCGTTCTCCTGCCGCCGGCTCATGCCCACGGGCGCCCTCACCGCCATGATGTCGAACCTCCGCAACCTCACCGTCATATCCCCCACCCTGCACCATCCGCACCACCACCACCACCACCCCCACCCCCAGCTCCAGCGCCCTCTCCTCCTCCTCCTCCCCGGCCCGCCCCGAGAGTCCGCGTCACAAGCACCCGCCTCGCCTTGCCATCCTTGTACCTATATTCGACATTTTCCACCGTCACGGGCCGCCTAAGCTCCCGCTCTCCGATGATGCCCTTCTCCCCGACGAGCACCCGCTCGCTGCGCTCCCGAGACCGCTCAATGGCGCTGATGAAATTATAGTCGTGGTCCACGCCCGCCGGTGTGGCGAGCGTCTTCTTGGGCACGTATGCCGTCGCGTCTCGCACCCCGCTGCACGACGACCACGCCTTGTGCTTCTTGGTGCACGCGAGCGAACACGTCCGCGTCCGCACCGCGGGCACTTGTATTTGGGGGTCGAGATGTGGCAGATGGCGCACAGGTTCGTCAGGAGCGTGTCGCCCATTTCTGCGCGAGGAAGGTGGTTCGGCCCCGTGTATGAGTGTGCGTTTGTGCGGCTGGCTTGGTAGATGATGGGGTTTGTTTTGGCTGTTCTTCGGTGACGTTTCCTTTCGTTTCTTCTCCTACGACCTAGGTCAGGAATGAGAAGAAGATGCAAAGGGATTTTCTCAATTGTTGGGAAAAATCAGTTGCTTGATCGTATCTCGTTTGTAACAAGTTCCTCTTCAGAGAGGCGTCGGATCGTGGGTGTCACGTTGACGGCGCAAAGATGGATGCTCAGTCGAAAAGAGGAAAAGGAGCACTGGCAATCGCAAAGATATTCGGGTTCGATGACAAAACAATTCAAGATAAATCGAGCCTCGGCGAATCGTTTTGGCGAGACTGAAGAAAAAATTGAGGGGAGAGCAAAGAAGAGAATACAAAAGCGTTGCGCTAGCTATGTTTGCCTTCTCACATTGAAAGGATCAAGCAGTGCGTGCGGCGTTCATCAGAAAAAAAAAAGCTGTTATCGATAAGCCACTTTATTTTCTGCCAATGTGGACCTACATGTATTAGCTTCATGCCGCGACTCGCTCAAGCTCCAAATTGGCAAGGTGATGTTACCGAAGAATACAAGTGGACGCAACGCAAAGTCATAACCTAAATAAGTGAATTGCTAATTCATTGATTTAGAACGCCAAGCGCGTTGACAAGCAACCACATAGCATCTCGAGGGTCACACAGCACACATCAACAGGCAATCATTTCAATAAAACGTAGTATAGTAGACACGCCGTCGATAAGACGTATTCTCAGATATGCAACAAAGGCTACAGAAGACTCTCTAGAGGAGAAAAATAAAACAAAAAGGCCGACTGGCTTGCGAGCCATCAAGGAGCGACACGAAGCGAACACTAAACAACGGGCCCCCTTCCGGTGACAAGTAAATCAACTTGAGCTTCCAATCCTCCAAACCAAACCTCGGACTTGAAGCCGGTCGGCGGTGAGAGAAGCCATGGAAATGGATCCCTTTGGACACCGTCCTTCTCCAGTTCTCCTAGTCCATCCTTTCGCTCCATGCGAATTCGGACCTTTTTCTTTTTCTTTCTTTTGGAATAGTTGGTTTGTCCTTTTCTTTTCCTTACCCCTCCCTTACCCCTACACGAAGAATAGCATATTGGAAACACATAAACGGGTCAAGGGAGCAAAAGAGCGAGAGAGCGGGAGAGTGAGAGAAGGATATAACTATCAATACGCCTTGGTACGGAACGATTAAAAGAGACGATACGAGCAAAGAAGCAGGCAAGTGCCGAAACGGCGAAACACGGTATAGAACCCCAAAAACCTTGAAGAAGAAGAAGAAAAAGTTGGTCTTCAATAAGAAAAAAGATATCGTATAAACAAGAATTATAAAAGTGGAAACACACGAGACAACAAAGGACGGCTGGGCAGCGACATCTCACGGCTTGCTTCTATATGCAGAGCCAGTAGGTAAGACACGGTTGGTGGTACGAGACAAGAAAATGCTAGGTAGATAGGTGGACGTCTAGGCGAGACGAAGAGTGTTGAGGAAATTCGACATCGAGAGAGAGATCGAGAGAAATCTCGAGTGGTAACGAGGCTACATAAAAGATGCATGTGCCGCAAGGACAAATAAGGCGGGACAAGGGCGAGGGTGAGTGACGAGGGAAAATGGTATCATGCAAGAAACTGGACGCTCAAAACGGAACTGTGCTAGTCGTGTCCCGAGTTGCTGCTCTTCATTTTTTCTGTTTCCGTCTCCTTAACGAGAAGAGCCGAGCGCGCTGATCCTGGCGCCCGATGGCCTATGGATGAGGCCCTGGGCATGCTTGCCCACCACCACATCGTGGGGAGGGGCTCGGCATCGCTCCTCGCCTCCTCGTAGTCCTCGGCGTCGTCCTCGACAATCTTGGTGGGAATATCCTCCCGCACCATAAACTGTTGGCTCGAACGCTCGGGCGTCGTCGCCGTCGAGGTGAACGACATGGCCGTGCTGCTCCTGTTGGGGATGAGATCAGGAGTGGGCGGGATGCTGGACGCGCGTCCAGACGGGTGGAGAAGGCTGTCGTCCGCCTCCGAGGTGACGGCAGAGTGCGTACCATCCTCGCTGACGGCGGCGGAGAGAGTGCTGCCACGGCGCGAGGCGCTCCTCTCGTGAATCTCGGCATCCTGCGCGAGCTGGAGACCCTCGACGGCCGCCTGGCACTGCTCCGCAATGTTGCGGATGATGTGGGCGATGGCGTCCGTCTTGTCCTTAAGGTGCCTGTCGGCAACGTCCGAGAAGCTTGAGCTCGAGACGCGCTTGCTGTTGCGAAGAGCCTTGAGCATGGCCTCGTTGACCTCGCCCTCGAGCTCCTCGCCTTCGAAGCCGACCTCGAGCTCGGCCGTCATGTCCTCGGGCTTGGTAAGAGACTCGACAATGTGCTCCATGTGGTGGCGCTGCCCGCTGATGAGGCTGCGCAGGTGGAGGACCACGCGGCGGGCCTCGTCGCGCTGGCGCGAAATCGTCTGGTTGGTATGCTGGAGCGCAGCCAATTCCTTCTTGTTCCTCTTGCGCTCGCGCTCGAGCTCCTCGGCAATCTCCTGCTGGAGGACGAGGGCTTCGAGGGCATCGTCGCGCTGCTTCTCCGTACCCACAAGGCGGACATTCATGCGAGCATTGTCGTCCTTTGCTGGTCGAGAAGACCGGCCAAGCGGCGGTTCTCCCGCTTGTGGCCCTCGATCTTGACCTTGAGGTCCTGGGTCTCCTTGGTAAGCTGCTCGGCGAAAGCCTGGAACTTGAGGAACTGCTGCTTCCAGCTTTCCAGCTCCTCCACCAGGTAGTTGTTGCGCTTTGTCACCTTGCTGAGCTCCGTATCCATGCGGCCCTTGAGGTTGATGAAGTCCTGCCAGGCCTCGAGCGCGTCACGCGAGTACTGGTTGCGCTCGCGGACAATCTCGTTGAGGTGACGCATGGAAACCTTGGTCATCAGAGGCTTCTTGACCGAGCCGCCAAAGACGGCCTTGAGACCAGTGTTGCGGCCCATCTTCTCGCAGACGTGGTCCATCACCGTCATGATGGAGTCCTGGTTCCACCATTCGGGGTCCTGGATAGACTCAACCTCACCGCGCATCACAATGATCTGGCCCGCGGGGACGAGCTTGCCGCCGCCATAGGCCGAGCGGAGGTGGGCGGGGACACCCGAGGGCGTGACATCGCCGTTGAGCGACTGCGTGAGGCGAGTGACAAACTTATTGCGCTGGCCGACAGTCAAGGCGGTAGGCGGGCTCGAGGTGAGCACGAAGTTGCGGTCCAGATCGACGACAAGGGCGTCGGTAGGGGCGGTGAAGAGAGATCGGCACTCGGCAGTGATACCAAGGATATACGGGCCAGGTTCCTGTACGAGCTCCTTGGCGTGGCGCGCATGGACGACCGGAACGTAGAGACCGCTCCACTCGTACACGCGGACACAGAAGCGGATCGTCTCAGCCGCCATCGTCAACATGGCGGGATAGTGAGAAACGAAGATGATGCGGCGCGTGGGCGAAATGGCGGCCTCGATGACACCGACAATGTTGGGGATCGACAAGCAGCAGAACAGAGGCCACATGGCAAAGTTCTGGAAACCGGTGGGCGATGAAGGGAACTGGTAGCAGAGAGCATAGTCCTTCATGTCGATACGAACAAGATCGTTGAGACGAGGTGCCGGGAAACTGAGAATACGGGACACCTCTTCCGCGTGGAAGAGGTTGGTGGCCTTGTTCCAGTGGATCCACATGCCTCGAAGGTAGTCACCGAGGAGGTTGTAGAGCGGGTACCTAGAGAGGAACGACAAGCAGTAGGGGATCCAGTAGGTCTCGTCGGGGTTGTCGTAGAAGTCAGACTCAGTGCGTCGTCGGAGGTCACGGATCGTCTCCGCTCGCTTCTCATCAGCGCGGGACCAGACGCGAAGGCAGATACCGTAGAGTGTGTGGGACGAGTCTTGCTGGAGTACAAACGCATGGTGAACGCAGTGAGGCTGGCTACGACCGGTGCAGATTTCGACATCGTGAGGGAAGCATGCCTAAAAGACTACGTGTTAGGAGAGGACTAGCATCACCTATTCACGGTGCACCAGGCCCGCGTTCAACACCCTCAACAGGGTGGAGCGGGTCCCGATACTCCGGAAACAGGAGACAAGATGGAAGGGGAGGACTCTAAATTTACCCTCATTGCAGCGTGGAGAGAACGAGCAATCTCGTTGTCCTGCTCCAACCTGGGGCTGCTACCCAGAATCTCGGGAAGCCAGAATTGGCCGACGGCACCCTTCATGTGGCCAATCTTGCCCTGGGTGGGTGCGGGAGCCTTGACCCACTGCGAGGGCTCGCGACCGACACCACACACCATGTAGGCGTGGGTGAGAGTCTTGGGAGTCCTCTGCTGCGGCTTAACATTGAGGGTCGACGGGATAGGCTGGGTGATGCGCGAGTGGAGAGACGAGGTCCGGCTAGGGATGATGAGGCTGGTATCGCCCTGATCGCGGGTGCTAGGACGAGCCTCACGGTCACTCGTCCGAGGACGAGTGAAGGAGGGATGGGCAGTGAGCGAGGGCGCCATTGTCGATTCGAGTCGTCGTGTTGTCGTGGGCGTGTTAGTCCGAACTGGGCGGCGAAGGGAAGAACGAGAACGGGGTCCTAAAAGGGAGAAGCGGTCTCGCGCTCTCAATCGGAAATGTGCTGAGGCCGTAAGGAAAGCAAATTCCACCAGCGGCAAGCTGAAGAAAAAGGTCCTTATCGGGGGCAGGAGGCAAGAAGAGATCAACGAGCACCGAAGGGCGGCACAGGAGTCGTTTCAACCACGAAGCTCGAGTGTTACCATCTGCGGAAGCAGTCCTACCTTCGATTGAAGCTCGAAAGATGAAGGGAGGAAGAAAAAGAGCCTGACCCAACTGAAGACGGCGACGAGGGAAAGGATGAGAGAGGTCAAAAGGGAAGGGAAGATGGGGGCGTTCGGGCGCAGACAGGAAGGGAAAAGGAGTATATTATCTGACAAGGGGACCGATACCAATTCCAACACGGCCAATAAAGGGGGATGGAGGGAGGACCAAGCTGTGGAAAGGGGATCAACCACCGAGAGACCGGGACATGGGCCTACACTCTATTACCGAAGAGTGGTGTAATAATACGGGCTTCGATAATAACAAAAAGAAAGAAGGGAAAGAAAAAGAGTACGTACACACAAAGGACCAAGTACATGCTTGGTGGCTACCAAGGATCCTTCCTTTTGTTCTCGCGAGGAAAATCCAGAGCCGGTACTCACGGCTGGGCTGGGTGGCCCTGTCCCCACGCTGCGCTCGTCCTTTCCGAGTCTGGATTGACATGTATCCAAGAAGCACGGGCTGTACCGCTCCACCCCCACCAGGGCAGACGGTACAAGCTGAGTAAAAGGTATACGGCTCCTGCCATCAATGAAAACCACGACGCCATCTGCGGCTGCCAGCGATGGAGCACTAGGAGCCATTGAATTCATCTTCCTTGCGCTACACCATGGCCGCCAGAAACCTCCTAGAGCTCCACTAGCTTGTAGTTTCGACTTTGCCACGACCTTTGCTCTCAATTATTAGATCCTCTTTTTCCCCCAGGCCCATTTCCCGATGCGACAATGGGACCTAGCCCGACATGGATTGGTGGTTGGGTTCTTGCGAGTCGATGGGGGCGAGAGGCACAAGGAAGAACAGAAATGGGGTTAGGCGGGAGGAGGCTGGGGGCCCGGCCCCGGTTCCGTATGTGCGTTCCCCTGATAGCATGTTTGAAGACGACCACACATAAATGAGGTGGGATCGGATTGACCATGACACGGCACAGTGCCTGCCACATGTTTGTGTCAGAGACCCGCGGCAAATCCATTCGTTTCTGCTGCAGAACCCGTTTGTCGAAACGGGACATGGCACTGCGACAGGCTCCCAGCATGGAGGAACAATGCATTACGCTGGGTTGACGAAGAAGAAAAAGGAAGAGAACATTGGTTGAAATAAAGAACACTACAATAGTGTAGAACGCGAAAAGAAGGGAAGATACCCAAGACATTCCAGGCAAGCCCCTGAGCCACGCACAACGCGCAACAGACGAAAAGAGGATCGCGGGGTTTTCATTTGCTCGCGACGCACTCCATCAAACATGTCACCTGCAGCTGCCATGAAATATGAAGCTCACGATAGCATTCGCGTAGCACTCTCCAGCTTGATATGAGAGAAAAAGAAAAAGAAAAAGAAAGGTGAATGTTACTTCCCGTCATTCATACTGTACACTCGACGGCGGCGCTCAGTCACCTTTTTCGTCTTTGCCTCATTTTCCGAGGGAGCATTTGGAGTATGTTGTTGCATCGCTCGCCAGGAGATCCTCCCCTCCCTTCTCCGACCCTTGCGTCGCCGTACTCGCCTTTCACCTCTGCTCCCTCTGATCTGTTTGTGCATGGGGCACAATGTGAGCCTTTTGAAAGTGTCGTGGGCCCTCGCATGCATGGATTGGCCAATGTGCGAAGGTACCAGCAGAAGCACTGGCCTCCTTGCAGTTTCCCCTTTTTCAAGAGGAGGCTTAACCCTGCAGGTACCTAGTACTAAACCCACCGGAATTCTTGCAGATATATGCAGGTCTATGGTACAAAGGCCAAAGGGGGAGCCAACCAATCTTTCCCCGATATAATGCACGCGCAGGGGACCGTGGGTCGCTCCTCCTTGATGTAACTTGCACTTGAGAGAAAAACTCGATGGACACAGTGCCGAATTCCCCAACTTCCAAGCGACGCAAGAACGACCAGGACGAGATCTCCAAAAAGAAGAAGCTGCCCATGATTGATCATCCCTCCCCCAGAGCAGGAGAGCAAAGCAGAGCAACAGGAGGTTCGCCTTCCTCGGATCTTCTGAGAGAACCAAAAGGCGGAGCTTCTGTACCGCATAACAAGACCCGGCAAAGCTAAAATCCTCTTCTCCAAGGCATATCTGATCGCCTTGGAACCCAAATGCTGGGATAGCTCAGCCTCGACAAGCTCCCTTCGGTGTACGAGAAGCGTGATGCAATGCTCGAGCCTTGGTGCCCTATTCCGAGGAGTTCCTAATATCACAAAATTCCAGGCGAGAGCCACGAGGAGGGCGAGAAACAAAAGAGCCGAAATTTGTATGCTCTAGTGTACTTGTAGCTGCCTCTTGAGGGAATGAGGCTAGCTCCCACCCATCCGAGCTGAGATGCTCTCTCGCCACGGGCGTTCCTTTAACCCAACTGTCCCACTTCTTGACGCGGGGCACTCACTCTATCAGGGCCACGCTGCCACGCAAAAGACGAGAGGGGCAAAAAGAAAATCCACACTAACGCCAGGTGCAGGGGACCTTGCGTGACGGAAGATTGAGGTTCCACTCCAGACACCACAGGGCAGACGAGCCAATTTCGTCGGGAGCGACAATCAATTGATCCTGCCAGCACCTGGCAATGTCATCAATTACACCGGGCATGTAATCCACCACACTCCCAGCATGTATACGAGGCTTTTCTGTCGGATCTCACAAAGAAGCTTGAGCGAAAAGAGGTTGTGAAGTAGCAGTCAAGAGGGCATGTCCCACTAATACCTGCGCGCGATAATCAAGGATGCGAATCACAGGGCCCAGCTTGATCACTTTCGCCATCGACGTCCAAGCAACATTGAGTTGAGCGCATCGAATGGATAGACAGCGTCGCAGCCGTGTATCTGTGATGAGCTTACGATAACTTCTCACGGTTCTTGTTTTCGTCCCCGTTTCCCTTTTTTCGGGGGCTTCTACAAAATCACCTAAGCATTGTCCAACGACCTTCTCAATCTCGGAGGATAAAGGAGCTCTGACGCGGGGAATGAGACCAAGCGAGAAGAGGAACGGGCCAGCCAGTGTCCTCCGAGCACCGTCAGGCTCTCATGCCAATTCTTCCGCCATTCTTTTGTTGACCCGGGGTTGTACGAACCTGGTTTCCCGTGGCGAGAGGGTAGCATTCTTTTTCCCGCATGTCGGAGCAGCTTGCGCCGCCACTGCCACTGATGGAGTGATAAGACCATCATGCTCGTCCGCGTCGGCGGTCACGTTGAGAAACCTATGCCGGCCAGTGGACATCTCCTTGGTCCACGAAACGGGAAGGTTCAAGGTAATATTATGGTAGACCTCTTGGATATGCTGGTGGGGGTGAGTGAGCAAAACAATCATTAATTCGGCGCCTCGTCGATTCTCGACCCTGACCCAAAATTTCCAATCTCAACATACCCAACAGAGCTTCCCAACTGGTCGGGCATGCTAAGGGACGCCACGTTTTGCCAGGTCCCCCAAAAGACATTAGATCAAAGGGCCGCAATCTTATTAGAGAAGGAAATCATCAGGTTCCCAAAGGGATCACCGACAGTTTGAGCAATGGCACTAATCCTCTACAATCAATCGCCGGGAATTTTGCGCCCCTTGTCAGGTGTCGATCCCCGCTCGATCGGTGCAGACCAAGCCCGGTGAGAACAGACAATGGGCCTATCTCCGTTCCAACTTTTTCACTCATTTCTTGGCCTCGTGGCTCCTTGTGCTTCGGCTATGACGGAAAAAGGACAAGACCTCTTGACACTAACTTGTATCGGGTATTGCCCTCTCCTCTTTTCCATAACGATAATATTCCCAGCAACTAAAACGACGGGACCACTCTACAAGAACAGCTTCAATCCGCCCAGAAATGCCCTCCTCGGCGTTGCATTACCCCATCTTTTTGTGCTCTGTCCTTGTGCCGCGCTTTGACCCAGATGCACATCCTAATGGCCCAGCGCGCCGAGGGGTCACCTCAACCGTTGTTTAGACTCCACTCCTTTCATAGCACTAGCTGTCCTTGAGCCCTCACGATGAGTGCTTTGCGCACAGCTCGCCTGCATTGACACCACCCCCGAAGATCCCGAGCGAGAGCGAGGAGCACACCTGCTCGAGGTAAAGTGCGCGTACAGCACGCACGCACAGCATCTTTAGCAAACTTCGTGAAGAGGGCCTATATCGGCAGGTCGATGTGCAATTCCAGACCAGTGCGCCAGTCATCAATTGTGATGAGCTGCACGAGGTGAAGGCTTTTCAGCCGACCTTGCAGATAATCGACAGGATGCAGCATGTGCGAAATACGTAGGTCGAGGCCAGTGTGCGGAAGAGGACGAGAAGCTTGCTGCAGAGAGCTGCTTCGTACTTTACTCGACACAGCCCCAAGCCCTCGGCGAGGTTCAGAGCACACGGGAGCCAGCCATCTTGCAGCCAGTGGGCACAAAGCCGCTTTTTCAAAAGGAGGTTGAGGACAAACAAGGAAAGAAAAATAGGCGAGTATACATGGCAAGCCTGAGAGGACAAGACCAAGAGAGCACTTTATCGAGGAAACCAAGCAATGTATTAAGTTGAGCGGTCGGAATATGGCAGAGATGGTACAGGCATAACCCCTATCCTCTAATTTTGCCCTTACCTCCTTCTTTCGAGATGACAGAGGACAAGACAGGACGAGGTGCGACAGTCTGCGATCTCATCCAGTCGGCCGCGTGTGAAGCAAGTTGATGATCTCAATGAGATGACTGGCTGACAAGGTAAGGAGAGGGGAGGGGAAAACCAGGCTGGTCACCCAAGCGGGAAGGGCCCGGAGTGGGTATCACCTCAAGCCAGGCAAGCCAGGGTCGGGGTCGGAGGCGGATGGAGCCAAAAGCAAAGTGTCAGCATGGGGGAAAGGCAAGCGAGCAGCCATGATTTGTTCGCCAATTCATCTCCAACAAAAGACTCTGAAACACGAAAGCCTCTTTTCTACAGGGGTCCCCCTTTTAGCTAGACTGGGCTTGAGCAGGAACTTCCTCACCTCGACCTCTTTGATCACTAGTGTAATACGGCCTGCACTAATATAGCATCCTCTTTTGGGGGCTCACCGAGCATATGCTAACCTATGGGCCTTCCTTTTGTCCTTGTTCCGGCTCCTCTCCGGCGACTGTTTGAGGCAGGCGTGAATACAAGGAGTAATATAGCATTTGGCTTGTTCCACATCTCGCTCCTCCAGGCCTGCCTTGCAGTCTAGAAAGCGTCAATGACTGAAAAGGAGTAAGAGCCTGTATTCCTGAAGCCATCAAGTCCCGCATTCATCTGAGAGCAGCAAGGACACCTCGGCGTACGACTCATTGATACGAAAGCGAAGAGAGGCTTGGTTTAACAATTTGCTCCTCTCCCCTTAACACAGACCTCATTCGGCCAAACGGGGAAAAGGAAAAGGACAAGACAATAACAAAGAAACTCTCAAGTACGTAGATCGGTGATTGAAATGGCGAAATCCCTGAAAGCCTTTTTGTCTCTCTCTCACTGCCCATGCAAGCAGTGATGGCGTCCGGCGTTTAGGGCCCGGAGGAGGCAAAAAGGGTCTCCGCCACACCCGCCTCCGGTGGACGCCGACTCCTGACGCATCCGCACCACCCACCGTTTTCGGAGGCGCAAGTCCCGTAGACGTGGTATCGGTGGCCAGATGGCCGATGGGTCTAAAGCGAAAGGGCCGCGATGATTCGGTTCTCGGATGGAGAGGCTGCAGAAAAGGCGGGCATTGGAGTTCCAACCGGAATGTTTTCTTTCATCTTACGGTTTTATTTTTGTTTTTCCTGGGGGTGGAGAGAGGGGGCCAGCCCAGCCCAGCTGAATGGTATTTTCCGGTGGATAGTTGCTGCCGCGAGATGGGGAGATGGGATGGCTATCGCGACGTTTGCTTTTCACGACAAGAGCCTGGAACGAAATCCCGTTTTTAAGCTTCTTTAAACAACTTTGCTGTCACTTTCGTTCCGCGCTTCTCGCTTAAGAGAGCGCGCTGCGAGCCTTGTACAGCGAGCGTCGTCCATCTGTGCTCGGTCATGGCTCCTTGGGAGGTGATGCCTCGTGTTTCTTGAGCAACGCCCAGCCTTGGGCCTCCCAGCAACAAGTGTTTAAACGACTAAGAAAAGCACTAAGGTTCTCATTTCTTTCCGTCACGCCTAGAATCAACATCTACATCTTGGGAAGGGGGCAGCTGAAAGCCCGAGCATACTCTTGTTCCGCCTTACCCGTGCCTCGTCTTGCAACAGCGTGTTGTGCCGATGCTCTCTGAGGGTAGGCAGACGAAGACGCCCGTACCGGCGTGGAGGGACCTGCGATGATGGAAGCGTAGAGACGAGATGAACAGACACTGCGCAGCTCGGGTAAGACGGCCATGCCAAAGGGAGAGAAGAGGGCGGAAGACGATAAGGAAAGATCCCGTGCCTCGCCATCGTCAATCAAGCAGAACGATGCCGCGCTCCGCATCGAGCGCGGAAATAGCTTTGTTGTTTACTTTGATTGTTTGACAATGTTTCTCGTTGCCCTCTTCCCGCCTCCTTCCGCCTCTCTGTCTCAATTGAGTCTCTTTATCTATTTTTCCGGCCAATCTTTTTTTCTCTTTCACGTCAACTTGAGACACAAGGGCGGCATCATCCCGCTTCCGCTGGGGGCCGGGGAAGGTATTTGATGCCACACACCGTTCCCGACCTCTTCATCGAGAGAGGAGAGTAGAGTAACAGGGAGGATGGGAATGGGAAATGGAGAAAGAGAAGGCGGCGGCACACCGCTCCGATCTCGAGGAACTAGAAACAAACGAAACTCCTGATATCCTCTGCAGCGAACTGTTGACCCTCGCGCCGACACACACACACACACACACACACATGCAAGTCCCTGATCTGCCTCACCTCCCCCACTCCAACCCATCTCGCTCGAATACCAGCCTCATGCGAGACATCCCGTCCTGTGTCGTCGATCACGGGATCTGCGACCTGGTTCGAAAAAGCTTCAGCTGGCTATTTTGCACACGATACCGGTGCGTAATCTACCTTTCAAGGCCGCAAAAACAACGTATACGTGCATGTAGAGCAGGTGTATATAGCCTAAGATAGTTTGTTCTTTTTGTTTCTTCTTGCACCCTGTTCGCAGCGCGATCTCCCAGGTAAGCGGGTGTCAAAAGTTCAGATGTTTGGGAAATAGCCGTCTAGCTCTACTCATGCATTCAAAGAAGGTGCATTTGAAAAAAAGACGAGTTCTCTTCGGGGTCGCCGCCTGGTGATCTTCGCCCCGGGCGAGCTGGCGCCGCTCCCTTCACTGCCGGCTCGAGTCTATGAAGAGGGAAACGCGCTCATGAAAAGATCTCCCCCTTCTCCTCCCTCTCAGAAAAAGGAAGTAAGAAAAAGCGTAGGCCGATCTAACCCATGAGAAAAGAGGCACTTTACGGAAGCGCCGTCGAGCGAACAAGGAACGAAATGGCTGGCGGAGAGTGAAACCTTTTCGTCTGTTTTTTGTTTTTCCTTTTCCCTTTTCTTCTCCCAAGACATGAGACATGCCATGATCACCTCTGATCCTTGTGAAACATGCTAGATCGTTCGTTCTCGCGATTTCGTGGAGAAGGGAAGTGGAACGAAGAAAAAGAAAGCATGCCGTTCCCATTTGGAAAAGAAAAAGCAAAACGCGCCACGAAAATCACAAACGAACTCCTGCTCATCATTCGTCCCCTCCTTCCCCCTCTTCCTACAGGTGACACAGTCCAGCTCCCCTTAAGAGCGTACATGCACAAACAGAGGGGGTAAAAGGAAGGATAGGGGAGCCAGGAGAGGCAGGAGACTAGGGACCAGGGAAAAAGAAAAGAAGAAAAAACAAGCATCTCTCATGATATCCGACACTCTACGAGGGTGGGGGAGGGGTCAACCACCTGCCAACCTCTCTTCTCGGAATAGCTTCACGGAACTGGTGTTGCCATTTCCAGGCTCAAGCTTGCTCGCCTCCCGGATGGTTCAGCCACCGTAGGCCAGAAACGAGAGAGGAAAAAGAAAGCATGTATTGAAGTTCGAGCGGCTCCATCTACACCGCCGCCTCTTTCATATCATTCTAACCCTGATGCAGTGGAGGAAAGCGGTAGATTGAGGAAAAACCCCAAGAAGCCAGTCGAATAAGGATATCTCGATACGAAACGATGAGTTGTGGGAGGAAGGGGTGGTGTTGTTCTAGCCTTTTCTCTTTCCTAAGCCTTCAAAGCCAAATATATCTCGGAAGATCTTATAATATATTTATACTTCTATATATACATATATATTTCGAATACAAGATCTTTTTCAAGTATGCCGCAAGTTGTGACCAACGGTTTCGGTGGTTCTTTAGTCTGGTTTATAGAGTCATGGATCTGTTCACATTACAACTGGCCTAGAATATCAACTTTCCTAGAACCGGCTTACATGTCTCTGTTGGGAATATCAGCCATAGAGCAAAGCAATGTTTTCCGGTTTGACCATCTACTTGTAGAACCGCCATCAAGGCCTTGAAGAGACACACTCCATGTAGAAACAGGAAATGCAAAACAAGAGTCGCACGAGAAGAAGATACAAGATGGAACGTGCCCTCGAGTCCCAGTCCAACAGTGCCAGGTAGAGTATTCGTCATTCAGCGTTCATTCTCTTGGCCACCGGCTTGCCGGGGATAGATTATATCAACTTCCTACTCCTCTTCTCCCCTCTTCTCCCCTCTCTCCCCTCTCCTGCGGCCTTCCTAGCTTCCTTCCTAACCTAAGCCAACACCCCAAGCAGTCGTGCCCACCACCATAGTCTAGCCATCCCGGCCCCCGCATTGCCCCCTTCCTCTCTCTCCTTCGCGTTGAGCCCTTCATGTCCCTCACCGACGCACATCCCACTACATACCACAGCAAAGATCCTCCTTTTCCTTCCCTTTTCCTTCCAAAACGCCCAAGCATCGCTCTTGCCACCAGCAGCCCTTTTCTCTCCTCGCCTCTCCATCTAAGAGCGGAGAGCCTCAAGCTCAAGCTCGAGCTGCCTGATTCTCTCGCTCTGGTCCTGGGACCCAGACGCGACCTTCCTCTTCAGTGTCTCAATTTCCTGTGTCAGATGGACAATCTGGTCGCTCTGGGCACGGAGAAGCTTCTGTTGCTCCTGAATCATCTGCTTGATATCCTGTAGCGAGTCGTAGACGTCTGCCGAGATATTGCCACCGGAGGGGCGCTGCTACTTGAAGGCGAGAAAGCGGTGTAGCTAGCTGGCGCCGCGGCAGGCGACCGAGCCGGGGCGGCGGCAGGGGTGATCTTCACCGGAGCCGGTTCCGCCTTAACGGGTGACCTAGGCTTGGGCTCCTCCCTCGCAGCCGGAGCGGCGGCGCGCTGAGGCGGCCTCGAGACCTCCTCGAAGCTGGAAGCGTCGTCATCGTCGTCGCTGTCCTCCTCCTGGTCTTGGTACTTGTTGGCCATGGCCGAGATGGAGGCCTTCTGGTCGGAGGTCGACACGGGCTGGCGCACGGGAACCGAGGCCTGGGACGGGCCAGAGGCGGCGGGGAGCGGGCTTGGGCTCCTCCTTGGGCTTCGCCGCGGGGAGGTGCCGAGAACGTCTGTGCAGCCGGAGGGTGGTCGGCGGCGAGGATGACGGGAGGCTTACCATCGTAAACACTCTCCAGGTCGATCTTGGGGGAGGCCGGACTTGCCGTCGAGCCACTCCCGAGCACTGACGGCAGCCTTGGGGCCGGTGGCGGGGGTAGATATCGGACTGGAAGGTCTCGGCGCGGCGGGGGACTGTGAAGGAGATGGGCTCGATGTAGGAATCGTTTACGGTCTTGTAGGCCCTCATGACCTCATTCTCATGGACCTAGTAAGTGGAGACAAACAAACAGATTAGAAACACGCAAACGTCGCGAGATGGGACACGGAACGGGGCATCTTACATGGAGGCCACGCCTGGGTAGGAAGGCGATACCTCGCTGAGGCTCGCCAGACTTGTACTCGGTGAGGAACTCGAACTTGTCATTCTCGTACTCGAAGTATCGGATGTTTCCGTCGCTGATGGGGTGACCTGTTAGTATTTCGGCGCAAACGCGGCCGTATGGCTAAAGGAGGGTTTAAAAAAACACTTACCCCTTGCCGGCGAGGTATAGGCAGTTAGACCCCTCATCTGTCCGCAGTCAACCCTCACATTAGCATTTCGGTCACGTCTCTCATCCTGTCGTAGTCCGCATCCACCCAAAAGCAAGGAGCTAGGGAGGGAGTGGAGGTAGGTAGGAAAGGATGAAGGAGGGGGAAAGAAAAAAACTCACCCCAGAAAGGCATGCAAACACCCGAGATCGAATCGAGCATGGTAAAGCCGCCAATCGGCTCCGAGTTACCTGGCTCCCAGAGCGCAATCTGCCTCTCACTCATGCGTGAGAAGCCGGTGGTCACGATCCTGTTGTGTTCACCCATCCAGACGGCCCTGCTGTTCTTGGCACCGGCATGACCGGCGTGCTCGCTGACGGCCCTCTCCTGGCGCACATCCCACACGCGAATCTTCTTGTCGCGGGAGGTCGTGGCCATGAGGGTACCGGTGGCGTTCCACGTCAAACTCTGGACGATGTCGGTGTGGCGCAGGGTCTGGTGGGCCTGGCCAGCAGAGATATCCCAGAGCTTGATGGTGAAGTCTCCTGAAGCGGAGGCGAGGATGTTCTCGGCGGCTGGGTTGAATAGGACCTGTCCAACCTTTCTACAAAAGATGGACGACTGGTTAGAACTCGGTCACGCGACATGAGGTGGATAGGTTGGAGAGGGCTTCCAAGTATGGATGGGGAGGAAAGTCGAGCGGGAATTCGTACCTCGAGTGACCAGCGAGCCTGGAAGCGGGAGCGACATGGGGGATCTCCTCGGCATCGACGTGGAGTGTGAAATTTTGGGAACCTGCCAGATAAAGATCTTGCCATCTTCGGAACCGGATGCGATGATGTTGTCATTGAAGGGGTTCCTAGAATGGTTGGCCAAATGCTGGTTAGTGGATGGGCTCGGCGCAAACAGGTCAGGCGTCGGGGGTTCTCTGATATCGAGATCGCCCGCAGGCAACGTACCAGTCTGTATCAAGAACGGCGGCGGTATGACCCCGGAAGAGGGGCATCTGATCGGGGAGCTTCCCTCGCTCATTGAGAGGAATGACGGCAAAGGCACCGCCACCGCTGGCCTCCCAGTTCACGGAAAGGTATTCGGGGTTGACCTAGCGGGAGTCAGTCGTGATCGCTACCGGCTGCCTGGATTTTGGAAGGAGGGAGGGGAGGGGAGCAAAGGGTGGTCTCGGTGTGTTCTCGCGGTCGGGTCATCTCGCGGGATCCGATCATCGGCGTACCTTAACAAGGTTGGTGTCCCACGCATTGCGACTGATGTGCAGGTTATCGTAGCAAAATTCCTTTCTCGTCGACTTGCCAAAAACGTGTCCTAAGCCAGGGGAAGACCAGAGTGTCATTGTTAGCTGCGTGATTCCCCCTTCTGTTTTTGAAAAAGAGTCCCCCGGAGGAGCCGGGTATCGTGGGACGCAAAAGCGAGCTACGCCGCGCACAACTTGAATATAAAAGAGAGACAGCATGCTTTAAGGGGGAAGGGAGAGGACGGAGGATCACGCAGGGCTCCTTTGTTCGGCCAACCTCCCCCTATGAAGCTCTATTTTCGGTTGGCGGGGAGCCGTCTTTGTGTTGCGACGGGATGGAACATACGATATTTCGACGCTCGAACGAAGCGGTTCGCCATGGATGCGAACTTGTCACCTTTTTCCAGATAAATATAACAAAAAAAGGCAAACTTGGACAAAAAGGGCGAGAGAGGCTTTGTTCCGTTTGGGGGAACTAGGGGTGTGCCAGTCGGTAAAGGGGGCGCGGATAGAGATCGAGGAGGTGGGGGCAAAGGGGAGGATCACGGATATAGAAGTCGGCGAGAGGCAGCGATTATACCGCACGCGAGAGAGAGAGAGGGTGAGGGGGAGAGATGGAGAGGGGAGAAGATGATTAGGATTGATCGATATTGGATGCTGGGATCCCTTCCTCGACTCGATGTCGTTGTGGCTGGTCTCTTTCCAACGTTTCAACCCACTTCCTGTAGGTTGATGGGGGTGAGGGAGGGGGAAACAAGACCCCTAGGTCCTGCCCACCAGAGTGCCCCGTTAAGCGAATATCCGTCCTGGAAGCTCCTGTTGGCCTTCTCTGGGAGCAGCCAGCGACGCCAACTCCTCCCAACAACGATTCGAGAGGTCCATTTATTTCCTTCCGTTGATTGAACAATGGTGATCATTTAGACTTTGAAGCTCCAAGAGCTAAGAGCTTCCGGCCTAGTCAGAGACTCGACTGATCTAACATTGATGAACAGATCGGGAGACCATTTCTTTTCTAAAGATTGACCAGCGGGCTTAAGATTAACCTATCTAGTAGATTGGATGTAGTCTTTGGGAAGCTTTCCTTCCTCGTCTTCTGCTCTTTGCCCAGGTGTGCGAGGTGGGAAGTGAAGGACAATCAGGGTTAGCTACCTCGGTCCCGTCTGCACGCTCACTCTGTCAATGTACGTGTATAGAAAGATGGATAAGCTTACGGCTCGCTACATGTATGTTATCTAGCAGCACCTCGGTAGCATCGAGGCCTCAAAAATTGTCTCTTTTCAGTCCAATCGCCCAATTTGTCTCGCCCACAAGATCCGTCAGCCTACGCCTCAGCCTCGAGATGACGAGTCCACTTTTGCTCACAAGGAGCTGAGCTATGTACAACGCTGAAGTAATAATTGATTTCTTTGCTCGCCTCCCCCAAAAATCCTCCCTTTTAGCGTGCATCCCATCAACCAAATGCACCTATCCAAAACGCTAAAACTCAGCGCCTATCCCCTTTTGTCGCCAGCGTTCTCTCGTCTCTCTGGAGCGTGTTGCTGATAATACCCCACAGGCTCACCTCGGTCGGTGACTTGCAGACGGGATCGCCGCCCTTTTCTGGACTGCTGGTCCTGCCTTTCCGTCCTTCCGTCCTTCCGTCCACTCGCCCAAGGTTCCAGACCTTGGAGGACTTTGACGTGCATCACTATTGATGTCGGACCAACTGATCATGTACGAAGTAGTTCTCAGTCCTCGTCGTGACTGGTGAATGGCTGCTTTGGAGGAGGGGAAGGAACTGGATTGTACGAACAGACCCAATCCAATTCCCTGGCTTCATGCACACATTTCAGCACGGCGTCAAACCTGAAATCATTGGAAGCCGAGCCTGTCGTGTGTCTCTCTGCCTGCAGATAATCACAACATTGAACATTGAACATGGAGCACTTGCAAAGTTTCCATCAAGCTCCCCAATCCATACAAGCTCCTTCCCCCACTCTCATCACCACGAGCAACCATGTAGTACCCACTGTTCATCACTGCAACACAACCAGGTCAACGTACCCACCCGCATTGATTTCCCATATCACGGCGAATATCTAGTCTACTATCATCTCCTCGTCACCTCTGATGGATGAGAGAGCAGGGTTGAAGACAAAGGACGCCAAGGGTGGATAGGAAAATAATCAATTCAATGATGCCATTTAGTTAACAAAACAATCAAAACAAATACTCGGCCATTTTTGATACAATGCGACCAGGGTTCCATTCCGCAACCAACCCCATCAAGAGGGAACGGAGGAACCTGTCGCAAGCAGACTCGTGCACCGTGATCGGTGCTGGGGCTCGACCCTCGAGCTTTTTCCCAAGGAAAGAGCTGAAGACGCCCCCGTAGAAGTCGATGATATCACCGCCCTGCCCGTCGCCCTTCGCTCTCCTCCCATCTACTTACTTCCTCCATCCACCACCCCGTTGTGTTACGCTTCAACACCCCATAAGATCTTTTGAGGAAAAACAATGGGACGGAAAACTGCAAAGACATAGGAAATGGTGGAACAGTAAGAAAAAGAAAGAGAGAGATAAATAGAGAGAGAGAAAGAGGAACGCAGCCGGGACAATGATAAGAAAGACAGTATGAGATAAGACTCGGAGGGAAAAGAAAATTGGAAAAAAAAGAGGCACGCCGTACGGCGGTGGCCCAGCCGCTGCCGTGGTATAAAGGAGGGACTTGAAGAGAGGCAATTATTAAACCACGACGGATGTGCCGATGTATAGAACCAGCCGAGACCATGATTGTTGGCTGGCGGAAAGTGCGAAGAAAAGATTTGTTGTCCGGGGTTGCTCTTCTCCATGTGAGAGAACGAGGTTCACAGGCTGCTGGTGTCGTCCAAGGGGGAAGGGTGGGGGAGGGGTTGTGCTTCATGTCAAACATGCCCTTCATGCCTCGTTTCGTAGTCATCGTCGCAGGGTTCGTTAAAAGGGGTAGGTGGGAAAAAGAGAAGAGGGCTCCCGGCGGGTGGGTGAAAAAAGGTGCGGAAGAAGGCTGAAGATGTCAAGAGGGTATCGAGAGAAGTAGAAAATGGGAGAAAAGGGTGCACCAAAAGAGTCCAACGCCGGAAGCCCGATTCCCCCTTGGGTCCTCTTGTGTGGTTGTAGAGGGGAAGGGGGAGTGCGGTTAGGGGAGCAGAAACGAAACAGAACAGAGCCATGTTCCTTTACAGGTACATGCTCTTCGTCCTCGAGTGCACCCGGCGACCCTCGGCGCGCTTTCGAAGGGATTCTTCGCGCTTAAGGATCAGCTCGCACCACTTGTTTCGTCGCGGCCCCTCCTCATCGACGTTGGATGAGTCGCCGCGGCCAACGAGCTCGCCGAGCACCCTCATCCATCCCTCCTTGTCTTCCGCAGTGTCCGCATAGAAGTCAATCACCTCTCCGTTGTTGAAGCGGATGCGGAACCCTTCCTCCACAAACATGTAGCCCTCTTCCTCTTCGGCAAAGGCAGATCGCCGACGTCTGCCTCCCTTGCCCATCGTCTCCTTCTCTGTCAGCGTGCGCCTGTCGTCAATGAGACGTCGGGCATTGCCTAGATTGATGGTAGCACGAGGTTGCCTGGTCGCCTCGTGGTACGCCGTCAGCTTGGCACCGACGAGCTTGAAGTAACGGCGACGCCAATACTATGATGGGAAACCCAGTTGTTAGCACATGACCGACAATAGCAAAAAAGAAAAAGAACCAAGAAATAGATATTCGACTTACGGGACAATCACCACCCTGCTGGCTGAGATGGCCTTCCCAGTTTCGAGAGAGGCGCTCTTCGGCCGCCTTCAACTCGCGGATGCAAGAGTTCATGCTCTTGGGCATGTCCTCGTCGCTCACGCCCTTGGGACGCGGCACAAAGAGAAGCTGGAGCTCTAGCTTGCCGATCTTGTAAGGGGCGCGCCTCACGACGGCAGTGGTGCCTCGCTTGCTCTTGACGCTGGAAGCGAAGCCGGCCTCTTCGGTAGCCCATTCGTTGAAGCAGGCAACCTCGGCGAGGTAAGGGCGGCCAAAGCACCTCGACTCATGTTCCTTGAGGCACACGTACGAGCGAGCAAAGCTGCCATCCTCGGCCACAAGGGGCGAGAGGAGATCGTATACCGTGGGCGCGGCGTTGACCTGGCGAGTCTGAGCATCCCGCTGCATGGCGAGTCGCTGCTCCTCCTCGCGCTGCCTCATCTCCATCTCTCTGCGCTTCTTGGGCGAGGTAAACATACGTCCAAAGGTCGAAGTCTTCGTCTTGGGGGCTTTGGTAGCCTTGGTGGGAGAAGAAGCAATGGGAACCGGCGCGGGCTTCTCTAGCTTGACATTGAGCGTGAGCTGGAACTCGAGGTCGTTGGGGACGACAAGCTCAAACTCCTGGCCGATGGGAGCATTGCGCGCAAGCTCCAGCCAGGCAGTGGTCACGCAGTGCACGCCGTTATCCAGCGTAAGGCTGAACCAGGTCCTCTCAGCTATCCTAGGGTCAGCATGCCGCATCGCACGTTTGCGGGAACCCGGAAGTGGAACAACTTACTTTTGGAAATGGGGAGATCGAGATCCTTGACGCCCATGACCTTGATAAACAATCGACCCCTCTCACCGCTATCCGTAGTGGCAAAGTCCACATTGTAGTCATCTTCGGTGACGGTGTTCAGGCCCAGGGCATTACTCTCATGGCCTGGAAGAGGGGGAACAGGGCCACTGGCGGAGGCGCCATGTCGCTTCTTGACGCTCCTTGGCCGAACCTTACCGTTCCAGGGCTCGACAGTCCACGACTGGGGCCGCTCAGTCTTGATGGGGAGTTACCCGCCGATCGAGTCCTCCAGCTGTCGTCCGACTCCTTGTCGCTCGCCGCGACGAGCTTCGTGTTCTGGCGCATCAGGTAGCCACGCTGTTTTTCACCATGGGGGTTAGCATTATGCATCTCGGAAACGAGTTCTCTAGTCGTCGCGCCAGACACTGGTCTGGCTCGTCCGGCACTGCCGGTCGTCTCTGACGTATTGTGAAGGAGTCGGTTAAAAGCCACCTTTGTGCCTCGATAACTCTGTCGAAATCTTGATCAAGACTCAGGCCCAAGTCAAGGTCTAGCGTGAGGCTGCGCTTCTTAAAGCTGGGGTGCCTCTCCATGTAGTCGGTGCTGCTGGATAGACCGGGGTCAATCTCCTGAGAGCGGCGGTTGAGATGGCGATCAGGAATGGGAGGAACCAATGGAGCAATCTCGCGGCTGACCTGTCGCCTGGCCTCACGCATGGCCATAAGGTCGGATGGGGTCGCGGACGGTCGGGTCCTGAGCTTGGAGCCGGAAGATGACTTGATGGTGGCTAGTTGCTCAGGAATCTCGGGAGTAGGAGGGGCCTCCTCCTCCTCCTCTTCCTCCTCCTCTTCTACTTCCTCAGGATATCCCTCCTCGTCCTCATAGTCGACGGGATGGTGAATCACCGAGCCAGTCGCCGATTCGTCGTCTTCATACTCCTCAGGCTCACCCCATCCAGAACCGTCGTAAACCGGCTTAGAAAGGGGCGCTCATCAGGAGTGAACGACCTCTGCAGGTAAGCGTGGGCTTCGGCCATAGAGGGAGCCTCGAACTGGTCCGGCCGTGGGAGCACGGGACCGTTGAGGCTGGGGCTGGGAACGCTCTCTGTAGTGGGCTCGAAAGTGGGGATCCTCTCTTCGATGGGACTGGCATGGGGAGTTGGGTCGTCATCTTCTGGACGGTACTCAACCTGCTGCTCTTTGGCATCGAAGGAGCCGGCGCTCTCCGAGTAGTGGCTGCCCGAGTCGTCATCCTTGTCCTCGTGAATGACGAGCTCCTCCTCCACTTGGCGAGCAATCGACATCTCCGACATCTCGCGGTACGGATACGAGTCCTCGCGTTCAGCTAGGTCGCGCCGCACAATGACACTACCCTCATTGTCATCATCCTCGAGGATGGAATCTTCTTCGGTGGAAGGAATAGGCACATCAGGGTCGAGAGGAAGGACGCGCTCGGGACTTGATGGAGCTGGAGAAGAGAAGTGATAGTCGGATTCCCTCTCAAAAGCCCGATTGCCATTCACCCTGCGCAAGATAGACTCGCGAGAAATGCGGGGAGGCAATTGATACTCTTCAAGGCCAGAGAGATCGCCAATAACATCATCCTCTTCCTCGGCCTCGAGAGCGGCTTGGCTAGCAGTATCAGCCTCTGAGGCAGGGCTTCCGAACCTATCCCTGGGGGCAGCTCGACGCATGCGCCGTTCTCGCTGAAGTTCAGCGGCAGTCTTGGTTGGGGACTTGGTGGCATTGCTGTCGTCTGACAACATCATGAGCTTCAAGCGTTCCTCGAGCGTCATCTTGCCGTTGCCGATGTTTTGTGTCTCAGCCTTGGAGTCGGCCGCCGTGGGGGCGATGGCAGTCCCCGACTAGTAGGGCTGAGAACCCTCTCGATGGAGGCAGCAAACCCAGAAGATTCCCGGGTAAAAGAGCTCTGGGACGAACTCATGCCTGGAAGAGGAGGAAGGGGTCGGTGCTCAGAGTTGCTGGAGTCAGTCCGCTGGCGGTTTGTGTTCCCAGGAGCAGGTCGGCTAAGCATATCGGGAGCGGGACTTGAGTCGTAGAAGGGGTCATCTCCACCTCGAGAGGGGCTGTCCTGATTCCAGTCATCGGGACCAACAACGGGTGTCTTATCGGTGTCCTCGAGGGAGGCATCAAAGCTGTCCTCAACATCGTCACCATCGTAGTGAGGGTGATAGAGCGGGTTGTACTCATCATCCTCTTCAGAGTCATAGCTTCCCTCGCGAGAGTTTGAGCCGATAGAGGAAAGATCCGGGGTCGCCATCTCGTACTCATTCACCTGCGGCGGGCCGTTATCAAATGTTACGCTCTTGGTGTGTCTGTGTAGAGAGCGAGAGCCAATGGGCTCCAAGTCGGGGACCCAAGAGCCCGTCGCCTCATCAAAGCTGCTCTTGAACCGCGAGGTTGAGAGGGAAGACTTGATGGGCGAGGCGTTCTCCCTCTTGGGAGTCTGAGGAGGCTCGCTCGACTGAGACGAGTCAAAAGTGGAACTCTTGGTAGGGCTATAAAGGGAATATCGGTCTTGCTCTGGCTTCTCTGATGACCCTTCTTTTCGAGGGGAGCGGGGGCTTCGGCCCTCATACCAGCGGTCCCCCTTCCACTAAAAGCGTTGCCCTGGACTTTAGCAAGGGGTCGCTCAAGATGGGGATGCGCGTGGGGTCGTATTCCTGCTTTTGTTCGAGAGCGAGGATGTTGCTGTTCTTGACCCTGGAGGCTTTCTGGAGGCGTTCAAGCGATGAGCGGCGGAGGGGTGAAGGTGACCCGGTCCTACCCCGTACAGGCTGTTCTCTGTGCTCGAGTTACGAGATTGCCAGAACATCCTGGGGGAGGCCATGGACTCGACGGGTGAAGACTGGAAGGGCGAGGAATCTTGCTGGAAGTTCATCTTCTGTAACAGTAGTTAGTATCGGGAGGCTGTCTATCCGGAGTGGGATATGCTGTTGTTGCTGCTGGCTGATGTGGGTTGACTGACCTTTGATGTCTGGTTCCAGCTAGGAGAGTTTCTCCTCTTCTCGCTGGGGGAGATCTCTGTGAGGGCACGAGGGACGCCACCCATCTTGGTGGGTGACGACATTGTGGAATCTCTGGAGACGCGCAATGGCTGTACCTGATTATGCCTCGTTAGCGTTGTCGCTCACCTTTCGGCGCGGGAGTTCGTCACGGCGGCTTCGATGAATGCTTACTGAATCGTTGTATGACATGCTCCCAGGCATGCGCGATGCGGAGTAGTTGGTTCGAATCTCAAAAGACTAAAGCAAGGCGAATGCTCTTATCGGGTGCATGGGGCTGGGGATTGGGTCCGGATGGATGAGGGTGTGCGATGAGAAAGAAGCCACGCAAGGCCGGCAAAGGCCAACGAAAGTGGTGCTAACCAGAGCGGGTTACTTGATGTCGGAAAAGGTAAGGCACTTCGCAATTCGCAAGAGCGCAAAGCGAAGATCGTGAGAGGAATAGGCCTCCTTTTGATGGCACACGAGAGGGAAAGCTATATCGACGGACGATATTGCACTTCTTCCGGTGAGAGTTGGCTGGCGGGATGCCAAAAAGAGGAAGACGGGTGTTGGGGAGGGAAAGGAAAAAAAGATAACAAGACGTTGGATGGGTGTTCGTCAAGAATGTGTCTTGGGTGTTTGGTTCATCGTTTAATAATGGTTCAAAGACTCTGGCATATAGCGGGCTGGATGGCAGTGTGGGTAGGTTCGGCGGAGTGCAGGTAAACAAACAAGGACTAGTCACAAGATTCCAAGATTCCCTCGTTTGAGTGTGTGTTGCTGTGGAAACCGCGACTCTGCGAGCCATGGCGTACCTGCCTCTGAGTGGAGGAAGCCACAGTGGAGCATGGACCATCAATTTATTTTTAACGTAACCTCGAGTTTCAAACCATTAACCGATATATGCGATAGCGCTATTCCCTCACAATATGCACGCAAACGAAAATAAACCCCTTTACACGATATATTGGATTAACCTGGCTTGAGAGACGATAAGGACCCCTCCACTCCGATAAGCCAGAAATTTTCTGAAAAAAAGCCAAGGGAAAGAAAGGCTGGTCAAAGTCGGCTTCTTCACTCTCTTGCGCAGCAAATTTGGCCAAAGTCACCACATTGGGCCTTTGAAGCATTTTCCCTCTCCAACCACTAACCCCTGCCAACAAAGACACGATGAAGCGGAAGTTGGACGAAAACAACGAGCCGGCTCCCAAGGAGTCGCAGCCCGCCGGCACGGAGAACGGGGCGAAGAAACCGTCGTTTACCGACTTTGGCCTCGACCCTCGACTTGTGCAGGCGATTGCCCAAGAACAGTACAGAGAACCTACTTTGGTGCAAGCCAAGGCGATACCTTTAGGTCTAGAGGGCAAGGATGTTTTGGCCAAGGCAAAGACGGGATCCGGAAAGACGGCGGCGTATCTTCTTCCAGTTCTGCAAGCCATTCTTAAAAGGAAACAGGTTCGTACAGCGATGACTTGCCCCACTGATCTTTCCGAGGGGTTTGACTTGTACCAAATTTTATTGTTGGCTGACCGCATCTCATAGACGAACTCTGCCGCTTTTACCTCGGCCTTGATTCTTGTACCGACCCGAGAGCTCGCAGACCAGGTGCACAAAGTCATCGAATCCCTCGCCGCCTTTTGCGCCAAGGACATACAAGCCGTTAAGTTGACGGACAAGATTTCCGAAGCCGCCCAGCGATCGCTCCTCTTGAACTCGCCCGATATCGTCGTCTCAACACCTGCGAGGACGTGGTCCAACATCAGCTCGTCCGCCCTCTCTCTTGACAAACTCACACACCTTGTCCTGGACGAGGCCGATCTCGTCCTGTCGTACGGCTACGAAGATGACTTGCGAAACGTATCCAAGAAACTACCCAAGGGAATCCAGACCATCCTGATGAGCGCGACGCTCACGACCGAGGTCACCACGCTCAAGGACATGTTCGCTCACAGCCCCGTCGTCCTGAACCTGGAGGAGAAGGATGCGGAAGGCGAGGGGATCGAGCAGTATGTCGTCAAGTGCGCCGAAGATGAAAAGTTCCTGCTCATCTATGTCATCTTCAAACTCAAGCTCATCAAGGGCAAGAGCATAATATTCGTATCCGACGTGGACCGCTGCTACCGTCTCAAGCTTTACTTTGAACAGTTTGGTATCCGCAGCTGCATTCTCAATTCAGAACTCCCCGTCAACTCGAGGATACACGTTGTGGAGGAATTCAACAAGAATGTCTACGATATCATCATTGCGTGTGACGAGAATGAGGTGATTGGTGACGAGGAATCTCCCAAGGACGGCGCCGAAGCTGCGACCGCCGCGGAAGGCGCCAAGGCCGAATCGAAAACGGAGGAAGCCCCGAAAAAGAAAAGAGGAAGACGTCCCGCAAGGACAAGGAGTTTGGTGTCTCCCGAGGCATCGACTTCAAGAACGTCGCCTGCGTCATCAATTTCGACCTTCCCACCTCGGCCAAATCATACACACACAGGATAGGACGGACGGGCAGAGCCGGCCAGCGTGGCATGGCGCTCTCTTTCGTGATCCCCGCGAGCAATACCGGAAACACGTACCCACCTCGATTGAGTCGACAGAAAAGGACGAAAAGGTGCTGGCGAGGATAGAGAAGCAGCAGGCGAAACTGGACAAGGAAGTCAAGCCGTACAACTTTGACATGGAGCAGGTGGAGGCCTTCCGTTACCGCATGAATGATGCGCTACGGTCGGTCACGAGGGTGTCTATCCGCGAGGCGCGTACGAGGGAACTGCGAGAGGAGCTCCTGAAGAGCGAGAAGCTGAAGCGCCACTTTGAAGAGAACCCCAACGAACTCCACCACCTGAGGCACGATGGAGAACTCAGGGCTGCGCGAACACAGGCTCACCTCAAGCACGTGCCCGACTATCTACTACCCGCGGAGGGTGCCAAGGGCCTAACGGCGCAAGAGATTGGGTTCGTTCCGTTTACGAAATACGACAAGAAGAAGAGGACCAAGAAGTTCAAGGTGGGGAAGAAGCGGTCAGACCCGCTGCGGTCCTTCAAGGCGAGGTCAAAGGCGAAGAAATGATTATAGAGCAAAGCACTAGGAGAATATAGCATCATGGGGGACTTATAGTATATATTTATCTCGGTTAATACCCCGGTTTTTTACCTCCACACATACATACAACACATGAAGCAAACGTGTTCCCGGCCGATGTCTTGTTCAACCTGTCGCTTCCAACCGTACCGAATTTGGCACCCACCTCGGTTTCTGGCCATAGACAGTAGACCTAATGAAATGAGTATTTGAATCAGTTTTCCTTGTTTCTAGTACTTGTAATCAAGGGAATTTAGCTCACTTACATCTCAAGATAGAGCCGGGCCGAAGACGAATCACGCAGCGCTGCCTTGACCTGTATGAGAAAGGCCCTAGCCTCGGCAGCGCTCCAGTCGAGCAGCTTCGTCAGAATATACACGCCGCAGCCCTCGACGCTCTGCTCCATCGCCGCCTCGAGAATGCCGCCCATGATTTTCAGCTCCGGGTCCTCATGCCAGCTGCCGATAGGGACGATGCTCCTCTCCTCCTTGATTTTCGTAAATCCGGCCGCCTTGAACCACGCGACGTTGGCGCCGTCGTCGACGACGCGAAACGTCTTGCCCGACTTGCGAGACGCGGCGGCCAACACGTCCTGCCAGGAGTGGAGGGGCGATTGCTCGGGGAGAGAGCCAGTCTCGGACTGGGGCTCGACGGAGAAGTCGCGGTGCTCGAACCAGCCGCCGGGTTTGAGGCAGCGGTAGACTTGGGCGTAGAGAAAGGGCCAGTCGCGGATGGCGCCGACGAGGCCGCGCAGGTGGACGAAATCGAAGTGGTGGCTGGGGAAGGTCCAGGGTAGCTGGGCGTCGTCGAGCTGGAAGGAGACGTTGGTGGGGACGAAGCTGGGCTGGATGGGGGAGATGTCGGTGCCGATGATTTGGGTGGTGGGGTATATTTGGGCGATGTCTCTGTGGGGGGGCAAAAGGTCAGAAAAGGAGGATTTGGAGGGGGATTCAAAGTTCTCGAACCGCCTCGACGATGCCGTGGGGCCGGAGATGGATATACATGGTTTACATCTCGGTGGGGACACTTACATGGCCCATGACCCCGTGCCGGTCCCGACGTCGAGGATTCGTTGGCATTTTACCGGAGAAAGGATGGGAGCGTGGAAAAGCTGGCCGCCGGATAGGAGCAGCAGCCCGTGGCTACATTGAAAGAATTGATCAGCAAGCGAGACCCGGGGGAAAGAGAGGAGGAACACGCACACCATGTCCCATGCTTCATTCTGCCTGTCGTCGTTGGGTGCCCTAGAACGATCTGTTGGTCATCCTACCAAGCCCTCGGGAGCGCGTGTGTGTGTGTGTGTGCCCTGCTCGAGGCCTACCAGTACTCGGCGTCGGTACTATAGTTTTGATATGTCCTCCCATGGAGGGTTTGAAAGAGGCGCGTGGCGGGCACTACGGACGTGGTTGAGCTCTCACTAGACGTAAGAGGAACCATTCTTTTTGTTAGAAACTCCAATCGACAAGAACCTCGTTTCTCTATTCTCGGGGAGGGGACAATACGGCCGCTCACTCGTCTGATGGAAGACTAGAGTCTTGATCGCTATCTCGGTGATCGGAGACGGAAACGTGGGAGGTAAGGCCAGGCATCATGGGCCGCAAGTCCGACCTGACTTTGAGGGGGCAAAAGGTTGAAGCGTTTTGTCACGTATCTAGTCCAGAGATCGTGTGAACAAGGCATTGGCCAGGAAGGGCGGGCTTGCACATCTATAAGGGATGCGAGATCCTAAGCTCCAGATACCCGGCTCATGGAATATGGAAGTCCTCTGCTAAGCTGGGGGACTCGGGAATTATCGTGACCATGAATATTTTCCGTTCTTATTTCAACAGGGACTGCATACACTATTGTAGCATCCAGATGCTGTTTGCTTCCAAGATCCTGGCTCGGGGTCTGAACGTTATTCACCGATGAAGCTCAGCGGTTCCGTTCGTAGTAATATCCCGTCCCAGCTGACGAGAACACGCAGCGACATGAAGTTGGGTATCATCTACGAGGCAGCTTTCAAATCGAAATTCTCGCGGCCCGTGTGGTTTATAATGCAAGGGAGACAGCTCGCTAGGACCGACTGCATATACGTTCTGCAAGGGATATCGAGGCCAAGGCACGGCCTCACCTGACACCTGTCACATAGTCACACATGGGTTATGGCATCTTTTTGGAAGGGCTGGCGGAGAAGCTATCGTGACTAACCAGACGTATATATATCTATAACTCCTTTCTACTTGTGGATAAAACCTTGGGATTGGCGTTTGGCTAGAGAATCCCCGACAAAGATTGACCTGCTGCCGGTAATAAGATTAGCATGCGTGGTAGAGACTGCGAATCTCACTAAAACAGCGGTTGCCGTGCTTGTCAACCAGCGATGGCTCAAAACAAAACGAAAAATATGACTGACAATGAGATGGAGATGGGAAGAAGCAAAAGAAGACTGGAAGAAACAGAAAAAGAAAGTAGATACAAAGCGGGAGTATACATAACGTGGTGGGCATGGTGGAGCGCGTCCTTGTCCGACCGCGTTAGGGAAGAACTTGACCCGCGTTCTTGAAGCTGATCTTTCATGGACGGGGATATCATACAGTGGTATTGAATCGCGTAGGGTCTTAGTCGTGCAATGTACTCGTCACTGGTAGCCCATATTCGCAAAATTACCATGGACGATCCCAAATCTCCGCCCTATACTCATGCCTTTGCTTCTTCAAGTGCACCGCGGCGGTTTCGGACGGCCGGAGGTGATCGGCAGAGGAAGGGGGAGGGGGATTGTTAACCAACTTAAAAATGTGACATCAAAAAATCAGTGTCCGGACTGGCTACTCGTCTTCCTTTCGCACGCGGTGGACTTGGGACTTGGCCTGGTGTCAGCTTAGAGTTAAGCCCCCATAAGACAGGGCGCAACATGCAACAGAGTACAAGTCAGTGAGAATGAGCGATTTTAAGATGGAGGTAAAATATTCGTATGGAAATAAGATTACGCGTTGTACGACAGAGTGGTTTACTAGAAACCCATTTTAGATCAAGCAGCCAGGGAGGGAGAGGACTCACCCGAATGAATGACATGGGTGTATCGGCTTGCGATGGAAGAAGAGCGGTCGACATGGTTTACATGTACGGACTTTTGCACAAAGCCCTGCGCGGCGTTGATGAATGTGGTATCCAAGAGGGCGCCGGACCCGGGAGGCAGGGCTTGGCACGATCGGCCACGGAAGGGAAATAGTCGCGAACTTGGTCCATCAACGATCAATATATCTGGCGCCGCGTGGATTGGGGGCGAGCGGGGGACCCAGTCCCCAGCAAATGGCTGAGAGAACAGCGCTTGCTCGGGGTGTGCTCAGAGGGGGAGGTTTCTGATACAGAGCTGGGGATTCGAGATGTCTCTGAACCGGGAAACTTGCGTGTTACACGACCTGATTGGCTCCCATGATGAGATGTGCTTGGATTAAAGTAGTCACAGGAAGGGAAGCACACGGGGATTGGCATTTTCAAGTCTCGGGGAAGAGGCCAAGCGCACGCATATGCACATTTTGCGCGACTGATGTCAGTCCCGGGAAGCAAGCGGGACCGTTCTGCAAGACGGGGCGGATTTTCCTTGCCGACCAAGGATAGAGAAACTACTAAGGAGAAGGCGAGAGAGGTTCCAAGCGGACCTCCCCTCCCCAAAAGCCCACTTTCAGCTTGAAGTGTTGATGCATGCGCATTGTCGTAGCCGAATGCAGTATCATGGCCGACGCTTGACAAAAGACACTGTGATCTGAGTTTGGGGGTGTGCGTGTCCTTGGGTTTCGCGGGATACCTAAACCATGATGGATATATTGTCATGGATCTGCGAAGGATTATGTCCAGTGTGCAGCATGGCACAATTTCCACCAATTTGACGCGTTACAATGTACTTGGCGCCGCTGTCGAACATCGGAGAGGCAACTGACAGTCCAGCTTGATGGAAGAGGGGCTTCTTTGTGGTGGCGGAAAGGCGTGTAGCTGGTCATAGATCCATTATAATAGTTGAATAGCTCTATTGTGTCATGTACCCGTTGGTGGTCATCCACACGTGGCAAAGTGCCGAGCAGGTATGCCGCGAGGCCCCGGGGAGCTGTTGAACCATGGACGGATACATATGGATGGATGGCAGCATGGACAACACTGGGACACGGGGGTGCCTTGTCCCGTTCTGCTCTCGCCTTGCACATCGAGAATCGAGTTTGAGCACCGATGGAAGAGCATCAGGAGGTTCAATGTTGCCTTTGGTGGGGCTGTCTATACATGGATGTACGATGTATCTCATGGATCCGTAGAATCAATTGATCAATGGATCCATATTTGTCTGTGGATAATACGTTGACGGCGTGCTTGACAAACAATAGATCAATCCCATTGTCCCATTGTCCCGGGCCGTGCAGGATTTACGGCCGAGTACCTGTGGCGGGGCCAAGCTCCGACCCAAGAGCTCCAGCTCCCACTTGCCGTGCCACTTCGGCGTAATTGCTTGAGAGGGCGGCGTCGACATAAAAACGCCCAGTTCGTTCCGGCCGGTCAGTCACTCCTTTAAGCTCCAATGGCGTGGCGGGGATTTGTAAAGTGAGACCAAGGATCCATCCAGCCCGAGCTAATGATACTTGGTCGGATCAACGTTAACATTCTTTTTGTGTTTTCGCATTTCCACGGAGCGTGCATATCGACATGTCCAATTCCGAGAGGTCCCCGAATGGGTTGGTTTGGGTTTCCTTTTGGATTCCTTTTACCTGATAGCACCTGTTTCCGTCGATGGGTCCTTGACTTGTTGACGGCGCCGCTGCGTCACTTCGTCGCATCCATCGATGGGCTTGTTTTTGCTGACAGCGCCAACCACAGAAGCTACCCACTTTCTTTGGGAACTTGGGGGAGAAAACTTGTACCGTTGCCGTTGCCAATCCCCACATGCACTCAACTTCATGTTCCGTCAAGAACTGGGCCTAACTGCAACCAAGCACATCACCTTTTCTGCCCCATCATAAACCCTATCACAACATTGACCCCAGCCTGTTCCCCTCCCCCTCCCCCTTCCCCGGCGTGTCTTCCTTTCCGGAGGATTTTCACCGGCTTCTCTCAGACTAAGACTAGAACAGCCAGATGGAACACCACCCGCCTTGGAAGCAGTCATCTTTGTGGAGATCCGAGCTCGAAAGACTCCAAGGCGAGAGCCACCAAGGTTCCCCATCACGGTGGATCGATTTTCTCCGGTGTCCTCGACATCGAGATTTCTCACCAAGACGCAAGACGAGGAACGAGGGACGAGAGACCAGAACAGGCTTGGCAAACCAATAATCTCTCACCGCATACGGACATGGAGCCACAAAATTACCAAATGTATCCACAGCGGCCTGCTGCTTTCCTTGATCCTCTCTCTCTCTCTCTCTCTCTCTCTCTCTCTCTCTCTCTGCTTACCCTGGGTCTTGTTCAATGTTTCGATCTCAATTTCTAACAACGCCCACTTTCCCACTTTCAAGCTTTTGAGGTCCCCACTTATAACTTTGGGTCAGAGCTTATTACTTGCTACTTTGTCTTTGTGTCGAGGGGCCGTGAACTGCACGTAGCCGGTGTGGCGGAAACCTTCATTCCGACTCACCCGCGGCCTTTTTTTTTTCTTTTTCTTTTTCTTCTCTATATTCACTCTTTCCTTTTTCTATAGTTCCCTTTCAGCGGAGGCGGAGGATATTATCAAAAGGACCGACCCCCATGTTACACTCCGGATGGAGGTAATCCCCGACGTGGACGGGGATATAGAGACATGGACACGCGGGAGAATTGAGCATGTCGTCCCCAATCGCGTAGCTTGAATATGACCCCGTGGAGAATGTGATGAGGAGGTCTTGAACGCGCCATGGAGCTCTGGAAAGAAGCATATCAAGCTCCCTGCCCCCTTTCTCTGACTCGCGCAACAAGGAGTGAAGCTCTAGATTTGAAGTCTTGTTCATATCCCCCCTTCCCCTCTCCAACCTCTCCCTCCTGCTCAGCCCGCCTACTTCTCTACCTGCGCACTCCCAAACTCGTCTTCACCAAAAGCGTAGCATCGCGAGGTGGTTTAAACAGCACAACCAGAGACGTATCGACGCATAGAACGTCCCCCATTGACCGGCCACAACGTGTCCCTCTCCCTCTCCCGCCCGTTTCTCGCCACCCCGGGGTAGGCAGCCAGTATCCATTTGGGAAACCGCAAGGTTTATCCAGAACTCTCTTGCAGGCTCCCCCGTTTAGAAATAGCTCCGCTGTCACTGGGTACCGACCTGCGTCGCCAACGACGTCAACCCTCCCTCATCGCTCACACACCCATCCCATCCACAACAAGAGCCCCATCCCGTAATAGGGCAAGTTCCAGATTCAGCGTCACATTTCCTATTGCTCGCTACGCAATAGGCTGTCCTGATTCTTTTTCTATTTGTTTATAAAAAGCCTCCGAGGTGGCCTTCCCACCTCGCCCTTTCTTTTTCGAGATGAAGCATTCCATCTATGCACAATTGCCGCTTTTGGCCTTACTCAACATATCAACCATGGCTTCTCTCGCGCTGGGCCAGTGCCCCTTTGCCAACAACAACAAGCTCCGGACGAGGCAGGAAGGAAGCGAAAGCGACGGCTCCCGCGCCCACGTCCAGGGCAATGATGTGGTGGACGGCGATGTCTATATGACGTCAGATGTCGGAGGTCCGTTTACCGACCAGCGCAGCTTGAGGGTGGGCGACCGGGGCCCGACGCTCCTGGAGGATTTTGTGTTTCGTCAAAAGATTACTCATTTTGATCACGAGCGGGTACGTGAATTTTTCTCCCCGGACCTTTGGACCAAGGCAGAGTTTTTTATTTTATGGTGTTGTTGGACTTTGTTGCTTTCGCCCGTGTCGCCGAATCCTTCACGGGCCCCACTCCGCTACCCCTCCGGAGACGTACGGAGGAGGGCGACGATGGAGGAGGGGAAAAGGGAAAATACAGGAAAAGAATGGTAAACCAAGGGGATAATTGCGCTGACGTGATTCGCTCTTTTTCTCCGGCAGGTTCCTGAACGCGCTGTCCACGCCCGAGGCGCCGGTGCCTACGGCAAATTCGTCAGCTACGGCGACTTTAGCAACATCACCGCCGCCAGCTTCCTCAACACCGAGGGCAAGGAGACTCCGGTTTTCGTGCGCTTCTCCACCGTCCTCGGATCGAGGGGTAGCCCCGATACCGTCCGCGATGTGCACGGTTTCGCGACACGATTGTAGGTTTTTTTGTTTCTCTTTCTCACCTTTTTTCTAAACCCTTCTTCGCCAAAAGTCTTGAGTTACTCAAGAGGTAGACTGTGATCTAACGCGTATACTCCTGATATAGCTACACCGACGAGGGCAATTGGGATCTCGTGGGCAACAACATTCCCGTCTTCTTCATCCAAGATGCCATTCAGTTTCCCGACCTGATTCACGCCGGCAAGCCCAAGCCCGACAGGGAGATTCCTCAGGCCGGCACCGCCCACGATTCCGCCTGGGACTTTTTCAGCCAGCAGACCACCTCTCTCCACACCCTTTTCTTTGCCATGTCAGGTTTCGGTATCCCCGCAGTTACAGGCACATGGTAAGAATCTTCAGTCCTTTTGAAAAAAGAATTCCACCCCTTCTTGAGCTTGTCTCGGCTAGTTGGTGCACTGACTAACGTGTGCGCGTGCGCGAAAAGGACGGCTTCGGCGTCAACACCTACCGCTTCGTCACCGACGAGGGCGTCTCAAGCTCGTAAAGTTCCACTGGAAGACTCTCCAGGGCAAGGCCGCGCTCCTGTGGGAAGAGGCCCAGGTCGCCGCCGGCACGGACATCGACTTCCACCGCGAGGACCTCTGGCAAAACATCGACGCCGGCAACGCCCCGAGTGGGAGCTCGCCGTGCAGCTCATCGACGAGGACAAGGCCCAGGCCTACGGCTTCGACGTCCTCGACCCTACAAAGATTGTCCCCGAGGAGATTGCGCCGCTCAAGAAGCTCGGAAAGATGACGCTGGACACGAATCCCCGCAATTACTTTGCCGAGACTGAGCAAATCATGGTAAGTTTAGTTCTTTTTCTTTTTCTTCTCCAAGGTGGGATTCCGGTTATGAAGCTTTTGTATGGCTAACAAGTTCCTCCTACGATAGTTCCAACCCGGTCACATTGTGCGCGGAATTGATTTCAGCGAGGACCCTCTGCTCCAGGGACGCATCTTCTCTTACCTCGACACCCAAATCAACCGCCACGGCGGCCCCAACTTTGAGCAGATCCCCATCAACAGGCCCATCGTCCCCGTGCACAACAACAACCGTGATGGCGCGGCACAAATGATGATACACCGAAACCCTATCCACTGTAAGTCTTGTTTCTTCTTTCTCCTTTGATCACTCTGGTCCGGAAATCGGAGTTGCAGTCGAGCTGACCAGATCTCCATAAGACACGCCCAACTCCCTCAACAGCGACAAGCCCATGCAAGCCAACAAGACCCACGGCCGCGGCTTCTTCACCACGCCCGGCCGCCACGCCGAGGGCCCCTACGTCCGCACCGACCCAGACTCCTTCGCCGACCACTGGTCCCAGCCCCGCCTCTTCTACAACTCCCTCACCCCGGCCGAGAAGCAGCAGGTCATTGACGGCATGCGCTTCGAGACCAGCAAGATCCAGTCCGACACCGTCAAGAAGAACGTGCTCCAGCAGCTCAACAAGGTGAGCAACGACGTGGCCGCCCGCGTGGCCGTCGCCCTCGGCCTCGAGATCCCCGCGCCCGATCCGACCTACTACCACGACAACACCACGGCGGGCTTCAACTTCCTCAAGGACCCCCTCCCCACCATTGCCGGTCTCAAGGTGGGCGTCCTCGCCAGCGTCGATGCCGCGAGATCCCTCTCGCAGGCTGCCGAGCTCAAGTCCAAGCTCGACGGCGAGGGCGTCACCGTCATCGTCGTCGCCGAGAGGATGGCCGAGGGCGTCGACGCCACGTATACCTCTATCCGCTCCAACGCCTTTGACGGCCTCGTTGTCGCCGAGGGCGCCGAGAAGCTCTTTAACCGCAAGGTCGTCTCCGCGCTGTATCCCCGGGCCGTCCCGGCCAGAATCTCGAGGACGCTTACCGGTGGGGCAAGCCGGTCGCCGCCATTGGGTCCGCCTCCGCGGCGTTTGAGAATAGCCTCGTGGAGGACGGCCCTGGCGTGTACAAGCACAATGACACTTCCTCCGTGGTGGATTCGTTAAAGGAGGGTCTCAAGACGTTCAAGTTCGTCGATCGTTTCCCGCTCGACGAGCCGAGTCAACCCGGCAAGTATTAGAGAAGCGCGGGTAGAATAGAGTCACGGGTGAGAGGGGGATGTAGTACTAAAGCACGACTAGGTTTCCTGTAAAATTTGCCCTAAAAAGCAAAGAGAGTAGGGGGACACATCTACATAGAGCGGTTAGACAGGGGAAAAGAAGATCCTCGCTACGCTTCCTCGGATACGTCACCGTTGATCGGGGCATGGCTGAGCAAAGCGAAAGCCCTCGATAGGGAAGAAAGACAATAAAGACTTTTACAATGTACTTATCATCATTGGTATAAACTAGTTAAACTCGTTAGGTAGGTAAATCTAGCCCAACGTTGTGCAGCATGGCATCATGCAGCTCACGTTAAACCGGACCCCCATGAATGTTGGCATTAGGCGGTGAATGTACATTTCGGCGCCCAATGTTTTTGAATTGTGGGGGTTTGAGGTCACCGACACTTGGTCTGGCACCTCGGCCTCGACGAGAATCCTATATTGCTCATGGATATCACGTCGGTCGCTTCAAATAGCCCAATATCAAAAAATGGTCCAGTGTATACCGATATCATGGTGCCTGAAAAAGTTGCGTCGAAAGACCACCCGCTCCCGTCAACTCGGAGGAACCGACCAATCGAAAGGGGGCATGACATCACAAACCTCCGCGAATCACCGCGCAAAGGAGACCGCCTAAATCCACAGTCGAGTGTTTCGCCCCCTTCCCTGACGGCGTTGAGGTTCTACACGACTTTCCAAATGCCACGGCCGATATATGTTTTATCCACGGCCTAACCGGTAACCGGGACGGTACCTGGACCGCCCGGGGGCAGTCTATACCCTGGCCGAGCACTCTACTGCCTCCCAGACTCACCGCCGCGCGAATCCTCACGTATGGCTACGACGCATACGGGGCCAAACTTTCGGTCGTATCATCGAACCGGCTCATCGATCACGCGACAAACCTTCTGAACGACTTGACGACGGAAAGGTCCTCGGCGGGCGCGGCATCTCGCCCTCTCATATTCGTGGCTCATAGCCTCGGCGGTCTTGTCTGCAAGGAGGCCATCTTACTCTCGCGGAACCACCCCGAGGCTCACCTTCGGGGCATATTCGATTCTGTAAGAGGAGTCATTTTCATGGGGACTCCTCATAAGGGATCCTGGATGGCCGACTGGGCAAAGATACCAATCTCGGCTCTTGGCCTTGTCAAGTCCACAAACGGGTTTCTCTTGGACGTCTTAAAGTCAGATAATCAGTATCTTGAGTCCCTTCAAGTGAGATTCTGGTCAATGACACGGGAATTGAGAGAGGCCGGGAGGGCTTTCGAAGTCACATGCTTCTTTGAAGAACTGCCCATGTCTGTGGTCGGGGAAGTCGTGTCAAAGGAATCAGCGACCCTCGAGGGCTATAGCTCCTTTAGCATCCACGCCAACCATAGTGATATGGTTAGGTTTGCGTCGGCGGAAGAGAATGGATTCAAGCGACTAGTTGGCGAGCTCACCAGGTGGATGCTGATAGTGGAAACCCCGGCCGCTAGTCAAGCAGCTGAAGCAACAAGAGAACAACTAGTAGCAAGAGAGCAATTAGCAGCAGAAGAACAAGAAGCCTATAGGCCGGTTGGCGCCTCCTTCAACAATTATGGAACCGGAAGCCAGTTCACCAATATAAACGGCGCTCAATATAACAACACAGGCAGTGGTAGTCAGTTTTTGGCGAATTCAAGGGGCCTATGCATTTTGGCCGTCCGTGGACAGATCGATCCATGAGTTGAAAAAGCAGACCAACTGAGATGACGTGGAACGCGATCTATATGGAAGTAAATGAAGATTGGGCCGGCTAACCGACGTACAGTTTGGGCTCTCTAGCAAACTTTTACATAAGCTATCCCACTTGACATAATGGCAAACCAAGTGCCACTAAAGCGGCCCAACTAGCCCAACCCTATTGAATACCATCTAGTACTCGTATGCTCGAGTGAGGCTATGGAAAGCGGGTGTGGGTGGTTTTGGTGGTACTTAGCTTGCTCTTGTGTTTGTCGGGGCCAAGCTTATGTGAAAATGTAATACTGGGCCGCGCAAACGGTATGTCAGTGAGCCGGGTCTATAATAAATGTTGATAAATCCAGATAGATCCGTAGATGTCTGTCGTGGAGCATACGAGACCACCCGGATCTCTTCCTCGATGACAACGAGCAGCCGGCAGTGGTACTCGATGATAAACTTCGAGCTCATTCGCTGATCGCGTCAACTGCTACGAGGGTCGCCTTCTTTTCTCTAAGCAAATATATGTTGTTGCCCCTATGAATTTCGCAAGGAATTTCTTGTCGCCAGTTACACGATTATACTATTTCCATGGCAGCTGCCTAAACCGTGGCTGAGAAACGAAGCCACTACCATTGCTAAACACTACATGGTTGCCTGAGAATGCTTGGGTGTTTAGTCCTTTGGTGCCTGGTTACATCCCTCTCCGCGTGCTCTTCGGTGACCTCCGTTTGATGCCTGTTGGCTGGGAGTTTTCGGTCAGGTCGCTGTCGCGGATTGACTTTTAGACGACAGGCTCCACGGGAAATCTGTCGCAGACCTTCCCACACTTGGCATTGTTATTATAGTGTTCCGTGGTGGCCTCAATACGCTACGATAACCATTCACTGCGTGCTAGTGTTGAGTTTGTTCTACTTGTATGCGACTGAATACCTAACTCAGCCCGTACGATCCTCCTCCTTGAGGCTTGGTATCGGATTGGGCTGGCCTATTTGGTGGTTTCGGGGTGTCCCGAAAATGACAGCCCCTCAAGCCAAGGCGGTTTGTGTCTTCTTTAGAACGCCCAGAACTGCATTCCGGGCCTTTAGCTCCTAATACAGGTTGACTCGACGCTTGAGTCAAGTTCAACGCCGATCGTAAAAAGGCACGCGTGCCTCGTCCTCCCCTCATCTCTCGGTGGCTTTGTTTAGCTCGAGTGAGTGGCACGGGGAGGCAGTGAAGGACACGAAGAATCAAGGCGACGGGATGAATGGCGGCGGAGGCGTTTAGTTTCCGCTACCTAGTGCAAGGCGGAAGGGACGCTCGAGATACTAAGGATGCGGTAGCGCGCGGGAGATCGTCGCCTTGCATTAAAATGGCCTTCGACCTTTGGTGTTTTTTCCCCCTTTTCTTCCTTGTTTTGGTGGGACAGGGGAGGTGAGTACGAGGTGAGGTTGAGAATAAAGTTGAGCCTCAACTTATTCGTGGTTGCATCTTGCATGGACGGTGAGACTGGGAACAAGCAGTTGCAGCGATGGGCGTTGCACACCGGTCCGGGTTTTCGTCGGGGATTTTTCTTGCCTGCATTTCCACAGGGAGGCACTCGCAAGTTTTCTTCACCCCTCTCCCCGGTAGGCGATGCAAGGTCCAGAGAGGTCAACCGACGGTGTGCCCCAGGCGGTCGAGCGGTGTGACTCGGGACCGAGTGTGGAACCAGCGTGACTAGGCAGGATTATGTGGGATTATGTGATTCTCGCCTTGTGGGAATCAATTGTTCTATGAGGGCGACTAATGACATTATCAAGGCGGGCGGTTTCGGGCTGGTTTTGGGCGGACGAGAGACAACGCTGAGCCCTGAACAAGGGCACTTTCGCACTGAACGAGGATCAAATTAGTGACTTTTTAGGTCATGTCTGTTTGCAGCAATTGATCGTGGCTCCTCGCTGGCCGACGCCAATTCATCCACGATTTAATGCACTCGTAATACAGGGCGAATCGAATTGATTTGATAATATTGAGCCAGCACCCGAATAGGGCGGCTCTGATGGACCAAGGCGCCCTTGCGGACCAGCTGACAGCAGGCATGATCACGTTGGCGAGCCCGTCCACCCTCTCACCCGCCCGCCAACAGACAAGCAGCAAATTCCAAATGACGCAGCATCAATTCTCCCACCAACACCAGCGCCGCTTCCTCCAGTTGCCCCAAGGCTACGCCCCGAGTCAAGCTCCTACCGCCGTTTCGCATCTCGGGTGGCTGCCTTTTTCACTGCTAGCCTCTTCCGAGCCTCTGTTTTCAAGGACGGATTTGGCTACTCGGCGGTCCCTCTCCCCTTTCTCCTTGCATAGATAACATCGTCATTCCCTTGCTGGCCGGCAACAACTCGAATCCACGGCCATACGTGTCACCGAAAACCGTCCGCCTTGCAGAAGCAGGCCGCACCACTCCTCCTCAGACCAGCCGGCCGCGCGAAATCCCTGCTAATACCTCCCACCGACGCGAAACCTCGAGCCTGTTCCCACGTGCCTACCGCCTGTGTCGGTCTTTCGGGCGGTTTCTTTCCCCTCTTGCCACCCCCTCTCCCCTCTCCGTGTTCTCCGAGGGAACACTAGACACATCGTGAACGGCGACAATGGATTTCCTACGGGGCCTCCTCGGAAAGCGCGGCTCTCGAACCACCTCATCCCAGGAGTATGAGCGATTAACCGAAGATGCGGACACGTCGGGATTGGAACCCTCGGAAGCGTTGGACCATTACGCGGGGCGTGAGGAGGAGGTACCCTTCTCGTGGGTAGAATATGCGATTTTTGGCCTCTTAGGCATGGCGATGCTTTGGGCATGGTACGTGACATGCATGATGAATTTTTCCCTCTCCCGCCCTGCTTAATGACCTGCTACTACGTCAAGCTGTCCGAACTCTGCCTCCTCGACGGCAAGGAAATCAACGAGTACTAATTTCTGTCGTGCGACAGGAACATGTTCTTGGCCGCGGCCGTGTACTTTCATAAACGGTTCGAAGAAGACAAATGGGTGGCGGACAACTTTCAATCGGCCATCTTGACGGTCTCGACCATCACCAACTTGGTCGTCATGTGGATCCTCACAAACATGCAGCAAAAGGCCTCGTATCCCTTCCGGATCAATCTAGCGCTCCTCGTCAATACCGTCACCTTTAGCATGCTCGCTGCGTCGACCATTTTCATGGTAGGGGCATCTCCCTCCGTGTACCTAGTGTTTGTTCTCGTCATGGTAGCTCTCACGGCGTACGCAACTGGCCTGATCCAGAACGGGGCCTTCGCGTTCGCGGCCAGTTTTGGAAGGTCCGAGTACATGCAGGCCCTCATGGCCGGCCAAGGGGTGGCGGGAGTGCTACCCCCATCGCCCAGATTGTGTCAGTCCTGAGCGTGCCTGACGCCAGCGCAACGGGAGTGCAGGTGGCAGACACCGGCTCGAGCTCCGGCACATCCGCCTTTGTCTACTTCCTCACCGCGGTCGCCGTCTCCCTTGCTGCCCTGCTGGCCTTCATCCCCCTGGCAAAGCGGCACAACCAGCTCGTCGAGGCTCGCCTAGGCGACCGCATGGCCGAATCCATGGCCAGCGTGGAAGAGGCGGAACGGTCCGCGCGCAAGGTCATCACACCCAAACAGCTCTTCGTCAAGCTTCACTGGCTCTCGTTGGCCATCATCGTTTGCTTCGCCGCGACCATGTTCTTCCCCGTTTTCACGGCCAAGATCCAGTCCGTGCGAGGCGACGGCGACGACGTCCCCGCCATCTACCGGCGAGCTGCGTTCGTCCCGTTCGCCTTCTTCGTGTGGAATCTGGGGATTTGTCGGGCCGAGTGTCGACCGCCCTACCCTTTTCGCTGCGCCACCGCCCCTTGTTGCTCTTCCTCGTCAGCCTGGGGCGAGTCCTCATGCTTCCCCTCTATCTGCTCTGCAATGTGGGCGGGCGCGGGGCCGTGGTGCAGAGCGACCTCTTTTACCTGGCCTTTGTGCAGCTACTCTTTGGCTTGACCAATGGCTGGTTGGGCTCCAGTTGCATGATGGCCGCGGGTGAGTGGGTTGACGAGGGAGAGAGGAGGCCGCGGGCGGCTTCATGGGGCTCTGCCTCGTCCTGGGCCTGACATTAGGCAGTCTACTAAGCTTTACGGCCGCAGGGTTATGATTTGACAGCGGTTGATAGGACAGGTGTGTGGTCGGGGAGGAAGGGGGGCAGGACAACGCAAGATATCTGTTCCATGCGAGTAATGCCGCTTTTTTCTCCTTTCAGTAATTTCCTTCCTGTTTTCAATTTTTCGCCCTCGAAGAAATGCTTACTCGGGGGCGGGCGCGTGAGGGTTGCATACGGGAGGTGCAGAGCAATGGCGACTTTGCCGCTGCTTTTGCTCGTGCTCCCCAGGTTTTTTCCTTTCCTTTTCAGCAATCCGTGCATATGGCTTACGAGGGAGCATTCCAGTGCATGCTGGGCGTCCCGCGAGCAGGGTTTACATGTATCGTTTTATCAGCATCGTTTGTCCTGGTCTCGCTTGGGAGAGGGCTCTCGATTTTCTCCGCATGCGAGGAGGATTTACTTTTTTCCCCGCCTTCTTCACCTTGTTCTATGTTTCTCCCTCCATATCATCTCTTCCGGAGCCTATTTGTCCTTTTTCTTTCTTTTTCTTTTTTTTCTTACTCTCTTCGGTCAGGTGGCGTTCGGTGAACGGGGGAGCTGTTTGCCCAGGGAATTTTGTTGCATACATAGCATGGCGAAATGCGCAGAATAGACGCCATCAAATTCATTTCCGAACCTCTGTCGATACCCCGCGTTCTAGCCCTGGCCGGTATCACATATCCATGGGGTATATAATATCAACTCCTCGAGCTCGTCTATCCTTTTCAGCTTTGTACATGCAGCCACCTTTGATCTGCGAGGAGGCAATCCATCTCGGCACGTCGGCCAAACCATGGTTGACGACAAGGCCGGGAACCCCCGCCCTCTCGCGGAAGGGAGAAGAGCGATTGAAAATAGAGTATGAAAAAAGCACTTTGCCTCGCGTAAAATCGTCGACCAGGGCAGGGTGGGTCGGGGCCCAAACCAGGGGAGGGCCGCAGAAAAGGACAGCGGGAAGGCTTGGAGGGAGGGGAACGAGAACAAAAAAGAAGAAAAAAAGAGGCAAACGGAAAGCGGAAGCAGGCCTTCGGATGGGCCTGGGGAGGGCCCCGGTCGTACGTATCAATTGGCGAAGTGATGTGTTGTTCAAACCCCTCCTCCCCCAACCGACGACGATGCGTCAATTGGCATTTTGCAAAAGTAAACATAAAGAGAGAAAAAGAGGCGAGCCACAAATTAAGGTGGTTCGTGACTTGGGCCTCGAGGCATCGCGCCATCACGTCCCGTCCTCCCTTTAACTCACAAAGCCCCGCTGCGAGAGGGGAGAAGTGACCTTGGCCGGGTGTCCTCGGGATTGGAGAAGAAGAAAGAAGAAAGAAAAGAAAAAAGTAAAGTAAAAGACGAGTCCGATCATGATGCCTCCTTTTGGGCTGCCCTTGTTCCTCCGCCCGCAAGAGAGACGCAATGGGTTGAGTTTCTCGGGCAGCCATGTCTCTTTTCAGGATACACCAATATTTCTCTTTCTCTCAATCATGTATATATTGATATCGTGGGACAAGATAAAAATACTTTTCTGGCTTACCCAACTAAAAAGAGAAAAAAGCCCATTTCCTTTTTAATCTTTTTTGCTCTTCCTTTGGTGAGCGTGCGTGGGACAAAATTCCGTAGGGTTGGGTTCGGCAAGCGTGAAGGAGGGGTAGTCGATGTCTCGGATCAGGTCACACGAGCTCAAGCTCGGAGCTTGACGGAGCATAGAGTCCCTCCGCCTTTATTCCACACGAGAAGAACCAAAGGAAGGGCGCATGGGAAGCACGAGATAGTGCTAACTAATGATAATACTCTTACACATATCAGCCTAACGTATACGCACTCCCTTCCTTTCAAAAACTGCTTTCCCGTTTCCGAGGACGCCGTGAAAAGGGGGTGTGTGGAAATCTGTTGGGCTCTTCCGGAGGCGGAGAAAGGCTTTCGGCTTTCGTCTTTTTCCCAGGATGTGTGTGCGAGCCGGGGAGGGGTTGTGCGGGTTGCGGGCTCGAGTTTTCGTTTGGTTGCTTCGTTGAACAGGTTTGATAGATCCGTCTAATAAACCAAACCCCACGCATCACTTGTCAAGAAGCTGGGCTCACTTCCGTGCCAAGAACGAGCTAAAAGCAAAGAACAGGGGGAGGGGGTGCTATATTGAAGAGTTAGTGATTCCAGCTTGCGGTGTGTGTTCTCATTCTGGCCGCTTTCCTCGAAAGCGGGCACTTTTGGTGGCTAGGAAGACGGGACACTGATCGAACCGACTCTTATCGCTTATCGTCCACTGACTAAATTTGGGTGGAGGTGATAGAGCGACCGAGAACGGCTGATCAACGCCCGCCACGACGCCGCAGCTGATGAGCCTCTTCGGTGCATCCCATTTCCTGCCGAGCACTCGCGATAATACGGGAGCTATGTAAGACCATAAGACTTCTATAGGAGCAGAGTACTGTTGGCCTGTTGTTTTCTTTCGTTTTTGTGGTTCTGATCGGAATCCTTACAATAAGAATAGGAACACAGCCTCCTCTTGAACCCCACGTGTGAAGAAGAAAGAGGGGTGAGGTGAGGAAAAAAAGGGACGTGTCAAAGGGTGGCTGAGAAAGGTATGGTTTCAGAGAGCGTTTGCTTTTCAATGTCTACAAAGGGAAGCCGACGGGTTCCGATGTTCACGATGACGGACATCCGATACGGACAGGGTAGGAAAATCGAGATATCAATTGATGTGTGTGTGTGTGTGTGTGTCTCGTGGGTATCGTGTAAAATCCAAGCCGCCTAGCAGGGTTTGAGGCTGCAGCACTAATTGCCAGGGAAGGGGAAATAGGTAATGAGGCGAGAGAAAAAAATTCTTGATGCAGGTTGGGTGCCGGGATGACGTGCAGTGACAACAACTTGGGAGGAAAAAGAAAGCGACAGAAGACCCGAACAATTCGAAGTTTGTTCAATCTATTCGCAGTGGTTGGTTGTAGTTAAGGTGGGGGTAAAGAAGGACTGGCTGGCCAGATGCAGCTAATGAAAGGGCGACATGGCGGACATGACAGACATGGTAGGCATGGCAGGCGAGGATGCGAGGGAGGGAGGGGGGGAGACGGGCTGGAGGAAGACCCTAGGACTGGGGATGCGACATCACTGAACCAAACGAAGTCGGAAGATCTTTTCGCGGGGGTAAAGGAGGGGTAACGAGGAAAGGGGGTACAAGACTGGTTGTCGGCTGGGAGACCTTTTTGAGGGGATCGTGGGTTGTTTAGATCAAAGTGATTGATGGGCCATGTGGATGGCAAAGACGGCCGGGGGTGGGAGAGGAAAGAGGGCCGAGGGCTGGCCTGGCTTGATAGGTACGAGGTACTACGTAGTATTCTACCCGATTTTTTGTTTCCTTCTTTCTTTCCTTCCTCTTTTTCATGGGCATGCCCAATCTTGCCGTCAATCTAATACGTCAACCGCCGAGGGGACGCGAGGATCTACGAGAGCGGGTACGTTCTTGACGAGGTATGGCCGATCAGTGCCTTTCAAAGCCCTCGAAGGCTATCGGCCCAGCGCTTACATGAGAAATGAACCTTTCCCAATGCAACTTGATGTATAACACCGAAGCCCGGAAGGAAGAAGAGGTACTTTGTTTCAGGCATGGCCACGAGGGCCAGGCAAGTGATTCATCGAAAACGAAGAAAAAGAAGAAACCGGTAATAGGGAAAGAGCGGGACATTCTTTTCCTTTCCACGCCTTAGCTGGCAAGCGAATGGGAAAGAGGAAGGAGAGAGGAAGAATCTCAAAAGGCAAAAACTACCCATCGCAGCCGGCAGCACAAGGCATCTGGATGGCAGGAGCGAGAGGGAAACGAAACAAAACGGAAACTGCGTGGAACACGTGGGACTGGGTTCTAGTGTGACAACCTTGGAACCCTTTTTTCATCTCTTTTTCTTCCGCAGGTTGGGCCACTCGCCGGCCCAGGATGAGGCAAGGGAGGGGGGATGTCAAGAGGGGGAGGAAAAGGAAAAGAAAAAGAAAAGAAACCTCCGCTGGACGTATTATATTGGTTGGTAGCCTCTCAGATGGCGTCCCAGGCAAGCGACAAGTAACCTGTGCAGGCCAAGAGACAGGAGGGCTTTCATTGGAGGTTTGAAGCGGAGGGCAGTTACTCTCGGCACCACGGTACAAAGTACAAAGTGGGGAGAGGATGGGGAGCAAGAGGAATCAAGGATAAAAGGAGAGAACGAAGAGAAGGAAGAGAGACCAAAGTATACTACATTGGGGGCCTCGGCGCAGCGAGTGGGCTCAACTCGGATTTTGGATGAGACGGAAAGAAGGAAAGGTGTGCGCTTGGCCAGGCCAAGCAATGAACGAAGACACAAAATAAGGAGAAGAAAAAAAGGAAAGAAAGGGAGAATCGGCCAGAGCCAAGCCTGCCTCTCCAACGGCCCTGGAAATCAACGTTCGCAGCAAAGTGGCGTTCTCGACCTCTGACTGGCTCGGAGCCCTGGCACATGTCGGAAATCGCGGTGAGCCCTGACATCACCAAACCAGGGTCTAATGTCTCGCTCTTGTGCGCGCAGGCTTGAGGAAAGCAGATACAAACAAAATTGGTCTTCTCCAAGCGGATAGGACGGGGCTCTTTGGGGGTGCGAGAGGCCTAGCCCCGGGGCTTGACAAAATAGCCACAACAAAAATTGCGACGATCTCTGATTCGCAATATAACGAGAAGGCATTGGTGATCAATTATGATCACATTGCCAAAATTTGAGTGGTCTTCGCGGCCACTCCTCCGTTCTTTAGGCCCCCGCATTCTTTCCGTCCTCTCTAGACACTTTCGCACTCTTTCGCAATAATCAAGTCAGGTCAATATCTCAGAAGGCAATTCGCAGCGGGCGTGGTCTTCTTTGTTCCTTCCTTTATCGTGATGAACGTGTTCTCGTGTTTCTGATGTCTTCTACCCCCTTTAGTCTAAAGTTCCTCGTGGGCCGGGCTCGTCTGATTCTTTCCGTTTTTTATTTTCTTTAACCCCCTCAATCGCCTTTTCATGAAAGTAATACCCCTTCTCCGTGGGGAGCCATAGAACAGTCTCAATCCCGCGTTTTTCGGCTCAGTCCAGTCCCTTCGCAAAGGTCCTCGTTGACTCACGGCCAAATGCTCGAAGGGGCCAGGTCAGGCACTTAGGTTGTGCGGACTGGTGTCTATTTTCGGCCTGCCTCACTTTGTCTTGTCCTGTCTGGCGCCAAGCGTCAGTGTGACCGTGGGGCCGGCCATCGCGGGCTTGGCTGGAATGGAACATTGAGTATCGGCAAGCCCCAGCACCAGGATCAAATTTTTGGCGAGACTGATTATTGCCTTGGACTCTGCCAATGTGATACCCACGTCCGGGGTGGGCCTATGATGGCCGAGGCCGCCACGCAAAGGTGTACAGTATTATTACACCCACCGCACAAGAGTGCACAAGTACACCATCAGTCAAAGGCCCATTAAGCCGTCACGGCCGTATTGAAACCATTTGGGGCCCTTCCCACTACCCACAAGTAGTATTGACTACTTGCAACTTGTGGTGAACGCTGTTGATGTCAGTGACGCCTGGACTCTTGGGGGCAGATGGGGCAAAAGTAGAAAGTACGGGAGGCGACTGGGAGTTGAATTGCGCATTTCTCCATCACGTTGGCGTCTCGTCAGCATCAACACCCACCAGCGTCAGTCAGCCCAGCAAACCCAGCCCAGCGAGCCCAGCCCAGCAAAGCTCGATTACACGCACCCCCATTCAGCCACGCCTCCCTGCCCCCTCCCTGTTCCCCCATCAAAGCCCATCCATCTTCTTGTCCTGCACCTCGCTGCACTTGGCATTTGTTGCATCCACTCCCCGGACCACGTCGATGGGCGGGACCATCAGAGGCACGCTGGAAGTAGCGAACGGCAGGCGAAAAGCCCCAGCCAAGTCCTGGCCACCGCCGCACTGCCATTTCGTCGTGTCGTGGTCCCTGCTGTTGAATCGTGGATAGGCGGACGTGGATATGAGATGTGGACTTGACATGGGGCGTGGATCTTGGACCCGGCCCAGGCACGAGTAGACCTTGCTGGGCAAGCCTAATCGCCGACTCCGCAAGCGCCTTTACCGCCTCCCTTTACGCTCGCTCACCACAGAAAGTTCCGTTGAATCCCCTTTATTTGACATCGTGACTCCCCACGCACTTTTCTCCTCCTTCTTCTTCTACCTCCCCCCTTTCCGTTTCCCCTCTTCCTCTTCCTTTCTCCTCCTCAACCTAAGCTCACGAGACAATTAACCCACACTATACCCTCCAACCCGTTATCAATGAATTGCACAACTTATTCCCAAACAATCCCCACCTTCCGAAGGAGTAGACGACGTCGTCCCTGTCCCGCTTGATAAGACGAGACGAGACGCCGCCCGCTGCTCGAAACGCAGAATCTCATATCTTGGGTTCCTGTTTCAAGCAATCCAGAACACATCTAGACTTAGTACAGCAACAGAACAACCTCCACACAACCCGTCTTCCCTCTCGAGGGAATTCGAGGGCCCACTTTCTTGGAATTTAGCGCGCGCACCAGAATCAAGCCTTTGTTCCCTTTTCCTCTGCCTCAACTTTTCCCGTTCTATTCCTCGCTTGTTCAATTCCCAGGTGTTACTTTGCTCCTAGCTCGACCACCTTTTCAAACACCGCTGGCATCCACTTGCAAACCAAGCGACTGGAACGGGCCCGGCACTATATATACGAAAGGCCTAGCGTCTTAGTGACCACACCCTCCGCTACTACTCCGCCAACCTCATCTTGTCCTCTATTCACAAGGATAGCCTGTCGACTTAACCTTTGGACGCTAAGAAGGAACCGAAAAACAGAGGTTCCCACAAGTCATCAAACCCGCGCCAGTCGCCCACATCTCCACAATGGATCCCCACCAAAATGGCGCCGCGCAAACCTTGCGCGGTGCTCGCTCCAACCGTAGTCACGTCATGACTTCCTCTTCGGCTGCGAGGGGCTTCAAGCCCTCGAATCCCACCTTTCTCGAGGACCCTGCCATGGCCAAGACCCTTGATCTTTCAACATCATCGTCGTCTCAGTACGCCTCGTCCCCTCGCCGAATCGCTCCGCCCCGCCCCTCCCTGGGCCCGAGAAGCAAAGTCCGAAATTCGGCCCCTGCCGTGCCCACCCTTTCGGTGTCGCCTCCGTCTGCCGCTTCCTCGCCGTCCTCAACGACCACCGCTGTTGCGGTGCCCATTGCGTTGCCTTCGCGACCTCTGCGGGCCTCTCCGTCCGGCCGGGGCAGCGTGTCGAGGACAGCCAGTTCGTTCCTCCTCGAAACGTCGAGTTTCGCCGAAGACGACTTCGCTTTTTCTTCGTCAATCTCGTCCAACATCTCGTTTGCGCCGTCTAGCTTTGCCTCCAACTACCAGCTAGGCTTCTCCATGGATGAGGAGACGTGCGATTCCTCGCTGTCCGAGCCTGATCTAGGTTGCGATTCCGAACTGAGCCCCTTTGGTAGCGCCAATTTGTACAGTGTCCCCGCCGGAACCAGGGTGAAGAGTTTCGTGGGAGAGGGCGCCGCCAACGTTGTTGTCGAGCTGGAGCTTCCCCAGGGGCTCCAGCCACAACCAAGCACTTTTTCCAAGGTAGGTTGGCCGGCTCCTCGACAATCCTCAGTCTCGTGTCTCATCTATCTCGTACTCCGGAAAACTAACCCGCGATTCCCTCTTCACAGGTAAACTCTTGAGGTTGCAAAAGGACGCAGCGCAGCCTGAGAAGCAGCCTTACGGCTACCCCGAGCAGTATCGTTATTGGAGAGAACGCATCCAGCCCATCTTCGTGGATCAGGACAAAGATGACCTCGTCAACATCGACCTCGTTCGTCTGGGCTCTGGAGGATCTAATCTCCTAGACGACGTTGATCATCTGCTTGAAATGATGGACAACGTAGCTACGGGAAAGAAGACTGCCTCCGCACCGTCCAAATCCTCTCGCATCCGGAAGCGGAAAATGAAGTTTGTCGGATCTAGGCTGGCCCGTGTTGAGTTTGGCATGTTGGTCGACGATATGCGCATCGGTAAGTTGAAGAATGTCCTCCGCGCACACGATGGTTCTTTTCTCGAGTTCGACGTTGCTAACAAACAATTTTGTAATAGATGAGAATGAAGGCATCATGATCGAGATCAAGCCTAAATGGCTCGTTCAGTCACCCAGCGCCCCCGCGGACGCAGTGAGGTGCCGAAACTGCGCCGTCCGCCTTCATCGACACCTGAAAGACCCGTCGCACGACAGCGCAATTCTCCCGTGCCCTCTTCTTATGACTGCCGAATGCCACGAGGACCGAAATACCTTTGTTTCCCGACTTTTCGCCGACGACATTGACGAGGATGAGGGAACAGAAGCGTGGTACGTCGCACCCCTGCGCCGATGGTTCAGAGGCACGGAATCTTCTCAGCCCAAGCGACTCCTCGAGCGCATGAGGAAGATGCAAAAGCAGCTCGATCTGTGGGGACCTCTCGGTCGTGGTATCCAAGATGATGAGTTCCGCCTCGCCATGACGTTGAGGGACTGCAGCGTGTTCCTGAGGATCATGCACCGGCCTGGGGGTCAGACCAAGGTCGTGGCTAAGATCGCCGACTTGGATAAGAAGAACTCGACAGCCAAGATGGATTGGTGGCGAAAGACGGAGCTTGACCTCGTCCACAGCGGTGCATATACGGCCGAGTACAGGCTGGACGCGGAGAAGGGCATGGCTGTGCCGGCGGGCACGTCGTGCTACATGGAAATGCAAGAAAGGAGAAGGAAGCTGAAGAAGGGGAGATTGAGGATGGCAGTGTGGAATTTCAGTTGAAGAAGGGGATGGCTGAACAGCACAATCGACTCATCCGTAAGGCGGACCTTGGGCGATATGTCGTGTGAAAGCGATGCAGAAGCAGGCCTTTGCATGGAAACCAAAACAGAAAACCTCCCCAGAGAGGGGGATGGGCAGAGGAAGCACTCGTTGTCCCGTGGCTTGCAGGCTGGCCTGTGTAGCCACAACACGATGTTGCGGACTCGGCTTTTGCTTAGAAATGTTGAGATCACTCTCTCTCACGTCGAAAGGAAGGGTACGGATTAGGATCATGAGGCTCCTTTTTTTTTTTTTTTTTTTTTGTTATTCCCTTCTTCGTTCTTCCCCAGGCCTTCTGGGAGCACATTCGCTTTCTCCGGGAGGGGGCAAAGAGTGCAAGGCGCGCGAAGGAAGCGGTTATGGCATATATAGGGACGTTTTGACTACGCGGACGCGGCGCATGGAATGGCACGGATTGAGAGCATACACCCGGTAGCATGTAGATGGTGGAATATACCCCAAGGCATGGCAATGCCTCCACTCGCTTTTTTATTAGATAACATGGTTTTCTTTCTTGTCCCTCAGCTTTTTTATCGGAATCTTTGTCTCTGAAATGGTCTCTTGGAAGTGAATATGAACGAAGCGGTCTCGCTGTAGCATGTTGACGAGATTCTTGGGAGGCCTGAGTGCATTTTAGGAATGAATGCCTGCGTCTTCCTGCTTATCTTGGGGAAGCTTGACTGCGGATTACCAGTCTCTGCGTACACCCCAGGTATGACGAATCCTGCCGCCTGCGAGGCCGGGCCTTGGTCGTAGTTACAACCCCCACCCCCAAGCTTCAAGTCTATGAAGAAAAACAAATCGATATTTGAGGTAGAATGTTATCGCTATTACTAGGAGAGGCAGCTCAAGGTGGACCAATTTGGCCTGCCGCACATCCATTTTCTATTACCCGAGTCTTAACTGTATTGCTCATCCTTGACTTCTTGCGAACGCGTCTTTGTTATGATCTTCCGTCTCCTCGTGTTCACGTCCGGGAGCGGCTCCGTATTTTGCGGGGAACAACCACACACCGAACAGGGGGTTCCTTCATCCAGCGGCGGCGCATGAACGGCGGGAGATTTGGGCAAACTTTGACCACTCCCCCTCCTTGTAATCATCTTTTGGATGCCTCGTTTTCTCACACTTTCCCCGTGTGTTTCCCCTTGCTCTCTCGCGTGAGATTTTACTGCTATTCACCAAGCCCCCGGGTATGGCTGACGGGAAAGCTGTGCGGAGAAGAAGAAGAAACTCTCAGGCTCTGGCGTGGCGTGGGCTTGGCTCCTTCTGCTCGTGGCTTGTTTTGGCCGAAACAGCCCGGCAGCTCGGGGAGGCGGGGTTGATTGCAGCTCCCCGATTTTCCTCTTTTGGGCAATGGGTGCATGTCTTGCTGGTCGTTCCAAACATGCTCACCTGTCGGGTCCCGTATTCATAGGGGAGTGTTTATGTTCATTTGTTCATTCCTTTACATATCTAGCTTTGCTACGAGTGAGAAGAGGCGAGAATGACGCAGGCGGACAGCTGCCGTCGCTAGCAATACCAACAACACAAGGTTGTGCTTGCGGGGTTATCATCTCCCCTTTTCTTCTAGGTGCACAAGCTAAGGCTCCTATCAAACAAAAGAATGGGGGCTCTCTATTCTGCCTCAGGCCTGGTGGGAGGTGATGGCGGCGGCGGGGGGAGCCTGATGTTCATGGGGTGGTCAGTCGGAGGGCTCGGGTGATGGGGCGTGCCCTGCGTCATCACCCCCATCACCCCCATCACCCCTCCACCTCCTCTGACCACCCACCCACCTCACGTTTTTTGCCTATCTCAGATCGCGGCGGCCGCTGTAAGGTACGTTGACAGCTCCTCTCACGAGGAAACCGAGAATGGAAAGGAGGACGTACGTGGGATCCTAGACAGGCTGCACTTGCGAGCATCAAAAGAGTCGAGGAGCGAGAAGAGGGAGGGGGCGTGTGATGCGGGGAAGTCGAGGAGGGACCAAGAAGTTTAATCGCGTCATCATAACCACGCGGTGCGCGCAGGACGACTGGTAGAGGGATGTGCTTGGGAGCCTGACATGTCTGGCAGCATTGTCATTGGAAGGATATGAGTGGATTTTGGGCAGCCGATGGAGGGGGAGGAACAACACAACCGAATGGCTACGGGTGGAAGAAAGAGAAGAAGAGCCCCTCTATGAGGGAGTAAAAACCAGGTTTTCCATCTTTTCTATCCCCCTTTCGCCCGTCTACGATGGGGTGCCGTCGCATCAACGTACTCATTCGCGTGCGTGGGATTATGGGATTATGGGATTGTGGGATTGTCAGATTTTGTGTCTGCAGCGTACAGGAGCGAAGGCCTGAGATTGGCAAGAGGCAGCTCTATGGCATGTTCATGCTCCCTCTTTCGGGTTGGGTGGTGGTGTGTTGTTGCCTTGCCCGAATAGGAATCGGCGAACTGGGGATGGATCGATCAAATGGGGGCCTGTCACTGTGTCAGCATTGTCAGATTGATCTGCTCCGGACTTGGGCGCTTTAAAACACAGGAAAAGGTTCAGTCAGTCATTGCATGTTGCCAATGAAGGAACTTGTCAAACGACTTTTTGTGGGACTATGATGGTCGCCTCTGGCTTCTTGGGGGCTTCGCTTCTTGGGGGCGCGGCGGTTGCGTCAAGGAATTCTGTCCAAAGAGGGAAAAGGTTCAGTGTGGCTGGCTTGACATGCCTGACGCCCCATCTTCGGTGGGACTCTCTTTTCGCCTCTTTTTTTCTTTTCTTTGTTTCTTTCCTTTTCGCTTTGTCTTTCCGAGTCGCTGCTTTTCTGGCCCGACCTGTCCCGAGGATAATACCTCATGCCCTTAAGAGCATGCGTGAAATCGCCGGGCTTTTCCCAAAGCAACGAATTTTGACTCTGCCCATGCTCATGTGGAACCTAACCTGCTTGCCTATACAGATGGAATGGAGATGGTCTTCTCCACGTTCCCCATCCTCTTTGCCAGTCTTGAAAATGTTAGTGGCTCAAGGACCTCCATTTTTCTGGGGCGTGGGCCACAAGACCCCTTTGTGGGGATGAACTGGACCGCGATCAGCAAGCGCTCTTGTGCCGCCGTTCTCATCTGCTCTAATATTTTTTCTCCCCTTTTGCCCTTACAGTCCTCTTTTAGTGACGCCACAGCCCGACCCACCTGTGTCGTGTGAGCACTGAGTCGTCGGGTGAAAGAAAAAATTTGAACATCCGTTCTTTTGATGCATAGGCCAAAATAGGGAAAGGGGATGTGGCTAGACTCACTAACGCGACTCGCCGCGTTACATCTATCGAAGTGAATCTATGCAGTCGTGGATCGATCCGATCAGTGTCATGGCTTGCAAATGGGCGCCCAAGAAAGAAGAAAAAGAACAGGATCTGGGTCTGATCATTGATGTGATGAATGGACGAGAGGAGCTCTCACGAACATGCCCCACCAATGACCAGCAGTTCCGAGCTCGACGTACCGCGGCACTCACGCGGCCACTTGTGGGTACAAGTTGTGCAGGCGGAGTTGCCGCATGGTGCACCTCGGACGCTCGGACTTAATACAAAGATTTCAAGCTTGTCGGGCAAAGCCAGTGCTGAGCCCTTCAAACCTGTTCAGAGGGCCTTCCGCTATTACGCTTGATTCCCCTAGGCTCCCAAGTGCACGCCAAGGACACCCATTTTCGGGGCGTAGCGAGCTCCTGATGTTCTGGGTTTCAGTGAGCCTGTCCGTGTGGCCCAGTCATTCCCCCTTTTCGGCTGTTTGGATTTTTTTCTTTTCTTTTCTTTCTCTTTTTCAGGTTCCTTTTTCTTTTTTCTTTGTCCTTTCCCTTCTGACCGACCCGCGAAAAGGAAGGAACCAAAACACGCAGAAAAAAACATCAATAGGGCCATTCTTCAACTATTCTCCCACAGTATTCTCGTCAATGACCGTCCCTCACTCCCATCTCTTGCTCCATCGCCGTCATTCCGAGCTTCTTCGAAGAGACTAATGTATTACCATTTCACCCTCGTCCACGCTTGACGCATCAAGAAGCTTCGACGCGTTAATTACGAGGAGTTGTGGTAATTTCCATATTTACTCTGCTTTTGCTGCCATCAATCTCGTTCAAGCTTAGCTTTGTCCTGGTAGTGTTTTGCTTGCCGACCCACCCACCGCGTAACCGAGTCTCCCGACTAGAGCCCCCGGCCCAGCCCCTTGACGGCGAGCTGCGCTACCACTTGATCCAATTTTTCCCCTTCCCTCTCCACGCTGCCGAAACCAAAGGAACCTGAGCCCTGCTCTCTTCCCGTACCAAGTGGTGTACCAAGTACCTGCCCACCCCCAGTCAGGAGAACAAAACCGGAAAGACTGGAGGACTCCTGAAAGGAAAAGGGAAAAAAAAAAAAGAAAAGGCAGGGGACAAAAAAAAAAACAGACTAGAAACGAGTGTCCCACTGTCGCAAGACCCGAACCCGCCCACGAGCTACACAAACACCGAGTGACTGTTAATTCCTTCATCACCCACACACCCGTGCCTTTCTGTTTGCATCTTCGTGTCGACTGTTTTCCTCCCCCTTTGCCTTGTCCGTCGTCATCCCTTCGTTATCTTCATTTCACATTTCACGCGGCGAATAATTTCCATCATTTTATCGCGCAAAACTCGGATACTCTAACTTGAACGAGAAATTTGACGACCGAATCGACTAGGAGTTTGGTTTTTTCGATGGTTGCGACGCAATAGTGCCATTTCAACATGGCCTTCAACTTCAACTGGTCGCCGCTCGCGGCCGACGCGGATTTCTACAACCGGGCCAAAGATTTGCTCACGAGAGCCCTCAACAAGTCTCCTAAACCTCCCATCATCGTCGATGACATCCTCGTTTCCGACTTCAATCTCGGCTCGACGCCGCCGGACCTGGAGATTCTCGAGATTGGCGACCTCGCCGAGGACAGGTTCCGAGGCATCTTCAAGATGTGCTATTCCGGAGATGCCTCTGTGACCCTCAACACCCGTGTTCAGGTATGTGTCGGATCAGATATGATTCTTTTCCATCTCGTCATCGCTCGTCCTCCTACCTTTTGATTGCCTTGGCCGTCATTATTGTCCCCTTTGTGGATAGAATGATGTCGTTTCTGGTGCTTGAGTTTGCTTTGTTGTGGAGCGCTGCCTTTCGCCCATTTTCCCACAAGCTCTGCGAAGGCGGAGCAGCGTAGCAAATTTTTAGCAGCGCTTGCATGCGCCTGCTTAATTGCTCATCACCGCGCGCGCCATTTGTGTTGCAGCAGCCTCTTTCTCTAAGGAGCTTGACGCAACGACGCCTGTCTCTCACAAATATCACCAACTGCCTTGCCAAATCCCTCACTGGGCAGCTCAAAGCTCTTCTGAAGCTTCACTGCACTTTTCCCTTCACCATTTATCCCGATTTCCCGCCATGAGAGCCCCTCGAGCGTTTTGTTTCAACTTTCTTTCTTTTCTTCCTTCTTTTTCCCTTGGAGGGTTTCCTCCTGGCCCCGCTCTCTCATTCCGGCATCCATGTTCGCATGAACATGCAAATTACCCAGGCCGGGATTACGCGCTTGATCGCGACCTGGGTCTCCGATTGCTATTCTAATAGCAGAGCGCTAATATAACGACACCGACAAAATAGGCAAACCCGATGAACACTTACCTCAACTCCACGCCGTCCTTTACGTCACCGCAACCCCTCGCCGCATCTGATGGCCTCACGATACCGCTGTCCATCACGCTGTCACATATTCGGCTGTCGGCTTTCATCATCGTTGTCTACTCGAAGCACAAGGGTGTCACAATCGTCTTCCGCAATGACCCTATCGAGTCTCTCAAGGTCTCGTCGACCTTTGACTCGATTCAGTTTGTGCGCGACTACCTTCAGCGCACCATCGAAACCCAGCTTCGTAACCTGATGATGGAGGAACTTCCCAGCATCATCCATCGCTTCTCTTTGCAGGTCCTGTGCCACCGCCTGCCTCGGGATGACGAAGAGGACGGTGAGGGTGTGATTGATCCTCTTGCGAGCCCGCCTCTCGACCCGGTTGACTCGGCTGGTAATCTCTTGGATGCCAACCAGATTTCGGAGCTCAACCTCGGCGACAGTGAAGAGGTCCAGTTCCAGTTCCGCTCGTTGTTCTCGAATCTTAACCTCACCCGCTTGACCGAGGTCGCCACGGCCCACAGCTTCCTCTCCACTTTTACACCCGGTCTCAAAGATATCCAGCTCCGCGCCACCGACTCGGACCTCTCAGACGCCAGCGGTACCTCTACTCCTCGGTCTCCAGGCCCCGGCCATGCGAAGACGTATTCTTTTGGTGCCCCTGCGACCTCGTACACGTATTCTGACTCGGGAAGCTCGTCGAACGGCTCTATCCCGTCCCGACCCTCACTCGTTAGCCTTAACTCGGCCACCACCGGACTGGGGCTGGGCTCCGGTAGATCGCGTTCGTACACCGCCCGCAAGAGGAAGCACAGGGTCGTCAACCTGAGGCGCACCAAGTCTGAGACGGTATCAGAAGCTTCCAGTGAGGCTGGCGATTCCACTCTAGATGACGGCTCGTCCGTTGCCGAGTCGGCGCCCGAGCCGCTCATTCACAGCTCCATTCCCGAGGAGCCCGAGGAAGAGATTATTGTACCTGTGCAGCCTGTTGCCTCGACAAGAAGGACTCGTTTCGAGGGTGCTACCGACAAGAAGAGGCCTCAGATGCCCACCCGGTCGCCCCTCACCGCCGACCTTTTCCGAAAGCCCGAAGACGCTACGCCGACCGTGGCCATCAGCGCGGACGAGAAGCCCACCTCAAAGCCCACTTCTCCCGTGGCTGCTACCCCTGCAAGTGGACCTTCGCGAATCCGCAAATCCGACAAGAAGGCGCAACAAGCGCAGCAGCAAGAGCAAGCCGGATTTGACGCGCCGTCAGTGATACTCGAGCAGGCCTGGATCATGAAGATGGCTGGCGAGATTGCCCGTCGTGTGTACGACGAGAAGAACCGACGGGACTCGCTCTGGGACGAGAGGGAAGATGTCCCTCCCCCTACGAAGCTGCCTCGAGGTAAAAACTACATTTTCTCCCTGAGCCGGACGTGAGGATCCGGATCGGTCTGCGACTACCCAGACCATCACGTCGAAACTATCTCAACTCTTTGTTGTCTTTTCTACTTCAGGATCGAGTTCCTGATTTTCATTTTACTGCGCTTCGATACACTACCGGCATGGCGTTTGGACTTTTGTTTGTTGCCTGGCCCGACTTCGGGTTTCATTGGCGCTATGGAAGACCTCCGACGTCCTCCTTACCGCCAATGTGTACTACCACCATACCTTGTTGCTACACACCGTGGGAGTTTATGCTGTTTGCCATTTCACTATCTGTCTCTTGTCATTCAAAAATTGGTGCGTGTTGGAAGGGAGAGAGAGAATGTGGGGAGAAGGAGGTCGGAGAGCAACACACTTGTTTTAAAAGGGAAAACTTTTTTTTTTACGGAGCGACACTTGTTATCAAACGGAAAAGGAGGGGAAAAGGTTCTGGGAGTTTTCACGGTTTCGAACGACATTTTATAGAGAAGACATCAATGATCGCCTTCATCACTCACACACGCACGCACACCCATACAAACACACGCAAACACACACACCTGCGGACCCCGGCGCCGCAGCAAAACAACATATTCTCATTCTCGGGGAGAAGAAACCGTGATGGAACTTCCTGCCTTTTCAGCTTTCATTTTCCCATGTTTGTCGTTCACCTCGACTGGTTTTCCCACCATTGCTCTCGCGGTCCTTGCTTTTAGAGATTAATTTTGGGGGAGCTGCTTCAAAATGGGGGATTTGCTTAGTAGTGATACCCATATCGCAGATCCTTTTTTTCGTTTTTTTTTTTCCCTCGTCTTTCCTCTCCAACATGCTATTCCTCGCTCATCGTCGAATTTGTCCATCGTTCAACTGAACTACTACTATCATTATTTTTTCCTATGTCTATCCATTGCAAAACTGGGCCAACCGCCAAATAATATGGTTGGGGGCCCTGTATGCATTTTCTCTGTCATACATCCATATACATATATATATATATATACCTGGGAGGGGACCGGCGATGTTCATCCCTTGACATTACACCAAAAACAGATTTCGTTGGCCCGGTGATGGGGTCTAGCCCAACTGAGACTGATCTTTCCTTTTTCCTCACCATTTTCTTTTTTTTTTTTTTTTTCTCCTCATATCATCTATTTCCTTATTACTGTCCTAGAAAGGGAGGCAAGGTTCTCGTATGTTTTTTTTTTTAATTCCCCCATTTTGCCCCTCAGCACTTCGTGTCGTTGAGAGAGGGTCGGGGGTAATGATGTGGCGACCTTTTTCCTGGATGGACGAGGCCTCGCCTGCTCTTCGATCGAGAGCTGGGCCTTTGGAAGGAAACCGAGCTCGAAGAAATTCCACTCTTATTAAAAGTGCGAAAGTAAAACAAATGATAAAAAGAATTCAATATTACAGCCTTTTGGTTTTTTAAACTTGGACTGGCCTCCGCCATGACAACTTTATTTTTGTGAATGACGTACTAACTCGACTTTTGTTTCGACTACCTGTGGAATGTTTAATCATTGCGCCCACCTATGTCTCCTTGTAACAGACTCAGACGCCTGCCGCAAAGCCGTTCAACCGATTGAGCCGTATACGTATGAATTCGCGTAGGTTGCCTCCTCCGACGGCCTTGGCTGATTCTCTTTGTTTCTCTGAAGTACACTACTACTCATACAGGACGCTGGCCGTTCGCCAGAGATGGAGGGTAAAACCCCCGCCCGCCAGATGTCTCTTGGACCTTCATCTCTTCATCCGAGCGGGCGTGTAAGCTTTCCTTTTAGCTCCACGATTTCTTCCCTCGCTCTTCTTCCCTCCCCTGTTTCCTCATACTGGTTACGCGGCGTCCGGTACAGCCGACTTCCTCGGCCTGCCAACCTTTCTCTTCGGAACTGTGGCAGCTGGATGGGCCGCGCTTCCCCTCTGTTGAAGTGGTGGTGGTGGTAGTGGTTTCTCACCTTCGGGATTCCCGGTCTCGTCGCTGCCTAGATCCTTGGGCGAAGCCCCCAGTCCCCGTCGGCCTCCTTCTTCCTGGTCGACTTGCGGCGACTGCGGGGCGGTAGCATCCGCGCGTCGTCCCCCGAATCGCGGCGGTCATCCTTCTAGGCGCCCGCCTTCTTCGTCTGGGGACCGCTGGCGGCGGCGGCGGCGTTCTCGGCGCGGAGCTCGGCAAGCAGCTTCTCCTTTTCTAGGTTGGAGGTCTTGGTCTCGTCGATCCAGCCGACAACCTTGTCGAGGGCGCGGGTGATGCGGTCGCGTTCTAAGTCTTCGGTCTCGCGGGAAAAGGGCTGCTCGGCCGTCATGCGCTGGGGCACGAGGGCGGAGCGTTCGTACACGATGCCCGAAGCGGGATCGGGCGTCGCGTTGGCGGCAGCGGCGGCGGCGGCAGCGCTCTGTTTCTTGCCTGCGGGGGTGGAGGCGGTGGAGGCGTTGCCGGTGCGGGAAGGCGCGGCGGCGCCCGAGGTGAGTATATTGTAAAAGACTTCGTAGGGTTCGTTGAACAGCTGCTCTTCGTAGTTCCAGGCGACGATGTCGCCGTTGGGTTGGCGCGAGCGGGCTTTTTCGTCGTCGTTCTTGCCGTAGGGGTGCAGGCGGAGGTGGTGGTAGAGGGTCTGGGCCTTTTCGCCGGATTCGCTCGAGTAGTAGAGTTTGATTGTGATTTCGAACTCGCCCCAGCCCGTCTCGTTGACGATGAAGGCCTTGCCTTTTTCTCCTTCAATCACTATGGGAAGTAGGAGACAGCGAGGGTTAGTGTTTGCAAAGTCGAAGAAGTCTACGGGGGAGGGGCGCAAGGGGTCCTTACTGCGAACATGGTTAGGGATAGACTCGTGAAGCTTGAATTGAACCCTCCGCAGCCAGTAGGTGATGTCGGTATCGTCGACGCCCTTAATAAAGACCTGCCAGGAATGTGTGTGGCCGTCGGGCACGGTAGGGGGCTTGGGATTCGTCTTTTCATCAAAGGGGCGAGCAGTAGTGCCGTAGATGAAGGGCCGACTGATTTGGACGCCCTTCATGCGCTTGCCGAGCTGGTTCGGGGGCGCCATGGCAGGAAAAAGGATGGAAAAGTGCCCTTGTGTTGCACTCTTCTTCGATCTTTTCCTTTGTTGTCCCCGCTATATTTTCGATTGGCGTGTGGAAAGCAGGTGTAGATGGGGGTGGAGTTGGGAAGAGCAAGACGGGAATAACGTGGGGTGGAGGGGCGAGGTTGAAGTGGGAGTTGAGCCTTGAGTCGCGAACCCTTCAGTTGTTTTAGAGACCCACTCTTTTACAGAGAAAACACCCCCAAACTTTTGGAAGGAGCAAGAGCTCGATACATTCGTGACTTCCCAGGTTCCGGCCATGCCATAAATTATCAAGCTTGCATTTATGGAATTCGAGCTGCCTTATTTGATAGAACAGCTCAGCCTTCATACAGTAGCTATTCCTAGCATTGACAAATAGTGAAAGATCTTGAAACCTTTGCTTCCTGCTGTAGCTTATATGTATCCCTCATCTAAATTTTTTTTTCAGATACTCTTTTATACATTGGTGCAAAATAGCCTGGTGTGAGGTGAGCTCCTGCCTTAGATACAAGACAAGCAAAGGAGAGTGTTTGCTGAGGATCTCTGCTGGCTCTAACTAAAAATCCCAAGCTTTGATTGATCAATGCCCCCAAGCGAGCTTTTTTGCACTGATCGATCGATAACAGCCCCTGTCTAAAATTTGTGGCACCACTTTTCTGACGTACCTCCACAGCTCCAGCAACCTCACCACAACCGATCCGGTCGCGCCTTACGATCCCTTTTCCCCGTTTTCCTTCTTCTCTCCTTTGGCCTCACTCCACCCGACCGCGAACCTTGCCTTGTCTCTCTCTAGGTCTCAGATAACTACGGCAACGAGACGATTAGCCTAGCTTTCGACTCCCTTTCCTTTGAAAGCCAACCTGCAGCCGCCCGTCCACTTTGCTTCGTGCACGCAGAAATCACCCCACCGCGTCCCCTTAGGAGGAGAGCTCAAGAAGAGCTTGGGCACACTGCGCCGGCAGAGGAATAAAAGAATAAACATCGCCAGCCCAACATGTCCGCCGCCAAGAGGCTCGTCGTTGCTGGCGGCAATGGCTTCCTAGGTTCGCGCATCTGCAAGTTCGCCGTCGCCCGCGGGTGGGACGTCACCTCCATAAGGTAAGGAAAAGTCCCTTTACTTGATTTTTTCCTCCCCGTCCATTCCTTGTTTCCCGCCCTATATCTCCAAAAACCGCGCTTACCCCTTCGTCCACCCTACCCATAGCCGATCCGGAGAGCCTCGCTGGGACACCGTAACAGCCTCGACCGCCGCGCCCCCTGGGCTCGCAAGGTCACCTGGGAGCGCGCCGACATACTACGCCCCGCGACCTACAGCTCCTCCTCGCCGGCGCGACTGCGTCGTGCACTCGACCGGCATCCTCCTCGAAGCCGACTACAAGGGCATTGTCCGCGGCACCCAATCCCCGCTCGACGCCCTGCGCAAGTCCTTTGCCTCCTCCGTCCCGCGTCCCGGCGCTGCCGACCCCTCGCGGCCGAGGACATCCGACCCGCCGACCCCCGCGACCAAATGTCCTACGAGGTCATGAACCGCGATAGCGCCATCGCGCTCGCCCGCCACGCCGAGGCCGCCGGCGTCCGTACCTTTGGTTTCGTCTCCGCCATCGCTGGGCCCCCGGCGTGCCGGCCCGCTACCTCACCACCAAGCGCGAGGCCGAAGAGGTGATTGCGAGCAACTTCCCCAACATGAGGAACGTCTTCCTGCGTCCACCCTTCATGTACGACGCCTCTAGGGGCCTTACGCTCGGCATCGCCGCCGCCACAGGAGCTGGCACCATCTTCAACTCACTGACCGGTGGCGTATTCAGCAAGGTCATGGGCGCTGGCGGCATGAAACCCGTCAAGGTGGATACCATTGCCGAGGGCGCCGTCGAGGCCCTGGAGGATGAGTCCGTGAGCGGGCCAGTGGAGACGGAGCGGATCGAAGAGCTGGCGACGAGGTCATGGAGGAGGAGCATGTTGTAAGGAAAAAGAAAAGGGAATGAAAATCATGAAAAAGAAAGAAAAAAGTAGAAGAAGCGACAACGCGAGGAACGTGTACGACTTGCGGGGACAAACGATGGTGTTCAAAGTGTAGACATCTGGGCCTTTTATTTTATTTTGGTTCATCTAAAGGATTTTTTTACATGTATCAATAACCACCTATTACCAAGCCCAGCACGCTGCTGAACAAAACGGACAGACAGCGATAGACTGTAAGAATAAATAGAAAAAGACTATTCCACTATGCCTTGTTGTGTTTATACTGATCGTTCTTGTCTCGCAGCACCACTTCCCCTTTCAAACTTTCGTGCCTGTCTCTACTGCCATATGGATCTGCTCACAACACCAATCCCGGCCCCCTACACCCTCATCATCCTTCGAGCCTTTAAATCATGGTACCGCGTTCGAAACTGTCCCGCAGATCCGAAGTGTACTTGTCGTAGAATCTCGCCAGCTTCTGGTTGAACTGCTTATTCTTCTCGTTGATGTACGTCACATCGCCGTCATCGCCGTCCTTGGCCATCCTCTCCCTCCTCTTCTTGAGCCTCTGCTCCTCAGCTCTACGCAGGTCCTCGACCAACCTATCCACGGCCGCCTTATCAGGCCTGCTCTCCGCAAAGGTCGTCGAGTCCTCGGTGGAGTAAAACGTGCCGTCCTTGTCCACGGCGATGAGCTCGCCGTCCTCGGTCTCGACGATGTCGAGCCCCCGCTCGCCGCCGCGCGCTCAATCGCCCGCATCTTGTCCTTTTCGTAGCGCTCCAGGTCCGGCGCCGCCATGTTGGCGCGCAGCTGCCGCTTGTACACTTTACCCGCCTCGGACGCGTACCCGGCAAACGCGTTCTCGTCCCGCCGGCCCGCCTTCTTCTTGAGCCGCCGGTCCCACGCCTCGCTCTCGTCCACCGTCCAGTCCCACGCCCGCTTGCGCTCAAAGTCGCCCCCGGCCTCCTCCACGTCGGCCTTGAGGAGCTTGTGCGACGCGACGGCGTGCTTGCGCTGCAGCGCGGGGAGCTGGGACGGGTCGACTGTGGCGCGCTGGGCTTCTTTCGTCGCGGCTTTGAAGTTCTCCTCGGAGGATTCTTTGGCTCGCGCTTTGAGGGCCTTGAAGCGCGCTAGGCGGTCTGCGGAGGAGGAGGAGGATGATGATGTCGCTGCCGGCGCGGCGGCGGCGTTGGTGTCTGATGGGGACTCCTCGGAGGCCTGTGTAGCGGGGGCGGGGGCTGTCGCTTGCTCGGGGAGGGCGGGGCTTGGGCTGGTGATTCCTCGGGGGCGGCGGCGGGCTCTTCGACCCGTTGGGTCTTTCTCTTCTTGGCGGGAGGCATGATGGATGGTGTGTTTTCGAGAGGTGGGTTGGAGGCAAGGAGGGGAGGGGCGTGGTTCGTGCCTTTTTGTGTTCTGGTGTTTTCGGGGCGGTGTCTGTAGGTGTAGAAGGGTGAGATGTGGACTTTGTTTTCTTCGACGTAATCAGCGGCGATGTCGTCTCAAGTTGGCGTTGGGGATAGTGGCCCAGTATGTTCAGTATGTGTCCTCGAAAGGAAGGGAGGGTCGTGAATGTGGCTTTGGATGATGCTTTCACTGGCTCGAACTGGGGGTGAATTCCTACGCAACAAATTCAAGACGTCGCTCAGGCCAGCCGTTGCTGGTTATGTGTTACATAAGCAGCCATACAAATTAATTTTGACGAGCGAAGCTCCTGACAGCCCGCACCAAACCGCCTACACAGTGCCGCCAATCTTTCATTTTCCTGTTCACACCCAATTCGAGAAGAAGGGATGACAAAGAAGATTGTTGCAACATCCGGCGAGCCTGACCCCACTCTCGGAGCCGGCACAAGATCTCACTTTCCTCTTCGGTTACAGCTGTAGCTAGCCCCCCGAAAGCTTGGCTCCACCCACCCGGGCCGGTGAAGAGCCCCCGGTATCCAAAGGGGGAAGGGGTAGGCGGCTTCACAAGTCGGCCGCATACACAATTTCATCTCCCCTTCCACGCTAGCCTATCTCCCCGTTTACCACCTTTTTTTCTTTATTGCCAAGCATGGTCGTAGGCAAGGCTCCCGCACCATCCAGGGCACTCCTCCAGCTCGAACGAGGGGCCAGGCTGCGGGTCCCACCAGGCTGGCCCCCGCCGCCTCAATCCCGCCACGGATCAGCCGGCGCGTGCTTCTCCTGCCAGGCACGACCGCGGGAGCGGGCCCACGAGCAGCACGAGTCTACGACTAAGCGCTGGCTTTCCAAGATCCCTGTCCACGGCGTCCAGGATGGCAGCGCCGCCACCACCACTACCTCGAACCTCTTGGTCCCGGGAATGGAAACGAAGAGGGGCGCCGGTCGAGGCATCCTCTACGTGCAGAAGCGCCGTGATGGACGTGGCCGCAGGTAGCCCGCGCGGCGCACGAGACTATGGTGCTGGTGCGTCCTGTGGACGAACGTGGGGTGTCAAGCGGGCAATGTTGTTCACGCCCGGAGCTATGGGTAAGGGCCGAGCGAGATTTACGACCTGCGCGAGGGGTCAACGCCAAGCGGTGGGCGAGGACGGCGCCGCGGTGGTGGGAGAGAAACAGGGGTATTACGATCCTAGCAGCTCTACCCTCTGGCGGCTACGAGATGCCGACTTGCTCTCGATCGCGCTGCGGGGCCACCACCTTCATTACCACAATCATCAGCCGGTGGACCTAGTGCGCAGGCGAATACGCGTGGATCCCCTTGCATCCCCAATCCTACGCCGAAATGCTACGTCGGAACAACATGCCCTCCACCGCGCGACAAGACGAGGGCCCGCTCTTGGCCTGGGCAGCTTCCGCTCTCACAGCGTCCGAAACCACCCCGCCCGCATCACTTCCGGCTCTCACCCAAGTGTACAGCGGCGCAAAAGACCTCCCCGCGCTCCGCAGGCTCCTCACGCTCAGCTTACGACAGGGGGTCGCGATCCCCAGACTAGAAAGCGAACAGGAGCGCGTCTACGAGTCCATCGCCACCGGGACCCTCCCCGCGGAGTGGAAGGACCCATACGTCTTACTCGGGCTCATCATCAGTCTGGAGCAGTGCCTCGCGGCACAGGACTCCCGGCTCGATGCGCGCTTCCACCTCGTCGCGCTCGAGCAGTCGGGCAAGGCGTTCCACCTCGATTTCGTGGCGCGCTATTTGGGGCTTGCGCTCGAGGCCCACGCCGCAGCGCCGGGGCGTGGCCTCGCGTCGTTCCCGGAGAGCGTCCGGGCCACGCTCGAGGCACTCGCTTCGAGGTTGAGGAGCGCGTCGGAACCGGGCATCGATCAGTTTACGCGTGAGGCTTTACTCTACCTACTCGTGGGCGCGCCCGCGGCAGATCGCGGCCAGCCTTCGTTTCGAGCGGCCATGACGGGGAAGTTTGTCCGCGAGAGGGCTTTCCCAGAGTACGTGCGTATATTGGCGGAGATGGGTGCGCTGAGGACGCTCTGGCACGAGTGGACGGCTCTCAAGGTTCCTGGCGCAACTGGGGGCTGGCCGTGGGAGCCGGAGGCGGTGTTTGCGCGAGCTCTGCTGGGCGCGCACCGTCTCGTGCTAGGGTATCCGGTGGATGGGTGGTATTCGCCCCCGTCGAGCCGTCCGAGGAAGTTCGGTTTGCGAACAGCGTGGAGGCGGACCTCGAGGTTCTCCCGGACGAGCCGTCGGTGGAGGAGGAGGAGGAGGATGGCGGCGTGCCGTTGCCGGGAACGGAAGCGGGGACGATGCCGGGGGCATTGCCCGGACTTGTGAGGGACGGGCTGGATTGTGGCTCGGCGGAGGAGGCGATTGTTAGGATTCAGCAGGTCATCTCGGAGGTTGTTGAGGGTTCGGCGGGGAAGGAATAAAAGAGAGGGTAGGGCCGATTCGCTTTCTTTCTTTTTTTTTTTTTTCCTTTTTCTTTTTTGGTTATTTTCCAGCTTTTCTCTAGGTGGGCTGAAAGAGATGAAGAATTCTCACGAATTAGACACATGGATGAAGACCCCAAGGCATCATGTCATGCATGCACATGATACGAGATTTCACAGATGGACGAAAAAGATACCCCTCCCCTCCCCTCCTGTGCAATGTGTTTTTCCAAGGATAATTGGGAATAAAAATGTGATTAGTTCTTCCTAGTGTATAGCCTACGATGGACGTGAGTTGACATGCTGTGGTCTTGCGGAAGAAGGTCCGGCAGTCAATGTACGTTCTTGGACGATGATGGGAGAGACGTGAAGCTGGGGATGTGCAAGTGGAATGATACCGGCTTGTCACTCTTGTCACTAGCGACTCCCAGCCCAATTCCGTCCTCGGGTAACCTGAAGAAGCAATGCTGCAGGGCATACTGGACCGAAGAGATTTCGCCCAAAGGGTGCCGATCACTTTTTTCTTTCTTCGGTTCGAGGGTGAGTGTAAACGAGAGAGCATCGTTTTCGGCTCAGATGGGCTTTTGCTATCGCGATTTGCGCAGATAATCAAGTATACACCCGTTGACCAAACGATGCCTCGCTATAACACTGAAAATTACTCCGCTTCGCTTCACCTGCGCACATGGGCATCGTTTGCTTTTTCATCTTCTTCATTCTCCCACAATTTCTTCCCACCTTTTTTCTTTTCCAACTCCCGGATCTGATTGTCTATAGGCCCGGCTTCTTTTGGTCCCGTCCGCGTCGCATTCCCAAATGAGGGTAAAGAGAGAAAAAAAAGAAAAACCTGGTTCTCAACAAATTGAGCAGTTCATAACCCGGCGATCGGGATGCAATCGACACAACGGGCCCGAGTCTGTCAGCAAAGAGAACAATGGATCAATTGAAGAATGCCCTCTCTTTTTGTCCCGCCCGCGAGTACCTCTGTAGTGTCCACTGTAATGTCCACTGTTGTCACTGTTGTCACTGTTGTATGTTGGCCCAGGTTTTGGTCTTTCTGCGTCCCCCTTCCATGTTCCTTTCCATCCCTCCTCCCTCCTCCCTTCTTCCTCTCCGTCCTACCAGAGACTCGTATCGTCAACCCATCTCGCATCTACTTGTACGATGGATCCTTTCTCTTTCTTTTCTCTTTTATTTTCCCTTTCCCTGTCGACAAGGGGTAGGAGGTGGGGCTGTACTGTTGGTACCACTCAAACATGGCTGGCATCATTCGTCAGACGCCAGACACGCACGATTGAGCCACGGAGCAGGATGACCATGACCATGACCACTCTGCAAGTACCCAAAATGCTCGCACTGCTCTCTCTCCTTCTCGTGTCTGGCTGGCCTACCAAAGCTAATTACTGGTTGATACTTGGCGGGATGCCCTGTTCGCCGCAGCCCGCTCCCGCTGACCCTGGGTTGGGTCTTTTTCCCAGCTGAGAGGTGGAAATGCGCCTGGATTCTGCTGTGGCGTCTGCTGTGTCACCAATGTCACCAATACGGACAGCGAGGCTCAGTTCCTCAAAGGAACCCTTTTTTCTTTTTCTTTTTCTTTTGTCCCCTTCTTCTTTTTCCCTGGTCCTTCTTCTGTTCCCCCCCATCATCCTTGTTCTTTGGCCCTCCTTTCATCATAACATTGTTGTTACCCAGCCCCCTTTCCCGGAACCCGCATGCGCCGCCGTGCGCTGTGTAGTACATGCGTGTCCGCGGATGTGTATGTGTGTATGTCTGTGTATGTCTGTGTATGTGTGTATGTCTGTGGGTGTGCTGGACGTGTGTGTGTCTGATGGGTGACCGAGTTGGATTGATTGGACAATATCCGACTGCTGTCACGACTCCTCGTCGACTCGCTCGCTGCTGGCCTGATACGAATCCCAAGGGAGATGAACTGGCCGGGGTGGGGAAGCAAGATTCCATCGGGAGACCAAGAACCAACCAAGACTGCTTCCCCTCGATGCTAGTCCCTTTTTCTTCAACTTTTCTCAGAGTCGGACCTGAAGGGGCTTGGCCGGCTCTTGTTTCCTCGCGTTTCTCTCTCACTTGTTTTCCTCGATTCTTTTCGTTTCTTTATGTATTCCATTCCTGTTTTTCTTCTTATTTAACTTACTTTTCCCTTTCCTTTCTCGCTCCTCCCTCCTCTTTAGGCCTCACGCTCATCTCTCGCATTTTCCATTCTTTGTTGTTCCCCGAATCTGCTTCCTCCCCGCTCGCGCATATCTTTGAAAGCCTGAAACTGGATGAGATGGAAGGGCGGGTGTCCCACGGCCTCCGCCTACCGAGAGGTACCTCGCTTATGCGGATTACCCCCGGACGGGGAAAGGTCTGGTGTCATCTCTCCCTCTTCCCAGTAGGGCGACGAATAAGGTCTCCTGGGTGAGAAAATGCGGGACCCCTTGACAGATCTTGGGCTGAGCACGGCCAATGTTTGACATGCCTTGCAAAGTGCAGCCAGGGGAGGGCGAGGGGAAAAGACGTTACTCTGAGGGCAGGCAACATGGTGAGAGGAGAGGTAAGAAGAAGAATGATGAGACGTGCACTAATACGTGATTGCCAAGAGGCGAGAGGAGGGAGAGAAGACATAAGGAGGGGAGTACAAAGCCCGCAGGGCTGGAATTGGTGTTCATTGTGCCTCCAGCAGGACACAGGGACGAGGGCGGGAGGAAGTAGAAAGGAAATGAGATAATACCGCCTCGTTGCTCCCCGAGAAAGTGACGCACAATCTGGCAACAGGTCCACTTGGGGTGAGGACGCCCCCAGAAAACCGTTGCACCGCCGGGGAGGGACCAAGGAAGATGAGCGAAGATGCATATCCAAGGCGTCTTGTCCTTTGTTCGTTGCCGTCTTCCTCGACCCCATGGTATGCCATGTCATGCCAAACCGAAGGAATTACCGTGTCAGAGTCGAGAGTCGCGGAAACCCGTCGTGGTTCGGTTGATCCAGGTTACCCGAGCCAGCAGGAAGGGTCCGCGAAGGAGGGTGCGGAATTCATGCCATGGTGTCTCCAACACGCTTTCCTTGTTCTTTTTCTTTTTTTCTTTTTTCCATCTTCTTTACTTTCTAGTTTTGCTGGCTCCGGCGCAAAACGACGTAAAGGTAATGTTGAAGGGATGAACGTAGACGAGCGGGATCGGGTCAATCTTGCGATCCGCCACCACAACCAAGTGTCACCCCACGATCGGCGAGGATGAACGACGTGGATCAACCACGTACAGTCTTTTTTTCTTCTTCTTTTTCTTTTCTTTCATCGTGACCTCATTTCTAGGCGCCCGTCGATACCAGCTTCAAGGGCCCCCTCTCCTTCGCCAAGCTCAGATCTCACACTTGCCTTGGGAACATTGAAGCGAATAACACCACCCTCCCGGTTCCGCATCCTTGGCTTCCCAAGACGATGAACGCACGTCGGGGCAAGGTTGGCCTTTATCACCGCGCTGCACACTAGCGTACCTTGTAGTATTAGTCTTTGCTTCGCAGGAAGAGGCGAGGCTCGGGAAGACTGCAAGAACCGAAGAAAAGCCCACCCTCCACGTCTCCGGCTCATCCAGCCCGGCTTGGCCAGCTCCTCGGGTTCCCTCGTGGCTGAGGTTGACGGTTATTAGCCCCCGCCAGCGTAGTACATGTAATCTTTCTTTTTCTTTTTTCGTTTTTTTTCTTTCCTTCGCCAGAGCGCCTCAGGTCCAGGGTGGAAGGGAACGGGCGGTTCTGCACGAGCGCGGGTTCGTGCAATGCTGGCTGCCACCCAACGCCCGGCAAGAAGCCAATCCTGGGAAGAAGGTCAGGCTTCAGCTCTCCAAGACGCCAGAGGCCACTTTTTGTTTTCTTTTTCTTTCGTTTTCTTTTTTTTTTTTTTTTTGTTTTCTCGTTTGTCCCAAATCTTCCCAAGCCTCATCTCCCATCCGTCCTCTGAGCCCCTTGTCGACGACATTGCACGCACGTAACACAGGCCCAGGCCTGCATCACGCCCCTTACTCTCCCCTCCTCTCCCTCTCTCTCTCTCTCTCTCTCTCGCCCCCTGCTTCCTCGTGGAGAGGGGAGAGGAAAGGGAAGAAAGCAAAAGCTCAGCGCGTAGCGAGAGAGAGAGAGAAAAAAACATAGAGAGGCCCGTTTTCCAGGCCCATCCAGTAGCAATACCGTAATATCGTGCAGTCCTTCCATCTCCCCCGGCCTCTCCTGTCCACCCCACGAAGCCCACCACGCCGCCTCCGCATCCTATCCACGATTGCGCCCTTTTTAAAGGTTGCATTTCTTTTGCTGCTGCTGCTTCTGCTGCTGCTCCTTTTCCCAGACTCTTGGGTCCCTTTTTCTTTTCTTCTTCTGATTCGACTCGTCTTTCTCTCAAAACTCCCCTTCGTTTAGTTGCCTTCTTTTCGGTGTGCCTGTATCCTGTGTGATCCATTGTATGCCCGTCGGTGCGGGCGTGCCCACTCGAGTATTCTTGTGTGTTGATCAGAGCTCCCCCTTGTTCAGCTCCTTCGGGCATCACGCCTCACGTCGACCTTAACTACACTTCGCCTCCCCTCCCTCACCTCAACCTCGTAACCCTCCGCTCTCGGGGCCTCTTCGCTCTCATCTTTTCTTTTTTCTTCTCTCCTCCTCGTCAAGCCGTTTCCAGGCCCAAAAAAGGGAACTCGGCGAAGCCCTCGATCACATTTCCACATCTCCAATTCCCCTTTTTTGGCTTTCTCTTTGGGCTTGGGGCCCTTGTTCCTTTTGGCCCAAAACGTCGCCCACCGCCTCTGATCCTCTCGCCTCATGAATACTCCCCGCCACGCTCCATCATGACCCGGCCTCCCAGCCGCTTCCCGGCGGGGACGACAAATCACCGACCGCTGCTACAGAGCCTGTCGTTACCATCTCTTTCGATCCCGTTTCCGATATTGCTGCTCCTCGTCTTCGCCGCCGGCCTTTCGCGGCAGCAAAATGATCCCGTGTCGGGCTTTTGCCGGCGTTTCGCCCACCAGACCGCTATTGTTGATGACAAGCTCTATATCGACGGCGGCTTCATAAATTATAACCCTCTCGAGCAATTCCCAGAAAACTACACAAGTATGTATCGGATAGTCTGGGTTTCTTTATTTTCCTTCAATTTCTTTTTGTATTTTTATAGCTCCTTTCGTAGGTAGCCAAAACTTTTGGTCCGGGTGAGCTAACCCCCTGCTTCTCCTCGCTTAGACGACTACCTCTTCTTCCACGACCTCTCCACCGTCGCCGACTCGGGCATGCCCCAGCTCTACGCCAACCTCTCCAAGAACCGCACCGTCCCCTCCCTGCACGGCGGCGTCCTCTGGGGCGACCCCGTCAACAAGCGCCTGTACCAGTTCGGCGGCGAATTCTACCGCGAGCTCACCACCGCCTTCCGCGGCATCTACGCCTACGACATCCTCGCCGACGCCTGGGATTTCCTCTCCGTCGACCACGCCCGCCAGCCCGCTTCCACCCTCGTCCGCCGCGCCAGCTACGGCGCCGGCGTCGCCGTCCCCGACCGCGGCGAGGGCTACTACTACGGCGGCTGGCTCAGCAACCGCTCCGAGCCCGGCTGGGGACCCGACTCCATCGCCGACTCGTACCTCGTCAAGTACGAGATGGACAAGAATCTCTGGACCAACAGCTCCGGACCCCCGACGGTATCGGCCGCGCCGAGGGCAGCATGCTGTATATCCCCGCCGGGGACGCGGGGATGCTCGTGTACCTCGGCGGCGTGCGCGACGCCTACGGAAACGGAAGCGTTATCGAGGGCCAGCCCATGGAGGAGATTTTGCTGTACGACGTCCTCAGCTTTAAATGGTACAAGCAAAAGGCCTCGGGCGTCGTGCCGGCCATGCGGAGCCGGTTTTGTGCGGGTGTTGCCTGGCCCGAGGATAGGTCCTCGTACAATATGTAAGTCAACCGCTCACTCGCTTCCGGGAACATCTTCACGTTTTCTTTTTCTTTCCTTTCCCTCCCTCTCTCTTTTTGTTTTTGTTTTTAAGTCTCCCCCTTTCCGGGGGTTCCCATTAGCTGTACCATTTCCAGAAGGCAAACACTAACGTAAGCCCTTTTTCTTCCCCCACAGCTACCTCTACGGCGGCGCAGGCATGGCCCCCTCCACCGCCGGCTTCGACGACGTCTACGTCCTCTCCCTCCCCTCCTTCACCTGGATCAAGCTCTACCCCAACGACACCGACTCCGACACCACGGGCGACTACCCCCACCACAGCCTCTCCTGCAACATGCACCTCGACGGCGCCCAGATGCTCATCATCGGCGGCACCTTTCCCACCTCCGCCATGTGCGACACCCCGGAGCAGTGGGGCGTCCACAACCTCGACACCGGCCGCAAGAACCCGGACAACGCCCTCTGGCAGCTCTACGACCCCGCAAAAGGGGCTACCAGGTCCCCTTTGACGTCTGGAACGTCGTCGGCGGCGGCGCCAAGGGCGGTCCCATCACCCTCCGAGAGCCCGAGGCCGGCTTCGGCAGCCCGGACCTACGGATCCTGCTCTCCCGCACCGCGTCGGCGGCCGTGCGGACACCGACGCGCGACGTGGGCGGGGATGACGACGACGGCGACAGAAAGCCCTTATCCGCAGGTGCCATCGCGGGGATCGTCGTCGGGGCCGTCGTCGCCCTAGCCCTCATCGCCCTCGGCGCGTTCTGCCTGTTCCGCAAGAAGCGCCGCGCCGGCGCCGGCGCCGACCCCCGCCGCCCAGAAATGGCCTCGCACGCCAACCACCACCACCACCCGTCCCTCCACGGCGGCGCCCACCCCCACCACCTCGGCGCCGGCTACCCTTCCTCCACCTCCTACTACCCCGTCGCCAGCTCCAGCCCCGGCAGCATGAGCCCCGGCTCTCCAGGCTTCCACAACGGCCGCTACAGCCTCCTCCCCTCGCCACCATCCCCAGCTCCCCATCGAGCTCGCCGACTCTTCTCCCCATCCTGCTCCTCCTCCTCCTTCTCACGCTCACGCGGCGGCGGGGGCTCCCGGTGCCCACGGCCTCCCGGGCGCCTACGATATCGGCACCGTGACCGCGACGCCGGACTCGGCGCACGCCAAGCTCGACCATGGCCGGTGGACGCCGGCCGATGACGCCGGCACGAACCCCCGCACAATGTTCCGTCGTACTCGAGTCTGCAGGGGAGCCATTCGCCGTACTCGTCGTACCCCACCAGCCCCGGTACCAATACGGGCAACACGATGGGTTCGGGCTTTAGCGGCGGCGGCGGCGGCGGCGGTGGTGGTGGTACTCTGGGCTCGCACTCGCCTTCGCAGCAACAGCTGCACCCACAGTACCAACCCCAGGAGTTGAGTACCACGCCGGGGATGGAGAGGAGGGCGGGCCGTGAGCCGGTGAGGCTACACGAGACGTATTACCATGCATAAATAATCATAATCTTTTGGGTCAAGCAGAGTTTCTTTCTTCTTCCTTTTTTTCTCGACTTTTTTTCTTCTCTTTATTCTCTCCCTCTCTTCTGTTTCAATGGTAAAAGGAAGCAAAGGAACCGGGAAAACGTGAAGAGAGGGGATTCGCCAACTCCATGATTGATATTTCAGAAAAGGAAGGGGCTTGGTCTTGGAGTTTTTCCGCGATGGGTTGCGTACCTCTTTTTCCCTTGACTGCGATATCCTACTTCTACTCTCCTTTCAATTTCGGGTTTCCGTCCCTTCTCATTTTATCCTTCTCTTTTACTGTCTTTTCGGGGGAAGGGGGAAGGGGGAAGGTGGGAGCCTTTTCCATGACATGAGGTCTCTGGAAGGAAGGAAAGCGGTGGTTGTCGGCTTGTCAACGGGCAAGAACTTTACATTAGTGTAAGTACATGTAGAGAACATGACGCAGCGGCGTGCATCTTGATCTAGATACAAGAGAATGTAGAAAAACTCAAAACTCAAATCTCATCTCGCTCTCCTCGCTTCCCGTGCTCATCTCAACCGGGGTAGAGATCCAGCCTTGCCATCTTGGCGAGCCATGACGTGCTCTACGGAAGGGGGCATGGAGGAGCGGCTCTGGGGATTGAAATTCTCGAATCACGTCACTGATAGAAAGACCCCAAGCTATTACTCCAAAGGAAGGAGGAAAAAAGATTTGTATCGAAAGGCTCCAGTGTCTCCTCCATCGTAGATGAATCCCCTCACACTTCCCCTGCTCCGAGGACGGACTTGGACTTTATGCTCGCCTGACCTCATCCTTCATTGTTCCCTCTCTAATATTCTACTCTAGGTCAAAGCCTCGTCTGATCCCCATCGTCGTCGCCATTACCCCAACAATTACTAGGCCCCAAATTGAACGAAGAGCAGCCTGACATGTCCCCCTCCCCAACCAAAACCACCATCTCCGATGATCCGATCCGGTCCGCGACATTCCCGAACCCAGCAGGTCCCACTCCAGCCCGGTGACCCCCCTTCCATCTTTTCACTCCCTTTGAGAGCACTGAGGGCAAAAAACCCCGAGAACCCTTACCCTGCCTGGATCCTACGAACCAGGTCCCCGGGTCCCCTTGAGAACCAGACTTCAAGGTCAAAGTAGCCCTTCCAATCAAGATCCGCGAACGGTGTCACCGGACCCTGAATTGGGAAAGAACGGGAACGAGGGAGAGGTGAGGTTGGTTGGCCGTGTCTCCGATACCGGCGACGATCCGGGCTGGAGCAAGGATGAGCTGTGTTCGATAAAGCTGAGCTGTTTGAAAAAAAAAAAAGACTTGTCCGAGCTCCTCCGCTATTTGATCGATAACGCCGTAAATAGGCCCGGCCGCCTTTCTATCAGGCCGGTCCGGCACTGGTACGAGGTTCGTTTCTTCGCTTCTCCCACCCCTTTTTCCTCCTCCCGACCAAAAAAGAGACACAAGGGCCCGCTTTGCCGCAAGGCCGCGAGAAAGCTAGGATAGCCGAGCGATCAGAGATAAAAAGAAAAAGACAAATGATTATTCATTATTCGTTGCCTTCTTGTGCCCGCAAAAGAACCACACACCTGCCCGCGCTTTGTAGGGAAATTGTTTATAAAGGGCCGCGGGCGAATAGGAGGGCTGGACGCAACCCTGCTAATCTCGTAGCTTTTACATGTACATGTATTCTTAGAAGATGCGGAAATAAAGCTGTTGGTTTTGGGTGTGTGTCATCGGCCGAACGGACGGTCAGCCAACTCAGAAAGAAAGGGAAAAAAAAACTCAGAGATACGGACTCATTTGCCGGACGCACCGAGATAAGGAGTCGCCCTCTGCTCTTCTTAGCGCGCCCCTCCCCGGCCGGCATCCCCAGTCAGCTTATCAGCCCCAGCTCGGCCATACAGGGAGTTGCGACACACGACAAGGCACGAAAACCGCCAACGTCCTTTTTTTGGTTGTTAATTTTTACGTAGTGCGGTGTGTGGTGTCGTCCCAACTTTGTGTGTAATGTATTAGAAAAAAAGAATATGATCGCGCCTTTGAGTCCCGCACGCCAGGAGCTAGGCGTGGGTCCTGATCGGACAATCGAGGAAGAGAAAAGGAGAAGACGAAAAATTTTTGTTTAAAAAATTTCTCTCCTCATTTTACCTGCGTGAGGAAAGGGGTAAAGACAACAGGGGAGCAGAATGAAGAATGGAGATGGATGGAATGGGGGCGATGGAGAGTGAGATGGAGGGCACGGGTGGGGGAGGGGAGGGCAGCCTCTAGCATTCCGGATAGAAACGGTCCACGCGCTGTCTCGATGATAGGAGGTGCGAAACCAACCGAAAAGAATACACTGGCCGTATTCGAGTGAGTCGAGGGGGCACAAGAGATCGCAGGAACTCGATAGACAAGGAGGGCATCCCATCGCTCGATCTCCGGGGTTCCCCTCCCCTAGCTATCTGTGCTGCACCCTCCCCTCCCCTTCCCCCTTGTTCCTGGTGATCGATTTTTCGAGAGGGAGATGGAGTGGCTTTCCTCTTATTCTTCTTCTTCTCCCACCCGGAGGAACGGGCATGCATGCGCAACCTCAGACAGACAGAGCTTCGAGCTTGGTCAAACCTAGGTGTGTGTGTGCCTTGGCTTCGCGCCTCTCTCTCGCTGGGATGGGACCCCCAACCCTCCAAAACCAGCCGGGGAAAAAGACCTCAGACCAAAAGCTTGAACCCCCACTTCACACCCCTTACCTAGCTTATCCCTGTACCAAGCAGGTTGCAAAGGAAGCATGCTGCCCAATTTGGCATATTGACAACCCTCCCACCGTTCCGCCACTGCTATTCTCGCGATTTAACCCACGCGGGCCGCGCCCGCAACTGCGGACCAGGTGTCGCATCACCCAATCCTATCGTAGACCTGGAGGCATCGGCCTTATCTCAGCCTTTCAAGGTGGGGAGAGGAAGGGGGCGACAGGGGAAATACTTCGTGGAAACGGGGGAGGGGAGGGGGCTTGGTTTCTCGTTCTCCTGTACCCCGGGTATAAGCAAGATATAGAGAGTGAGTGAGAAGAAGAGGCGGCAAATCTATTCCTTCGCATACAATGTAAAAGGAAGGGTATACACGGGATGATGGCTATCCTATTCTCGCACTCAAGCTCTTCGTGTAGTTCCCGCCTCATATGGCGCCTGTCGTCGTCGGTGGTTCACCCCCATCTCAATCCTTGATCCAGGGGCACAACCTCTCTTGAGTCAGAAACAGTTCAACATGTCGAGTTTGTTGCTTTCGTCAATGACACCAACGAGCAGCTCTTAGGTTGATTACACTACGTCGTAATGCCATGTTGCTCTTCCTCCACACCGCGAGGCTTCAACAACTGATGCGTGATGCTTGCTCAGCACCGGCCAGAGAGCGCCACCCGCCCTTTCTCGCTCGGTGGGGGTCCCGTAATTCCCAAAGTTGCGTTGCGACTCGAGTTCCCCCTTCTGTGCCATTTTTGAGGCGCTGGTGTCCCATCGTGCACGGATTGTCTCGGGCCACGAAATGACATGCATCGGTGGGGGAAGGGAGCGGACGACGAGCCGGGAAGAAAGAGAAAAGGGAAAAAGAAGAAGAAAAAGGGCATGAAAAGCAAAGAGGATGATCCATGGCGAATTTCCATCGGCGTTGAGCTAATATCCCGCCTTTAATTGAAGCATGGAAACTATTACCAGTCTGTCAAAGGGGAACTGACTCTCCTGGGCCTCGGCTGCAGATCCCCACCCCCTTCCACACTTGAACACCTAAACTAGGGGTTGTGTGTGGTGGTTCGGAGGGGTCTGGATGGAACAAGGAGCTCTATCCCCGCAGTATTGCGTGATATACCTCTGGATGAGTCCAACCATGGTGCATACATACCCGCCTTTCGGCCTGGGCTCACCGAGCCGTCCAGACAGGTGGGAAGTTGCCCTCACCCACCTCCATCCTGACAAGATCGCCTCATCCTCCTTCCTAGCTAGGCCGCTAGTATCCGCGCGACGCGCATTGCTCCAGCTGAACCCAAAGCTTTTTTTCTCTCCCTCGATCGCGTTACTTGGGGCCTTAGATCCGTCATCGTAGTGTATATGTAGGCCTTTTGCGGTCTTGGCCTATCGCCCATGTCACCGCCGGGAAGCACCGGCATATCGCTACCACTGGATGTCATGGGGGCTTTGGCATAATCTTAAGTCTGCGTCGATCTCACCGGTCGCCTGGCCCCTCTGTGGGGGACGATTGGATCGCGATATGGCGGACAACCTCTAGCCATCCTCGTGCCTGAAGAACAACTTACTCGTGCTTGCCTTGAACCGCGATCAACGTAGAATCAGCCAAAGGATAGCTATCTCAGTTGGAACGTACGTGATGCAGACCATATCACCGTATCACTGGATTCAGCACGTGCCCGTCCTAGGTGAGATCGTTGATAAGCCCAATGGAAGGGAAGGCCTCGTGATTCATCCGTCCCGTCACAGCCGGGGCGAGGCATGGAGCCCCTGCCAACCCCCGTCAACTCCCGTCAGGACTCCGAGTTGTTTCCCGCCAGTGAAGCTAGAGACTGCCCTTTCGTGCTGTTGATTGGGGAGTAAGCGGGAGATGTCGATGATCAGAGGAGGGTATGTTGAGCGCCACAAACGGCCAAATGAAGCTCAAACTCAGGCACATGACAACGATAGTGACCACCCTCCTTTCCCCTTTCCTTGGCCGCGGACGCTATTGGAATGCCACAATCTTCCTCTCATCATCTGCCATTTCAAGATATCAGCACGCGGAAATCAGCGCCTCATCCCCTTTCGGCCTACTTGGGGGATAGCGTGATGCTACTTGTATCGTGGCGAAGTTGTCCCGCTGCTCAAAAGGCTATCCGGCTGGTCAATACGTGGACAGTGACCACCATCTTCTTCTTCGTTCCCCTCGAGACCTCGGGCGAGGCGGAGCGGAGTCGAGGTGTTAGCATACACGACGTAAGTTCACGGAAGACAAAGGAATAAGAGACAAAGGAATAAGAGACAA